AGAAGGGAAGAAATAAAAAAAGAAAGACAAAAGAAAGGCGCCACGCCAGATACGCACCTCGGCAAGAAAGTCAGCAGGTCACGGTGATGCCGCTCGACCTTTTCGTAAAACTCATTCTCCCTGTTGTTGAGCTGCTTACACACGGCTCGGCGGGAGAAGCGCCAGAGGGTAGTGTGGCCGCCCACCTGGTGGCGATAGGGAATGAGTTCTATTGCCTCTAGAGGCTCCTCTTTGATTCCTACGTGTTGGTCGTGCACCTGCCGCTGATCTTGTTGCAACTCAACCTCCCCTCTCGGTGCCTGTGCTTCCCTGGTCTCCTCCGATTTCTCGTTGCTGGGGTAATGGTGCTTATCTAGCTTGTCTCGCTTTGTCTCAACGACAGACTGGGCAGCTTCGGGTGCCCGACTCGGCCTCGACTGCGCTGCATCCTGCACCTCAGCTGCCGTTGCTGGCGTTAATGCTGCCGCTGCCGCTGCCGCCGCCGCCGTCTCCTCTGTCTCCTCTGTCTCCTTCCCGGGATGGGACGGTTCTTCTACCACCGCCTCCTCTTCTTCGGGCCCTGGTTCCGGCTCGTCGGCCTTGACCAACCAAGGGTGGAAATCCCCATTTCGCGTCGCAGTCCGGGGTCCCAGCGGCGGTCTCAGGCTCGGAGCCACGTCGCTATCGTCGCTTCCTGATTCGTCCGGGCCCTGGTGGGGCACAAAGACGGCAGACGATATCTTCTCCTCACCCGACTCGTCGCCTTCTTCGTGGCTGTCTCCGACTTCGGTGCTTTCGCCCGAGCCCCGCCGGTGTTCGGTGAAACGAGGCTCCGTCGTACCCACGTCATGGGCCGCAGCGCGCGGAGTGGACGGAGTCGACTCCCCCTCGTCCTCGTCCTGGTCCTCGTCCTCGTCCTCGTTCTCGTCGGCTCGCTCTCGCGAGAAGAGATCGGCGCTCTCGTCGAACATTTGTCCGTGCTTTCGTCGCAAGCCGAAATAGTCGCGTCGTGCCTTGGATTCGTCGAGGGCAGTCTCGGTCAAATCAACCGGGAAAGTCTTCGCCCGCTGTAGTACGCCCCGTTCGGGCTCGTCGCGGGGGCCAAGAAGCGGCGAAGGCAAGGCGGTGGCCGCCGTCGCGCCCTGTCCCAAGTCATCCATGGACGTCTCCGAGCTTTCCGGGTGCGAGGGTGGCTCTCCCCCAGAAACTACCAATTGGGCATCGCTAGGGGCCGCCTGGCGATGGGTCTTCTTACGACCCTTCTCCTTCTCCTCTTTGGGGATCTTGGGGGGCATGGAGACCTTGGGGAGGCCTTCTCTGAAGAAGCGAAGGCTGTGGCTCGTCTTGCGGCTCCGAGCATTCGGTTCGGTGCCCATCATGGCTTCGGTCACGGCCTTCTCGACCTGACCATCCTCCTCCCCGTCGAGGTTACCGGCAGAGCCTATGGACCACATCTTCTCGGGACCTTTCTGCAGGCGTTGTTCAGGTGTTCGGGACGCGCAGACAGTTCGGAGCTCGGAGAGGAGATCCTTCCACTCGGAGTTGTTGGCGGGATGAGCGGCAGGGCGAGTTGCCGGCGTGGTTGTTCCGTTCGAGTGCGAGAAGCCACTTCGAGGCGGGAATTCCACCACGTCCGTGGTCTTCGTGTTCGTAGTGTCCTTGGTTTCCTTCTCAAGTTGGCCAGTAGAAACCCCCCTGTGTCTGGAGTCCCGACTGTAGGCGAGACGGTCGGCAAACATGCCGGCGATGTCGCCGAGATTGGTCGCATCGTAGGATGACGGGGGCGCGCCAACAGGGGCGGCCGGGGAGAGTATCGCGGCCATGGGAGCGGACGTCGTCGAGGCGGTAGTGGTGGCTGGGGTCACGGAACTGATGGTCGGAGCAGTCCGAGGCGTTACTGAGGCGCGATCGCCCTTTTCGCGGGATACACCATGGGAGTTGGCACCTGCGCTATTGTGGCTGTTATTATGATTGGTAGTATTGTTATTACTGCCGCTGTCCCTGCCGCTGTCGCTGCCGCTGTTGTTGTTGTCGTAGCTGTTGCTGATCGAGGGCGCAGGCAAAGTCAGGGACTGAAGTGTAGTAGCAAAAGGCGGCGTCGCAAGCGGCGTCGCAACTTCGGACGGCGGCGAGGGCTGTTTGTTCTTAGTATTGGCGGTGGCAGCAGCATGGGAGGGTGGACTTGGGGTGGTTTTGGGACGCGAGTCATCCGAGTGGGAGGATGGTGAAGTGGATGTGGAAGTTGAAGCGGAAGGAATGCCACGCGCACTCGCCAAGGCCTGTGTCAGAAGTGACGGGCCGGAGTGCCTGGCAAGGGCTGCAGGGCCGCGAGTCTTCTTATTTTGGGTAGAGGCGGGAGCGGCAGTGGCACTTGTCGTGGTGGTGCCGGTGCCAGTGGTAGTGGTGGTAGTGGTGGTGGTAATAGTGCTGGGGCAGGTGCAGGTGCAGGTGCCGGTACCGGTGCTGCTAGGCGCGTTTGGGAGTGCGACGTGCCCAGCTGGTTGGGCAGCTGCGGGTCCAGCAACAGGGACGGAAGCGAGATGAGCAGGGGGCTGTGACAGTGGATGTGGCTGTCCTGCGGGTAGTGATTGGGTGATGGAGTCGTGGTCGATTTGTTGGATGTCAGGTTCGATGATAGGTGCAGAATCAGGAGGGAAGGAAGAAGAAACTTCGGTGGTGAAGGATTTGAGGTCATGGAAAGTACAAGGGTCCCGGTCCCGGTCTCGGTCCCGATGCTGGTCCTGGTCATGGTCAGGACCAAGGGCAGCAGAGCCATTATTATGGTTATCAGTCTCACCGCCGACTGGAGAGGAATGGGTGCCAGCATGACCAAGGCCGTTGTCGAGCCCAAGCTTCTCATGCTTCTCATGCCTCTCCCCATTACTGACAGGCTGCGCTGTCCATGTAGACTCGGACGCAGACTCCGACGCAGACGCAGAGACAGAGACAGAGGCGGACGTGGACGTGGACGTCGGGATGGTGTCAGTGGCGGCATGGGCATCGGCATCGGGTGTGGAAGCGGATGCAGGTCTCATCGTTGTAGCACGTGCGGCATTTTCGAAGTTCCGATGCGAGCTGGACATGAGGAGGACATTGGGCATGCGCAGAAGGATGAGAGAGAAAGGATGAAGAGCGTCGTGTCGTCGATAAGGGAAATTTGGGGTGTGTGTGGTGGTGATGGTTGGCGGTGGTTGGCGGTGGTTGGTGCGGCGGCAAAGTGATAGTGATGATTAGGTAGGTGCTACCGAGTAAGGGCGGAGGAGAGATAGATGGAGAGAAATGCCTAAGGCTGGGACCGTGTGGGAAAAAGGTCGGGGCATAAATTAACGGTATTGTGGAGATTTTGCTTTGTACGCCTTTTTTTCGTGGGTCACTTGGATGGGGCTATGTAGAATTACCCCATACAACCCCTGTTTAATTGTTCAAAGCGGTATATTCCTGTTTTACCTAAAAGGGTAAAACACGAAGGTTCGAGGAACGTACTGCACTAATAGCACCCACGATATAAAAAAATTCAATATCATTATAAGACATCTCTAAGTTGATCTGGAATCGATCTATAGCTATTTTATATAGGAAAGGATTTAGTTACTACTTATACACGCTACGTGGGAGGCAGTTTCTATTAAGCTAGGGTTAGAGTATACTCAATAGATGCCTTCAGTGAGGCGAGGTGCGGGAACGAAAGGCTTGTCAAAATGCGCCTTCGGGTACAAATGTTTATTAGGAAACTAGAAGAGTCGACTCTAGAACTTGGCAGGCACTAGGGTGTCAATCCTTGCTTCGAGACAGACTTTGTTATCTTTCGGTATTTCGGTATAACGCACGAAGGATGGACAGATATGTGCGGAGCTTAACATGTACGTGTAAGGTACCTACCTAATTACAGAGTCTTCGCAGATAGGGCCAGAAGGACCCACAAAAGAGGGGGAGCGGGACCGTTTGCTGTCTTCCCGATCACCATTACCCAATATGACGATGATACCATTGAGATTGAGGGGAACAATTACCTAAATAATAGCTTCTACAGAAGGTCCTGTATGGATACCCAAGCTTATGGTACTCCGTCTGCAGAATGACATCTGTGGAGGTCGCTCTCTCCGTCCTGTATCACTGTATGATCTCGTATCGTACTGTGACACCAAGTGCCAAGTAATACCTGGAGGTCCTTGCCTTTGGCTGCCTCCACTGCTGACCATCCAGGTTCCCACGTGCCCAGGTACACGGAGTAGTGGTACAACATCGTGAACGGAACACTTTCATAGGGTACTTTTTACGGAACAGGAATACCGGTAGAGTACGGAACCAGACCGGAGCAACGTAACATTTACAAATATTAATGTCGATGTCCTGGTCACGATGGGATTCTACCTTACCTTATTCTTCAAAGAAGGTACCTAATAATCACTTGGTACTGACGGGAAGACGGGAAGAGAACGATCACGACGATGCCTTCCCTCATTCCATCTACTCCGTACTTATTCCATCTACTTGTTACCGCCTAAAGTCGACTTTACCATGAACCCTTCCTTTCAGATAGGGCCAAGATTTCATTTACCCGACCGGGAATTAAATGAGTACCTAACACAGATGCGTTTTTCAGAACATCCAGACAATAGACTTATTAGCCATTGGCACGGGCATCGGATGAGCCACCATCCCGGGGAGGCCTCAAACCGGCCGGTCTCCCGCTTCGGCCCGCGTCCAATTTCGTCAATTTCGTCTTGTCAGACATCAAGACCTCCAGAGTAAGACCATGACTTTGGGGGAGTACATAATCAACTAATAAAAACTGGGCATCCATCCGTTAATGCCACGCCATACGAAGCCATCGGAACACGTTTCTCGTACCGATACTCCCAGAGGCCATAGTCCGGGGAGGGCAAGGATCCAGCCCGACCACGGATCAAAGACTTGGACCTGGGGGTCTCTTACCAAAAAGTCAAGAAGTCAAGACGTCAAGATTGAATTCCCACCAATCGTCCCACAACGTGGTCTCCAATCCTGGCTCTGCGACGACTTCATCTCATCCTTCCTCTCAACAAAAGACAACGCCAGACAGCACTTCAACACTTTTTGCTACCCCATTCCATCCCTCCAGAAATGCATCACTTGGATCCCTCTTTCACCGGGGAATGGAATGCCAAACAAGGCCAAGGCTCGTTCAAGACACCATGGTCGCTGATGCGTCTCCCCGGCTGACGAAGTGGGATAAGCTCAGTTGACCGCATTCCTTCGATACGTCATTTTGATTCGATACTCCCTGACTCGAACATCGGCCGAGCGTCTTTGTGGTGTCCAAAGAGATGGCGAGAATTAGCCATGTGGATGGTCTGTGAGCCGTGCTCTACGTTCCTCGGACCCCCTTACTTATTGTCTTTGAGAAAAGGGAGGGAAGGAAAAAAGGGAGAGAGATAGGGGACCGTCGACAAGGACGACCATATCTCCATCGTAATCCCAACAAAGAACTCGTAGTGATGATGCAAAGACGATTACTATGTTCATGTGAATTATGTAGTATGGTATGGTATACTGGCCTCGTAATGTGACAAGACGTCCAAGCAAACTATCGTACACCTGATGGTCCTCCATACCAAACCCAGTTATTATTATACCCGAAAACAAATAGCCTCCCAAACTCCTCTGCTCGCTAGCAAAACATGCATGAAACCAGACATGCAGGTTGATCGTGGCATCCCTGAACAGATGCCTCGACCTCATGATCTTAGCGCCGCATAGGCGTCTCCTGGTTGGTGGTGATACAAGGGGCTCATGGACACTGTCCCGTGCCCGGGTATCCTGCCCGATTATCCATCCCCTATCCCCTCGGCTTGTAATTCCCGTGCTGCCCCGGAATAAGCCGCGCGAAGCCGTCCGGCTACGCCAGGGGAAACAACCCCTCCATCCTCGGCGCGCTCCGCGTCGTCCTTTCCGACCTGGCACGCGCAACATCTGCTTCGACGCTAATGAGCTCAATATACTCATCCAAATCCTGCAGGACGGCATCGACATCATCCATTTCCTCCTCAGTCGACTCCCCCACGTCCTTCTCGACATTCGCCTTCTCGGCATTCGCGGAAACAGCGGCACCCTCCGACCCGGCGCCCTGGTTCACGTGTATCCCCTTCGCCATCTCATCGGCCGCCAAAAACGCATCTGCCATGGCCGTGGGCGCAGGGCTCTCGGGCCCACGCGACGGCGACGACGACGACGACGACGACGACGACGGCAAGATGCGATGCCTGTGACCTTTGGCGTGGAGCCTGACCGCATTGAAGTGCCCGTGGAACGCGTCTTCCCGGTTGGCCGGTAGGTCGGCGAGGGCTTGGTCCGGGGGAGGAGACGCTGCCCTGCCGCCGCCGCGGGACGGAGATGGCATGGCGGGCGTGGTTGCCGGCAAGGCGCGGCTGTCTCCGTCGTCCTCCCCGGTCTCGCTCTCGCAAGGGAGGGGTCCCCAGGAGACTCGTTTGGCGGGACGCTCTGGACAGCCCGGGCTCGTTGAAGAGTCGGTCAGGATGCCGCGTTTCTTGCCACAAGGGCCGAGCGAGGTCCTCGGTTCGCCCGTCGGGTGGTGAGCGGGTTCCGGGGAAGGGGATCGGAAGTCCCTGAAAGCCCTGAGAGTAATGTTGGTGGGAGCCGGAGCCGTCGGGACCTTGGCTGGCGCGGGCGTCGGTGTATGTTGTGTGTCTAGTAGTGGATAGGGGCTTACGTATGCCGCTTTGGGCGTAGGGCCCATGATGCGCTTGCTGATACTCTCATTTGTCGGCGCCGCTGGTGCTGCTTGCCCCTGCGAGTTCTCGGCCGTCTTGCGTTGCGACGGCGAAGCGAACGACGACTTGAAACCGATGCCGGCCAGTCGGAGGGCGTGATGAGCAACTAGGCGCATACTGTCGAAGCTCCTAGACCACGGACTCTGCGACTCCTGTTGCGTTGCACCCTCGGCTGCACTGTTCTGGCTTGATGAGAAGTCAATTTGCTGCCTCAAGTCCAACTGTGACGCTTCTGGTTGCCAGGGAGTCTGCTGCGACGGTGGCACCAACGAGTTCTGGCTACTGCTGCTGTACGGGCTAATGTACGCCGTGGACGCTTGCCTCGCGGCTTGCCTTGGCTGTGTCTTGTGCCTTTTATCCACATCCATGGGGTCGTGGTGGATGAGTGCGTCGATGCGGAGTACATCTGACAGCCTCTTGACTGATGCGACCACGACCGGATTCTGAGATTCGTCCCAGGCCGTTTCCTGAGATGGCGCCACCATACTCCCGTCGCGCAGAGCGGCAGTCTCGGCCGGAGGAAGCTGATTTGAGAGGCCATCATGAGATGTGTGCGCATGCGACGTGACATGGGGAAAAACCACCTGGGTGGCTTTCCACGGGCTCTGCTGCGAAGCGGGTACAATGAGGGACACATCCTCAGCTGATTCGATCTCGCCGACATGGCTCTCGAGCGGTGTGACCTCAGATGCCGCTTTTTCGAGTGGGGTTGTCTCGCGGCGGACTTGTCCTACCTGCTCGTATTCGCAGGGGTTGGGTTTCTGAGCCGTGTCAGGTAAGTCAAAGGTCGGGCGTTCGGCTTCGTTCGTAACGACCACGTCAGGGGTTTTCTCTTCGGTGACCGGACTCATATCAGGTAAAGAAGGGGTTGGACTTTCGGTCTCGTTGGTAGTAACTATGTCTGGTGTTCTCTCTTGAGTGATGGGAGCCATGTAAGACGATTCGGAGATTGGAGTTTCGACCGTGCTCGCGACGATGATGTCGGGCATTATTTCTTCGATGACTGGAGCCGTGATAGCCAAGGAAGAGCTTGAAATTTCGGCCTCGGCCATGGCGATCGCATCAGGGGCCTTCTCTTCCGTTTCCGGAATGATGTTGGGTAAGAGAGAAGTCAGGAGTTCGGCCTTGTCCGTAGCGACCACGCCCTGTGCCCTCTCTTCGGTGGCCGGAGCCGTGGGGGGCAAAGAGGAAGTTGGTATTTCGACTTGCATTTCCACTTCGTCCATGACAATCACGTCGGGCATCTCCTCTTCCGTTTCCTCGACTACTTGGACTTGCTCAACTTCTTTAACTTCCTCGACGTCCGCGACTTCTTCGACTTCTTCGACTCCTCTGTCAGCGTCACATTCGTGGTTCGACACATCTTCGTCAATCTCCATCTCGACCGGCAAACTCGTTTCTGGCAACTGGGCAGGTGTGAGGTCCTGTTTCGGCTCGGGTATGTCTTCTCGCAAGGGCGACCCCGCAAGACAGCCAGGACGTTCGTTATCGGGCGCAGACTCCTCCTCCTCGTCAAATGCCAATGGAAGGTTGTCCGTTTCGATTTCGTCGCCTTGGCTAGCCACCTCAGCATCCATGCATTCGACGAGCGTGCCAGAGTCGAACGTAGGTTGCGAGCTGGGAACGACGTCGATGGCCTTGGTTGGTTGGCTGTCGAGTTGGGAGGGACTCAGGCTCTCCTCTTCTGAAGCTTCGCCCATGGCATCAATGGCTGGGGCGTTGGAAGGCGCGGCGCCGCCTGAAACTGACGCTTGTGGCTGAGGTTTCGCTGGGTCGGGCGAAGCTGGTTGGGTGGAGGGCTGGGTGGCGGCGAAAGTATTTTCGGCCATCTGTGCTTGTTCGGGTTCGGGAGACGGGTTACTGGCAGTAGTAGAGCTTGCATCAGTAAGCAAGTCCGAGCTGACGTTCTCGAGACTACATATGTCTCGAGACGGAAGCTCCAGTTCTTCTTCCTCCCGGGTGCCCAGGGACGTAAAGTCGGTAACGTCGTCGTCGAATGTTTCGTTGTCCGCATCGTCTGTGGCGTTGTCGACCCGGGAGTCGTCCAGATTCTCTTCTTTGACGACCACTCGAGGTGACAAGGACGGCTCGGGTAAAGACGAAGCAACCTCGCGCCGGGGTGAAACGGTCTTGTTCGTCTTTCGTCGAGCTCGGAAGACGAAGCTGTTGTCTTGCTGCGTCTCGAATTCCAAAGCGTTCTCCTCCTCCTCCTCCTCCTCCTGCATTCTAGCTTCGGCCCTCTTCTTGGACATCTTCGACGTGGGGGATGAGTGTGCATTCGTGGCATAACGGAGGAACCGCCTGCTTGGACTGCTCTTGGGGCCAGACAATGGTTGGCGGTGCGAGACTTGCGATCGGACCGATGCGGCGGGCCAGGTCCGTGACTTCTTCTCCGTGGAGCCGCTCGGCCACGAGAGCTCGTCATCCGAGAGATCCACGCCGCGTACGAGCCCCTGGGGTGCCCCCAGTGGGCCGCAGCGCGTGGGGATCTTCCGGTCGGACGATTGACTGCTCTCCGGACTCCGCAAACTCGTCTGGACACCGAAATTCAGCTCGTCCTCTCCCGAGACATCGTCCCACAGCTGGCTGCTGACAAGCTTCCGTGTACTGGGGCTGCTGTTGGCATTCTGCACGAGCATTGATGCCATATCCTCTTCGTCAAGACTTTCGCTAGTTCGCAATCGTTTCCCATGGGGGCGTTTGAGCCAAGAGGAAGTGCCGGCTGGTCTTTTGCGCGGGGTGTTAGGGGACAAGATTTCCTTCTTGGGCTTCTCGGGTTCAACCGTGCTCCTCCAAGTTTCCACTTTTGCCAGTTCATCCTCGTCAAGATACTGGTGTGGGATATCGGCAGGGCGGTCGAGACTTTCAGGACTAGGGAGATGACAGACCGAGCCGGGTCGTGTCTTGGGGTGGTTTTCGGCAAAGGAGTCGTCGATACACGGTGAAGCGGAAGATGGTATTATGGCCAGTCGCTGGGAAACCCTGACGCGGTGAAGGCGTCTGCGTGGGCCAGTCGTTGTGGTTGTGCGGGATTGAGACCTCAACGAGCCTTTCTTGGAGCGCCACGGATTGACCCAGCCCGAGGCTTGATCGAAGGGGCCTTGTAGCGTGGAAGAGAGGAGCCGTATGGGTGCCCCCTCGAGGAAACGAACGGCGGACTTCTCGTACGCCCACTTGCGATGGGCTGGGCTTGGATACTGCTCGTCGTCGGAACCTTCCCATAGGACTTCGCTCGGATCAGCTTCGCAGTATAGAGGTTCGTCCCCGGCTTGGAGCAAGCTCTCGCAGGGGGCCGTGGCCATTGCGGGTTGGACTCTTGGGTTATCTCGTAGGGTCGCTCATCGGCTGAGATTGAGGTTGACGGAGGGTGATGGCAGGTGATAGTAGAAAAGAAATACGAATCGATGGCTGAGAGAAAGGGGGCATGGAAATGGCGGGAGGACTCCGTGTGGATAGTCAGGACACTTCGATTCAGCTGGGCGGAAGCCGACGTGGTGGAGGCTGAATTGGGATAATTAGGGAAGGGACAAAGACCAGTGATAAACGATTTTGACGGTGACAAGGGAGATGCGGCTGAAGACGTTGGGAGCTTGGGGCTTGGGGCTTGGGGCTTGAGCCATGTCAGTGCGCGCTCGCTGGTCACAGTTCACCTGGGAGACGCGAAACCCCGCGTCCCCCCGTGTCACGCCGCGTATACACGTGACATCGTGTTAAATTAAAGTTCCCGACCAATTAAACCATTGCATAGAGGATTAGGTCATACAGTGCCACAGTCAGTCGGCGGTGTGGCTCGGGTGCAGTAGAGCCACATGTGGCTGATGTGTTGGATCCCCACTTGTTGACACGGCAACCAGTTGTGTTTATGTCAAACTCAGCAGGGGTCGGTCGGTCGCACCTTCCCAAGTTTTCTACCCACCTCATACACGCGACAGGTACGTACTCTACTACTCCGTACACTTTGTACCAGTGACAGTGACGACAACAACGAGAAACCAACGCGTTCCATCACCATCACCATCTCGACCACCAGTGCTCGACATCAATCTAGAACCGTCGCCGATATTAACACACCAACAACCTTCAGACTTCAATTCTAGTTTTTTTCTATATTCCGTCGAGACATCCTATTCCTCCCCAGCATTCAATTCCCATCGAACCAACGAACAAACGAATCCCATCACGCGAACCTCCACTCGATCCACCAGAGACGCCCTCAACCCTCAACCCTCAACCCTGAGCTTGCTTCCCCTCCTCTTCCAGTTCCTTGGCTGTGTGCCGAACCGACGCTATTCCATGGACTGTCGATAGCCTGGGATTTCCTAGCCTCTTTTTTCCTACCGGTCTTTCGCCATGTCGCACGCGTGGCTCGATTCTCTCTCCGAGGATTGGCCCTCCCAGGCTGGATCCGATCCCTCCCCACCAAACCAGCTTCCAACCCTCAATGTCGACGAGAATACGCGGCCATGCAGTGCCAGAGGCGCTGGAAGTAAGATTCCTTTGCCCATTGGCAAGCTAAAATATGAGTTACACACCGACACTCTCGACAACAACAATACCAGTGTGCATACGCATGCACTCGGCTTGAGCGAACGCAACATCCCCTTGTCAGCGCGAAAGGCTTCCAAATTGTCCCATAGTGTCAGATTCACGGGTGACGGACACAATTTTAGCCGCAGATACTCAACTTCTACTGCTGGTTCCGTGGTTCACAACACTGTCCAACACAAATCTCCCGGTCTCTCCGCGAGCAAGGGACATGGACACACGCCCGAGTGGAAGCGGCGGTTAGTATATGGGGAAGTGCAATACGGCGAACAACGCGACCTCTTCTCCTCAGCCGCCGCTGGCTTGGAGGATATCTTCAAGCCGCCACCACCGCCCCTGCCCCGAGACGAATTTTCCGATAGTTCACTGCTGCCACCACGCGACACCACGATGCCCTCCAGCCCCCCCATCATTCACCACCACCACCCCCACCACCAGGAGTTCGGCACACCAGAATGGGAGGATGATGGCTACGGTGACGATGACGGTGACGACGGCGACGACGGAGCTTTGGCACAGGCGAGGGAAGGTAGTCCCAGTCCCAGCCCCCGCAAGCTCCGCGGACTCTCCTACAGGAGGACGGACGAGTCCTTCGACCAGAGCAAGCTGAGTGGTGCTACCGACACTGCACATCGAGACAGCCAGGGCCAGGAACCCACGGCAAGGGAGAGCGTGCCCACTGCGGCTACCTCCTTGATAGGACTTGCGCCCCCGGACGACCACTCGAGGAAGACTAGTGGCCAGAGCTACATCCGGAACGAGGACTTTAGTCCCATCATACTCACATGCCGCCAGGGAGGTGACGGCCAAGTCGGCTTTACCCCGGTATCTGCCGATCAACTCAAGGAACGGCTCGAAAAGCTACGAAACGACCAGATGCTCCTGCCTGCCTACGTCGACCGCGACCTGGACAACGTTCACGTGCACCCCGATGACGGGCATGACGACCTCTCCGGCCACGAGTCTTCGACAGCACATTTGGCACCTCTTGGAGACTTCGTCAATGTACGACGTGGCGGCCTGTCGGCGGAAGGATCATTTAGGCACCGTATGCTTAGTCCAGTGGGTGATACCTCAGAGATGCTCCCCGAGGAGTCCCTTCAGGCAAGCACGCCGAAGCAATTCCCGACCATCAGAAGCTATGACCTGGGCCAAGGTAGCTACCGATTCACGACTGCCAGCCCCCCCGAGCCCCGGGCACCGTTTCCGAGCCCCGAAAAACAACAACCGGTCCATGCAGGGTCGAGTCCGCTGAAGCTCTTTGGACCCTACGACACCTTTACCAACCAAACCCTCCTCCGCCGAATAAGCCAGTTTGAAGAGCGGTCGTCCGACGCATCCGCATCTCAGTTGTCTGCCGGCAGAGACCCGGTCAAAGAATCCAGGCCGAACAGGGACGGGCACCGCGTCGTCTCGAGCACTGGATCGGTCAGCCAGTTCGGGAAGGGCGACTTGGAGGGCTATCAGTTCAGCGAGGAAGCCTCTTTGCCACGGCTTGTAGAGGAAAGCCGGGCCGAGTTTGGCTCATACGAGGAAAATGTCGAGGTGGATGAATCCCCAGCTTCCGGGCCAGGTGTCGGCCACCGGCTCCGAGGCGTATCGCATCAGGAGGAGCGTGTGCTGATGCAGAAGAAGCGCCAGTATGTCGACGCAGTGGCTGCTTCACGATACAACGCGGCGGTATCCAAGGTGTCGGCAAAGTCTGGCGCTTTCCCTCATCTCGAGCCTGCCAGATCAGGACCAACAGCGGCGGGAACACCGAAACGAGACAACAGCAGCGACCCCAAGAGACCTAGGACGTCCCCATCGAAAGATCCAACTCCCAAGCGCAGGAGAACCCTCCACCGATCCGACGTCGCCTTTGTTCACGACCAGCAACGGCCTACAGTTCAATCGGTCCAGAATACGCACCGGCACATGCAGTCCATCATGGGCAAAGGCCGCAAGGACCCTCGCCCTGCTGGCGTCCGACACTTGGCGCCTGCCAGTCATCCCCTCTCCTCCCACAATGCCCCCCGCCCCAGGACGCCCACCCCGAGCCAGAGGTCATCCCTTCAGAGAGACCGGCATCCCAGCTTTGAGACTACGGCGGGAGAAGATTCGGCGCGGCGATCCCCCAATCGAGCCTCGCCACCGGGCGTCCGTGTCAACGACAGGAGCCCCTTGACCGAGACGGATCGCAAGCCATCCATCAAGACGCAGGATTTCGTGGACCAAGCCGGCGCCATCATGGCCATGATCCGAAACGGGGCCAAGCCTCCCAGCGCGCTTGCCAGCGTCGAGGAATCGGACGGAGAAAACGGCGGTGGTGGTCCCAGCCCAGGCTTCCAGGACGATTCGTACGAGTCGACCAACGAACCGTTCTCCCGGCCGCCGAGCCGCGAGGGGAAACCGGCCGTGACCAGGCTGCCGGCTCGTCAGGAGGACCCGGAGATCCTGAAACACCTGCAGAAGTACCAGGAAGAGAGCGACATGGGAGACGTCATCGCCTCTTCGCTGCGGTCCGTGAAGGAGGCGCAGGAAGCCATCCGCGCCGCGAAAGAGGTGGAGCGAATGCTGGGAGAGAGCCCGTACGGGTCGGCTTACCCCGAGCACATCGACGACTTGGACGACGTTAGCGACCCGCCTAATATCCGCATCAGTCTCGGACCGGCGGCGGAGCGGTTCGCCGGGATGCAGCAGCACGAGAATGAAAACCCCACGTACTCGACCGGATCCACGTACGGGACAATACCGACCGGCTCGTCCCGCGGGTCCGATTCGCGAAGGACCATTGCGCCGCAGAGCGTGTCGCACCTCATCCCTGACCAGGTGGGAAGCATGTATCTGGACAGGCAGAACAACATCTGGATCAAGAGGAAGGGGAGCGGTGGCGGCGTTGGACCGAGACATGTGCCCCCCTCGTCGGATACGGAAGATGATCCCTTCGCCAGCATTCCCGACCTGTCGGTTGATCTGACCAAGGAAATGAAAAATCTTCGCCTTACGTCAGGGCAGCGAGAGCAAGAGGAAGAAGCACTGAACAACGGCGCGGAGGAGGGAGAGGACAGACCTGGGAGGCAGTGTCAGACGCCGCAGAGCCAGAAGAGCAAAGGATACGTGACGCTGTCGCCCAACGAAGCCCTTTCGGAGGGCATCCACTCGCAGGCCCGCGAAGAATTGTCGAAACTGGAGTCCAAAGCCAACAGTCCGGCCGGCGACCACGACGACGTTGAGCAGGAAATTCGCTTGGAAGATCGCATTACGCCGTCTCGGAGGCGCATTACTATCTCATTTTCCTCCCCCATTGCGTCGATCATCCGCGACATGTCTGGCGATGACATCGACAGCCTCGAGGACGATGAAGGCAGTTTCCTCGCGCTGCCCAGGGAATCCGGGTCGGAGTCAAGGGCCAAGAACGTAAAGTACGAGTACGCGAGTCTGAGCAAGTTATCGTCGCGCAAAAAACTGTCTCAGTCGCACCCTGCGAAACGAACGGCATCGAGGCGCGTCTCCGTCCACGGGCAAGCTTTCTTCCCTCGGCCCGTGTCGCGCATCGAAGAGCGGGACGAGGACTACCCCGATCCTCAAAAGGAGGAAGCAGATGCCGAGAACAAGCAGGTGAGCATCGTGGGCGACACCAGCGTCGTCAGCCACGCGCCGGAGAAGCGACATGGCAGCCTCGGCGTTATCATGTCGACGCCGGGCATGGGCCCCGAGGCCAGCACGATCATCGGCCACAACGTCGGGAACCTGTCCCTCAGCCCGCTTTCGGAATTCACGATGAACAACAACCAGGACCAGTCGTTCGGGCTGGAGGTCAGCTACATCGTCAAGGACCGACACCTCGTCACCGGGGACGGGTCCAAGCGGGTCATGTCCATGGCGGTGCGCGAGCTCGTCGACAAGCTGACCGAGGCGGAACCGGTCGAGCCGAACTGGGAGGACGTTATGGAGCTCGACGTCAGCGACAAGCGGCTGTCCAGCCTGCACATGCTGGACGAGTTTTGCAAGCGGCTGGTGACGCTGGACGCATCCCACAACGGGCTCGCGCATCTGGACGGCGTGCCCTCGTCGGTGCGGCAGCTGAAAGTCACGCACAACATGCTGAGCGAGCTGACGTCGTGGGATCACCTGTCGAACCTGCAGTACATCGACGTGTCGAATAACGAGCTGCACAGCCTGGCGGCGCTGAACAACCTGGTCCACCTGCGGAGCGTCCGGGCGGACAAGAACCGGCTGACGTCGCTGGACGGCCTCAACTTCCACGACGGCCTGTTGACGCTGCGGGCGCGGGACAACCTCATCGAAGAGGTCGACCTGGAGGGGACGAACCTCTGCCGGCTCGTCGAACTCGACCTGTGCGGGAACAAGATCCGGGACGTCCGCAACGTCGACCAGCTCGGGTCGCTGCAGACGTTGAAGCTACGACGCAACCGACTGACGAGCTTCGACGCGGCCGGTGTTCTGCCCTCCCTACGATACCTCGACATCAGCGACAACGAAGTCTCGGGTCTCGACCTCGCCCACCTCCCCTCGCTCCGCCTGCTGCACGCCGACAGGAACCGCATCAGCAAGGTCACGGGGTTCGCGCGGGCGAAACGGCTCGACAGCGTCTCGCTGCGCGAACAAGGCGGCGGCGACGCCGAGCACCGCCTCGACCTGTCCTCCTTCCTCTCGGCGGCCTACGAGGTGCGCAAGCTGTTCCTGTCGGGCAACTACCTCGGCGACAGCTTCGCCCCGCGCGTGGATTTCCTGAACCTGCAGCTCCTCGAGCTGGCCAACTGCGGGTTGCGGACCTTGCCGGCGGACATGGGCCAGCTGATGCCGAACCTGCGGTCGCTGAACCTCAACTTCAACGCCATCGCCGACGCGGCGCCGCTGCGGTTCATCCCGCGGCTCAAGAAGCTGTTGCTGGCGGGGAACCGGCTCGCGGATTCGACGGGCGTGGCGGGGGTGGTGACGGAGTTTCCGCACCTGGCGCGGTTGGATCTGCGGGGCAACCCGGTTACGTTGGGGTTTTATCCCCCGCCGTCGCAGCAGCAGGCTGTGGTTCGGGTTGATCCTGCGGACGCACATGCGGATCCGTTTACGTTGCCTGAGGCGGATGGCGAGAGGGATGCGTTGTTTGCGGGGAGGTTGGATGAGGCGACGAGGTTGCGGAGGCGGTTGTATCATGTGGTGTTCGCCGGGTCGTGTTTGCGGCTGAGGGTGTTGGATGGGCTGGCTGTGGATCGGAGGGCGGTGATGGCGAAGGATGGTACCATGGAGGCTTTGGTGGGTGAGGGGCTGCTTCCGGGGGGTGTGGCGGCATCTGATGGCGATGTTGTTGGGATTGAAGCCCCTGAGACGACTGGTGGTGTTGTTGATGCTCCTGTTAAGGAGGGAGAGGACAGTCGATGGGGAGCGGAGGACAGTTTCGCCTAAGGGGCTGGGGGAAGTTGCAAGGAGGGGGCTTCATGTGAGCGAGGGAAGATGAGATGTCTGTGATAATCCTACGAGGCATAGGGACTAGGAGTCTGGAGGCGTTTTTGGGATTGTAGACTGGTGCGTCTTTTCTTGGTTTGTTCGGACTTTGGGCTCTGGAGGCACTGGCTTCTTATGATTTGGTTTGCGCTGCGGGTTTGCATTGACGCTATCATGAGGGAAAAGGTACTGTAATGAATAGGGGAAGCATCGATTTTGCGAAGTTTATGACAAGGAATATTTCTTTCTTTGATTCTCTTTGTTTTCCCGTTTCCTATTCTCCCCTGTGTTAGTGAGTTATGAGATGGTGATCGGGCGGTATATCACCCCCTTCCCTACAGAATCTGTATATGTGTAAGGAATCTAATATTAGTATTTCATTACGGATATCGATCGAAGTTTGAGGTTTAGTATCTGAGGCAGTGTAGTGAGTATGAATGCATGATTGAAATGAGCGCCCAAAGGAAAGTACAGCTAATAATAAGGATTCTTTAAGGAGGGCCGTGGGAACGTAGAAAGATATTAGAATCCAAATTATAGTGCTGTTGGTAGTGCCCCAGTCGGAATAACCTCACCCTTGTTTCAGGGGCCCTTGGTTTAGCTTCTTCTCCGGGGAATATAGGCACGATGCCGAGAGTACCTAGAGTGCAAGCATATTACGCTGTAATTACCCCCTATTTCGTAAAAAGGCAGCTACCGTAGATAAGAGGAGAGTGTCACACAGCGTCTATAGTAGGTGGGTAAAATCGAATCCCAAGCCAAGGCTTCTAATCTATAAACAATTGACTATTAAAGACCCTGATCGCCTAAAGGCTAAGGGATGCTCTATAGTGGTGGGGTTAGAGCTGTTCGCCTGGTCCTTGAACTTCTCCGTACGTAATTTACGAGTTAAGGGGTATACCGTATATATATGCGAGTTAGCGTTAGGTAAGGTACCTTAGTTAGATTACTAGGATTACGAAGGCAATGTGCAATGCCAGAGCTCCAACGCATTAACACATTACCTATCAACCTCTATTCATCTACAGGACAGGACTCCTGCGAACTCTCAACGTGCGTTCAGATTCCAACGGTTCGATCGCATTTTCAAACTCCATCTCATTCGGGCCAACTTATCACTTGGTTTTAGTTTTCTCTCACTGAGAATCAGCTTGATATGGCATCACTTCTTCGGCGATTGCAATGTGCCTTGGCCTGGCCGGGCATGGAAGCCTCTCACATTCTCCAATCCCAATTTCACGCGCATCCCATTGGATCAGAAGATAGAGGAGGAGCTTTTCCCCTACTACATTGCATCGCGTTACTACCCGGTCTGCATTGGCGAAGTCCTCAGGGATCGTTACCAGATTGTTGGAAAGCTGGGCTTTGGCGCCAGCTCGACCGTTTGGTTGGCGCGTGATCTACAGTAAGATGATCCCATCGATTCCCATGTCCGCCCATCCGTTTACTAACAAAGTGCACGTGTGAAGTGGCCGTCGACACGTGGCATTGAAACTTTTCATAAACTCGGAGTCTATGGGCGGGCAGCTGGACCACGAGCTCACCATGTACAAGCGCATTTCCACGTCAGCAGCCAGGCACCCCGGTCGTTCTGCCGTCAGGGAACTACTGGACTTTTTCCATGTTGCTGGACCAGATGGCTGCCACCGATGCCTGGTGCATCCTCCACTATGGGAGAGCGTCTTGACTTTCCTTCGCCGTAACCCAGTCAGGAGACTACCTGCGCCGGTCCTCGCTTTCGTCCTCCGTCGTCTTTTCCTTGCTCTGGATTTTCTGCATACAGAATGCCAGATCATCCACACAGGTGCGTTAGCATATCGGGGAACTGAACCGAGCGGAGCTATTTGATCTCTCTGGTTGTCTTCCGTTGACGCAACGAAGAATCGTGCTGAACTATGAATATTATGAATTAGACATTAAAGCCGATGTTATCATGTTTGCCATCAACGACGATTCGGTATTCACCGCGTTTGAGGAGCAAGAGCAGCTCGACCCGTCCCCGAGAAAGTTGGTGGATGGAAGAGTTGTCTATCTGTCACGCGAGCTCCGAATGCCAAAGACTTGGGGCGCGCCGGTCCTCTGTGATTTTGGCTCGGCTGATACGGGGGACAAAGAGCATTGGGAGGACATACAGCCCGATGTATACAGAGCACCGGAGGTCATCCTCGAAGCACCGTGGTCGTATCAAGTCGATATATGGAACGCCGGTTGCATGGTAAAGCACCCGAAACGAATAGCAACCTCAACTAGGTCCAAGAGCTGACATTGTGTCCACCCGTTCTTCTCAGATATGGGACATCTTTGAAGGTGGTCACCTGTTTACGGGGCACGATCCGGAGCATCAGTCGTACCGCAGTCGAGCCCACCTTGCAGAGATTATCGCATTGCTTGGACAGCCTCCGCAGGCGCTCCTCGATTCGGGAAAGTTAAGCCACAAGTTCTTCACTGATCAAGGTATGCTCGATATGCCTGGTTCTGGACGTTTTGGGCCATAACTTCATGGACTCTTCGCCGCTAACAAGGCCCTGCTTATTTTACAGGAGAGTTCCGTCCATCTATTTCAGTCCCGGATAGTATATCACTCGAGGAGAAAGAGACCAGTCTGGAGGGGGAGACTGAGAGTAAAGGGAGGTTTCTTGCCATGATGGGGAAGATGCTCCATTGGGATCCTTCGAAGCGATCGTCGGCCAAGGAGCTCGCCGATGACGAATGGATTATGGAGCATATGTAGAAAGATATGCAAGACACCGATGATATGCGCCGGGCCTCCTCAGCGTGTCCATCCATATCAATATGTATCAACGAGCTGAGACGAGCATTTGTGTAAGACGAGTACCAGGACGTAAAGAGTGGGCTTTACATGCTTCATACGTAAATATACGCGCTCCGTAGTCAAGCCTATATTTAACCCCTTTCACTCCTTTCACCCCCTGTCTCCAACCTTCAACATGTTCCCGTGCTCCTTTTCACCCTTGTGAGTTGCAACACGGTCTCTATATTGACATCCACCACCGACTACAGCCTTACAATGAAGATAACACTCCCCTTTCAGGCATTTCCCGATGAATGTCTCAGCATTGGGCCGTCGCAAGGTCTCGTCTATGCCCTTGGCCGGGGCCCTTTCGCCAACGTCCATTCACATGCGGAGGCCGTTAGAATCGAGGCTTGGTAGAAGCCGGTCAGTGGGACAAATCGAAGGGCGCCGAATGCCTCGCTGGTATTGTTAAGGATGGGTGGGCTGGCAGGACTGGTTCCATGACTTTTGCCGTGCCAACGTTTTGACGAGGTTGCTGTCATCCTCGGACCATGCAATGCCTTGCACCAGAGCTTGCAGAAACCATCAACACCTAGAGTTTCATTGTCAAGAGTGGCTTCGCCGTACGGTGCGTAGTTCGCTTTGGAAGGATATGTTCCGACGAGTACGTTTCGGTTTGAAGGGCCGCCGGACACCCAGCCGACTTGCAAATCTGGCGTTGATCAGTGGCCGTGGCTCCTGAATGAGTCTATGGCAATCGCATCCACGGTATTTAAACACATTGAGTGTAGGCGCGTGATTATTAGTACACTGAAGGAATCTGTATTTGGAAATTGGGTCTTTCTCTTGAGCATCGTTTATGGACATCACCTCTCGATCATATGATAATTTTACCAATACCCACATACCCCAACCAGCCTTTCTCTTGGTAGACTAAACGTCTGACTTGTCATCCTTCTCATCAGAAGGTCTTATTGCCAGCCCACCAACCTGGCAGTCCTTTATCCGCCCACCTGTGCGCACCAACACGTACCTATTAGTCGTGCTCTCTCGGTTCTGTTTGCGCTGCCCCGCGTCATGCATTGCCGCCAGGCAGTACACCGCCTGTACCTAATGTAGTACAGCACCGGTTTCATGTTCTTCGGATTGTCCTAGCCAAGTAGCTCAAAAATCCAAGCAAAGGCTCCCACGCGTCCTGTTGCGTGTTGCAGGACTCTGCGTTTTCCACGTGTTGCAGGAGACCGCTCATCCAAGTGAAGGGCCTCTCGCATGCTGGACATTTGAAATCAAAGTCCGGATCATCAGTACAGAGATAAACATAGCGCCTGGGGTATTCGAGGGCTCTCTGGGTTACAAAATCCGCATCCACGCCTGACTCGCAGGTCCCGGCTTCAAGGTGTAATACCATCGCCGAGCGGGAAGTAAAACGTCGATCGCATCCGTAGCACTCTGTGTTCTTTGCAGCGTGTGTCTTGCGATGCTGAGAAACATGAAGCGTCAGTCGCTGAATATCGAGAGTATCACATGTAGGTTTCATGGCAAGCGGCTGGGAGAACATACCTGTCTGAGCTCGTTCGGGGTACTGAAGAAACGCTCGCAGATATCGCACATGTTGTGTTCCTCTACGAGGTGCTCGGTAAGGTCCTCGTCCGAATGAAAATCAGGCTTATCCGAGCAAAAGTGGCAGATATTATGGCGGGGAGAGTCGACAATATGTTGCTGCTTGGCTTGGGGATACGAGAAGAATCGTCGGCATCTTTCACAATAGATGCTCCGATGTTTGCTTGAATCATGTTGTCCAAGAGATTCAAGGCTTCCAAAGGAACGGTTGCAGGCCTTGCAGTCGACCATCTCGCAGAGGTGACGAAGACAAAGCTTCAGCTTTCGAGAGTGATGGTCCAGGGAGGTAGTGCAAATGTCAGCTACCCGAAGGCACTGAAAAAGTCAGATGTGACATACCTTTCGAAAGTGGCTACTAAAGAGAGTTGGATCTGCAATGGCATGTAGAGAGGAGAGAGGGGGGATGAGGGTATACCGGACAGCGTTTGGATCGCAACACGCTGTTGGGGGCAGCCAGGCTGAAGCTCTGCAGCCTGCGGCCTCCCGTCTCCAACTACAGGCTACGGTGGTGTGAGAGTTGTATAGAAGCTTCCGGGATCAAACGCACAATATAAGTCAAAGTCTTCGCTTAGACGTGTACAGATGAGACATAAACAGAAGCAATACACAATCGGGCAAATTCAAAGAGAGATAATCCGAGGATCTCATCTACGGTCTACCTCAAAGGAGTTATAAGCTATGGGATAACCCCCCCATGCCTTACGCAATACAATATACCTGTTGTCGCATGGAGACTCACCTAGCATTCAGAGTTGACCTGGGAGTATGTAGGAAATACCCTACTTCAAATATATATGCTCTCAGACCACACTTGTTCCTCCCAAAGGCAGAAAGGAGCATCAATAAACACCATGATTAGCAACTACCTGGCTTGCCATACTGCGTGCATGCACCACTTCACACAGAGAACAAGATGTCGAGGACTATGGTGAATTTTTACTTCTCAGCTATCCGCTCATGATTTTGCCATAACCGTAATAACCACCCATCCCGATATCCAATAAGCATGTTCATCATAATGCGTACCCCCTTTTCCTCCCACAGATACCAGACAAATTAACGAGACACCGTCCGATGCTCACAGCAGCCCATTTATTCCCACTCGCTTCCATGGACGATGTTTCCGCTCTGGAGCGACATGCATCCCCCCTTGCTTCCGCACTTGCACTGGTCAATCACGGGCCAGCCGCAGACACCGAAGCCGCCGCTGGGGCAAGGGTGCGGTAGCACGGCCTCGGAGTTGGCGCACATGGGGTAGTAGCCGCAGCAGTTGCCGACGTTGCGCTCCACGCAGTCGCGGTCCTCCTTGCACTGGAAGTGTTCCGGGACGGTGGCCCTGGTCTCGAGGCCGGCGCTGCGTTCCTCGGACAGACTGGAGGGAAGGATTCGTCAGTGAACTTGACTTGGGTCTTGACGGCGAAGAACAGTGTGAACTCACGCGTGAGGAGAGGCGTAGGCGCCCGCGGCGAGGGAGATGAGGAGAGTGGCGAAGAAACGCATTTTGAGTGGTGGCTAAGAGTGGTGGTGGGGATGGTGGTGTTTGACAAGGTGTATTAGTGGGTTATAGCTTTGATGGATGTCGAGGAGTGATGGTGGTGAAGATGTGGAAAACAGGAGTCCGAGGAGGCAACGTCGAAGGTGGCTTTTATAGACATACCTTCGTGGTGATTCAGTACGAACTTTGAAGTAGAATCCGGTACCTCGCTAGGCTCGCTGTGGTATGGAGGAGTCTCGGACTTCACCCGGGTCCGTTCTTGCTGAACTCCACAGCAAGGATGTCAATTCACGTGGAGCAATAAACGTAATTATTCGGTACCCTTGATGACACCGGTAAACAAACCCACACTCACTGTCTGGAATGACGCCACAACCTGCCGCCGAGTCTCTGGGCAGGGCTCTGGGCAGGGCTGTGGGCCAGGGAAACTATTGCGGTGAAGGGAGAGTTATTGGAAAGTCGACCTTGGCGATGCATTCCCTCTCCGATTTTGCTCCGATCTTGTGATGTCCGGCTAAATAGCTTCATGCCATGGGGATAGAAAGGTGGCGAAGAAGTACAAAGTTAACGAGGCTCGACTCACCATGACCCCCTGAATCGGTCCGTGGCTTCACCGAGATGGCATCTCCACTTGAGAAGCAAGCCACCGAGTGGATTAGGTAACGACGCTACAACGGGGAAACATGGTCCGAAGCCACAATACCATAAAGCTTGAAAATAGCCGTCTCGAGCATAGGTTCGCTCGGCCCTTTTTACAAAGTGCACTATCCGTGCCGGTAGTTGAGAGATATTAGCTGTATACATACTCAACGGTTGGGCTCAGACCGTTCAGTTCACCCACGAGGTTGTTTAATGGATTCGAGAGGGATCCATTATTACGTCCAAGTTCCTAAACCTCCCCACCAGTTGCCGAAACAACGATAGACACGGAAAACTTGGGCGAAAAGACTACAACGTAATCTTGCGCCCCTGAATAGGTAGTTAGCCCGCTGTGTGTTCTCCTCTTATGGCTGCGCGGCGCGCCCGGACCTTGTCGGTTCGTTCCGTCCCGGCTCCCCGGCCGGTGGTCAGCACGGACCAGCCCCGCCGTGGTCCCACATTCGACACCGAGTACCGCAAGCGAGTTCTCAACGATGGGGCGGAAGTTGACATATCGTAAGAGGGGGTTAGAAGAGAGTGTGTGCTAGTTTAACAAGCGGAACATGTTTGAAAAGTCGGCAAGGCATATTACTTACATTCCCTTTACGAATCCGGCAACTTGAAGCGATTGCGGGTTTCCCGTACCTACATGTACCATTAGCATAATTATGTTGGGATATTTAGCAGTTTGGGTCCCTTACAGCCAACTAAAATAAAAGTCTTGGCCTGCTGAGCCGTCCCTAAGGATGTACGAATGTATTACTCCTCCTTAATCACTGCACCTCTATTGCCAAGGACGCTATACCAGCCCTGGGAGAAAGAGCGGATGGAAACGCCATTGGCTGGAACCCCAGGAATTTACCACTGCATGTGCCGAGGACTGGGACAAGGGGACGCTAGGCGAGTTATTTCACGGTTCCCGGAACGCACGCGGCACGAACGGTTCAGCGCCCTGGTATGCTGCGAGCTGAATACTGGCCCACTTGAGGTTGGCGGTTCATTGGTAGGCAAACCGCCGAGCCCTAGACGAGCCTGTCTCAGCCACTTTCTGGACCGCGTGGTGTCTGTGGAGTTGTGGAGAAAGGAGATTTGAACTGGAATATTTGCGACGCCCTCGATTCCGATCTCGGATCAATCACCATCAGCCCACACAGGCGTTCTGCTTCATCTGGTCTGTCGTACGTCGTACGTCGTACGTCGTACATACATACAGCATGGCCGTACATTTGGCGTACATGGAAGACAATTGGAGCGCATTTCATTCGTTCGTGTCCAGGTCCCAGGGAACGTTGTTGAGTCTGCCCCGAAGACCCCGACATCATTCCTGTTGCATTTTCACGTACATGTACCCACTTTCATACTGTCGCTTTCACGCAACACTTGCCCAGACCAGAGTCAGCCCGCCAAACAAGGCATTCTCGCCAGGGGATATATAGCCACCACCATGCAGGCCACCAGAAAGACAAAAAAGGCGGTGGGAAGCATCTGGGTTCTGCGCCCGCATGGTTCGTCTCTCGGGGGGTTCCCGCCCGAAATTACCACTTCGGACCGCAAACCGCGTGGGGACCCACCAGCGCTGTTCGCAACATGGTCTAACGGCGTTAAATTGTTCCATATATCATGTGAGATCGGTGTAGTGCTAAAGTTGGCAAGGTGTGTCTCATCTTGGTCAGAAACATCTGGACCTTGCATGTCTCTGATGAGATGCAGAATTATTTCGCCTGGTCTAGGACTCGGTTTAAGATCTGCGAGACATAAAGAACAATTGAGAACATATGTGGAATGCTGCTGTGTCCACATCAGCTCGCTACGTAGCTTATGATACATCATACCGCTGAAGAATCCATAATGGATCATGCACCAAGCAACCCTATTCGCTCTACGCTCTCCATGGGGGCACGTGGGCCTTGTCTGTGACCGAGCTACGCGCATGTATCCTGCAGGTGAAGACTGAATTTCTGGCCAATAAGTCGAGCACGGTTCTCGGCATCAAGTGTAACACGAGGGGGGGACAGAGACCACGGGGAAAAGAAAAAAGAAGAAAAAAAAAATCCCGGGTTTAATGTGGGCTCAGCGAGAACCACATTGAACATGCTGGATTCCATAGCCCGTGTTTCTTCTGCGTAAATAAGAATAAAAATAATGATTAATTAAACCCATTGATTGGCCCGTTGAACTGCGGTTCTCAGGTCCAATGGCGACTAAGAGTCGTCTCTGCTTTCACGGCCCTCCCATCAGCCTGTCGGACGACCACATGCAGCCATGGGAGGAATCGGGTAAGTTTTTGCTGTCTCTGTCGCCTTGAAACTTGAAAACTACATGTACACACGCCATAAAACGCATTACGGGGTTCTGTTTCTGAGGCCTGAGATAATGGAACCGCCTTTTGCGGTGTTCGCAAAACAAAGTTCAGAAAAACCATTTGCGGACTAGTTCAATTGATTGATTTGGACATCGTATCAGACTCGAAAAAAGACATTGAAGAACCAACGCTTCTACGGTTGCGACGTCGCTGATTATATCCTTGCACTCTCTGGAGTCTGGAGTTCTCATGAGAGCTGGCAAGTCCTAGGTGCATGGTGCCACTTATGACCGTAGACCTGGTTCTACGAAGCCTCACCCAACCCCTGTTACGGAATACGGGGTTCTCTGCCATATCAATCGATTGATCCGACCACATCACTACTACGTTTAATCCATTATACGACAAAACCAAAAGAAAGACATGACGTTGGGAGCGTCGCAGAGCCGCACGCTCGTGCCAACAAATGTCAACGAATGCCAACATCACATCAGTCTAAGCACCTGCCTTTATGGGTATGGGCGCGACCCGGCGTTGCATCCAACTGCAGGTGCACCTGTCAAAAGTGTCAATCTTATCCGTTCTACAGGGCCAGAGCGTCTTGGTTTAACCACGTTTTTGTCCCTTGCGTAGTATGTGAGGTGGATCGTTCGACGTCGTCCGTACTATGTCAGTCCCATATATGTGGTTGGAACTCTTAATGCGACTGCGCGACTGTGCGACACGCCGTAGCTGCAACGAACGGAGTTGAGCCAAATGATTCGCGACCGCCACTGGATTTCGAGTAAGTGACAGGATGCAAACTTTGAAAATAAGATAAAAATAAGATTAACGCAACATATAATAAAAAAATGTCCAGTCGGATCGCTGGAATGCAGCACGAGCGACACGGGATCCGGCCGAGCTGCAGATTGCAGTCCATTTATCGGGGACGGGTAGCCAGTGGTGAATGGATAGAATTCGACTTGCGGCTTCCATTGGGCGCACTCACGGCGTAACAACACGTTTCACCAAGTCTGGGTGGCAACCGTCGTGTTACTTTCGACAAAGATGCAAGGGCCCAGGGGGGCGGCTGAGTGCAACGTGAAACGAAACATCTTCAGGAACCATGACTCCTGTCTTAACCAGACCCCAAGAAAGCAGCAATGAAGGTTATTTGCTCCCATATATAATAGCAGGGATGAATAGCATCTACAGCAAGGGAATGAAAGAAAAAGAAGAAAATCTCGCGAAACCTCCTAAATACATCGGCCCAGGTGAACATCATACGCGAGCTCCAAGCTAGCCTGCGGGTCATTCTTCCTCTCGGCAAAGGACACTACAAGGCCCTCTTTAACGGCAAACACAGAGTCGTCGTTCAGGTAGGCGGAGTCCTTGTCGAAGATCTGGGTGGTAATGGGCTTGTAGCCATCGGCGAGGGCCTGATTTTCCAATTTCCGAAATGTTAGTTTCCGCTTTGAACCGGGATCGTACATGCATAAGCACAACGGGAGGGCGGGGCGTATAATCTATTTCATACAATCAAGTGAATGTGAGCTGGTCGCCATTCGTGACGGTCGAGTAGAGCCAGGAGCTTGCCAGCAGGGCCGTCGTTCGGAATCTGTTGCAAAAGAAGTAATACAGTCAGAGGGAGGTTATCTCTTTAAGTCTTCGTCTTTTGCGGACATAGTGTGAGGCGAAGTGGCCAGGGAAAGACATAGACATACCGGATAGGGGGTGGGACGAAGGCAGTAGAGCGAATACTCCCCGTAGCTGTCCGTGATGAACTTGCCGCGCAGGTTGTGCTCCTTTTGGTTGGGGTCTTGCTGCTCATAAAGTCCTGAAACAGGAGGCGGAAAGCAACGACAGCGCCGCCCTTTGTTGGATTCATCTCTCTTGTGCGAAACAAGATGGTTCCTTCTCACCATTTGTGGATGCCTGCCAAACGTCGATCGTAGCATTGGGAATGGGGTTCCCGGATTCGGCATCGGTCACCCTTCCATGCATGTAGACGAGCTGGCCGTCCTCGGGGGTATCAGAAGAAATGTTGGCACCGTTCGGGCGGGTAGGGGTATCGGCCCTCCAGAAGGGACCCAGGATGGCCGACGCAGTGACTGGCTTGCCGCTCTTCAGGGCCTGATCATAGGTAATTGCATCAACGAGCCTGGAGTTTTGACAATAGCGTCAGCGGAGTCAGCCACGAGGAAGTTGGAAAGAGGAAAGGGCCTCCGGGGAAAAACATAACGTACGACTCCAAGCCAAGAATATCGCACATAAGCTGGCCTTCGTTCCGCTTATCATCGCTCATCTGGCCGGCCCAATTGATCATCTTGACGGCGGCAGTCCATTCGTCCACTGTGAGGTTGCACTTCCGTGCAAAGTCGTGAATGTGCTGGATAAAGCAGCTCATGACCTCGCGCATCCGCGGCGAGGCGTTGGGACCCATGGACTGGATCACATTTTTGGTGAATTCCTGGCCAAGGGTCGTGGTGCCGTCGGTCTTGCTGGAGATATCCTGCACGGAACCCATGTTTTTGCAAATGACGTTGATTATCGTAGAGGGTTTGTACCGTAACTGATTTGTGACGGGTGATGGCGGTGATGTTGGAAAGGAATGGCGCAGTAGGACCTACGAATATATACGGAGTACGGAGTCGTTTCGAGGGGGGAAGGCACAAAAAGACAACTAAAAATGGAAAGAGGCAGGCTGGGGAAGTCAAAGTACGGAGTAGAAGCGCGGAAAAGCGAGATATGATTTTCGTTTTGTCAGTTAGGTACTTAGACGGCCGGCTGCATGATGCCCCCCGGGGCCCGAACCGGCAGATATGGGACATCTAATCTACCTTACCTTATCCAACGCTGTCCCGGTCAAACGGAAGGCATAAACCAGTTCGGTACCGTAAGAATTACTCCGCATTCTCATCGTATCTTCTTGTACCTTATCGTGGAAAAGCCAACGGAGGCAGGAGACCGGGGGAGGCTCCTTCCTTCTTCCCCCTTCCCTCCTCAGTATTGCGTACCGTATTACCCACTCGATATGGATACAAGCCCAAGTTCCAAGTATGCGTACTCACTGTAAGCTGACGATTACCCCAAGCCATAACGAACCCCGCAACATATAAAAACTTTAGGCCCCCCCGCTGCCAGGCTAGTGCAGCGGAGGAGGGCTCAAGTCGACTTGGTCCTCCTTGGGCCTTGGTTGATGGATTTTAAACTTCCCGGGGAAAAAGTTCATAATTCACCAAGTCACATAAGCTGTAGTTTAATTCTACACGTGTATATGCGTTTGGTCTTGAAACGTACCAGAATGGCGAATGATTAAGGTATACGTTGTATTATATAATGTGACTTGGTAGTATCCCTCCTGACCGACGCCGGGACCCGGACCCCGCACCCCGGACTCGGCCGTTCGCTAACGATGAGGGGCCCCTCAATTTGTCCTAATCCAGACTGGCAGTACCGTGCCAAGAAATGGGCCGGGATGTGGAGGGCGACGACACTCCAGCATTGCATCCTCGTCTTATTGGAAATTCGGCATTCAACATAACATCTCACACGCAGGTAAATAAAGCCAGAAGAGTTACTTCACAAATTATTCTATTTCTTTAACAGATGGCTCTCCATCCTCTGAACCCGAGAACTGCCAAGAATAGAGGATCATTCCAATTTCCCATCAACTCCGTTGGTCTCATGATTCATCAATGCGTCGTCCTCACGTTGGACAATCAAAACTCCTTCCAGTAATCATCATCACCCAAAAAGTTCCAACTAGGGGCGTCCGTCGCGTTAGGACGACTCGCCCTCTCAAACCCCACACCCAGGCCCACAACTTCCACAACGGGCCGGACGACAACCACGTCCGCATCGTACGCACCCGAATACCAGCTGTCGCCCACTTCATCCACGTCGAACAAATGCGGGTGAAGCGACTGCAACCGACGGAGCGCCGTGCCCGAGATCTGATCCACGCTGTGGCTGTGCCGCAGCGCGAGGAACTCCTCGCCGGCCTCCCTTCGGAGGTGGTCCCGCACTTCCTCCGGGTACATCCCGACCTTGAAGAGAAGCAGGTCGTATTGCAGGAGGGACACCTTGCCGTGCCAGGACCCGCCCTTGGTCGCGCGGTGGTGGAGGCCCGTCAGCGCGGCGATGGCGCCCATGCAGCCCGTGCCGTAGTCGGAGATGGGGAAGGGCGGCACGACTGGTTCGTTGAGGTTCATGAATTTGCCTTGTTCCCAGGCGACGCCGCTTACCTATAGTAGCGGGGTTAGTAGAAATTTCCTTCTTTTTCCTTTTTTATTTTATTTTGATTTTTCTTTTCTCGAGCCCTCGGTGGGTGGAACGGCCGTACTGGTATAGGGAGATACCAAACAACGGCAAAAAATACGACTTACACAATCGGCAATCTGCTGCCAACCAGGCCGGTGTGCCCATGGACCCTCGTACCCAAAGCAGTTTTCATTGACATAGACGATGCCTTTGCCTCTCTTCTTCGCCAGTTCCGCCAGCGCTTTCGGCCCATAGCCTAGTCTCTCGAATGTCCCGGGGCGGTATCCGTCCAATACGACATCAGCATCCTCGAGGAGGGCCTCGAAGACTTTCCTGCCTTTATCTGATTTCAAATCGATCTCGGCCGCGTGCTTGCCCATATTGCCGTCTACTTGGAAGAACGGTACATCACTGAGGTTGGGGCCTGTTATTTTCAGCACGTCGGCTCCGTATTCCGCCAGAATTCTGCCCATGACGGGACCGGCGATGATACGGCATAACTCCAACACTCTCACTCCAGACAGTACCCGACATGGTCTAGTTCTGGGTAAAGGAGTCGGCGGCGTAGTTTCCTCGAGGTTATCGACTGTCCATGGTGGTAGATCGATGTTGGCTTTGCCCTGTTGGTTTTGTCAGGGGGGACCTTGGTTCTCATGGTATGTTTGCCCTCAATAGAATAGCATGATATTGGAGAAGCACTCAACTCACATGGGGCGTTGCGCAAAACGTGTCGTATTGCAAGGCAGGGATACCCGCCTGGCGATTCTTCGCATTCAACTCTTCCAGCTCCTCGACGGTCAATTGCCTGACCTTGGACTCGATCGTCTCAACAATGGCATCGTGGTCATGTAGATCCGGTCTGAAGGGTTCAAGGCCGATCATGCGTAGCGTCGTAGATGCCTCCAGAGAGCCGTGAATGTGATAGTATTCTCCCGCTCGCTTGGTCTCGTACAGGTTCGCCGACATGCGCCTATATGGGTCTGATTGGGCTTGCAACAAGTCCGTGTCTGTCAGGGGTAAGCCGAATTAGCCGTGGATCATCACCAGGGTCGTCGAGTCTCAGCGAGGGAAAAGGGGGAAGGGCGTCGCACCCGGCAGGAATGCCTTTACGCCCTCGTCGAGCTTGCCGAATCCCCCGACAGAAGCTAGATAGGCCTGGAAGAGAAACGCGGTGGTTCTCTCGAGGCTTACGATGACAGGGGCGGTTGATTCGGGTCCATCATTCTCAAGGGCGGCGAGTGCGGAGGCCAGGCTTCCCTCGATGGCCTTCAACGCTGACGCGACCTCGGTTTCTTTGAACGGAATGGGGAAGTAAAGCAGTTCACGCGGAGAGGTGAACGTCACATTGTTTCGAATCTGTTCTTGGCTTAACGGAAGCTGGACGAGGGATGTTATGAGATCCAAAATGCGCTTGATCTCGCCAATCATCGAGTATGACGGCCCAGTCATGTTCTTGAGCAGAGTTGTGTAAATATGACGGGTTGAGGAGGAACAGACGAAGGTATTCCCTGACAAGTGAACTGGATGAGTAGCAGATCCCGTCTGTATATGTTTGGAATGCATCCACATTCCAGCACGTCAGAGGATAATCTACGCCAGAGACACAAGCCGCTAAAGTCAAAGATCCGATGGCGGATGTTGGAACCATCTATCCGAACGCACCACCACAGGAAATAGAATGGACATAGGGCTGTCAAACCAAAACCATTCCCATTATGGGTGGCCATACACTCCGTAGTGTAAAAGCCAACGGGGATGTTCTTCCACATCCGGTACTTCCGCTGCGGCGCTGCTGCATACTGCGAGCCGTCAGTGGCAGAGGGGATGGTGAGATGCCATCGGAAGGGGGGCTTTCACACCCTCGGATCATCGGAGTTCCCAGACAATTGATATCACCGCATGACCCGCCAGCCACCATCGGGAGAAGGTGGTACATTCGCTTGAATTTAGTCTGCTTGGAGCTAGAGCGTGCGGCGTGTCTTAGTCTTGCGTCTCGGGTCTCGGAGTCTCGGGATACGGAGCAGCCAGCTTACAGTCTCGTTTTCCGATGGGTATCCGGAAAAGCACGTATTTATAGTAACTAGATTCCACCAAAATTCGTACTCACCTCTTACAAAGATCATGGGATCCTTATCTCGTTTGCGAGGACGTGGCGGGAAGGTAACTGGGGGAGGTATGGATTATACGCTACATGACCCTTATGGTCAGTCGTTTCACCGACCTGAAGAACCCAGGAACCGAGAACACCCGGATATACGTCGCTTTCCTAATTGCCAACATGAACCTGATAGATGGAGTATGACATGGGCCTCGAGATTTCACTGAACATTTTAAATTTGTGGTGCTGCGTCAGGCAGTCCATTTCCGGACCTACGGAGTACTCCCTAGCTCCGTATTATCACAGCCATGCTGAACGCAAAACTGAGACCAATATCGCCTCGCTTGTGCTAATATGAGCGCAGGTAAAGAACCAACGCTCGTCGGCGCATTTTCCGTTCTTCTCGGCGCATCCGACTCTCTGCCCTTTGCCAAACCATGACCTGCCAGCCTAAAAGATTAATAATAATAATATTAATAATAGTAATAATAATAATGAATCCCCCCGGCCCGGGGATACATTCTTTCCATATCTTTCGCCATTTGGTATTATGGTCTGCGAGGATTGCAGACAATTTATTACCGAACAACGTATCTCCGCACCCGGAGATGAGTTGAGGTTTTCGAGAGTATTTCTCTGCTTGAACCACCTTTGCGGCGTTGCGCAAAAGCCGACGGATCATGTAGATTCAGACGACTTCGTACCATCGACGCCATTACCGGTATTCCGAAGGGGTAGAGTATCCTGAAGGCGTAGAGTATTGCGGTCAGCCCTGGAAGGGGGACATCGGCTGTGGGACAGAAAATGGAAACGGGCGACCTACAAGGTAGACTTGATAGAATCTCATCTTCCAACCGCCAGCTGGCGATTGCACCAACTCGGCGCGGGCGGCCCACGGTAGCGTCCCCTGGCGGCCGTCCCTGAAAGCGAAGGCGACGTCTCCATGAAGCATGAATGCGCGCGAGTTGTTACCGAAGGGGAATATCTTGGTAGGTGCGTGCCTGCGAGCACCGATGTTCGCCCACATCCCCTTCCGGGTCGAGATGATCTGCGACCGGCCGCGACTGACTTTGGAGGCTAGAATGAACGTCGCATCGTCGGTGAAGTTGTCGGCGTAGGCCTCGTGGTTGCCTGGAGTGTCGGAGATGCGGTAGAAGTTTTCGAAGAAGCTGATGATGCTCGAGTCCACGGCCAGGCCGGCGGGGTACTCGGATTTGTAAGAGGGCGACATGGCGATTAGCGACCACTGTCACTGACGATTCGACGAATGTGATGAATGCGATGGATGCGACGATGGTTCCCGAAGTGCTGACTGCCCTTAATCAGGAATGATCGTATGGCACGTTACCATTTGACTGAGAAACAGATCGGGTTTCGAATTCAGAAAGTGAAAAGTTGATCGGGTATGTGGGAGGGACCATATGATCACTGTACCTATAAGGTATATCTTCTGTACAACATGGTAAGCGGCAAGTCGATGAGGACGGGAGACTCCAGAAGACCTGAAGGTGGTACAAGATAAGCCTAGATAAGGGGCTGACATAAGAAGTACCATACAAAAGAAAATAGGTACACAAAGGTTTCGCGGATTTTAACCTACGCCGCCACAACCCAACCCGTATGTATCTTACCATCATTTTAGCCGCGTAGCTATTTGAAATCTTGAGCAAAACAGTAATGGATAATTAGATATATTATATACCTAAAGGCGCACCCGCCGGTGATTCTCCTCGGATGCTTTCGATCGCCGGCGTTATCCAAGGGTCGTCCCACCAATCGGGAGAGCCCATTGTCTCCACCTTCAGCCTTGGCACGGGAATGACTTCAGTGATGACTTCAGTGCTGAGTTTGAGGCTTGTCTAGGCCTATCAACACAACCCATCCACCGAGTTCTGCCTGCCAACCCCCTAATCATCAACCTTCATGGCTGTGCAAGGAGACGGAGCCAGACCGGGACCAACTATCAAGGCACAGGTTCCGAGTTCGGCAGCGCATGCAGTCGTGACACCGCTCACATCAAAGTCGGCACCAATAAGTGATGAACGGGCGGCTGTGAATGACGAATCGGATCCTACCTGCGTTTGTAGCCGGGCATCCTGGCCTTGATCTCATGTTCTCGCGCCTGGAGGATATCCTTCGAACGGTTTACGGTCGCAGACATCTTGCGCATGGCCGTGAACACCCGGGTCATGTTGTCCATGGCAACAGCGACCGCCGTGTGTGCCGTCTTCACCTCCATCTCGTCTAAATCCCGAGTGCTGCTGGCGAGATCCGTGCATGTCTTCGAGACCTTCGAGATGGCACTGAGAAGCGGCAGCGCGTGTGTCATCTCCGATGCCAGCCAAGCGGCGTTCTCCGGCGTCGCTCCCTCATGGCCCCAGATTTCGTCCATCGCAGCAGCGTACTCGGAAAATCGGACCTGGGACAGCACATCGCGTGGCACGTCCTTCTTGTTGCCCTCCCAGTCGATCGCTGCCATTTCGGCACCCGCGACCCAAGCTTCATACTGCTTCTTCTCAAAGGGGGTCATGGCCATCTTGGCGATCTGGACCGGATCGCGACGGTAGCCTGTGTATATAGCCAGGCTTTTGCCCTGCTCAACCACTCGAGCGAGATCTTTCATCTTAGTAACCGTGACCTCCAGACTGTCGACGGATTCAGGGAGGGGTAGGAGAGCTTGCGTTCCACCCTCAGGGATCGAATAGTCCACCTCGGCGAGATGGGCCGCTCCAGAGCCACCAAACATCTCTTCAAAGGTACGCTTCTCTCCTGTCATGGCAGGCATGTTTGCTGAGACTCTAGAGTCACCGATCATCTCGTCAATGGCGCGCTTCTCTCCGGTCTGGGCGGCCATGTTTACAAAGCGTACGTGTTATACGCGGATGTGATTTGGATCGTAAGTGATCTTTGCGGGATGTCGGAAAGTGTAGTAATTCGTTGTATAAGGTAAGGTACGATGAAAGACCCTGCTAATTGAGGTAAGTACATATATCTTTTTTCTCCAAATGTTTGTGGTCGCCCTAACCATGAGACTCACCTGGTAGACTTTTACCGAGGATAGAGTATGTAGTTGTATGGTATACAAACGGGCTGCAACGTGGTGGGAGCTTTTATAATTGGTACAACAAGCCTGCGAGGTGCGTCGCTTTCGTCGTTTGTCATAAGCATTTTAGGAAGGTACACCGTACAGTTGTCGTGCCTGCAGGCTGCGGGCTGCCTTGCATCATTACAGATACTTTTGACCGGGTAGAAACGTTTCGCCTGGCAACTGTACAGTAAGGATGTACTCATCATATTCTCTCTCGTCCACAGGCTACCACCCCGTGTAACGCGGGCCGCGTTGGCCTTCTCCAACTGACCCATCACTCATTCTGCAACACATAACGATACCTCGCATTTCCCTTATCCATATCCACCACGACCTGGTTGGCTTCGCTCATCGGTCTCACTTGAACCCAAGCCCGCAGATTCGTTTTGGCAGCCAGCTCCAACATCTCCCGCGCTTGCTTGCGAGACCCGATCGTGCTACCACCGACCTTCCGGTCCCCCACAAGCAAGGAGAAGGCGCTGAACGAGGGCATCGGATCTTCCGGCGCGCCGACTTGGATCAAGTTGCCCTTGACATCCAGGAGGGAGAGGTACTTGTCGAGCGGGAAATCGGCGCCAGAGATGGTCGAGATGATCAAGTCGAGCGACCTCGCGTGCTTGGTATGCCACTGCTCGTCATCCGCCGTGGCGATGTACTCGTCCGCCCCCATCCTAAGCGCATCCTCCCTCTTGCTCGCCGACCGCGAGATGGCAACAACCTTCTCGCACCCCAGCGCCTTCGCGAAGAGAACCCCCAGATGGCCCAGCCCGCCGAACCCAGCGATGCCGACGCGCTTCCCCGGCCCGGCCCCGTTGTCCGTTAGGGGCGCGTAGACGGTCAACCCCCCGCAGAGCAGCGGCGCGGCGATCTCGGAGGGAATGGCGCCGGGGATCTTGAAGACGAAGCTAGCGGGACCGCGCCAGTAGCGCGCGTAGCCGCCGTAGGCCTTGCTCCCGTCCTCCTTGTACCGCGCGTCGTAGGTGGTGGTGAACTCGTCGGGGCAGTGCTGCTCCATGTCGTTGTTGCACGGCCGGCAGCCCGGCTGCAGGCAGCTCTTGCACTGGGCGCCGACGCCGACGCGGTCGCCCGGCTGGAAGTCCGTCACGTTGGACCCTACGCGCACGACGTGGCCGACGATCTCGTGCCCGACTACGATGGGGTAGTCGGCGGGTTTCCAGCCGGAGCGGAGGCTGCTGAGGTCCGTGCCGCAGACGCCGCAGTGGGTGATTTTGATGTCGATGTCCGAGGCGGTGAAGGGCTTCGGGGTGTAGGTTTGCCACTTCATGTTTCCGTCGACGGAGGAGGCATCGTGGGCCACCCAGCCTTCGAACTTGTAGTCCGTATCGCTTGTCATGGTGGTGGAGCACTGGAGTTGAAGCTGTGAAGTCGTCAAGAATCAAAGCCGCTGTCCTCATCTTTTCTCCGTCAAGCTCGGAGCCACGATTCCTCGAACGTACGGTCTTCAAATACCTGCGAATCATTACCTAGGACGGATCAGGTTAAGAGAGGCCCATAATTACCTGAGGTAGCAAGTGAATATATTTCGTGACTCGTCGATATACCCGCGGGATTTCCCCAACGTGGACTAGGAGCTTTTTCATACCCACATCATGTACTCGTGACCTCATCTTTGACGTAGTTCTTGGATCACTCCTGGCCAAGTTGGGCATGGATAACGTGGTAATTACTCCGTGGTCTGGATCCATGACTTCGATGGGCTTGACAGTGGACAACGAGTTGGTTATTAGCCTAGTGAAAACGAAAACGTGAAAATAACGGCCGACTTGGAGATGGATGTACTTGATTAGGTAAGTCAATATTGTTTCCCCTGCGAGCGGGAAAAACGGAGGTTGAGGGCTAAAATATTCCTACCCCACTGGGTCACGACCCCACACGTACGCACGGGCCCCCTGATACAAACAGTCGTATTCCAACGCCTCTCTTTTTTCCTCTTTTCCTATCTTCAACAACAACAATAACAACAACGATGGATTTCAATCGCGATACTACAGAGTCGTTCGAACAGGGCCGAGCTTCGGATTTGACACGGGAGGGCCGTATATATACGCGGTTCTGAATAGCTTCAAAAAAAGTGCTCGAAAAAGGACCTTTTCCCTTAACGATTTCCCCCCTGCTTACGTGTGGGTCGTGACCCGGTGGGGTGGAATATTTGAGCCCCCAACCTCCGAATTCGCATGGGCTGCGTAGCACGTGTTATATGTTTTTTTTTTCCTCTTTTCCTCTTTTCCCCTTGCATATATTGCTTGTTTTTCCTCTATAATTTATCTTGTTACGAGCCAAAAACCATGTGTTTTCATATGCCCTGCCAGACCATTCTTATGTCTTGTTACCGGACATTGCCGTTCTTGATATAGAGTACTTATAACGTTGTTGCTCGCATGTACCGGCTCTTTCTTATTTTTGGCATACATATCTGAACCCGGACTACGGGGTATATCAAAAGCAAGTCGCCGCGAATGACACATGTAATCTCGGCCCAAGTCTTTTTTAACCCGGTCAGAGGAATCTTATACAGAAACAAGCGGTAGTAATGAAAAAGGCGAACCCTTGCTGACCCATCGTCTAAGTCTATAGAACCCCCAAGTCCTCTCTGTCCATGAAGAATGCGTTTCTAACCCATGAAATATATATAACCTAGTATACAAGAGTCAAGACATACCGAATCACAGACATCGTACACGTCACAACCGCTCGTCACGACCGCTTTCTATCATGTATGAGCTCAAAGTCCTTGTCGGAGCTCTTTTCAAGCTCTTTCTTGACCCAGGCGCCAATGCTGGAAACGGCGTTCAGTGGACTCTCTAGATGAAGTTGGAAAAAGCCCTGCAAAAGAGAAGGCGTGAACGTATCCTCGGGTATTTCGGCGGCAAACCGATCCGCGAGTTTCTCCACCTCCTCCATGTCGAGGTCCGCCGAACAACCCAAGTCGGGAGAAAACATGCGGAGGAACATGTCCCTGGCAGACTTCTGGCTGATGTTCCCAAGGAAGACCTTCATGTCGACACGACCGGGTCGGACGAGGGCGCTGTCCAGCTGCTTGGGCCGATTGGTGGTCATGATGAGGATACGGCCTTCCTGCGACCCCACGCCGTCCAAGACATTCAAGAGTCCGGACAAAGTGCAGTTTGGCGCACTGTTGTTGTTGTTGTTGTTATTATTATTCTGCCCGTCCTGCCCGTTGGTCTGGTTCTTCTTCTCACCCGCCGACCAGTCCTTCCACACGGCGTCAATGTCCTCAAGCAACACAATACACCGAGGCGGGACCTCCTGGAACATCTGCTCCAGCTCCGCATCGGTAGCGACGCTGGGGATCTTGACCTCGTAAAGGTCGAGCCCAAACTCGCCCGCGATGGCCACGGAGAGCGAAGACTTGCCGGTCCCGGGCGGTCCGTAGAAGAGGTACCCCCGGCGATACGGCATGCTGCGGCTCTGATACCGCTTCTGCGTCCGGGGGTCGAGGTAGTTCCGTATATCGCTCACGAGCTCGCGCTTTACGCCCTCGTCGAAGTGCACCGTGTCCAGGCGCCGGAGCGGCTTGCGCGCCTTGGGCTTCCAGGCAAGCCCGTACCGGTCGCGGGCGTAGATGATGACGAAGAACTGCGTCTGTCGCTCCGCGTACTCGCGGCACGCGTGGATGAAGGCCTTGACGGGCTCCGCGGACCAGCCGAAACAGCTCACGGTCAGGGCCTCGTTGCCGATGCCGTCGTTGCTCGGATCCGACAGGGCACCGCGGCTGAAATCCGCGCGGTTCCGGGTCACGACGAAGAGGCACCCGCCGTACCAGAGCCATCGTGTGCTCCAGTGCGGGAGGTACTGGATCGCGTGCTGGCTCTTCTTAAGGGCCGCTGCGCGGTCGCCGTGGGCGGCACGGCCCATGTCGGTGCGTCCGGTGAAGGAACGGCAGTGGCGCGGGCGGTTGGCGAGGATCCATTGCACCACGTTCCGGTTGAGGGGGTCGTCGCCGGGAATGGTGACGGAAGCGAGGAAGAAGCGCCGGACGCAGCCGTAGGCCTCCTGCGAGACGCGCTGTAGAAGTCGCCAGGCCGTGGGTACCGTGCCGGCGATGGCGATGAGGGATCCGATTTGCGTGATGTCCAGCTGGGACCAGCGGGAGCAAACCTCCCTCATGACGCTGATCCCCTGGGCCCAAGGGTCGAGAAGCTGCTGGCCGGTCGCGGCCCCGAGCTGGAAGCGACTTGCCATGGTCTGATAGGTGCCGGAGGGTAGACGAGGCTCTGAGGGGGTGAGAGTGGTGCTCGGATGATGGATCCGGGATATTGAAAACTCATATGCAGCTCCGAGGGACCATTGAGGGTTTGGGCACCCGGATCACGCCCAGGCAGAGGCAGTAACAAAGAAGGAAAGCGAACCATGAGAGAAAAAGTTAAAAATAAACGCCATCAATAAAGAGTGACGAGAAGGGAAGAAGCGATCTGGGTGAGGGCGAGGGCAATGATACGTGACACGTCAGGAAGACAGGAACCTGGTAGTCAAGGTGCAAAAGCACTGACGAGGGAAGCAGCAAAGTCTTCTGTCATGTGCTCACTCACGTGGTTGTATGACGCTAATGCAGATCCACGGATAAGTAACCGCCCGAGGTACCTACCTTATTTGACCCACTTTTACCCCTGGCTGGCACAACTCTCCTGCGTTTGCTACGGCATTTTATTAGTGGTGAAAGAACGGATTCAGAATTGCATCACAACATTCCCGTACTAGAAACATCCACATCCCGTTCCAAGCATGGAAAAAATCAGACCACTAAAAATACAAGGTAAGAGGTCATTGCACATTCCCTAATACGCAACCTGGGTGTTCAAGCCGTCCATCTCGCGAGCCCAGCACCGATGCTGCGACAGCCCGTAGAAGAACTGTTCCAGGAAGCCCTTGGAGTCCTTCGCAAAATCGACCGCCTCCTTCAGCGAACTCGCCCTCACATGCCTCAACGTGACAACGCCGTACGACTCGTGCACGTCGCCCTGCGACACGCTGACCTGCGGCAGGGCGATGGCCTTCTCCACGACGTCGACGGCCTCGCTCGTGGCGGCGATGGCCTTGAGATGGCCAAAGGCCTCGCGGATCCAGTGCATGGCGCGCCCACTCTTCGCCAGCGCGGCGCTCGCGTCCACCCCGCCGCAGACGTACAGCGCGTCGAACATGGTGGAGCGCTGGCCCTCGAGGTGGTGGTCCGGCACCACCCCGTTGCCGGGCTTCTTGTCCCAGCCGGCCGGGTAGATCTCGGACCTCCGCGGGCCTATGACGAACGGTAGGGCCCCGGCGGCCTTGATGGCGGCCTTGACGGTGTTGAACGAGGCGGCGTCGTAGCCGTCGGCGATGAGGATGGCGATGCGGCGGGTCGCTATGGTCGGCTTCTCGGGCACAAAGTCGAACTGGCTGATGCCCTTGGTCTTCCTGCCGTGGTTGGGCCTGCCTTCCTTTTCCGGGACGGGACCGCCGACCATCTGGGCCACGGACTGCGCGAGGCTGAGGTCGACCTCGGCGAGCCGCTGGGTCAGGCGCTCGTAGACGATGGGGTCGTCGCAGTGGTCGAGCTCGAAGCCGAAGGCGTTGATCATGTGGTTGCGCTCCACCTGGGTGAGGCTGTTGACGAACAGCTGGGCCTGCGAGTGGTGGTCCCTAAACTTGGCGCTCTTGGTGCGCTGCTTCAAGCCGGCCACCTTGGCGGCGTACTCGACGTACCCCCCTTCCTCCTTGGTGGCGGGCGGCACGGCTTGGTGGCGGTTCGGCCAGTAGTTCACCGTGCCTTTGGTGATGGTGTGCTTCATGGCGCCGTCCCTGTTGTGGTTCAGCACGGGACAGACAGGCCGGTTGATGGGCAGCTCCTCCCAGTTGACGCCCAAGCGGGTGATCTGGGTGTCCTGGTAGGAGAAATTACGGCCCTGGAGGAGGGGGTCGTCGGAGAAGCCGATACCGGGGACGATATGGCTGGTGCAGAAGGCCACCTGCTCGGTCTCGGTGAAGAACTCGTCGACGTTGCGGTTGAGCTCGAACTCGCCGATGTAGCGGACGGGAATGAGGTCCTCGGGCCAGACCTTGGTGGCGTCGAGGATGTCGAAGTCGAAGTCGTGTTCCCCCGACTCGGGGATGACTTGAATGCCGAACTTGTACTTGGGGAACATGCCGTGATCAATGGCCTCCATGAGGTCCTTGCGGTGGAAATCGGGGTCTTGTCCGGCGAGCTTCAGGGCCTCGTCCCAGACGAGCGAGTGGACACCAAGAGTGGGGGTGTAATGGAACTTGACGAAGAAGCGTTCTCCCTTGTCGTTTTGGAGGGTAAAGGTGTTTACGCCGAAGCCCTGCATCATTCGGTAAGAGCGAGGAATGGCACGATCCGACATGGTCCAGTGGAACATGTGGGTGGCTTCCGGGTGCATATACTGGAAGTCCCAAAAGTTATTGTGGGCTGACTGGGCCTGGGGAACTTCGTTATGTGGTTCGGGTTTCCCGGCATGGATGACGTCGGGGAATTTCATGGCATCCTGGATGAAGAAGACGGGAATGTTGTTTCCGACAATGTCCCAGTTCTAGGAGTGATCCGTCAGCAAACTGAAGAAAAGGCAGAAGGGAAAAAAAGAAAAAAAAAGGAAAAAAAAAAGGAAAAGAACGGCAAAACTCACGCCTTCGTCGGTGTAAAATTTCAAGGCAAATCCTCGCACGTCACGGACGGTATCTGCACTCCCACGACTGCCAAGGACAGTGGAAAAGCGAACAAACATGGGGGTTTCCCGGGACGTGTCGGTCAGGATGCCGGCCTTTGTGTACTCGGGGATCGGGGTGTGAAGCTTGAAGGTACCGAAGACGCCGGTGCCTCGAGCGTGGACGACTCTCTCGGGAATCCTCTCGTGGTCGAAACGGTGAATCTAGGGGGGGTCAGGACTCGGGACTCAGAAGCAGTGGTCTCAAGGGTGAATGTCCGGGGGTCCCCCTGGCCATCCAGATTCCAAACAAGCTGGGGCATCATACCTTTTCCCGGCCAAAAGGATCTTCCAGCAACATGGGCCCGATCTGGTCATCGCGAGTGATGCGCAGCCAGTCGTCGGTGTTGGTCTGCTTGACGCCATAGTCGGATGTGATGCGAGATTCCGGGTTGACCTCCTTGATGTTGTCGTTCAGCTGGTCTTCCTTACGATCCGTCGTTTTACCGCCACCCGTGAGGACCTGCTTCGCGGAGGTGGGTAGGATTTGAGATGCCATGGCGGAAGACATGTGACGATCTAATTTGCCGAGAAGGCTGAAGCTCGCAAAGGGGTTATTCGTGAAGGATGAAGGATAGAGATAGGATGAAGGATGGGAGGAGAGGAGAGAAGAGAAGGCGGGGATGTATCAAAAAGAAAGCACAAACAAAAAAGTCGCGGACGAGGAATCGGGAATGGCTATCGTGAGCTGAGCTGGGTTCATCGTCCATGTTACCTGCCGCTTGCGAGACATTATGAGAGCTGGCTGCTGGCAGGGTGTTGACGTCAGGAGTCTCGAAGTGGGACTAAGTATCGTGGTGGTGATCTCATGATTTGCTCAGTATAGAAGTACTTGGTGGTGGATGTGAATACGTGATGGTACAAAATGCGGCTTAGGTCATACCATTAGGTCCATTACTCCGTAGAAACTGGGATGCGGTTACAAAGGGGATAAAAAGTACGACAAGGTGGTACGGCCAAACCTCTTATTACGGTGACACCTCCCGAGTCCGCGTAGCAATGATCTCTTTGGGAGTTTTGGCCGACCGACCAGGACTTGAGCCAGGAGGTCTTCTGTACCTATCTATGGTCGACAACTAACCAAGTAATTACTCCTCGTCTTATGTCGTCATGATCAAAATGACCGTGTCCCGTGAACTGCGTGTAGGACGCTTTTGTGTGGATCCGCCCGGCAACTACGGAGAACCGTACTACTACCGTTCTTCGTACCTCCCGAGCATGACCGGCCGGATGGTAATCCCGGGGCGGCCTCGGCGCCAACGGCCAACGGGGGTCTGCGACGGGCAGAAACTGGGGTACGGTGGTAATTATTGATATTACATTTAGCGGATTGGGCGAGACTTGTCCATCATTCGAGTGTTGCGTACCTTATTGTAGGTCGCCAAAGTAAATACAAGCTAGTACTCCGTATAGGAGGAGCCGTAATACTGACGTACAGTTGAGGGAGTGACTCAATGAGGAAAGAAGTATCCGTAAGTACAGTGGGGTCACTAAGGTACTAGCTAAAATGTCGGGGACAGAACAACTCAATAAGGTAACCTTAATACCACTCCGCTATTAATATGTGCGGTAATATCGTGAGCGCCTCTTCGCCTCTTTTTATCGGCTTACCTTAGTGTACTGTAAGGTAGGTACTCCGTGCTCGATACTCTTATCTTATCGAATCCTACGTCATCGATCTGCCCACTTCACAACTTTCAACTTCACCTCCTTAGTCCTTACACGAACGAGTCCACGACCTTGACGTTGGTTAACCTCCTTACTTGTGCGAATACCGACGCCCTCGATCTTTTACTACACGATCTTTTTGAAACAGCCAGCCCCCACTGTCGAATTTGCTAATAGTCACCATTTCAACGATTCTTCCGAGCCCAACTATTACTAATTTACTACCTAACTTGACGTCTTCAATCTTCAACCGCGAGGGTCCGAGGGACACTGATCACAAACCTAAGGGAGTTTAGGGAAGTGAAGATCTTCATCTAATCCCTCCCGGGCCTGTAAGTCCTACCCTTCCTACTTACCCAGACATTACATTAGCCGTTGAACTAGACCTTATATTATTATATTCGTGCTTCTACGGAGTAGTGAACAGTGAACACTGGACCCTTCATCCCCTGCCAAACCGGTCACGACTCACTAGTCACCAGGGAAGAACAATCTCATCATGCCCGGCGAGGTTGTCAACTGTCCAAACCCCCCTCCTCTACCATCTCGCCTCCCAGATCATGTCTTGGACCTTGCCGTCAAACCCGAGTTCAAACAACTCAGCAAGGAGGATGTCAAGGCGCTGGAGGACTTCCAAAACGCCGCATGCTACATTGCTGCTGGTAAGTGACCTTATAGTAAAGGCTGAGTCTGGTCTTAGAAGTCGGGTCCTAACAAGCCTGGATAGCTATGATTTTCCTACAAGACAATGTTCTTCTCGAATCAGAACTCCTACTCGACCATGTCAAGCCACGTCTTCTCGGCCACTGGGGTACCTGTCCCGGGCTCATCCTGGTATGGTCACATCTCAACCTCCTCATCCGAAATCACGACCTAGACATGATCTACGTCATTGGCCCAGGTCATGGTGCCCCTGCTGCGCTTGCTTCTCTCTGGCTAGAGGGGTCTCTTGAGAAGTTTTACCCCAGCCGCTATGATGTGAGCAAGGCTGGTCTTGCCAATCTCATCTCCGGCTTTTCCCTCCCTGGAGGCTTTCCAAGGTATGGCCATATCATATCTCCTGAAGTGGACTGGCCTTGCCGCCTTTCATGTTGATCTTCTGCTAACCTCATTCGTTTGCTTTCTTTTCGTCTAGTCATATCAACTCAGAGTGCCCCGGCACTATCCACGAAGGAGGTGAGCTGGGCTATGCCCTATCCGTGGCTTTCGGAGCTGTGATGGATAGCCCGGATCTCATCGCCACCGCCATCATCGGCGATGGAGAGGCAGAGAGTGGTCCAACAGCAGGGTATGCTGAATTTCCCCAATTCCTTTTCAACTCCAATACCTAGCTACTAACATCCGCCGGGGCGCATCAGTGCCTGGCACTCCATCAAGTACATCGACCCGAAAGAATCCGGTGCTGTCATTCCCATCCTGCATGTGAACGGCTTCAAGATCAGCGAGCGCACCATCTACGGCTGCATGGACGACAAGGAGATTGTGTCTCTCTTCACCGGCTACGGATACCAAGTCTGCATTGTCGAGGACCTACCGAATATCAACCACCGTCTTTCCGATGCCCTGGAGTGGGCTCTGTCCGAAATCCGGAAGATCCAGGGAGCCGCACGTTCAGGAAAGCCCATCGTCAAGCCTCGCTGGCCCATGATCGTTCTGCGTACACCCAAGGGCTGGACCGGTCCCAAGGAAGTGGACGGACAAATTGTAGAGGGCTCTTTCAAATCTCATCAGGTGCCCCTGGCCAGAGCCAAATCGGACCAAGGTCATCTAGCGGAGCTGAAGGCCTGGCTATCGCATTACCATGTTCGGGACATTCTCACGGCCGACGGGAGGCCTAATGATAGCATCCTGAGCATCATGCCACGAGTCGACTCCAAGAAGCTAGGCCAGCTCAAGGCCACCTATGACCCCTTCGTGCCCCTGGACCTCCCTGACTGGAAGCGGCACGCCGTCGAGCCTGGGACGCAGGAGAGCGAGATGAAAGTCACAGGCCAGTTCCTGCGCGAGGTTATCAAAGCCAATCCCTCCACCTTCCGCATCTTCTCGCCCGACGAGCTGGAGAGCAACAAGCTCAGCGCCGTTCTGGAAACCACGGGGCGCAACTTCCAGTGGGATGACCACTCCCGCGCCAAGGGGGGTCGCATCATCGAGATCCTGTCGGAACACTGCTGCCAGGGCTTCATGCAGGGATACACCCTGACGGGCCGCCATGCCCTCTTCCCCAGCTACGAGTCCTTTCTGGGTATCGTCCACACCATGATGGTCCAGTACGCCAAGTTCAACAAGATCGCACAGCATATCGACTGGCGGGGTGACTTGGCCTCCATCAACTACATCGAGACCAGCACGTGGGCTCGCCAAGAGCACAACGGATTCTCTCACCAGAATCCGTCCTTTATCGGCGCCGTGATGAATTTGAAATCCGATGCCGCAAGGGTATGTCTTGCTATAACTTATGGATGCACATCTCGCATCAAGACTAATACGTATAATGTATTCGTAGGTCTATCTCCCTCCCGACGCCAACTGCTTCCTCAGCACCATCCACCACTGCCTCAAGTCCAAGAACTACGTCAACCTCGTCATTGGATCCAAACAACCCACGGCAACCTATCTATCCGCAGAACAGGCCGCCAGTCACTGCCGCGTGGGCGCTTCCATCTGGGATTTCGCCTCGGTCAGGCTCCCGGACGCAAAGACGCTCCCAGACGTCGTAATAGTCGGCATCGGCGCCGAAGTCACGTTTGAAGTAGTCAAAGCCGCCGAACTCCTCCGATCCGTCGCCCCGGCGCTGCGCGTCCGCGTCGTCAACGTCACAGACTTGATGGTCCTGGCCACCCAGTCGCGCCACCCGCACGCCCTCACCAGGGAGGACTTCATCGACATGTTCACCGCCGACCGGCCTGTGGCCTTCAACTACCACGGCTACGTGTCCGAGCTGCACTCCCTCCTCTTCGGACGGCCTAAGCTGGAGAGGATGAGCGTCGAGGGGTACAGGGAGGAGGGCAGCACCACGACCCCGTTTGATATGATGCTCCTCAACCATGTCAGCCGTTTCCATGTCGCGAAGAGGGCGTTGGAGGGAGGGGCGGAATTCAACGATGAAGTGAAGAAGGGCTTGGACGGGACGCTGAAGAAGATTGACGGCATGATGAAGGAGGTGCAGGATCATATTGCCGCCCATGGTAAAGGTTCGTGAGATGTCTCCGATCTCGTGGCTCGTGCTGCTCTTGACGCTCACAAAATGGCCTTTTAATACTGACGTGAGGCAGATTCCGATGATATCTATGACCTGAGCCCAGAGCTCAAGGCGACCAAGGACGTGCCTATCCGACACCCTTGAGGTCGATGACCACATCCATGTTTACTTCATCTCAGGGGGGCGCAACTTTAGACGCAATCCTTGGCCTTTGTATCACTTCTACACCTTTCTTCAGCATCTCTAGGCTGCACCAGCAAAACAACATCGTACCGTGTTAGTAACACTGTAACCCCCATATCAGCTATCCAAAAAAATCCCAATCCTTGCACTAGTTGTAGTAGCAGGTTGATGACCTTGGAGACCGCTCCCCTCCTCGTTGCTCATTTTGTGGTCTGTTTTCCCAGGGGCCAGGATCTTGCTGCTCGAGGACTGCCACCAACTCCCACCACCGTGCTGATCCTCCCACTCCTTCAACCACTCCCCGACAAACTCGACACTAAAGCTCTGTGCCTCCCGGACGGGCTGCGGCGGCAAGTCAGGGGTAGCTGGTCATCTGTGATAGTTAGCGACTACGTCCATGTCGATTCTCGACCCCCTTATCGTGAGTTCTAGATCATGTTCTAGTTGGAAGGGCTCTGCAAACACTTGGAGGTCGGCTGGCAACAGAGTCGTCAATACCAGAGAAAGCACGGGATATCATCACATCGGCATAGCCTCAGAAGATAAACAGATAATCGATTTACTGGTCTGGACTACCAAAACACCATAGCCGTGAAGTGTAAGCACACATGCACTCTCCCTAGCCCCTGATTCTCAACCCTCAATGCCACAGCGCTGAAATAATCATGTTGACCCGAACGCTAATCCCAGAATAGCCCCCTACCCTAACCCACCCCCCATTACGCACGAAATCCGCTTCACTGTTCCTCCCAATCCTCATCACTTCCAATCTGGAACGTGTCGTCCGTCCACCCATACTTGCTCGTCAACCGACGTCGAAAATAAACCAGGCGGTGGCCCTCAATCAGCGACTTGCCCGGCGGACGGTAAAAGGTAACCGCCCCGTTCAAAACAAACTCCTCGGGGGGTTCGAAGGCGTACCCCGAGCCAGACTGCGGGCGGACCGCGAACCCCACATCCGCCATGGACTTTCGGAAATCGAGCCAGGGGATCGGGTCCCCGGCCTCGGACCCGGCAAAGAGAGCGGTGAACGTCTTGGCCGTCCGCCGGTGGACATAATGTACATAGAGCGGCCGATTCCACTCGGGGATGTCCTCGAGCGAGCCGTCCTTCTCCACGAAGGTGATGTCGTAGGCCGTCGGATGGGGCGTACGAGTCCGGGTCCCTTCCTTTTGTTTTCTCCGTCTCACGTGTAACTGTCGGAAGCGTTCGTGAAAGACTTGGGGCGGCGTGAGGCCCGGTGCCTCGGGGTCGATAATATCTCCCGGCAACGCCGCGACCGGCTTGTCGCCGTTGCACGTGGCATCAGCTTGTGGCGCCGCAGCCGGTTTGTTGTGATTGTCCTCGCTGGCATCTCCTTGCGGTGCTGGTGCCTTCATGTTCTTGACGACCTGATGCTGCGTCGGGACCCTAGGAAACGTAGCCGTCCACGAAGCAATCAGATCTTCATAGAGGACTCCGATCTTGTTACCCCTGTGCTTCGCAATCTGCCGATCAAGCCTCTTAAGAACCGTCTCGGCCCTGTCCGGCCTCTTGAGAACCTCGACGGGTACGGCATACTTGGAAAGGTCAAACTTGGTCCGCAGCACGCTGATCTCACGCTCGAGCTGTTCCAAGCCGTTGATGAGCGTCAGACCCTTCTTGCGACTCGGGGCCGGCATCGTCATGATCTTGGGCAGGGCTTCGATGAACCCCACAATGGCGGCCACGTCCGACAGGGCGTCGACCACGCGCGGCTCCAGACGTTCGCGCTCGAGGGGAAACCTCTTTTGGTGTCTATCAATGGCCTGGACCCAGGAAGCGGCGCAAGGGCCCGTGGTCCGGGGCATGCAGAGGCGGACGATGTGGTGGAGCTGCGCGTCCCCCTTGATCGCGGTATTCACATCCCTCTTGCTCATGACGATAGTGGCCGCATTGCCGGGCGTCGTGCTGGGCATGCGGCGGAACCACTTGGAGTAGCCCGGGATGCTGGCGACGCAACGTCGCAGGAGGCCCTGGACGCGCGTGTACTCGGCGTTACAGAGGTTCGCCAGCTCTTGGGCCAGGACCTTCCGGCGGGCCCGGTCGTTGGGCGAGTGGTGCCCCGAGAGCTCCTCAAGGAGGCGGCAGATGCAGCTCCAGGTGGCGGCGGCCCTGACGGCATTGTGCACGGCTTCCAGCGCGGCGCGGGTGATGTACTTGCGGGTGTCGTTGGGAAGGATGCGGCCCCGGTCATCGGGGACCAGCTCGGGCCTGCTGAGGATAGCCGTGTTCACCGCCTCGGCCAGTGCAGCCGGTTCTTGGCGGAGGAGGGACAAGTACTCGTCGCAAGCGGCCTTTCGGTCGTGGGCCGCAGAGAGCACGCCCGGTAGACTTACGGCCACTGGCGTCGGCTTCTCATCTACCTCTCTGGGGTCCTTGGTGAGTTTGTTACGTCGTGCGGGCGCAATCGCCGAGTCTTTGGACGAGGTGCTACCCGTGTCCGCGCAAGTCGAGCCTATCGGCCGGGCGTCCAGGACGTCTTCCATCATGTTGTTGAGGGCCTGCATCAGATACAGCTGCCTCATAAGCACCAGCACGCCCACTGCCTGAGGGAGGCAGAGCCGTTCGTTCAAGGCACGACGGAGATCATCCTTGGCCGCCTCAGTCTCGTCCTCCTGCATCTTGAACGAACGTCCGTACTTATCGCCGTCCACGAAGATAATGTAACAGTCCTCGAATTCCTTGGCATGGGCCAGATTATGGGTCCGCATGATCCCGGCGACCGCATCATGATCCCCGACGCAGTCGTCCCGGTCCGACGATCCTAGGTACTGTTGGCGGAGCGTCGTGGTGGCGCGGTGATGCAGGATATTCAGAAAGTACTCGGGCGACCACGAGATGTCGTGCAGGTTCCACTCCGGGATGAGGCTGCGCATGCTGCCCAGGGACTGGTCCCACGGGTTTTCAGGGATAACCCCGTCAGCGGCACCGGCTTTCGTCATCTCCCACCGTTGCCCTGGAGTGAGATTGCACCATGTGTTTACCACTTTGTCACCGTGGAGCTGGTATTTCCGGCAAAGGTCATAGTGAAGCCGACGAAGCATATCCGTATTATCCGGGTCGTTGATGTCCGGATCGAGATGGCGGTTGCGCCGTGAGCTTTGTGATAAGAGACTAGACATTGTGATCAAGGGACATAAGTCGGTTGAACCGTTTAAGAATGCTAGAGACGCAATAGAGAGGCGATCGATGCGGATCTAATATAGATGGTAAGCTAGAAAGACGATGCACATGGGAAGAGAAAGATGCGGCGGAAAGGAGAGAGAGAGAGAGAGAGAGAGAGAGAGAGAGGAGAAGGGTTTACTTAAGTACAGCAAGAGGGAACCACATCTCAAAGCCGTGCCTTTACTTTCGTGTATATACGAGGTGGTGGCTGTCTTATAGTTTGACGATACTCTGTACCAAGGGAGTATGTTGTGCTGGAAACATGAAGCCTATTACGACGGGGGCAAGCCACTTCTTTTAGAGTCTGGAGAACATACGGTAGATTAGAATGTTACCTGGATGTCCAAGCCTCGAAGGTGAGTTGCTGCCGTGGTCGAAGCCGCAGCCACAAGGAGCCTCAGCTGGACCATTTGGCCCCTGGGTTGGATGCATGGGCCGACGAGATGGCGTTGCTACCACGCTTCATACGACGGGCTTGGACGGATAGGATAGAACCAGACGCCGCCAGTGTAGATGACTGAGTGTCATGGCTCGCTCTAGTTTCCACCGATTTCACCAACAAGCCCCAGCCCCTTTCGATTTTCGTTATATCGCTTGACATTGCTGTGAATGATTGGGAGGACAAAAAAAACCCCATCGCCCTTCATCGAACCGAGACCTCTCCGGGCGTCCCATATATACAGCTCCCCCCGTTAGCTAGTACCAACCGTCAGCTCAGCAATCCGCCTCTCCACCTCCGGAATCTGCCTCAACAACACCTCCAAATCCTCCTTCTCATCCTCCAGCTTCATCCGTCGATCGGCATCCAGCTTCGTAAAGACGTAGTTCCCCTGCCCATCGAACTGCAGGATGCGCTCGTGGTACTTCCACAGGCTGCGGCGGTGGCTGACGGTCATGAGGGTGATGCCGAGCGCCTTGGCCGTGTCGTACATGACTTTTTCGGTATCGAGCGTGACGGAGCTCGTGCACTCGTCCAGGATGGCGTACTTGGGGCGATGGTAAAACAGTCGCGCCATGGCAACGCGCTGCTGGAGACCGCCCGAGAGGACGTCGCGCCACTCCGCCTCGGCGTCCCACCCGCCGTCGTACAGCGCGGGGAGGTGCTCGAGCCCGAGGGGGGTGAGCATCTGGAGCAGGTCGGCGTCGGTGACCCCCCGCGCGCGGACCTGCCGGAGCGAGTCTGGATACGTAATCTGTTGCCGGAGCGAGCCGCGAGAGAGGTACGGCCGCTGCGGGATGTAGAAGATCTGCGAGAAGGGGGGCTTGCGGACCGTGCCGCCGTAGACGGGCCAGAGACCTCCGAGGATTCGAAAAAGAGAGGACTTGCCGCAGCCGTTGGGGCCCACCACGAGGAGGTGGTCTCCTGGCTTGAGGGAGAAGGAGAGGGCTTTGACGAGGACGTCCCCGTTGGGGGAGATGATGGGGCTGATTTGTTAGTACCACAGACACGGAGGACGACAGAAAAGAATAAAAAAAAAAGGGGGGGAGAAAAAGGGATAAAAAAAGGGGGGGGGTGGCTGGGTGAACTTGTAGCCAAAAGGGAAAACACATACACATCGGTAAACTCAATGTCCTCGCTTTCCACGACAGCCCCCCGTCCCTTGAGAACCGCCTCATTATTCTCCGTACCCGAGCTAGAGACCAGCTTCTTCTCAAAGCGACCGGCGCGGATATCGTCCATGACCTCGAGAAGAGAGTCGACACGGGAAGTGTACCCGGCCAACTCCATGATCTCGCGGTACGAAAACATGACCCGACCAAAGGCATCCGACGCCGACAGCAGCATGCGACGATTAGTAATGAAGCTCTCGGTGCGGTCGCCCATGTTCATGGCGATCTGGCCGGGCATCTTGACGAAGACGGGCACGCTGCAGAGCAGCAGGCCGAGGGCGCCCCAGAAGTACTTGATGACAAAGTCCTCCATGAACCCGTGGTAGAAGCGGCGCCGCAGGATGTAGTTGACGTGCTTGATGAGGGTGAAGTAGCCCTTGTCCAGGGTGTCCTTCTCGACGCCGTGGCCCGCGTACAGGGCGACTTCCTCGCTGTGGTCGATGAGCCTCGAATGCTGGAAGCGGAACTCGCCCTCGAGACGGGCCTCGTCGGCCACGTAGCGGCCAAACGGCGGTGTCAGGGCGCGCATGACGTTGGCCGACAGTTGGACCAGAAGGGACATGAAGACGACGCCTTCGCCGCCGACACTCTTGGATAGCTGGTAGGTGTAGATGGTCTGGATAACAGTCAGTAATGGGGGGGGGGGGGTACGACGGGTAGTCGAACCTGGGATCAACGCACCATATCCAGAAGCGGCTTCGCTAGGTTGCTGTACAGTTCAGCCAGACTACTCGAAAACTTGGCGACGTCGACGGCGATGAGCTGGTCGGGGTTCTTTATCCGGTCGTCGAGCGCAGTGATGCCGTAGAAGGTCAATTGAGACAAGTATTTGTCGTGAATGTACTGGGTCAAACGGGTGCGGTAGTTGAGAGAGAGTTCGGCTTGGTGGTAGGAGAGCTGTGCGAAAGGGTCAGACACAGACATGCGAATGTTTAGCGACGCAGGGAAAACGAACCATGGAATTCGTAAAGGTTGCCGGGACGGCAATCAGCATCCACCACACAATCCTTTTCAAAAACTCCCGGCCGTTGCCTTTTACCAGGCTCTTGACAATCTGACCATCCATGGCAGCGACCTTGACGCTGATCAGAGTGCGGACGACGAGGAAGAACGAGTGGCTGATGAGAAGCCGAGCCTCCTTGCTCCGCCATCCCGGTATAACGATGCGGAGCAGACGGAGGAGGGCGCCGAAGAACTCGCGATTCAGCTCGACCCTCTTCTTCTTCTTTTTCTTCACAGGGTCGTCTGTTTCGCCGGTGGAGGCCGCGGCCCCCCGACCCCGAGAGTCCCGGTCCCGCTGGCCAGCAGCAGCGCCGCGGTGGGAGGCGGCTTTCTGCTCGGAGATGGCATGGCGAATGCGGTTCGCGAGAGCCACGAAGAGGGTGATCCACACGGCGCGCGAGATGCGCGTGCGGTTGTCGAGGTAGAGAGAGGTGAGCTGGGCGACGATGCTTCGGACAGTGCGGTCGCGGCGTGGCGTGATGGGGGGCAGCTTGGATTGCGCCGCCATGTCGTCTGACGGGGGGCAGCGAGCCCAGGGAGACCGACCCAAGAGGGAGAAGCGAGACAAGCGATGGATGAGGAGTTAGGTCGGCGTTGCGTATCGAGAGAGAATGAGGTATGTGAATCGTGAATCGTGAATCGAGTCGACAATGGACGCTGGATCTCTATCGGAGGTGGTGATCGCAGTCCTGAACCATGGTTTCGTCGGCCAATGTCGTCAATTGAGGCGGGATCGTCCGATGGTGGTAAAACTCTTTAGGTGCAATACTTGTCGTTCTGACGGGCAGGAGGGAGATAGACGCGAAGGTGGGAGAAATGTAGTGTAGTGTGGGACGAAGCCACGATGGTCACAAGGACGAGCGATATCAGATGCTGCTTCTCCCTCGGTCGACGAGGGCGTCGAGGGATCCACATCACGGGGGATTAATGAGGTACCTTAGCATGTGATTTCCTTCTGACGTTATTGGCGTTAGGTACCTTGCCGTACCCGTATTAGTAATAAAGTTGGCCGCTTTTCTAGCCACCGTTAGCCACCGTTAGCCGCTCACAGAATCCGGGGTAGCGAAGTAGCGAAGCCTCAGTATCAGCCACAAGGCGGGGCAAAAGAAGAAAAACTAACCCCCCCCAAAAAGAAGAAAAAGGGGGAAAAAGAGGACAAAAAAAAGGCTCTCAGCTTTCTCAAAGTTCTCCCCCTCGTTTTTCCATTCTCTTCGAAATCTTCACGACACAACCGTCTCGACCTCAGATTCCGCCGCCCATCATGACCGACGACGAGATTTCCGTCTACGACGAGATCGAGATTGAAGACATGACCTTCGACGAGGCCATGCAAATCTACACCTACCCGTGTCCCTGTGGCGACCGCTTCCATATCACCCTTGCCGACCTGCGCGACGAGGAGGATATTGCCGTCTGTCCCAGCTGCAGTCTCATGATCCGTGTCATTTTTGACAAGGTGCTTTTTCCTTTTCCTTTGGCCTGTTTCCTTTCCCCGTTCCATGCTCACTTCCAAATTTCCAGGATGACCTTCCCAAGGACCCCGAGCCCGACCCCGAGCCAGCCAAGGACAACGCTGTCGCTCAGGTTCCTGTCGCCGCCTAAACCCCATACCTGATACGCATATATTCATTCCGATGCCACAACTTTTCGCCGGTCGGCTACATGCGTAATTCCCATCACGCCGACTCTTCCCAGGCCAAGCGACCAACGCCACGACACCGTCGGGACAGCTCGCGAGTAATAGGTCCACTAAACGATGATTGTCGAACCAGCCTATAAGTACCATGGATTAGTAACACCCAACAATTCAATATGCAAAGAGAAGGGCGAAGGAGCATGCGATGTAACGGGGAGCGCAATCATCGCTTTCCTTCCTCCCGTTACAGCCCACGACATCAATCGAAAATCCATCGCTTCGGCGCTGGGTTTCCGATCAAGTCTCCAGGGGCGCAGGTGACATACCATCCAGTCATGCACGTCCTGCGTCGATTCGATTCCATCGACCCAAATATCGTCGCACAGGACAGACGTGAGATCCGCGCCACCCAATGACACACAAAAGATGCAAGAGGGGTCAACGTCCAACATTCTTGATCTCGTATTATACGGTATTATACGGCATTACATCGTCACAAGGCATGCCTTGTCTGTCGTCTGCTCGTCTAGTCGTCTAGTATAACATCCGTTTCCGCCCTGCGCCAAATCCCGCTGCGCGCCTCTTGGTCATGGTATGTCACGTAACGGTCGTCTAACCTCCACATTACGCCAATCAATCCGCGTCCACCACCACCGACCTATATCAATACGAGGCCCGCTACCCCGAACCCGATCAAGGCGACGATGGATCCTCCTAGACCCGGCCGCCCCGCTGCGGCAGTTGGCACGACGTCCGGGTCGTCGGTCGCCGTGGTATCTGCAACGGGGGTGGAAGGCGCCGCTGTGTGACAAGTCGGATGTTAGCCTCCAACCAACCCGACACGCGAAAGCAAAGCAACAAGAGGAACGGCGGCGCGTACATTCGCTCGAGCGAGTGTCGGTCGGTGATGACTCGCTCGCGGCCTCTATAGCCCGGAACAGAGCGTCTGGCGTCCTCGCGGGCGGGGCTGCGTCTAAACCAAGCGCTGCGACTCTGTCGACACTGGGAAGTTCGTGTGAGGCGGGTGTGATGGCCTGCGTGGCCGTAGCAAGGCCTGCGATGGTGAGTGGCAGGGCCACGCAGGGGCGCATGGCGAGGGGCTGGATTATTTCGAGGCGGGGAAGGATGGCTATTGGAAGAAAGAAGCCGTAACGATAGTAGGACGCTCGAGTTATTAATCGCGACGACAAGTTGAGCAGCCCCGTGGCGCCAGCGCGCGTCAAGGTGGCATAGCAGAGAGGATTACGGATTATTTGGCGATCTAATCCAGTGGGTGGTGAGATAGCATTGAAGAGTGAGCAGTCAACCATGTATATTAAAGGTCGAACAACAATATAGTGCAGAGGCAGCCGAGGGCGCCGATCGTACATACGCAGCATGCAAGATCCTGGCCGAGAGAACGACATCATTTGCTTTTCCTTGCTTTGCAAAACAAGGCAGCTCGCAGAGTCTCACCCCTGTTCCTGTTCCCGCTCCTATCCAAGAGCATACAGTACACCTGTAAGGACCCACAATCTACTGCTCCAACGTCCGATGCAAAATTGTCCGAATAAGGACCTTTGGGCTTTGTCGAGCTCGCCCTGGACTGCCTATTTCCATCTCATTTTGCATACTCTGCAGTACCAGAAGGTTGGGTCTAAAAATGGACTGGAGTCGCTGTGTTGTTGCCGCAGCGACAAGACACATTTGGTTTTTTTAATTGACGCACCCGTCAGGCTAAATCCGGGTCTCCGTTTGTGACATCAAAGGTACCAAGTACAGCTGTCAGATAGGTAGTGGAAGGTCGATATCGGGGCGTGACTTCGATTTAGGTAGTTCCGGGTGAGTTCGGCTACTTGATCGGCTTGTACCTATGACCCTGCCAAGCCCTATTTCTTTAGGATAAATAGTCATAGATACCTTCCTATAGAGAAACCTTTCCCTCTATAAGCGAATACATATATAATTCCGAGTACCTTAATTTATGTTCTGATAACAGCAGTACCCTTTCAAAGTTTAGATCGCTTCGACGCTTTTGGGTAAGGTACGTAACGGAACCTAAGGTACCTGAAGCAAGTACACGGGTACCTACCTTAGGTAACGGCTGGAACAGCGCTTATCGCGCTTCATCGATCGGTTGTTAATAAGGTAGGTACACGTGTAATAAATAGGTATGACGCCATTAAAACGGGGAATTTTGAAAACGGTTTCTTAGGACATGTCACCAATTTGACTGTTCGCGTCACATCGCCTTTCATCATCGACACCCGCCGACTGCACCCGTGCCACGCCCCAATTGGATAGGAACAAGCTGGAAGAACTTCCTCGTCGAAGCATTTGCAGTCGCAAGTTGGGCAAATTCCTCGACTACTACATCTCTCTGGCATACATACATGCATACATTCTTCATTCGGGCCCAATGCAAATTGTATTTCATGGGATTGATCTACTCATTCTCTCTGTAGCTTAACACGGTCTAGACTCTAAACAACACCGCCGGTCTAGACGTATAGCAACAACGTAGCATCTGCTCTCAGTCTTATGAACGCCCTCTCACGAAGTCTCAACGTTGGCAAATAGGAAGGTCGGGGTGCCAGGCTGCGCCCCTTCCGCATTCGAAGGCAGGCCAGTGACAGTCTCCCCCGTCACGACATCCGTACCCTGCCTACCGCCCTCTTGGACATTCACGATCTGCAAGTCCACCAAGCTCGCACTCCGCTTGAGCAGGTCCGTCATCGACACGAGCACCATCTTCTCATCGAACGCCAGCTTGCGCTCGAACACGGCCTCGGCCGGCTCCCCGGCCTGGAGCCTCTTCTTGAGGCCCTGGAGGAACGGCATGGCCCGCTTCATCTCCGCCTTGGGGATCTTGCCGTTGAGCGCCTTGTCGTCCACCGACCGCGTCGCCGGGTCCCACATCGACCGCAGCAGCTCCATGTGCGCGTCCTGCCACGCCGGGAACCGCTCGTTCATGAAGATGGTGAGCTTCTTGGGCCGCTTCGGGTCGAACGACAGCTCCTTGCCCTTGGCCTTCTTCTTCAGCTGCAGCCCTTCGGCCGAGTTGACGTTCGACGCCGTGTACGAGATGTATTTGCGCGCCGCCGCGAGGGAGCCGTCCACTTCCTCGGTCGCGGGGAACGTCGCTTGCTGTATCGATGTCGGCTTCTGCAGGATCTCCAGCCACACGCTCTCGGCCCAGTGCGGCGCGATGACCGCCATGAGGAGACACTGGAGTTCGATGAACCGGAGCACCTAGATGTCCTTTGTCAGCCGTGTCCCTTGCTCAATTTTGAACTCAATTCAGCCTGTTACTGACCAAATCGCGATGCATCTTCGTCCCGGCACTGCTCTCTCGGTAAAATGAGAGGGTATTGTTGAAGCTAATTGAGTCTGTCAACATCATATCGTTATCCATCTTTCGGGACGTGGGAGAGAGCCATACTCATAGAACCCAGCCTTGAGGGCCAGCTTGTAGGAAGTCTCATCTACAGTGTGTTAGCGAGTTCCCTTCTTTTACGCCGGCATTGTTGGTGTGCACATACGGTATTGGTGGATCGTCTCCTTGGCCAAGGCATTCATCTCGTTGTTGAAGATCTTGTCAAAGTAGTTCCACTCGCCAGTGCGAAGCTGGTCCTTGTTCTTGACCGCATCCTCGCACCATTCTGTCTTTCGTAAGCATCAAGAAAAAGAAAAAAAGAGAAAAAGAGAAAAAGAGAACATACCACGCAGGGTGTATAGACGTAGAATGGCCTGGTTAGCGACATCCTCCTCAAAGTTGCTGTCGCCCATGGAATCACCGGCATCTGCGAGACCAATACGAGACGCATCGGCTCCGTACTTCTTGACCATATCATCCAGCGTCAGGAAGTTGCCGGTAGACTTGCTCATCTTCTCCCCGTTGAGCAGGAGATGGCCGTTGGTGCGAATGCCGCGAGGCCAGTACTCGGGCGGGAACAAGGCAATGTGGATGTAGAGGAAGAAGGTGAGGTGGTTGTTGATGAGGTCCTTGCCGCTGCTCCGCACGTCAAGCGGGTACCAGTACTCGAAGCTCCTGCGCATGGTCTCGAGGGACGACTTGGGAACGTTCGACTTGCTGACGATGTCGTCGTCGAACTCGCGGCGGCAGAAGATGTAGTCGAACACCTCGTCGGTCATCTGCTCCGGCGCGATGTTCAGGGTACCCTTCTCGTTTCCGTAAATGTCCTTCTGGAGGTAGTGGCTGATCGTGTAGTAGCACGGGTAGATCGTGCTGTCGCTGAGGGACTCGACGAGGAACTGGGGATCCCACGGGAGTTTGGTTCCCAGTCCGTAGGTCCTGGCGCAGGCCCACTGGTTGAGCCAGTTCAGAACGCCCTCAAAGGCGTTCCGCGTGTCGCTGCTGAACGTGTTCAGGCCGTTGCCGTCGGCGTTGGCAAGGTGGGTGAGGGCAGTGTTCCGCCAAGACTCCTCGCCGTAGTCCAGGTACCACTGGTCCATGAGGGCGACGATACACTCATCGGACGACCGGCTGACGATCTTGCGTTCGGGCTCGGCGTACGGGAACGCAAGGCCCTCGTCGATCAGGTGCTTTCGGACGAGGGGCTTCGCTTGTTCTACTGACTGTCCGCTCCAGGCACCAATCTTCATCCGTCCCTTGTAGTACCTGACAAGCAAAATCAGTACAAAATAATTACATCGTGATACTTGTGGAGAAAGACATACCCTTCGGTGTAGGCAGTGTCCTTGGCCTTTTCCAGCTGGACGGTATCTTTAGGAGAACTAATCTTCAGGCTCTCGACCAAGCTCTTGGCGATGAGATCGCCCGTAGGGGTATCAATGATGGGGATGATCTCGAGCTCCGCCCATTCCTGCTCGATTCCGTAGTATGCCGCCTTCTTGCGCAGATCCATGGTCATGACATAGTCGGCAGGGCTGTCGGAAGGAACCGAAGTGACAACACCAGTTCCCTTGGTCGGCAGGATGGACTCCATGGGCAAGACGCGGACACCGCCAGTGTGGACCGACAGAGGAGCGTTGACCAAGGTACCGATCATGGCAGATCCGTCAATCTCGGTCACCGAGGGGAACTCGCCCTCCTTGAACAGGATCCCCTGGTACGCCATGTTGCGGGCCGCGCGGTGAGTGATCACATAGTAGTCGGTATCGGACGCCTTGAAGATCCCATATGTGATCTTGGGAGACACGAATACGGCATTCTGACCGTACATGGTCTCCGGTCGGAGAGTCGCTGGGACCAAGAAGACGTTGGCGTCGGCGGGCAGTTTACCCTCGAGGGATTCCCGAGCTTTAGGGGCCCACTCCAAGACCTTCATCTTGAGGCCGGTGTATTCTTGAGACCCAACACCTGCCGATGTCATTTAGAGACTGTCTGGCGGGATACGTGGCCATCATCAAAGACACCCTCGCGGAATTAAACGACTTACCTTCTCCTTCAGATCGGTCGTGGTCCATGCATGGCTGGCCTGCAGCAAAGTAAGCAAAACGAGGGGTGTAGACGATCAGACATGAGTAAACCCTACCATCCTTGATGGAGTAAATAGTGTACCGCTTGCCAAACTTGATCTTTCCAAGCTCCTTCAGGCGGTTCATCTGCCATCGAACGAAGGCATCGTAGTAGGGGTTGACATCGGTCGTGATAAAGGATCGGCGCCAATCTACCATGGTCAGCGAGGAAAGACAGAGCAACGACGGTTACAGGCTATGACAGGGGGGAATTACGAACCTACTCTGAAACCTAGACTGGACATGTGATCTGTGCAAAGCTGAGGGAAGAAGTTCAGCCAGTACTGGGGATCGGCAAACTTATGGATCTCCTCCTTGGGGATACCCATGGATTGCATGATTTGGAACTGAGAAACAAAAGGTCAGCAAGAACACAAGTTCACGACCCCCAACCGATCCTCACCAGTATCTTCCACGGACCTGGTACTTCAGCTTGGCCGTCTTGGCGGTGGCCTTGCTCTTCTTGGTTGTAAACTTGGTGACATCCTCACGAGTCGCATTCGCATTCGCGTTCGCAGCGTCAGGAGCAGGCGGGGATTCGCCGTCGATGATGGGCTCTTCCTCGTACTTTTCGAATTGGGCACCGAACTTCTCCACCTCTGCCCTCAACTTGTCGCTGGAGCTCTGGATCGGCATGCCAGTGGCGTGCCATCCGACGGGCCACAGGGCTCTCTTCCCGGACATACGGGCGGTCTATATCAAAGAATGGTATTAAAAGATGTAAACGTCGTCGGAAGGGCAAGAAACGAGGGTCAAGGGAGAACGCACCCCGGTCATGAACTCGACTTTGCTCTGCGAGAAGACGTGGCCGGCATGGGGAACGCCATTGACATATTGGTACGCGACAGTCGAGAAGCTGCAACCATGTTAGCCCCCTCTTTCTAACACTCCTACAAGACTGTGAGACTGTGCAAGGTCGGGCTTACAATTTCGGGTACTTTGCGCGAAGTTCGGCGGCCGAAATCGAACCCAGGGGGTGCTCCTCCAACGACGGGGCCTCCACCTCAAAGATCTTGTCTTCGGCCCATTTCTTCTGGTATTTCTTTTCAATGGCAATGAGAGTATCGCGCTTCTCTGTGCTCTTAAGCTCCTTGGTCTTGGAGATCTGGAGGCTTTCGATAGCCTTGGCCGGGTCGGTCGTCATGGTGACGGGCGGCGTCGAATGTGGGGAAAAGAAAGTCGGCAACAGCGAATATTCTTTGTTCTTTCTTTCTTTTTTTCTTCTTCTTTTTCTTCAACACAGATTGTAATGACAGTTGGTCTTCAAAAAAGACTGTCGTTGTCGCGGTGGGTGTTGCAGGCCCGTTCCGAGCAGCCTTGAGTCACAGAATCGCCGCGGGGTTGGAAGAAGTGGTATTTTGATGTTCGGTGGAAATGGAAAAAAAGAAGTGCCCCGCGACGGAATTGCAGATATGTGGCGGGGTACAGTACAACAGTACTCTGTACATACAAATTCCGTGCCGGTGTCGGGGACCCTTGCCGCTCGGTGAAGCCCGAGTGGGGCACTTTCTCTGAGTGCGGAGTCAGGTCGTGTTGACGCACGGGCCACTTCAAGCGTCTTCTCTTTTTCGGGATGGAAGCTCAATGTATTTCGTAGAGATGGAAAATTATCACGTTGTTTTCTCTTGTCGTTGCTCTGTTCCGCGACCGTAACTACCAGCTTTTCGCCACGCCTCGTCGGATTTCTGCTCCGAATCGCATCGCCATGTTTCCCACATTGTTCCGACTGGCGTCCCAGGCCAGCGAAGCAGCAGAATCGTCCGTGCCAGCAGCATCCGGCCCCTTCCAATTAAAGAAAGTCTGGCCGCCCGACTTCACCAAGCTCAGTCCCCAGGCGCAATTGCGATTCGAGAAGAAATACAAGCGGAGAGTGGCCCTCAAGCATGCGCGGCCAAGGTGGAACAAGGCGATCAAACTCGTCCAGCTTGTCACCGTGACAGGTTAGCACGAATGCCAGTTCGAGAGTTCCGGGGACGAGATCGCTGACAACAAAGCAGGGGCCCTCGGAGCGCTCTTTTTTACAGAGACTACACTCTTCGGTCGACCATACCGGCCCTCCGACCAGGTAAGCAAAAGACGGATCTTGACCGTTTCGTCGAGGGCAACAGGCAACGGGCTAATGGAGCGACAACAGGCCATTAAGTACGTCAAGAGTGTGTTCGGCGCCGTGGATCCAGAGAAACGATACGAGCGACGGGCAGACGCGCCGGCAGCCCCTTCTCCACGAAACGAACCCAAGTAGTCGACAGCCCGGGATTTTGCAACATGTATCATATATAACTTACAACACAATATGCGGGGGGCGGAGTCCAAGGTGCTGATGTTTTGATCGCATACCCATTTGGCGCTTGAGAAGACCCGGCCGGCGGCTTTTCTTCATGTACACATAAATCCATAATCTATATGGCGGGCATTTTCTTCTTTTCGAGCAACAACAAAGATCTCTCTCTCCGTTCCACTTGCACCTGCGCTTGCAACATGATCATCATGGTATGTCTATGATTTGTTCATTATTTCTTCCATCCATCCGTCATTGCCTACCCAGGGCCTACCGTCCGTGCCAGACGAAATTACCGCCGAGGCCCATACCAGAACCCAAGGCGGAACCCCTACTCTCATTCACGGGTCTCTTGGCAATGGTGCCCTGCGCTCGCACGCCAGCCACGATCCTATCCAAGCTGGTTTCCACCACCACGCCGCCGACGATCATCTCGCCGAGGGTGGCATGTAAGCTCTCAAAGTTGAAAATGAGGTCGAGCTCGCACACGTTCTCGAAGAGCTTGTCGAGGGCTTCGACGTAGACTTGGATCAGGTCGATGAGGGCGAGCGGCGACTCGGTGTTGGTCGAGATGATGATGAAATAGAGCGTCGCGTAGTGGCGGTAGGTGACGAGCGACGGGACGTCGTTCTCCTCTTCGGCGGACGAATGCGACGTCCCCGAGGCGGCGAGGAGGGGTGGGAGGGGGAGGAAATTGCAGGAGCCGGTGGGGCGATTCGAGACGAGGGTGAAGATTTCGGATATGAGCCTCTGTTGCATGCTTGTTTCCTGGGTGGTACAGGTGTCAGTCGTAGGTAGACACGAAGGGCAGGAAGGCCGAAGGGCAAGGGGTCAGAGGTCTCGTACCAGCTGGGTATAAAACTTGGTCAGCCGTGGCTGGCCCTGGCCGTTGAAGACCAGAAACGCGTTGATCATGATAGCGATGCGTGGTACACCATGACCGTGTCTCGGGGTTTGGTTTGTCTCCTTGTAATTCTTTTCGCTTCCTACGGAGTATGTGTCTGGGAATTCTGACAGCCTCGTCTGCGACGTAGATAGACCATCTCAGGTTTGCGGGAGTCCGCCCAAAGAGAACGATTGACGATTGGCGGGATTGGTGTGGTATTTGTGGTTAGTCATCCAGAGGTAGCTGGTACAATTAATACTTACTCCGTACATGTACAACTACCTATCTACGTAATCAGTTACCCGGCGCATGCACAGAGTACTCGGTACCACCAGGTTGTGGAGACACCAAGCTCCCGTCATTGCTTGCTTTGGTGCTCAGATCCCGAAGCTTCCCAGAATGTGGGGAACTTGGGAAAGACCACCCGGCGCACTTTCTTCCCTCTTCCTCCCACCGGGCCACCTCTTCTCCGTATCCCATATCCCATCTCTCCCCTCCACTCTCAACCCCTCAGCGTTTCTCGTTGTCAATTCAACGCCGGCCCGTCTTCATTCGTCCCTTCACTTTAATCCGCGACCACACGATATTCATTTCGTCACCTCTCGTCTTCCCGCTTCGCTTGAAAACCATCAGAACCAAGCCCACCATGACCCGCGCCGCTGTCTCCGGCATGTCTCGAGCTGTTATCCGCAGCCTCCGTCTCCCCTCTGCTGCCCCTTCCTCAGCTACGTCGTCAAGGAGATCGCTTCTTTCCAACACCCACAGCTGTCTCCGTCCCACGAAGCCGTTTACCATCCAGAGCCGGAGATTCCTCACCACAACGTCCAAGACGGCCCGCGGCATAATGCCTGACACCGACGAGCCCCGGAGAAAAGACGAACCTGCAGAGACCGAAGTACACAAGAACGTCGCCACGCTCACCGAGGGCCAATACCATGAACTGGCCGACACATACCTTGACGTCGTGGTGACCAAGCTGGAAGACCTGCAGGAAGTGCGCGAAGGTCTAGATGTCGAATACGCTGTTCGTCTTCCCCCGTCCATATCCCTTCTCTTTTGAATGATCAGGGCATCCCTCGCTGACATATGAACTCGTAATAGAATGGTGTTCTCACCTTGACTGTCCCAGAAATAGGGACCTATGTGCTCAACAAACAGCCGTTTAATAAACAGATCTGGCTCTCGTCCCCCATCTCCGGCCCCAAGCGCTACGACTGGGTTGTCCTGGGCGAGGGCCAGAACGAGAAGGAGGACACCGCCTCGGGAAATTGGATCTACGCCCGCGACGGGTCGACCCTCGATGAAGTGTTCATGAAGGAGCTGAACGTTGATCCCAGCCCGGAACCGTCGTCCTATGGTGCCTAGAAGGCGCCATCCCGACGTCGCAGGACTTGATTGTACTATTATCAGCGGTTGGGGAGTTTGTGTTCCATAGACACCGGGGACCATCCGGTGCAAGAGGCCAGTTCTGTTCTGTTTCACATATTGTGGTTGATGTGTAACTATACACTTGACTTGTGCATTTCAGTTGCTTTTTATGACATCCTGTTTTACCAGTAGGGGTCAAATGCGATGACGGGCAAAGGAAATGCATAGTTCATCCAAGCTGTTAGGAAGGCAGTGTTCATTGGATAGCTAGTTCTTGCTGACGCATCCTCAAATCCAGTTCCAACGCGTATGGGTACCGACACAGCTGCCTGGCTTCACGGGCGACGCGAGATATCAGACCGGAGTTGTCTGCCTTGTTGTTCTTCTCGACCCTGTCATCCCGGATGAGAACCTGAGATTCGGTCTTTTGCTCCGCTCGGGATGTCTTTGCCGGGTTCCCTTCTCAGGGGTACTCTCTTCGCGCAGGGGGGTCGGGTGGGACGTGGTTCCGAATCTTCGGATTAAACGCGGGATGTAGGGTGATGGGAAATCCCGAGTCGGGGGAGATGTGCTTGCGTGATTCGAGATGAGCCATGGGGGTTTCCCTTTTTTTCCTTTTTTCTTTTTTTGCTTCGTCTTGCAAGAGAAACGACACCGAGCTTGTCCAAAGTTTCTGGATTTGTCGCCAACGGGCTGTTGGATCTACTGGTTTTACTGGCTCCTATATCCCAGTGGCATGGCCTTGCCGTGGATGGCGCGAGATCTCATCGCGATGGCATCACACCCCGCTAGTACCGTCCTGGCGTCCGGCTCCCCCTCCGGGTTCATTCCGACCAGGGCCCGGGACGGCACGGCAGTAGCCGCTGACTGAATGGCACAAGTGAAAACTCTTATTATTACTACAACCGGTCCTAGTCGACGATGTCGCAAGTCGCGCTATTCAGAATCCCGTCCATGCGCGGGACAGGGCGACAGGGGCGACTTTTGGGGGCACGGAAATGCGTCCCGTCATGTCGATGCGACAAGACCAGCGCCCTGGAATGGAATATAAAACCCAGGCGACTCGGCCATGAGGGTCATCGTTGAGATATGCAGGATCAACTCGACTCAGACCGCAGAGGAAGACACAATACTTGATCCTTTTTGAGCCTCCGCAACTCTTCTGTACTGTGTTCGGACTGTAAATCATGTCGGAGAAGGTCCTCGAAAAGGAGGTGGTCGGCGCGGTCGACAATGTGGCTCCGACGCCAGACACCGGCAGCGATATTGATCAAATCGAATGGACGGCCGAGGAAGAGAAACGGCTGGTTAGGAAGTGAGCACATGCAGCGTCCAGACGCATAGAACTGTGGTATTGCTGGACGGAATCAAGAACTGACTTGGACGTGTGTGGTGCAGGGTGGGCTTGGTCGTGATACCCCTATTGATCATGGGATTCTTCGTTCTGCAGATGGATCGCGGGAATATGTGAGTTCACCTGCGCACAGTTTATCCTGGTACTATTGACTTTGTTTTACAAAACTAACGGTGAAACCAGCGGCAATGCTTTGACCGATTTCTTCTTTCGGGATGTTGGCATCACGCAAAATCAGTTCAACATTGGCCAGAACTTGATGTCTCTGGGTATCGTCCTTTTTGGAAGTGAGAACATTAATCGACCGATTGCACAAGGAGTCAAGGACCTTCATGTGTGAATCCTAACAGAGACCGGTACTAACCGGGAACTCAGATACCAAGCAACCTAGTACTCTACCGTGTTGGTCCTAGCCTTTGGATCGGATGCCAGATTGTGGCATGGTGAGTCTCGCCTCTCCTCCTCTTCCGAAGAAGCACAATATTGTATGGAGAGTCGGGGTCCCTAACAGGAGCTTTCCAGGGGCATGGTTGTTGTTTTCCAAGCTTTCCAGAAGGGACTCGCTGCCTTTTTGGTTACTCGGCTGTTACTGGGGCATGTTCTAAGTGGTATTGTTGTTGACATTCCTCTGCTACGACGGGTTGACTGACTTTCCACGTGCGGCTTAAGATTGTGCGAGTCCGGGTTTATCCCCGCAGCGCTTTACACCATTACGAGATGGTACACCCGAAACGAGACGAGTAAGCGGTTCTCGTGGTTCTTCATCGGAAACATGACGGCCAACGCCACGTCGGGTCTCATTGCCTACGGCATGTGAGTACAGAGCGACCTATTCAACCAGTCGGGTTCGTCGACGAGAGAGCGAGCTGACGAGCGAGATGTAAGATTGCACATGCGGGGTGTTCAAGGGCTTGCCGGGTGGCAGTGGCTTTTCATCGTGAGTTTTCGATCCACACAACCTGCTCCCCGGATGCTCTTGACAAGGTCAGCCCTGGACGTCTTACTTACAGTGTGTTCCATCACGTAGCTTGAGGGCCTCTTTACGATTTTCGTGGGAGCCACGTTCATCTGCTTCTTCCCAAAGTCGCCATCCGAACCCGTTTCCATTTTCGGGTACCGCTATTTCACCGAACGCGAGGCGCAGATCCTGACGGCGCGCGTCCTCCGTGATGACCCGACCAAGGCCCAGAAGAACAAGCACATGCGCTGGAAGGAAATCAAGGATGCTGTGAGCTGCTCCCGGCCCTCTTCCCCCGTCGTCGCCCATACTTCTCTTGGACACGGAACATCGACCGACAAGCTAACGTTTCCGTGTGCACTGGTGCAGCTCACCAACTGGAAACTGATCTCTCACCTCGTCCTCACCGTCGCGGGTCTGGCGCCGGCTGCGACCTTGGTGTCGTACGGTCCTACGCTTGTCGTCTCCTTCGGCTTCGGGCGGTTGCGCTCGAACGCCCTGATGTCCATCGGCTCGTGGCTCCAACTGCTCAGCAACCTTCTCATGGGCTACGTAGCGTGAGTGAAAACGAGAGGAAGGCGTCAGCACTAGCGCATGGGTGAACTTGTCGGCTGACGCGAGAACAGGGATAAATGGGATAAGCGCGGCCCAGTCGCGTTTGTCGGCGTTTTGTTCTACATGGGTTTTGCGGTGACTCTTCCCCGCGGTCGCGGTTCTTGTCCATACTTGCTGCGCCGACTTTTTTTTTTTTTTATTTTTTTTTACCAACGCGCGACATTTCGTCAGATCGGCAATCGGCTTCTCATCTTTTCGGATAACGCGGGATTAAGATTTGCGTTTTTGACGTTGGTCATTCCTTTCGCTGTCAATTGGCGTGAGTAGCAACCCGACCCTCCACACCCATCTACCCCAGGACGTGCTTGCTGACAACCGTTGCATCGCAGATCCCGTAAACGGCGCCTGGATGGCACTCAACGCTCAGTCGGCGGGAGAGCGGTCGATTACCATGGCGTTGCTCATCATGGGGGCCAACGTCGCGGCCATGATTGGCAGCCAGCTGTTCCAGCAAGAGGACGGGCCCTTGTACCCGAAAGGATGGGCGGGGATCGTCGCCCTCACCGTGGCGTCGTTTTTGGCCGTCAGCGTGTCCAACTGGCAGTACTGGTGGCTCAACCGCCGCGAGGCCGAGAAGGGGGTGACGGAGACGAAATGGAAGTATTTTTCGCAAAAAAAAAAAAAAAAAAAAAAAAAGGTGTTAGCAGAATCGCAGCTCAGTGCCAGTTGAGAGGCCTACCTTGGAGAGCAAGGTAAGGTTTTGTTGTGCGGCGCGTGTCTATGTTTGACATCTCTATCGCCGTGGCCTAGTGGGAAGGTACCTAACCCAAAGAAAGCTAGGAGAATTTGGGTTGTAATAAAATAGGATTAAATATTATTCGGGTGGAAATATTCCTGGCCGTTGAGGAAGTACATTACCGACATCGTACACGTACACGTGTACATGCTGACTGACTGTAAGCTGAGATGTTGGGTAAAATTAGCACGGATGCTAAGGCACAGGGACCAGTTACAGGGCCGGACCGGTGCAACGCTCCGCCACGGCCCACGGGTCATATTTTGCTCCTATTTTTGATAACTGAGCGTACCCATCTAACTACCTTAGGTACCTTAGTGTACAAACCGTTGGCATGGCCCCGCAAGATACCAGAGATAGAAATAGGCAGCCAATAGCAATAGACATGGTCATGGCCATGGCGTCTAAGAATGGGCGAAGCAAATCTTAGGGGCGAAGCGAATCTTGGAGGCAGACTCGTCCCAGGCTCGAAATCCTGCACCTACACGGCGCGCAAGGGCAATGTCGAGGTCGGTGAGACTGCGGCTTACATTTTGCCATGCTCACCATCGGATGTCGTGAACTTGTGCAATGCAATGCCAAGTCTCAAATAGGCGACAACATGGCGTATATAATGATCTGGGTTGGGGCCTCGACAGATTCAATTTTTCTCCATTCATGTTATCATCAGCGCAATCAACATCAACAACATAGAAATCTTTTACACAAAAGCCGCAATTTCTCGACTCGTTTGATCTCTTCTCAAGTGCAACACATTTACCACAGCAACGCTTGAAATCCATCCCTCAATCCTCGAAAGTCAAGCCTCGTCTGACTTGAAGGTCTTTCTTTTCATTGCGTCTTCTTGCATCTATCTCATCGCCGCCACGCTTTACGACACCACTACATCTTCGATAACCAAATCACAACCACACAAACCAAAATCGGACAAAATGCTCGCCAAGTCCATCGTCCTCCTCTCCGCATTCGCCGGCCTCATCGCCGCCATGCCGACCCCCACCGAACACACCGGCCCCTCCGGAACCGTCCCCCTCACCGGCGTGACCCACACCGTCGTCGCCGGAAGAGGCGGCCTCCGCTTCGACCCCGACAACGTAGTCGCCGAGGTCGGCGACGTGGTCGAATGGCACTTCCTCCCGCGGAACCACGCCGTCGCCCAGTCGTCCTTTGCGAACCCCTGCACGCCGCTGGCCAACAGCACGGGCTTCTACTCCGGCTTCAACTTCGCCGTGCAGGAGGGCCAGGCCGAGAACGTGTTCCAGGTCGTGGTGGAGGACGGGCGGCCCACCTGGTACTACTGCCCGCAGCTCAACGGCGCGCATTGCCAGAACGGCATGGTCGGGGTCATCAACCAGAACTTTGATAGCCCGGACTTCGACCTTCGCGCGCACAGGAGGCTTGCGGCTCTGACGGGTGTTAGCGTTATTCCGGCGATTCAGCAGGGCGGCGAGGTTGTTGAGAACCCGAACCCGCTTTCTGGGTTTTAGATTGTGCCGAGCCATGGACGTTAGGTTCATGTGCATGGCGGATCCGAGTACCTGCGGCTGTAAGATATATGGGGAAATCCAGGATACTGGCGGACTGTCATTAATCCTTATGAGTGTGGGATTTTTTTTTGTTCCGTTTCTTTCGTGCTACATATACTTGTTTGGTTCTGGGAGTAGCCATTTTGCATTTCAGTGTGTACCATAGATACCTACTCATGCTTTTACGACGTTCAATACAGCCAGCAGTCCTTAGGCCCCGCCCCGTTCGATAAGGGACTAATAGGGAGACCTCTGAAGTACAAAGTACATTCACAGTGCACGTCTCAAGTTCGCATAGATAATCAGAGAGTGAATGTCAGATATATGTTGGGCGAGAAAACAAAAAACAATACGAAAAAGGAAAGAAAACCTCGCCCCCCCAAATAGTTGCAAAGGACCAAACGAAGGATCGAGGATTAAAAGAAAAAGCAACACCGCAAAACAGTGCAAAAAGACTGCGGCTTGTGTGGATCGAACACACGACCTTAGCATATTCTGTCTTGCTGAGGAAGCCCCCGCAAGTCTTCAGTGCTACGCTCTCCCAACTGAGCTAAACCCGCCTTGAGAACATGCGGCTCGAATGGGCACCTAAGTTGACTTGGTGCTGCGCTAGGATGGCAGACCTGGAATGAAATTGCAGGAACTGGGATCCACTAAGAATACGGAGCCAAATTGTGAGTCTATCCGTATTCGTCGTGGTCGTGGTGCTTGGCTGCATGAATGGGCAGTGTCAATGCTCTCGACCAAGGGTATTACAAAAGTACCTAAGGTAGACAATTCCTTCCGTCGTAGTAGCCGTAACTATTTACCGAGTTCCCTGCAGCATCAAGATCCGAGATCTCAAATACGGAGTGTAGAAACCCGCATCACTCACGTGGCTACCCAATCCAGAAAAGAAGCGAATCTTCCTCAGTGCCATAGTTACGTTGTAGGTCCTCAAACCCCCCGAATGGAAGGACTGTGGAATATTCCCCGGATAATTCGGTTCTCAGTGATCCAGGGTCACACCTGGAGTCACGTCGCGTCGTACGGAGTAATTACAACGTAGGTACTTCGTACATGGAGGTACCTTTACCCAAGCAAGCGCCCGGGAATATTTCACGGTAATTATTACTTCTGCATCCTTCTTCTTTTCTTCCTTTCCCTCTTTGGTTCCGCATCCCAATCGAGAACCATCGGGATCCGGGATGCATTGAGCGGAACCCAAAGCAAAGCAGAGCAAAGCACAACAAACAAAGCAGTCAGTTAGCAACTATTCGCCCAACTTGTAATTACAAGGTAAATTACGTCCAACCTCGAAAGAACAACGTTTGGTACGGTACGGTAGCTAGGGTAGCCGGCTCTCGCTCTCGTTTTACCTGGTTTTGAGACTCACTATGCGTCTTCGACTTTTCGTTTGTCTGGTTTTCTCACTTTGGACCTGACGGGGAACCTTGGGCCTGGTTCTGTTTGTCAAGGCGCATAGACTATCTGTCTGTGCTGCATGCATGCTGAGCCGCACGGCTTGGGAAAATCGATTTACCTAACTCATTTGATGCGCCCACAGATTGCCAAAACAAGACTGTCGGCCTTGCTCTCCGCGGACACCAGGTCGATTGATTCTCTGCGCCAGCCTACAGGCAGCCCAGAAGCCCAGTCTGGAGACTTACACCACCCAAAGATGAGCAGAGGCTGCTTGCTCGTATCGCCACGTTCCGTATCCACGCTTCCCGTCTATATCCAGTCGGTGGGCAGTGTGTGTTGTCCTGCGAGTTGGACGGTTCGCCACAGCATTCCATTCATCCGCCATGCTCCAATTTCTTCCGGCAGGATGTAGACTTCAAGTCATCGCATCATGTGCGTTGTTGTCGCCCCCGGGTAGTAGGCGGATAAACATAGCTGAACAAGCCATGGGCAGCCACGTTCTCGCATCTTTCGTTCCGTGAATTCGAAATGTCGAATCGAGTAGTAGGTAGGTCTGTTATGACAGTTATGGAACGCATCTGACCTTCCGTCGGGCAGAGTTTGATGGGACCTCCACGGTAATTGTCCTGGGTTACGAACTTGGCACTGGGGGAAGAGAAGCTCTTTTGATCACAAGTACGGATACACCGAGCTTTCGCAGACCTTTTACCACGTACGGTATAGGTGCGTCCCAAAAAAACGCGAGAGTCTCGGCCAATACATTGAAGCCTCCGAGCCGGGACGTCAAGCTTTTGTTCTTTGGTTCCATTTCAGGCTAAAATCGCCCGTACCCGTCCCCGCGGGGTATGGGGGACGCATGGGGGGACAAATCAACCAGACACGAATCGACAAGTCGAAGCAAATCAGCCAGAGCAGCCTGTTATGTCGATGTAACCCTAGACGGTCAATGCCGTTGCAGTGAAACCGGTTAGTGCCCGGCTGTTCTCCCCCCTGACGCCCCCCCCCCCCCGAGCATGCCAGCCATGGACGTATCAGGTTCTACCCCAGGAGTCTCTGTCGCCGCACCGAGGCATGGACGACCAAAACGGGACACTGCAATTGCCTAGGTACTATTTTCCAATTTTCTTTTTCTTTTCTCCCCCAGAATTTCCCCAGTGTTTTTCGCTGGCGCCTCCGCCGCCCCCTGTTCATGCTCACAGACTTCTTCGTCCGTCGTCAACCTTTGTCACATGGGGTATGGCCCGTATGGGGGTGAGGCAGCAGGGATCGGGGCCAAGGCTAGGCACAATTTCCACGGCAAAAAGGGGGTTTCGATATGGGGCTAGCCTGCGACAACACAGACGCCATACTCCCGACGGCAATCGTCGGACCGTAGACCTCCGTCGCGAGCGAGAATATAAGACCTGAACGATGGTCGACGGCCGACTTGAGAGGAAATGATCAGACCGTAGATCTGCAGATCAGCCTCTTTCCAACCCAAAGACAGCGATCCCATCGAATCTCACCATGGTCTCCTTCACCACTCTCATCGCGGCCCTGACCGCCGTCTCCGGCGCCCTGGCCGCCCCGGGCGTCGTCGAGAAACGCCAGGTCACCCCCAACGCCGAGGGCACCCACGATGGTTGGTTCTACTCGTGGTGGTCCGATGGTGCCTCCCCCGTCACCTACACCAACTTGGCCGGCGGCTCCTACAGCGTCACGTGGCAGCGCGGCGGTAACCTTGTCGGTGGTAAGGGTTGGAACCCGGGTAGCGCTCGGTCCATCACCTACCAGGCCGACTTCAACCCCGTGAACAACGGCAACAGCGTGAGTTTCTGAGAGCCCCCAACGGTCACATGCACCGACTCACCGGGTCGTGCTCGGACTCGGATATCGGCCAAGTCTAGCGCTAACATGCGTCGATCTGTTAGTACCTCTGCGTCTACGGCTGGACCAGGAACCCCCTCGTCGAGTACTACATCATTGAGAGGCTGTAAGTACACCCCAGCCGTGGAGAAAAAGAGAAAAGGAGAAAAGGGAACAGTATACTAACATGCGAAAAGCGGCGAGTACAACCCTGGCAGCCAGGCCCAGGGCCGTGGCCAGGTCACCTACGCCGGCTCGACCTACCGCTTGTACGAGGGCACTCGTACCAACCAGCCCTCCATCGATGGCACCGCCACCTTCCAGCAGTACTGGGCCATCCGTGACCAGCAGCGCACCAGCGGTACCGTCGACACCGGCTTCTTCTTCAACGCCTGGGCCCAGGCCGGCATGCCGCTCGGCAACCACTACTACATGGTCATGGCCACCGAGGCTTACAACAGCGCCGGCAACTCCCGCGTCACCGTCAGCGGCGGCGGCGGCAGCCCTCCTCCCCCTAACCCCCCTCCCACCAACCCTCCCCCCACCAACCCTCCCCCCACCAACCCTCCTCCTAGCAACCCTCCTCCTTCCGGCAGCTGCTCTGGCATGTGGGGCCAGTGCGGCGGCCAGGGCTGGAACGGCCCTACCTGCTGCTCTCAGGGCACTTGCCAGCAGCAGAACCCCTGGTACTCTCAGTGCCTGTAAGCGGCTGACTTTGTCGGCTCGCGCTTCTGCTCCTGCTCCTCCTCTCGGTCTGAGGAGAAAACGGGGATCGAATAACACGGTTTCCCGGGCTCTCTCTCGGATCTGTCTCAATGTGGTGCGATGTATTTTGCTCTGGCGGACCGCTGTGGTGACTCCACTGGGTTGGGGGAGCCCCTGAATTCAACATTCGGGGGTTAGATGTGATGTGCTCGGAATCGCGTTTCCCTAGATACTATTGTCTCCCACACAATCAAACAAACCTCTTTGATCAACTTTGTTCCATTGTGTGCATGTGATATGAACACTGTTCTGCGTGGGCTCTTTTCTGTGGTGTACCTGTTGGCTACATGTACTGCTCAATGGTTGCTGACTGCCACAGAGCAAGATATGGTCAACTCGGAGAGCCACTATCCGAGAGGGAATCCCCATGAGTAACTTGGAGGTTCATCATTATCGCGCCCTACTTCCACTGGTTGTCCTATAAAATAAGGGGCCCTGGGCCAACGACATGCCCCAGGCCCACTGATATGACGTAACTAGACTCGGGTGGCTGCATAACACATGCAGCAATCTGCTGAGGGATCGACTAGCCTGGTTGTCGTCGTCTGCCGGATTCCGTTCCCGGGGAGGGAGCGACTTTAACTTCCGACTCGTACTCCCAACTCCGGCCGGTGGCCTTTTGCTACTCCGCAACTCCGTACCCCACGTCTAACACTATTCATCACCCCTGTACTCCTCCAAATAGCTACGAATTATGCCCCTGCAACGAGACTACGCCATCCCCGCAGATGCGCGGCAAATCGCCGAGATTCACATGGCGGCATTCGGCGCCAACGCCATGCTCCAAGCGACGTTCCCCACCCCCTCCGTCCGCGCGGCCCTCCACGAGACCATCCGAGCCAAGGCGGCAGCGGATATCCAAGACCCCAGGATCACGGTGCTCGTGGTGAGGGAGTCGGATACATGCACGCAGCAGCCGCATACTGTTCCGAGAGTCGTTGCGTTTGCCAAATGGTCACATCCCGTCCGGCAGGGCGAGGACTACACCGAGTCGCCTTGGGTGTGGCCCGAAGGAACCGACCGCGCCATATTAGACGCCTGGACGAATGCGACGGAGGAAGCGCAGGAGAGGGTGTTGGGCGGCAGGCCTTGCTATCGTATGTGGTCAGGCACCGTGCAACAAGTTACAGCCATGTGTATGAGAACTGCGTGCAGCTGACAAGACCTTCGGGACCAGGCCTTACGTTTCTAGGCACTGATCCGGCCCATGAGAAACGGGGAGCTGGGTCGTTGTTGGTCCGGTGGGGAATAGACCGGTCCGGGGAGGATGGTGTGCCTCTTTACTTGGAAAGCACGCTTGAAGCAGCACCGTTTGATCAGAACCATGGTTTCGTTTCTCGTGAGAAGGTGTCGGTGCGAATGGGAGGCGGCGGAAACTGTGTGCCAGAGCTATACGAGGAAATAATCTTCATCTTTGAGCCATAAAGGAGAAGTTGAGTGGGGACCATGTCATCATTGACGGTCTACTGTGAGGTTAAGGTAGGATGGATAATGGCTCCATGATTATGAGGCGGCGTAAGGTCGAATTCAATCATATAAAATCCTGCTTCATTCCGTTGGGTATCTCGTGTATGTGCGTACCTTACCCGACCGCGACCGAAGTAAAGAAAGGGGCAAAACAAAACACAAACTCCAAGAAATCTATCCCGTCCTGACGTGAGCTGTTTGGTCATGCATCCAATTCTCCTTCTCTATCCTCAGACACCTCTGACCCCACTGGATGGTGGCAAAAGCGCCGATAGCACCCCAAACCGACGGGACGGCCCAGCCCAAGGTATACGCCACCTCTTCGTCTATCGTCCAAGCCAACACGATCAACGCAACCCCGACCACCAGCGCGCTGACGGACCAAGCCCACAGCATCTGCACAAGCATCCGGCGGAAGCGAGGCGACGCATTGAACCGCGCCAACGCCGCCTCGCGATACGCCTTGCCCCCACCGCCATCACACCCCGTAATATCCTCCATGATACAGAAGGTCAGCGGCGGGCACACGTCCCCGACGACATGCGAACTCAGCCGATGGCGTCGCAGCCGCCACCCCAGATGGTGCGCAACACCCGTGTACATCATGTACACCGCGACCATGACCATCCCGACCGGCATGATGATGCTGAGACCCCGCATGACGGGCGGGTCGGGGATGCTGAAGCCGATCATGAGGGCCGTCATGGCGAAGTACGGCTGGCCGAGGACGAGGTGGGTGCTGTCGAAGTGCCAGCGACCGGGGTTTTTCAGCGGGCGGTAGGTGTCGCTCTTCTGGGCGAGGCGCAGGCCGCGCAGGCCGTACTCGCCGCCGGAGATGAAGCCGAACATGGCGGTGATGATGGCGAACATGGCGCCCGGGCGCATGTCGGTCAGGTTGGCGATGGTGAAGTAGAAGATGATGGGGATCAGGGTGCATTCCGTTAGGATGAGGAACCAGAAGAGCGTGATGGTTAGTTTGTGGTCGCGGAGGTTGTAGGGGAGAGGTGGTGGGCCCGCGGCGACGGCGGCGTCGGGATGCACGTCCTCTTCTTTCTCGGCGTCTAGTACCACTGACTGGGAAGTCACGGTGGACGCCGCCGACTCGTTGACCGCGGCGGCGTCATTTTCGACGGGCGGAATTGGGGAAGTTGAGACGGCCATTTCACCTTTCTTTTCGGTCATATCGTTCATGACAGTGGGGGGGTACCGTGTAGGTAGCTGGCGTCTAGCTGCCGCTCGGCCCGCTCCTGGTGGGTGAGTGGGTCGGACGGGCGCGGATAGTGGGGGAAAAGAGCAATGGGATTCAATGGTCCCTAGGATGGTAGATAATTTGGAGGATTAACCAAGGTAAGGTGTTAATAAGCTTCAGAGTGATTGTCCGAATACTTCATGCCATGGTGCGAATGTCTTCTTCAGAAATATCGATGGCCAGCAGAAAGAGCTCCGGGATCATGGTCCGCGGAGACGAGCCTGAAATTTAAACAACAGGCGAGGCGAAAAGCCATGGAGGTGCCAGAATCAGAATTCATAAGGTACTGACGCAAAGGAGCACAGATTGGATGAAAATCAGAAACTAATTCGGCATGGCGACCGGGTGATCGACATCATCTTTCACTCTGCCCGGGCGCTGTTCGGGACTTGAGTGGCAAATTGCCACCTGGAGTTGGAAGGAGATGGTGTAGATATTCAACCAACTTAAACTAGTCTGAAATATATCGCAAAAATGATAAAGCACTAACGTTTTTCGTAGAATGTGATATCGAATAAAAGGGAATCGTTCTCCACTAGAAGGTTCCCGGAATGAATAAATTCTCCGAGTTGATGGAAAGAAGAGGCAATCCCGGGGTGTCCGGCCTGTGTTGGTTGGCTTGTTGGATGTATTAGGTGCCACTTTGGTTGAGGCTGTACTTTGTGGGCTGGTGATGACTGGTTACCATGTACGGAGTCCACGACTACGGCCATGAATCTCGAGTTCTCGACTGAACAAGAATAAGGTACCTTACCTACCACGGAGTCGTAGGACGTACCTGAGGCAGTACGTGTACACAAACTGAATGGCCTAGGCAATCCCCGATTTACGGGAGGTCAATCAACCTTAAGGTACCTAAATAAGGTAAGGTACTTAGTATCCGTACTACACGTGTACAAACGAAGTCTGACCAATCCGAGAGGATGGATATTCACCGTAACATGGCTACACCATGACAAGTACAACGTACACGTGTACGGCGTCCTGGGGAAGTGGCCACCCTCCATCGGCGTTTACAACCCCTCCAAGTCTCTAACCCCGGACTATCCTCACCGGGTGACGACATTCAGTATCCGCCAGGCTTCGGGCTCAAGGACGTCGTAGCTTGGGGGATCACCGGTCTCGTCGTCCTTGACGCGGCCACCAAAACCGTCATCACGACACCCTTCGACCCCAAGTCCCGCGGTCTCATCGAGAAGGAACGACAGATCTACGAAAGGCTCACCAAATTAGCCAAACACGAGGGGATTCTGCCATGCCAGAGCTTGACGGGGGCAGGATTCGTCTCGAATACGCCCCGAATCATGACGTGCAGTCCTTTATCCGACGGCAGCACGTCGATCCTGGTCGCCGTCTCCGCTGGATGGCTCAGCTCACCGATGCTCTCGCTTTCATACACGACGCCGGCATCATCCACGGGGGATGTCACGACTGCGAACGTGTTCTTGGACGATAAGCTGAACGTTAAGCTTGCCGATTTTGCGGGGTCATCCATTGATTCGTTGCCGCTCCTCGTCTCGGTCACCGTCGCCTCCCTGGGCAGCTTGGGGCGTATTGTCAAGACATGCTGGGATGGAGGCTACGATGACAGTAAGGCTTTGGCGAAAGATCTCGGTTTCATGGGCTTTGGTAATCCCTAGAGGAACCATCATGGTCAAATGGGCTAGAGAGTCTGGCAACGCGACGTGGGATTGAGGGTGAGAAAGCTGGAAGCTGGAACTTGAACCGAGGTTTGAAAATCTTCTGGGCGTTGCGTTGCATTACATAAGCAGAATGATCTCATAACGCCCAGATTGCTGCGGAACAAGGTATGTGGGGATTTCTGGGACCGACCCCCCAACGATAAACACTACAGTCTACCACTTCACGCACTCACGCAGCATCAAATTCTGCATGTGGCCATGACCACCGTCCATGGCCGGATCAGTCAATAGACTGGCAACATCATGGCCCGAGACCAGCGATAGCCCTGCACCTCGCATGGTTGTCGCGTGTTACCATAGGGCCCAAGGCTTCAAGCAGCTAGACCCAGAGGCTAAGAGGGTCCGGTGCAATGGTAGAGTTCTGCAGTCAATAAACGGTATGTGCACAGCCTCCACCATTGACAGGTCCAAGCAACCCACATGATCCCCTATTCGTCCGTCGTGCTTGAACTGACTGCTCAGCCTCAATAGTAGCTTGTTTCAAAGTATGCGAGCGAGCCTCTTTTTGCTCTTGATGTGCGAAGTGAGGATCGGAGTTTTCCCCCGGACGTCACGTCAACTAATCACTTCGTCCGCTTCTCAACAACGCCAAGGGAGAACCCCACGAACAATGAACGTGGACATTCACTGTCTTTCGACTATGAGCAACTCAAACGAGGAAGTGATGGTGAATAATTGGCATCTTGGGACCACCCGACAAGCTCCGATGCTATTCATAGAACGACTGCTGTGAAGGACAAGCAGCCGCCGGACTCGCTGAGCCACTACCGGCGATGAAGCCACCACATCGAATACACCAGCTCGTATTTCAGCTTGGCGAGCGAAGTTGTGACTATCGCTTCCTCTGCGAGTGGTGCGCTGTCGATGGCATCGGAAGGAGAATCGACGGAATAGAGGACAAGAGGCTGGGGCCGCTGTGCCAACAGCAACGTGAGTCCAAAAAGTTTGCTTTGTTAGCTTGAACTGAAAGTCTATAAATCACAGCTCATCCCTCGCGAGTCTTTGGTTTTCAGACTACAAGATCATCAGGCCCCGAAGCAGAGAACAGCAACTACACTGCAACGGACAGACAACTTCTCCAAGCCCTATTATCCTCTTGTTGATCAGATCAGACAATCCGATACACATCCTCCCTCGTCTCTTACTTCCCGTTAGTCAAAGAAATGAAACCGACTCCTCTCGTTCTCCTTTCCCTCGGCGTCCTAGCCGGTGCTGCCCCTGCCGCGGATGGCCCTCTCAACCAACGGGCTACCGAGGGCAAAGGCCTTGCCCTGCGATCTCGGGAGTCTGATGTCATTGGCGCCGGCATTGCAGAGACCAAAGTCAACCGCTCTCTACGCCAGACAGCCAGTCTAAAGGCCCGTCGGCGGCGGTACCGCATCCAGCGCCGCCGTCCCGATGATGATGACTCGGGCGACGAGAACACGACCGACGATGAGGCCAGCAACCCAGTCGACGACAACACGGATAGCGACACGGATAACGATACCGATGTCGACACCGATGTCGACACTGACAATGACGATCCTCACCCAGGCCCGCCTCCCGCGGTCTCGGACCACGCACCTCCCAACCCCCCCGCCCCTACCTTTGCGCCGGGCCACGAGGACACCGATACCGACAACGACGGCCACACGACGTGTGAAGACGACGACGACGACGACGACGATGACGATGACCGTCGTGTGTGCACCAGGAGGCCGGCCGTTTCGGTGCAGCCGACGCCGACCGCCGCCGCCGATGGCAACAACACCGATCAGGATACCGATACCGATGCCGATTCTACGGACTGTGACACCGACACGGATGACGAGGATCGTCGGTGTAGGTCGACGACGACGATGACCCACGTCAGCACCATTCTCAACCCTACCAACACGCTGAGTGTGACGCCGACGCCGACGCCGACGCCGTCCGATGCGAATGACGGCGATGACTCTGATGATGAACCGGACCTTCCTACCAGCGGTGCGGAGAAGATGGACCCCTACAACCTTCGGAACGCTGCTGTCCTTGCTGGAGTTGTTGCTGCAGCGTTGGCCATTTAGTCTGGTTGTGTCAGTGTGCGAGAGGTAGATAAAGATGCCTCGGATACCCTTTTACATGCATCCGTTGCTTTCTTTTCCTCCTTGTTGTTTTCTTCTTTTTTTATTTGTTTGGGATATGTTGGGAAAGACATGTTCCTTTGTCCTTGAACACCATCATGTTCAATGTTTTTTTCCACCTGTCTCTTCCTTATGTTACCCATATTGGCTCACGAGAATGATGGAATGTTTTATGAGTATACCTATACCACTCCCTTACAGACCGAGACGTTGATTTATATTTATTGATCGGCAGGGTGGCCACCACCATGATCAATAACTACATGTACCTACCTTAAAATACTACTGTCCTTCCCGATTTGGTTCCCACCTGTGAAGCGCCCTGCATGGCATCTGGTTCTTATCTTGCCGACATATCCGTGATATCCTGGTGGGCTTCTACGAAGGGTCTAGAATCCTAGACGGTACCCGCTTACCCGTGCAGTACAAAGAATACAAGACATGTGAAGTCCTCGCCTAAGGTAAGGTAGGTACCTTACCGTACATGTCGTGATAACCAGGCAGATAAGAACTCCGTGTGATTTTGATGAATGGAGTTTCGATCGAACCCGGTACTTAGGTCACGAGATTTCAACAGGCTCCATGGACTTGAAACACAAGAATCCGGATGATGGTACGTCGTATTAAAACAAGTACAGATCATTATTAATCAATTCTCCGGAACCATAGCTGTGGTTCGCAAGTTTGACTCCATTGGCTCAACTTTGCTAGGTTTACTAAATTAGTAGGGCGGGATTCAATCAACGTGTGGGCGACGGCCAAGCGGGACGTCGCCCGGCCAGATAAGCAGAAGATTCAAAAAGATTCAAATGGCGAAAGGAGGCGAATTCCTAAGAGATCATGCGGATCTACGGGCCGGACCCCCACGGCCACGACGGATAACCTTTCTCGAACAACCTTGAACGGAACAGCCGCCCAGGGATGTTGCAAATGCCGACAGACGGCAGAGGTTGCCGACGCTGTACACGTACGTGGTAGGGCAGCAGGGCGTTGCGAACTAATAAGGTAAGGTAGTGTAGGTTGCGATCGCGATCCATTCTTATCTCGGTGGGTGGTCCGTACAACGCACCTTTAATTATTAAGGTAGGGTTCGCGAAGTAATCGAATAGAATGCCTCCGATTCCAGACCGAATTTTCTCGCTACTGATGAGACTCCCGCCCCGACAACACCGAAAGAGTACCTTCGTCTCCGTGTCCCAATCAGTTATTCCTAACCAACGTTACACGATTCTGATAACCGAGAAAATTTCTCTGTTTCTCGAATCATCACCGACCTTTTTATTTTGGGCCTGCATCGGGGAAGTGAACCGAACATCCATCCTGCTGACTGTCTCACGCTCTTAGACACACGACCCGTATATATATAATAGGTACCTACGTGTCATGCCTTACCGCTCTCTGATGTCTTGAACATTTTTCGTCCATCTTTCTGCCGCAAAGTGTGTGTTAATAAAGTCCATCTTGCCTACATCAACATCCAGTCTTCCATCTCACGACGCATCGTCTTTCTTCACAATACACAAACTTCGGTCACAGACTACCAAGACCAAGACTCGGAAATCAATCTTATTGTGTCATCATCCAACACAATACATAATACAACAAGCATTTCCGCGAGCATCTGCCCTCATTACATTGCGGCACATCCTCACCATCACCTCACCATCACCACACCACAATAACCCACAAAAAAGGGTCAATTTCATCAACTCTCGCACATCCACACAAAAACCACAAACCTCAACCCAAAATGTCCGACCCTAGCCGCGCCACGCACGGGTCGAATTACGCCAATGTGCACGAATACCGGCAGGCCATCATGCAACTCGAGGAGAGGAACAGCATCGCAGCACGAATGACCCAAATGAATGTCGACTTTTCCTCGAGCGGTACACGGGCCAACACGACTGCTTCGCGTGGACAGAGCGGCGATTCGAAACTGGTGGTGTCTGACGCCAGGCATAGCAGTCGGTCATAAAGGTCGCGCTGTTTAACAATCGAAGAAAAGAAAAGAACAAAAGAAAAAGAAGAAGAAAAAGAAGAAAAAAAAAACCCCGAGGAACCGAGTAATTACTTCATCACGACTTGGCAGCATTTCAGCGTCACGAGTAGCAATACGTTGTATACATGGATGGCGTCAGGGTCAGGGACCAATAGAACAGGCAATGGATTTGTGATTTTTTTTTCCTTCTTTTCGGCCACGGATATTCATAGACGGATGCACGTTTATTATGCAAACACGGCTTGCGCAATCGGACTTTATAGAATAATGCTACCTTATGCTTTGCAAATACCTCCTCGCTTGGCGATTTTCCACCCGTGTCCCGTCAGGTCGTGTGCCGGCTACCTGCTGAACGGAATAGGAGGTGAGATGAGCCGCAACGTAGTAGGTGACGGTAGCATGTGAACGTGAGGTGAGCCATTAAAGGCGTTTCGGATCCATCATCCCAGTAAACTCAACCCTGGCTGCTGAATGTCACCGACTGCACCCCTACACTACGTCTACGTGTACGTTGTACACTGCACCCTTGCAGCGCCACGCAGGTGCTGTACGTGTACCGATCTTCGCGGGGAGGGGCTTCCGGCATCCGCCATTCTGTGTTTGTTTCATCCCCTGGTGTATGGCGCGCCAACGCCCGCATCATCCGCCACTGGGGCATCCCGATTCCCGACACGCAACACCCCTTATCTCTACCACTTGACCTCACTCACGGCATCCTCCCGCCCATCCGGGTAGCCTGACCGACCAGCGAATGGGTCGTGTTGTCCGCATACCGCTTGTACACCTCCACGTACGCCGCCGCGTCGCTCATCGTCCCCCTGACGCTCCTCCTCTCATGCACGGCATCGAACCACACCCGCCACCGGACCCAGTCCTGCTCGTTCTCGCCGCCGTGCTCGGGCGCAGGGACCCCCACGCCCCCGGGCTTGTAGTGGTCGAGGAGGAACAGCCTCACGGCCCAGGGCGCCAGCATGGCGTCGACGAGGGAGAACTCCTCCCCGAGGAAATACGGCAGCGTGTCGTCCATCTCGCGCACCAGCAGCCGCAGCTGCTCGAGGAAGTGGGCCCGGGCTTCTGCGAGGGCGGACGCGTCGGACGGGTCCTGCTGGAGGAACTTGTAGAAGGCGGGCACGATGCGGGTGTTGATGTGGTCGATCCACAGCCGGCACCGGGCCCGTTCGTAAGGGTCGTCGGCCGGGAGGAAGCGCGGTGCCGCCGCCGCCGCCGCCGTCGCCGCCCCGTACTCGGTGGTCGTGTTGGTGGTGGTGTCGGCGAAGGCCTCGTCGAGGTACTCGGCGATGACGGTGCTGTCGTAGAGGGGTTTGCGCGGGTTGCCGTGGTCGTCGGGGGGCACGGCCAGGGCGGGGACCAGGCCGCGCGGGTTGATGGCGAGGAAGGACGGGTCTTTGCGGTAGGGGTTGATTTCGACGTATTGGTAGGGGATCTTTTTCTCTTCGAGGATGATCCAGACGCGTTGCACGAACGGGCAGAACCAGCTGCCGTAGAGCGTGACGGCGGGCTCTGCGGAGTGTTGGGAGATGAGGCCGGCTGCGGCGCCCGTGGCGTGTTCGGGGATGGACGTGTCGACTGAGGCCATGGTAGTGAGGACGGTAAGATCGAATTCGAGGCGTACGAAATGGAGATGCCCAGGATAGAATCGTAACTCGTGAGGGAAGTGGTGATAAGAGTGAGAGATGCCGCGGGTTGTTCCTTATCGTGAGATTCATCGTGGGGGTTTCAAAAAAACCATAGGCTCGTGCTCGCTCTGTGGTGATGAGGCAACGATGACGTATGAATTGGAGTGGAGGGTTTGAGGTGAGCATCCGTACACCGACAACTGTACGAAGTACCGAAGTACAAACAAAGTATTGGATCCGGAGGTCGGACCGGACAAGTCACAAGAGTCGGGCACTCCGACGAGATATCAATCGGAGAATATACAAGTCAAGAACCCGGTAACCGTACACTACCGAGTGTAGTGCATACCTACCTAGACAGGTAAAAAACAATAACATTCGAAAATATTGTCCATGTACTTACTAGTAGTACCTGTGAGGGTATTCGGGCCGTCGTCAACAGGGACGGTCAGTGATGGCGGTACTTTCGTACGGAACTTCGTGAGGTACCTTGTACAATTCAGACCATTCACTCTTACGGAAATGCTTCCTATTACACGTGTATGTTCAATGTTCCCTTTAGAGATCAACAAACATTGGCCCATTTCAATCCCCGGACATTCCTCCTCTCTTCTGCCCCTTTTTCAAGTGGACTTGATGGTCGGTCTCGCCTCAGTCACCAGTCACCGGGCGTGATAATCCGCCAAGGTCGCATCGCAGGCCGATGCACGTGTCCCGATGCGAAAGGGGACGGACATGCATGAATTCATGTAGGGGTGGCTCCTCGGACGTGTCCTGCCTTTTATGCTTGCAGGGATATATCCAATTCTGCTCGGATTCAATGCTTTGCTTTCAGAGTCGGGACTCTTCTGCATTGATTGCGAGTCCATAAGCATTGAGCACGCCTTGGATAACGGCTCAGCGATTGGCCCAGGGGGTCGTGGATTATACCTTATGGATAATATCACCGCCCCTGTCCCTTACTTACAGCGTATCCCCATCGGAATTATCTGCGGACCTCTCGGGTTTGAACGAACAAGGACCTCTGATCTGCTGATAACCGACCGCCCGGATTCAATCGGTTACCTCGTGCTGCTTCCACAGCGAGATTCTTACCATCAGTCATCTCATCGGCTCAGTGCGATGGCCCCAAGACGGGGCATCTAGCTATTTCGAGAGTGGAATCCCGACAGCACGCCCAGGGACCCGGGGGGGCGCGAGACCGAATCAAACATCCCAATCTTCTCACGTGTTTACGAAGAACATTCAAAACGTGCATGTGGGCTCGTGGAATCAACATCCTTCCCACACGACACGCCAGGCCCATTTCTATCATGTCGCCGGGTCGTCAAGTCAAATCAACAGCGGTGCAATGCACGAGAATCTGTATAAAAAGATGCGTGCTTCTTTGGCTGCATGATGTGTGCTTTGCGAAGGGCTGATGGGTCAGGTCGCCTCTCATCACCCTCAAACTGTGTGTTCAGTGGCTGCAGATCGCCAAGAAGCCGTCAAACGAACGCATCCGCTTCCCGAAGCACCCGAAACCACCCGAAAGCACCCGATCATTGCTCGATCGATTGGTAGACCATGAGCTTCCTTCCTACCTTGGCCTTCGCCATCGTGGCAACCGCTGGCGCCGCTCACGCTTTGGGCGCCGGCACGTCCTTGGACCCCATCCAACCGGTTTTGCTTCCGGATGGTGCTCTTGCGAAAAATCCCCTTGCCCATCTCGGAGCCAACGGTCCTTGGGTGGCCGGTGAGTCTGAGTCCCTAAAAAAAAACATCCAACGCCCTTAAACGTCTCAACTGTTTATTGACACGATCCCGCGCTGCCGTGCAGCCCCTCCCGTCACCGGCATCTCGACTGAGATCCCCGAAAACTGCCACGTCGATCAGGCTGCCTATGTCCTCCGCCACGGGTCTCGGTATCCCGACACCGGTGCTCATAATGGTTGGGTTGAGATGGCACGCCGTGTAAGTCCAGTACCTCTTCCGTGGAAATGTCGTTGCCAAAGGGGGAGAAAGAAAAAGAAAGAAGAAATCGGTATCATGTGGAAACCGTCAGCTGACCCTTAAACCTCATCTCAAGTTCAAGGAGAGCAACTACACAGCTACCGGCCCTCTCTCCTTCTTCCACACCTGGGACACTCCTCTCACGGACCCCGCCATGCAGATCGCCCAGCTCAGCAAGACAGGCTACAAGGAGCTTTTCGACCTCGGATACACCCTAAGGACACGGTATCCCGACCTATATAACGAGGGAGAAGAGTTCTTTGTCTGGGCCAACAACTACACCCGCGTGATCCAGACTGCCCAACTCTTCGTCCACGGCTACCTCGGCACCAACTCCTCCCTGGGCACCGTCATCTCCGTCACCGGCCGCGGCATGCCCGCCCACCTAGGCGACACCCTGGCCCCGTCCGACATGTGCCCGACCTTCCGGGACGACAGCAGCCGGCAGACGGCCGCATGGCGCTCCGTCTGGCTCCCTTCGTTCATCGGCCGTCTCTCGCAGTACGCCGAGGGCGACCTGCACCTGGACGACGGCCACTGGAACGACTTCCCTTATATTTGTGGGTTTGAGTCCCAGATCACTGGCCGCCTGTCGCCCTTCTGCGACACGTTTACCCAGGAGGAGCTCGCGCAGTACGAGTACCAGCAGGACCTCCGCTACTACTACGGCGTCGGGCCGGGAGCGGACGTCGCGTCCAAGATGATGGTTCCGTTCCTTCATGCCCTGATGGGGCGGTTCGTGGAAGGTCCTGAGAGTGAGGGCGTCCGGGCCGACGGTACCCCGTTTACGCTGCCCAAGCTGCTCATGAGCTTTCTCAATGACGGACAGCTTAACCAGCTCGCCGTGGCTACCGGGGTGTTTGACGAGCAGAAACCGCTCCCCCTCGACCATATCCCCGAGGACGGCGACAGGTTGTGGAGGAGTTCGCGGATCTCGCCCATGCGCGGCACCATTGCCTTCGAGCGCTTGAACTGCAGGGTTGAGCGGGGTGGTGACGATGACGAGGAGGAGGACGATGGCGCATCGACCACCACTACTAGGGCGTGTATCCCCCGCCCGACTGCCACGGTACCCATTGTGAAGCGTGCGGAGGGCGGTCGTAATGAGACGTTCGTTCGCATTCGCATCAACGAGGTGCCGCATGCTCTGCCCTCGTGTCATGACGGCCCCGGCAAGTCGTGCCGTCTGGACAACTATGCCGCTTACATCGCGGATAGGCTGGAGGCCCATGGGGATTTTAGGGAGATTTGCAATGCGACGGATCCGGCTACCCCTAGTGAGGTTCTCGGCGCGAGCTTTTTCACCAACTTGGCGCAACCGCATCTACAGTATGTCCGGCCTTAGTTGGACGATTCGGTCTGGGGTCTCGCAGATTCAGACTTGTAGTATACTCATTACTCTTACTATTTAGCACAGATAGATTACCCATGTCATGTCAGGCGTGATGCCATCATCTCTTCCAGATCAGAAACCGCGCACGTTCATAATCCCGCGTCTTTCCCCATCAGCAGAAACACGCTCCGGTATTCCCCATCCCTCAGAAACTCCCAGGCAAGTCGTCCACGGGCGTCACCTTCTTGACCACTTTGGCCGGGGACCCGATGGCGACACTAAAGTCGGGAATGCTCTTGGTCACCACGCTGCCGGCCCCAATGGTGCAGCCCTTGCCGATCGTCACGCCGGGCATGATGGTCACGTTGCCACCGATCCAGCAGTCGTCGCCGATCACCACGGGGCCGGCATATTCGATGTAGTCGCGCCTGGACTGCACTTCGACTTCGTGCGTCGCGGCGAAGATGGAGACGTACGGGCCGAACATGACCCGGTGACCGATTGACACGAGGCCGCAATCGAGGATGACGAGGCTGGCCGTGTTAGTTGGCGTCTAGTCAAGGGAAAGACAGTCAAGGGGAAAAGAAAGAAAGAATTGAAGAAAGATTGAAAGAAAAGGCTCACCCAAAGTTGGCATAAAATTGGTCTCCGAGGATCGTGTTGCAGCCATAGTCAAGGCTGAAAGGCGGCTCAATAAACGGCTCCTTCCCCACCTTGCCGAGTTGCTTCCGGAGCATGGCTTCCCGGTCGGCCGTCAGGGACTCCAGCGTGGCGTCTTCTGGGAAGTAGTTGTTGTATTTGTGCATAAACCGGCGGGCCTTGAACCGGCTCTGGAAGAGCTCGGGGGCCAGGCTGTTGTAGCTGTACGTCGATGAGTGTTGTGAGCATATACGGGAGACAAACCGGATATCAGCCCCAGCTTCCAAGCAGGATCCCTTACAGCATTCCGGAGATCATCTTCTCGTAATCATCACACCAAGGGACGTTGTCGAGAGACTTCGCGACCTCGATGGCCTCTTGGTCCTTCTCGGTGGCGGCCATGTCGTCTGGGGAGTCGGATGTCGGGAGCTTCGAGTGTAAGGCGGGGTGAGCGATCGCTGATCGGTGACGAAGCGTTCAGTCTTCGATTCGAAGTGCCAGCAGAGGACAGGGGATCTGAGTCTGGCTGGCAGATGATATCGCGGGCCCGAAGATGGATTTTGACACGCGCGGCAGGGATGTTGGATTGACGTTGCGACGCTGATGGATCAAATGCTACCATATATGTGTGCATGTGGTGAATAGGAAAAGCATTGCCGATCATTCATCCCGCTGGGTGTATTGTATGTATGTGTGGGAAGAAGCGTCGTCCGCTGATGGTTTTAAGGAGGACAAAGGACAAGTCGCGGTAGTGCGGGCCGGAAACGGACGGACGTCAGCAGGTGTCACAACGTAGATGGGAGCGGAATTGCCTAAATAGGCAAGTCAAGCGGAAGTGCCGAGAACAGTTCCTCTTGACTCGATATCACCCTCGTGTCTTAGGGGGCGTGATAAACACGAGAAATCCTATATAGGACTAGACTTGTGTTAAGTTGTGGCCGTTAATGAAGTGAGAAAGTTTTGTTAATCGGGTGTTGAGTTGCGGCGTGAGAGCAAGGTTAGTGTTTTTGCTCGGCTTAGAAAACATTGACGTTTCTATAAAACTAAACAAAAGGGGCAAAAGCAAGTAGCAATGAAGAAAGAAATAACAAGAAGTAAAGAGACAAAGGGTTCATAAGTCAGGTCTCGAGATATAACTTAAAGAGAGAAATAACATCAACTAAGAATAGTCATCTTAAGAGATATGACTGCTGGATTTAATACTGGTGTTAGTCCTATTCAGAAGCTTTAGGAGGAGGGAATACTCGTGTTAAAAGGTTTGTTAGACTACTATATTAGTTAGTTTACCCTACGAAGATAGACTATCACGAAATCTATAAAACGCCCCTATTAGCCATGACCAGGGTCTCCTTAACTCCGAGATCTGACCTGGTGTCTTAGCTCGAGTCCCTGATGGATTCACGACATGTAACTGCCGTGTCCATGCCGATTCCTACCCTTATTCGGCCGATTAGAAATACTTCGACCGGTCTGAGTAAGTCACGGCCCATTACAAGCCTTCTACCAAGGGGGTTTCAGTGTGATAACTTTCTTTTTCCATCATTGTCAGAGAGAAAGGGGTCTCTAGTCTTCTATGCTCCAGGTCTTCATCTGCATCTGCAGCCTATGTAGAGGGTCCCGGGGAGTTTCTGGGGATCTCTAGGTAACATGAGAGAAAGAATCCCGTGCCAATGCCGCCTTATGCAAACGTGGGGCACAGCGCCAGAAAACACACCGAGTGGTGATCTTGTCCTGCATCAACGTGGGGCCCTAAAGCCCCTTTTTGCCGCGAAAAGAAGCCATGGTGTCATTGCCATTGGTCAACCACCTGTCAGGTCAAAGTTGCACTCGGGGAGTTGATATGTAGAACTGATTGGTCAGGTCTGGGAAGCTGACGGGCTCGGGAAATAAGAGCTGATCCCGTTGCAGAGAGATTTGATCCTGATTCCTCATGCTTGCTGCCGCCTGCGGGCCGCGGTTACAGTTGAGGCTACAGGGCACAGGCTACAGGCTCTACAGCCTACCATGCATGTGCTGACCTGATCCTTCTACCATATACACACTGAATGCACCTGTGCTGTGACTTTAGCCCCCTGGAAAATAGTGCATGTGGCCAACTGCAGAGCGGCGCAGGTGGTCGAGAATCGAGATGCCTCCGCTGCAGCGACAAAGCCCTGAGCGTCTGTGGACAAGGCCGTAAACTCGGACACCGCTCGTAGTATACATGTAACCAACACGTCTCCTCAATCCCCCAGTGACCTCTCCTGAGTCTTCCCCCTCAATTTGCCATCGTCGATTATCCTCCCCAGCGGGCCCAGCCCTCTCCTCAGAGCCCCTCGAGGCTATCGTCCATCTGCCCATCCTTCAGACAGACCTCTGTCTCCCTCTCTCCCTCTCTCACTCTCTCCCCCCTCTCCCTCTCTCTCGAGTCTCAACCTCTCTCGCTCTTTCTCTGTCTACTAAGCCATCGTCGCACGGCTCCAACATCTCACTCAGTACACGCTTTCACCCCCCCCTCGTCCGCCCACCATGTCCGACATAGGCGCCGACAAGAATGCGGCGTACATCACGACCTACTCGCCCTCCTTCCTAACCCACATCTACGACAGGTATGTCCTGGGCTTCAACATGAGCATCATGTGGGGCTGCCCAGTCGAGAGCATCCTCCTCCCCTTCTTCAGCGAAAATTTCTCGCGGAACCACCTCGACGTCGGCGTCGCCACGGGCTACTTCCCCGCCGCCGCCCTCGCGCGCCCCTTCCGCCGCGACAGCAAGCAGCACCTCACCTTGCTGGACCTGGGCCCGAACCCGCTGCGCGCCGCCTCGGCCCGCGTCCTCTCCGTCGCCACCGCCACCGAGCTGCGCTGCGTCGAGGCCGACGTCACCGAGCCCCCGCCCGACGAGCTGCGCGGCAGCCGCTTCGACTCCATCTCCATGTTCAACCTGTTCCACTGCGTCCCCGGCGGCAAGGCCAAGTTCCGCGGCCTCGCCACCTTCAAGGGCCTGCTGAGCGAGAACGGCGTCCTGTGCGGCTGCACCGTCCTCGGGAACGCGCACGCCGCGAACTGGTTCACCTCCAAGTACCTCTGGCTGTACAACAAGCAGCTGCAGGTCTTCCATAACTACGACGACAGGAAGGAGGACGTCCTGGAGGTTTTGGAGAGGGAGTTTGAGGAGGTCGAGACGTGGGTTATCGGCACCATGATGTTGTTTAGGGCGAAGAAGCCCAAGAAGACCCCCGTTGATGTGCAGTGATTCTGATGGCTCAACGAATGCTACGATGCGTATATCGAGATCTCCCCAACAAGCCCCAAGCGTCGTGACTCGTGAGACTGCGATGCCATAACTGGAGTTGCTTCGAGTAAGTGAAAAGGGACGTGGAAATTATTCTGCGGGTATGACAAGGTTCATCGTCCATGGTGAGAGCTTTTGGACTTACTCTTCTCAGGTATCGCTTAACACCGCAAGACACATGGGAACGTAAGCTTGGAGAAATGTTGTATCAAATTGCTATGGTAGATGAGGAACATGCATGTACTGATGTGCTGGACCTGGATGCAGAGCTTAACAAACGGATCCTATACTACTATGGGCTCTTATGCATAACTGGAAGTTACTGTACATATAACCACAATGTGTTTAAAAACACTCTGATTTCAATTTCTAGGGCGATTTGGCACAGCTTCCATCTATACTACCTTCAAGTCTAAGACTAAAAACTTCCACGTATGGCAAAACAGAACTCGATACTGATATTGGAATATTTATTGGGGAGAGATAGTTATGTACGGAGCAGTGGGTAAAGTAAACTATCTTTTGAAGCTTAGGCTCTCAGCCCCTGGATCTTGATGGGCCACAATACTCCAGTTGCTGTGGCGGTTAAAGTTACTACAAGAGGCACCTCGGTCCCTAAAAGACCAACACCAACAACGGAGTGTAGGGGGGTTGCAAGACATTTGGAGACCCCTCAAGCAAGTGTCTATAGTGTAACAATAACCAAGTCTCGGGAGTGCCTTGTTGTGTGCAGAAGCTTCTCTTTGCCTCGACCCCTATTCTGTCAGTGCCTAGTTGGTCAGACATGTACCTACCCGGTCTCTTTTGGAGCAACATAACGGCTGTTAGTATCATCAGGTTTCTAGTTCTTAAGGAATCCTTGCTACAAAGTCAAACTCTTGCTAGCTGTGGTTCCCAATGACAGTTTCATGGAGTATCTGTCGCACTTTAGCCAACAGATAACGGAGCGAATAACTAATCTCAAGGTCACGCCATGCTCAGGTCGTGTCTCGCCAGACAGGTCTCTTACTTTGAGATACACGTCTTACTTTATGACTAGCTATAACTTATCGATCAAGAGCAAGTGCATGCTGCTATGGCGGGTGTGCTTCCACGACACTTTCACCCCCAAGTCAACATATCTCATGGTTCTACCTCACTCTTCCCGTCAAACCCCCGGGCTACTAAAGTTCTGAGGATTCTTATAGGTTCACAAGTGTCAGTTGGGAATGGCATTCTCTAACCGTGTATGAGAAGAAGACAATACGATGCGACCGCCGTCTTTGACAACTACCACCTGCATAGCTGGTCTTTCATAATCCCACGAACTACAAATTCTTGGGCAATGCTAGTCAACACCACGCCGGGGCGAGAGGGTCACGACACCAGAGTCTGCCTGTTCGTGATTCACTTTCCAATTCCCAGCAACGACTTCACGGTCAACTCTCTCGAACGAAATGCTCGGGTTACGCCAAATAGGTTGTCCATGGTTGACGGTAGTGTACTATCATGGTCTACTATCATGGTCTCATGGGTGCAAGTTGGCAGGTCTAGGCAGGAGGACCCGGAAAGCGCCGCAATGTTTGCTTATGGCAGCTGGAAGCACGATCTAAGAGCATCGCCGGCAGAGCCAAAGGCAAGTTCGTGATGCCAGCGTAGCGTATGTCGTGTCTCTGGACGGCCGGGGCTGCTTATGTTGGCGCATCCGAATCTTGACCCCATAGATATGTCTCCCTGTTATGCTCTCCCCTCGGAACTCTCACGTCGAGATCTGGAGAACGACATGTGCGGTGATGAAGGCCGAAACTCGCGGATAAAATCATATTTGATACGTCCGCTTAAACAGGGTCAGAAATCTAGCGCAGCACATACACGAAGGCATACCGCATACGTTGCACGTTGGCCCAAAGCAACCGATATATCACCGAATACGGACCTGCATCCAAGGCCAAAACGAGAACAAACTTGGACACTTGTCTGTACGACTGCCGAAAACTTGCTCAACAGGGGAGTGCCGACTCGAATGAAGGGGGCTCACAGGGCACTCGGGACGTCTCTCCGAAATCAAAAACCTCACGCCAACTCACATGTCCGACTGTCCGATCCGGAAGCGGGGGATCGGCAGTTGATTCTCCCCGACTCGGAAGTCGGACATGCGTCCGCGGACCGCAATATTTCCACGGGGGGACCCAAGCCTCGCCGATCCCATCTATCCCCGACGGGGGCAGCGCGTCATCGGCCACGGCCCCATTTCCTTATAGCGTAACCGGTCCTCTCACTTCCGTAGGATCGACAGTCCAATACACAAATCGGGCATCGTCAGTCCTGGTAAAAGAACGGCAAACCGACCCTTTGACTTGGGGCAGAGTGCCCTCAACTTTTCTCGACAACCAGGAAGTTGGAACCATAGCGCAAGAGAGCTTGGATCAGCGGCAGCCAATCCATGATCGTACCGTGTACGGCGTAATATGGATAGTCGGCAATTCTGTCAGGTCCCTCCTTCCGAGATCTGGGGTAGTGAAAGGTGATCACCAGGGGAGCTCCTTCTCAGGGGGAACTGCCGAGCTGGCTGGGTTCATACCTTCGAAGATGTTCGTATAAAAGTCCCGCCATCCCATCGTCATGTTGATCGGGAGGATATCTTGATCCCACCACGTCGCCCACCCATCGCCTACGTCCTCTTCCTCCCTCATCACCTAAAGTACTCCTGACTCCAGAGTTCCCTCCTCGAACCTCGTCCGCCGCCTGCAGAACTTATCGATCTATCTCCTCCAACGTGCACTCACCATGCGTTCCGTCCCCTTCCTCGCCGTGGCCGCCGCCACCACCGTAACGGCCCTCCCGCACCTCCAGGCCCGCCAGAGCGACAGCAACCCCTTCGAGGGCCGCCAGCTGTACGTGAACCCGAACTACAGCGAATCCCTCGAGCAGACCCGGGAAGCCTTCCTCGCGCAAGGCGACACCCAGAACGCCGGCAAGGTGCGCTACGTGCAGGAGCGCGTCGGCTCCTTCGTCTGGGTCCCCACCATCAGCCACCTCAAGGACATCGACGCCGCCATCGCCAACGCCCGCGCTGCCCGCGACGCCACGGGCCAGGACCAGGTCGTCGGCCTTGTCCTGTACAACCTGCCCGACCGGGACTGCAGCGCCGGCGAGTCCGCGGGCGAGCTCCGCCTCGACGAGAACGGTCTAGAGCGCTACCGCCTGGAATTCGTCGACCCCTTCGCCCAGAAGGTGAAGGAGGCCTCCGACCTTACCTTTGCTATCGTGCTCGAGCCCGACGCAGTGGGGAATATCGTGACTAACCAGCAGGTCGAGTTCTGCGCGAATGCTGCCGAGCCGCACCAGGAGGGCATCGCCTATGCTGTCTCGCAGCTTCAGGCCGATAATGTCGCTCTGTATATCGATGCCTCCCATGGTGGTTGGCTGGGTTGGGACGCCAACCTTGCTCCGAGTATGCCAACCCCGCCCTTCCTCTCTCTCATCTCCCTTCCTTTGTCTAGACCACACAAACTTCTCGCGAGTCGCAGCCACCTAGACAGACCCCTGACACCTAAGCTAACGCTCTCAAAAAGCCGCCCAAACCTTCGCCTCCATCGTCCAAAGGGCCGGCAACAACAGCCGCGTCCGCGGCTTCTCCACCAACGTTTCCAACTACAACGCCTTCCACGAGCCGGTGCCCCCTCCCTTCACCGACGGCAGCAGCTCGTACGACGAGTCCAGCTACGCCTCCTCGCTCGCGCCCCACCTCGAGGCCGAGGGCCTGCCGGCGCGCTTTATCGTCGACCAGGGCCGCGTCGCCATCGAGGGCGCCCGCGAGGACTGGGGCGAGTGGTGCAACGTCGTCGCCGGCTTCGGCCAGCCCGCCACTACCCAGACCGATAACCCGTATGTGGACGCCATTGTCTGGGTCAAGCCTGGCGGGGAGAGCGATGGCGAATGCGGTCTGGAGGGCGCCCCTATTGCTGGTGCGTGGTTCGACGAGTATGCCCAGCTTCTTGCTGTCAATGCCCATTCGGAAATTGTCCCCCTGGAGTAAGGGAGAGTCGAAGAGTGGCCCGTGGCGGATGTGAATGGAGAAGGCAGAGGACTGGTGGCAGGTCTTGATGATGCATGTGGAAAAGAAAAGGGGGGGGGGAGATGTTCTGCAGTCTGTGATGCACACATCAGCAACCTTTCATTCACCTAGATGATATTGGTCGATCCGCCTCTCCGGACAATGCGGATTCGCTCCCTAGATGTAAGCATATAAGAATTCATACAAACATCGATTTTACTTACCGAGATTCCTGCCTGTGGATCTCACTCGATCCTTGGCCTCAATGGCAAATCACTAAGTGATATATATGTGCGACATCAGTGAGAAGACGCCGAAACTCCAAAGTAAACAGTTGAGCTGTTCATTCCACCTTGACCAAACATACCCTGGTCATGAACAAGTCTAACCTTTAAGTCCGAACCGGTTCCGCTGAAATTGTATCCCAAGACCGCCTGAAGCCCGGCATTGAAAAGCCGATGTAATGCATAAATCAATCGCTCCGTCCCGTCAAATATGCCCAGAGTGACAAAAAAAAAAAAAGAAAAAACCCCCCAAACGCCATGCCGCTCATTCAGATGAAGACCTCGATGATACCGCCTCCTTACTTTGCGCATTCAACACCGCGCTCTCCACCGCCGCAGCAACGTCAATGTGGAAGAAAGGCCGATTCGTCCCCTGCACGGCCGCCAGTTTCCCGTCCGCATGCCCCGCAACCTGCGCCACCCCATCCGAGGCAGGCGGCGGCGGCGGCGGCGCTGCAGCGATGCCGTCCTCTTCGTCCTTGCCCAGCACTTTCTGGGACGCTACCACATCCGGCCTGTTGTCGACTTCGGAGGAGTGGTCCACGGCCGCAACACTGAAAATGGGGCGCCAGCGGCCGAGGTTGTCGGCGTCCTTGATGGACGGGTATCCGAAGCCGGCGGCCGCGAGGGCGCGCCGCGTCCAGCGGTTGTTGACGTTGGCGAAGTGCCATTCGACGATCTCCGGGTCGGCGTAGCGGTCTAGTTGGTTGCGGACGTCGATGAGGCCCTGGATGGAAGTCACGTCTACGTTGTTGACGGAGGCGCAATCGAGCACGACGGCGCGGAGGATGGGTCGAGTGTCATTCATGTCGACTTTTTGCCCGCGACGGGGACCCGGGTCGTTCCATGGCCGGTCCTGTGGGAAGGAAAGCAGGTCAGATGACGGTAGACTTTATAGATCATGGGTCCGGGGGGGGGGGGATATGTTCCCAAAAAGAGTCAAAAACGTACCCCAATCTTGTCGAAGCGATCCAAGACGGTGCGTCGCGTGTGCTTGAAAACATGGGCCACCAGGGCGTCCATATAGTGAGCCTGGTTGGTGTAGTTGAAGCCTTCGCCAAACCGGAAGATGAAAACCCCGGGGTGCGGGGACTGGATATCGATGTGGGGGTTCGAGCCGTCGTCCTTGTCAACGGGGATGAAGGCCTCACGGGTTTCAACCTGGACAGGCTCGCCCTTCTCATCAAAGGGGACGCCCTTGCCTGCGGTCTCCCTGGTGACGCGGTAGATCCGGACGCGACCCATGAAGTGGCCCTTGGCCTTGGCCAACCGAATCAGAAGCAAGGCGAAAGATGCGATTATTGTCAGATAAATGCCGTTTTCGATGTTGGTGAAGACGGTGAGAAGGACACCGCCGAAGAAGATGAAAACCTCGAGAGGCGACACCTCCCAGAACTGATAGACGACATTGGGCGGGGTGATGAGGTCGCCGACAGCGTGGATAATCAGACCTGCCAAGCTGGCCATCGGGATGTAGAAGAAGACGACAGTAAGGACGTAGATGGCCAGCAGCACGATGACGGCGGTAAAGATACCGGCCAGCGGGGTGCGGACGCCGGCCTTGGACTTGATGGCGGTTCGGGAAAAGGAGCCGGTGGCGGGATAACCGCCCAAAAAGGGCCCGAAAACGTTGGTGAAGCCGACGGCTACCAGCTCCTGGGAAGGGTCGATTACATAGTTATTGATTCTGCCGAAAGACTTGGAAATGGCGATATGCTCGATAATGAGGACGATAATCGTGGCGGGCAGATCTGGCGCCAAGGCGCCAAGAAGCGTGGGGTTGATTATGGGAACGCCAGCATGTCGGAACCCTGCCGCACAAAACACCCCCACTTGTCAGCAACGAATCGGTCAGGACTCGGGGGGGGAGGGGGAGGCGGGCCGCGGGCCAGCTGAGGAGACTGCTTTTTCTCCTTACCACTAGGTACATCTCCCAGGATGCGGAACCTGGCGAGGTCGGGGTCCGAGATGTGTCGATTGGCAAGATAACTGATGAGAACGTAGAGGAGGATGACGAAAGCCATGCGCAGGGTGGACATGAAGAACCAAAACTTCTTCCATTTGGGCTGCCTGCGCGACATGAAGTTGCAGAACCAGCGCAGAAGGTAGAGGAGGAAGAGGGCGGACATGCCCATGGCGGCGTTGAGGTTGGCCGTCGGCAGGGCCTTGAGGGTGTCTATGATGACCTTGTAGGTGGCCTGGCGGGTGTTGACGCCCTCAATGCCAAGGAGGGCGGGGACTTGGCCGCATGCGATGCTGAAGGCGGCGCCGGTCATGAACGAGGTGATGGCGACCAATGGGATGAATTCCACGACCCATCCCAGACGGACCAGACCGATGAAGAGGAGGACGGCGCCTGCGATCAGGGCCAACGCACGGGCGATGTCCTCGGGGGCGAATTCAGGGTGGTTGTCGCGGACCCGCAGGACGACGTTACCGACCAGCTGGGACATGACGGCCACGGTGCCGATGGTGATGTCCTTGGAGGTGGCGAAGGCCCAGTACAGCAGGAAACCGACGAAGGAGGTGTAGAGGCCATATTCGGGGCTCAACTGGGCGAGCAAGGCGTAGGCCATGCCCTGGGGGATGACGACGAACCCCACAGTCACACCTGTGAGATGAGGGCAAAAATGCCTGGTCAGCTGGAGGCTCATTCTCGTCGTTTCTGTCTTTCCGCTGTGCTTCCTCTCCCTCGCTCTTATTCCGTCTTTCCTCTCCTCTCCCCTCCCCTCCCGCTTCCAGTTCCAACTTCCACTTTCACCTCCACTCCTGGACCCTGGGGACAACTTCAAATGAAGGGCGTGTCATTCGTACCTGCAATAACATCGCCTAGCAACCATTGCCAGTTGTAGTGGAAAATCCACGATAGGAAGGGGAAAAGGCTTCGGGCATATTCCTGGGTACCCCGGAGAGTGGGCCGATGGTAAAGCAGAAACTCCTTGACGGTGGGTTCCCGCTCCTCGTAGAGCTCGATGGATTGGAAGGAGTCGGCGGCCGAGCGGAGTGCGTCCTTAGGTTCGTGACGCTGACGATAGTCGAGGTCGATATGGAGTCCCTTCGCTACGACGCGGCCGAGCTTGTTGGGCGCCATACCTGCAGCCAGCGGTGCGGTGGTATCGTCTTCGGGACGCTCCTCTGGGTGAGTTACAACTTACGCCCGCTTGTTCTCCTCACAAGGGTGCCCGGGCAGCAGCTGCTGGCTCCTGAGGGTCCTTGGGCGACGTGTGAACGCGAGCCCTGACTCGTTCCAGGCGACGACGACGTGCTTGCTGGGGAAATGAGAGAATATCGTGGCTGGAAGTAGGACTCTGGCCAAGACTGAAGGAGACGGGTCAGTCCCTATTTATGGAGGACCATAAGAAGCGGGCTAGGGGAGGGAACGAGAGGGAAAAAAGAAAACAGAAAAAAAAAAGATTTCCGGGGCCCCTTGCACGCTCAGAGTGGCATAGGTTACCGGTATTCGCAACGAAGTGGCCAGTCCATCGCCAAGGTGGGAAGAGTGGAGAGGGTTTAAAAAGCAACTTGAGCAAGCCGAGAAACGAGGAGTTGGGGGTGACGTCTGGCGAAGTGGGACAGGTACAGGTACCTGGACAAGTACCTGTACATGAGCGGTCTCAGTGAGAAACCTAAAAGGCTAAGCCAAGGGTCGTCGTTTGAATCCGGCGCCGGAGTTCTGTTTATTAGGTACCGTGTTCTCGAGTGTAAAAACTCGCGCATCGCATGGTATGGTAGCTGGGTTTCTCGTCTCCTCATTGGGTCGCCGGGTGTAAATGTAACTGTAACGGATGTAAGACACGACGCAGCCAGCCGTTCTCATGGTCATTTTTGTTTCTAGCCGCAACATTGTCGGTCAAGGTGGTTTTTTTGAATTCTGGGCAGTGTTAGGCGGAGCTGTTGGTGGCTGGTCTTGCAAGCTATGGCTGCTCTCCGGAAGCCCCGCGACCCCTCACCACGGGGAGTATGTGTAGGGTCCAATCATGCAAGGCCGAGCTGCAAAGCATCCATTCCTTTTGGGAGAGTGGGGGGATATTGTTGGCGACGCATATGACATATTCATATGGAGAGATACCGGCCTCCTCTCATCAAGCCTGGACGACAAGGTCTAGCCAAAGGAAATGATCGCCATTGACGCGGGAGGTAATGTCGATATCGATTTTCAGACCAAGGGGCGGCAACTCGTTGAGAGACTTTCGTTAGGATGGTAATAAGGGAACACCCATGCAAGCTCGTTCTCAATGTCTAGGCGTGACGCCTGTAAAGAGGAGGCAGAAGAAACGACAAGGTCCAGAGTTGGATGGATCATCATTCCGATTGACGTTGAGACTGCGAAAGCCGTAAGTAGCGGTACAAGTTCCCGCGGAGAAGAGCACCTTGGCCAGGCCGCCAGAACGGGTGCGAGTCCGGTATAAAGGCTAGCCTGGAAGCTAGTGTAGCTTGAAGCTGTTCGGATGCAGATGTTCCCTGCTAAGGAAGCGTGGCGTGGACGGCAAAAATGGAGAAAAACGGTTGTGAAGAGGGAAAAGTCGCCATCAGAGATGGGGAGCTATGGAGCGGGATGGAGCCCTAGATGAGCACGTCATTCTTGGCAAAATGAGCACAGCGGTACGTACCACTTAGTCAGCCCCAGGAACACCGATTCTTGTGGAAAACTCCCCAATGTCACCCTCACCAACATTTATTTGTGATTCGTACACGTGTAGTACGTACTTCGTAGAAATTATCCCACCGAACTAAATACCTTATGCCGCGCTTTCGGAGTACTCCGTACCTCACTTTGTACTCCTCAGTTACCTCCTAACCCCTACCCCTGAATACCTGTAGCTTTAAGACCAGGTTCTAGCTGAACAATTGGCTTGGGTCGAGTTCGGATGTCGATGCCGGCCCTCGTAAAGAAACGTTTTATTACCTTCGGACTGTCTTTCGTTATTGTTTTTCCTATCTTTGTTAAAATTAAAAAAAAAAAAAAAAAAAAAAAAAGAAGAAGAAGAAGAAAGGGAGAGAGAGAGAGAGAATGGAAGAAAGAACTAGAAGAAAAGAAGGAGGGCAAAGGGAAGAATACGTGCTTGGACATGCAATCCCAAGACTCCCAACTAGTCTCTGCCACCCAACGACGACAATCCATCACAGGTATGGGAAATGTAACCTTGCTTCATGGTTCACGCTTCGTTCGTGATGGACACGTCTACTGATGATTTACTCAGTTCCAGGAATCCTCTCCAGCCTGGTTCGAGCATATGCCCAAGGACTCAGGAGTCAGGAGGTACAACCGTACAAGGACAAAATATCCTGCATACAATGATACAAGCCATGTCTCTGTGGCCAACACCATGGCACGGGAACTGTTACCATAATCCAGCCAGTGGTATAAGGTTTGTTTAGTGTCCTTGATATACGGAGACTACTCCATACTCCGAGTCTCATGATAGGTACTCCTTGCTTCGAAGTTCCGTACAACAACGTAAGGTAAGGTAGTCACTTGCCTCACGAAATATGAAGTATGGATAAATTCTCCATAGCAAGAGTAACCACGTTGAGGCAGGCAGCGGCAGCGTTGGCGCGCCATGTATTGGTCCTGATGCGGCTTGCCTACCCTGAAGTGAACATAGTAACTACTAAACATACTAATGGGCTCAAGTTTGTCTGTGGCCGTCTGCTTTTGTTTCGTGGTATACGAATAGAAGCTTTGTCTGGCTCTTGCTAGTTGCTACCTATCCGTACACGGTACGTCGAGAATTAGACGAATGTCAAGAGGAGATATCGACTCCGTCTTGCAGCCCAGATAAGGAAACCCCAACAAATGGTCACAGAAAAGTTAGTAAACAGGGGCGGCATCCTTCACTCCTTCTTCAATGGTGCCTATCTTCGCCACGATTCTCGTCCTCGCTTCTAATGTAAGGACTCAGAACTTGGGTTTGTCCAGGGAGAGGAGTCCAATTGTCAATTTCAAGATCGATAGTGAAGGAAGACGTTTGGACCCCATGAGCAGAATTTCCACAGAAGATATTGAACCGAGGTGAAGAGTGGGCTGTTGAAAGTATGACCTCGCATTTACTACCTTATAGTTTATGGCTGAAATAGTTCCTAGCCACGCCCGCCAACCGCAGTATACGCCAGCCACATCACCGTACCAGGATTTGAGGAATACGAGACGGGCCACGAGCTCCCTGCCCACGATTATAAGTTATAACTTATAAGGAATACGTGGCCACGCGTCCACGACTTTTCTCCCAAATCTTCGAGATTTTCAACTACACGAAGCTTCCGACATCTACCATCCTTTGGTCTTTTGCCATCCTGCAAACTTTCACCAGAGTCGCGCTGGCACTGAACTCGGACAAACCACAACACGGAACGACAAACACAAGATCAGCAACAAGAAGGACGCCCAAAATGAAGATTCCCGGCATCGTTTCCCTCCTCTTCGGAGTCTCCGTTGGGGTTCTTGGCCAACCGGACTCGACCAATGCCACCGACGTTAATCTCGCACCTCGAGATGTTGCTGTCCCGCAGCGCCACTCTAAGAACATTCTGGATAGCTGCCTCAACCACGAGTGGATCCTTACAGTCCCCTTTAACTCCCCCGATCATTTCGACACAGACGTTGACGTCGTCTTGCATGGCGAATGCAAAGAATCGTCGGGCGCGGGGTACGTCTGCAGCCGGCTCAATCTGCACGCGTGTCTTGCGAACGAGGATGGCAAAATGGTCGGCCGTGTTCAGTAGGTTTTCATGTCTTTTCCCCCACCCACAGCCTAATGCCTCTAGGACGATAGGGGGCTCCTCTGAGGCTCTGTTTGCCGTCTGCCTCGCAAGCGGTAAAAGTCATGTACAGAAACAGGCTTGCTGATGAAGAACCAACAGGGGGCAGTTCCAGGACAGCTGCTTCGGCTGCCTCCTTGGGCAACCTGCCGATAATTCGTCTCTGAATCTCGAATGCAATTGTCGTTCGAGACGCGACGGTCCCAAGAAGGGGCCTAGGCGTTGGGGTCGCACTGTGGTCAATCTTGGTATGCAATCCCTCGTAGTTTCGCACTTTCGCTTCGTTTTCTTTCCACGGATGATGCACGTGGGATGAAGATATTTTGCTAACCAAGTCGCGAAATAACAAACCAAATAGCCGACGTTTTGGAAAACCGAGACGGTCGCATATCATGCTTCGAGGACCAGGGCTGGACCGTCCCTTGCTGATGGCTGATCAGCTTGATCTCTGCTCAGCTATCTGAGTTCCGGAGTAATGCTGACTGGCAAGGCGGCCAAGACCAGAACCATGCTTTCCCACACTCTATGGAACTAGGGCTTTTAGGGAGTGATTATTCGCGTTGGAATTTACATGGTAGTCTTCTGTTACATCGTGCTTTGAACTTGGGACATTAGGGAAGTTGAAATCATCAGTTACTGTTAGGCTAGAGGGAATAACTTAATAAGTCTGTGAGGAATCAATCTACCTGTTATAGCCTACATAATACATTCCAAGACCCAGACTAGCCAGAATCACTCTCCTTGTTTATTTCCGTCTCAAACCATTTCCGTGGCTTTGGTAAATTCGTCCTTGCTTAGATGTAGGCGAAGAGATAGATATTGGCCAATTGCTCGTGTAGTGTTTCTGTTGCTTATTGTGTGTTTTCTTCTGCACATTACAACATGGGCAACGAGTGCTTCAAAGGTTCAGAGCAATATTGTCCACATGTCGTCTGGTACACCCGCAAGCTGTATGAACATGTTACATCACAAACAACTCGAGTCTCTCATCGATTCATCGCACATCAAGAGGCGTACGGAATTGTATGCCCCCGGATTTCTGAAGGGTATATGAAGTAGAAATGCGGCCCCATTTACCATAAATCAATGAATCCTCCGTGGCGCAATTGGCTAGCGCGTTCGACTGTTAATCGAGAGGTTGGTGGTTCGAGCCCACCCGGGGGAGCATTTTTTTGTTTCCTCATACCGCAGTACGCGTAATAGAACTCCACTTTCCATCCCTCTCTTGCTTTTTTGCCCCTTTCCGTTCTGGCCATTGTTATTCGTAGACGTCGGTAAACAAACCGTACGGTAATTAGTAATACAGGACATTGGAGTACGGATGAGCAGAATAGTCTTCCCGAGTCGTCCGCGAGCCTCTGGGTGGCCAATGTACGGATCACGTCTTCTTCAGATACCCGACTCATAAACAAGTATATACACTTACATGTACGCTCTAATTACTGCGTGTGACAATCGCAGACCCACACTTGCACATAACCTTATTCCCAGGTGGGTGCTCGGCTCCGTCGGGGTGGCAAGGCTCGATCGGGGGATCATCTTGTCTGGGTGAACGATCATTAATCAGAGCCAGTATCCGTGGTCTGCTATGCAACCAATGAAGCTAGGGGTCGGTGACAGCCACACGTAACTGCGTCCCCCGTTTCTATTACGATTCGCAGCGTGGCCAAGCGAAAAGAGTACCTGTAGGTATAAGGCACGGAACAGACAATACTGTCGCCGCTACGAGAGTACGAGTCAGTGACCTGAAAGAGATGGAGCCAAAAGGACGGTTTTACAGCATCATGGAAGGGTCGACATTTGTGAAGGTACCTTGCACAGTGGTTGGTTTTGAATCCGTACATGTCACGGAATTGCTTTCCAGAGTGATAGTGATGGTTTACGGCTGGTACTCCGGTCTCCAGAGAACAACGATATGGGGATTTGCTCTCTTTCATTCAACTGTTGCGTCCGCAAGAACCCAAGCAAATGACGCCATGGTTTCTACGGAGTACCTACGTGGTAGTCGCTACCTTACGTGTAGTTGTCTGCAGGCTTCGTGGATCGATTCTCTCGCCCTTTCTGTCAACGTCCATGGAACTCGTAGGTGTGCTTATGTAAACGGGGTCTTGAGCGTTTGGCCAATGAGATGAGGTCTAATTACTCAGGTTTGCAAGGCGAATGCAGCTGTTTGGCGAAAATGGGAAGGTTCCCCGCACTTAACTGCACAATCCGCCCCTGGGACCTTCCCCTGTGGACCCTAAGGTAGTGGACCCTAGTGGGGTACTAGGAACATCGTGGTCGCACCCCTCCTCAACTGGGAACGAACACGACGCGTTGGCTGCAAGGCAGTACACGGACCAGCGCAAGTAGCAACACTCCGGACGACGCGCCGATACCCGCTTCGGAGCATGGCGATGGTGATAGAGATACCTATTGTACATCCTAAGGTACCTCCTGTAAGTCTCGATGGGCGGGGTAGACTCGGTTGGTCAAACCTCGGAGGCCCGAGACGCCGACTTCTCCTCTTCCATCTCCTTCCTTCTCTCTCTCCATCCCCCCCATTGGGCCTTTTCTCTCTGTACTTATGCTTCTTCACTCTCCCCCAACTCCTCCTCCCATCCTCTATTCTTTTTACACCCGTGCCCCTCTTTCTCCAGAGGTCTCTCCTTTTGTCGTCCAGAAGACCAGAACACCACAGTGACCACACCCCATAAACCACACCGCTATACCGCTACCGAGGCGAGAATTTAGAAGTGCCAGTGCCAGTGCCACTCGCGAGACACCATGCCCGAGAACCAGTGCCCGATTCACGACGTCGCTGGAGGAGGCACCAAGCTTCAACAGTGGTGGCCCAACTCGCTCAGGCTGAACATCCTGCGTCAGCACACTCCCGTCTCCAACCCTTTGGGCGGCGACTTTGACTATGCCGCCGCTTTCAACAGCCTCGACTATGAGGCGCTCAAGAAGGACATTGCCGCCGTGATGACCGATTCGAAGGACTGGTGGCCGGCCGACTTTGGCCACTATGGTGGTCTCTTCATCCGTATGGCTTGGCACAGCGCTGGCACCTACCGTGTCTTTGATGGTCGTGGTGGTGCAGGACAGGTCAGTTGCCCCCCTCCTCTCTCCCCTATGTCAAGCCCCTCCCTCTCCTCCTCCCTCCCCTCCCTCCCCTTCGTCGCCGCCCCCCCACTGACAGGTCTCCTCCCGACAGGGTCAACAACGGTTCGCTCCTCTCAACAGCTGGCCGGACAACGTCAGTCTCGACAAGGCTCGTCGTCTGCTATGGCCTGTCAAACAGAAATACGGAAACAAGATCTCTTGGGCCGACCTTATGGTCCTCACCGGCAACGTCGCCCTCGAAACCATGGGCTTCAAGCCATTTGGCTTTGCCGGTGGCCGCGCCGACACATGGGAGGCGGACGAGGCGGTGTACTGGGGTGCCGAGTCCACCTGGCTCGGCAACGAGAAGCGCTATGACAACTCCAAGGAGCTCAACTCGCGCCAGCTCGCCAGTCCCCTTGCCGCCGCCCACATGGGCCTCATCTACGTCAACCCGGAGGGCCCAGACGGCAACCCGGATCCCGTCGCCGCCGCCCGGGATATTCGTACCACGTTCGGCCGCATGGCCATGAATGACGAGGAGACGGTTGCCCTCATCGCCGGCGGCCACACTTTCGGCAAGACCCACGGCGCTGGCCCCGCCGACAACGTTGGCGACGAGCCCGAAGCCGCCCCCCTCTACCAGCAGGGCCTGGGCTGGAAGAACAAGTTCGGCACCGGCAAGGGTCCCGATACCATCACCAGCGGTCTCGAGGTGACCTGGACCAAGACGCCGGCGAAGTGGAGTCATAACTTCCTCGAGTACCTCTTCAAGTACGACTGGGAGCTCACCAAGAGCCCTGCCGGCGCCCACCAGTGGGTAGCCAAGGAAGCCGAGCCCATCATCCCCGACGCCTACGACCCGGAGAAGAAGCACCTCCCCAAGATGCTGACCACCGACCTCTCTCTCCGCTTCGACCCGGAGTACGAGAAGATTTCGCGCCGCTTCCTCGAGCATCCGGACCAGTTCGCCGACGCCTTCGCCCGCGCCTGGTTCAAGCTGACCCACCGCGACATGGGCCCCCGCGCCCGCTACCTCGGCCCCGAGGTCCCCTCCGAGGTGCTCCTCTGGCAGGATCCCATCCCCGATGTCGACCACCCGCTCGTCGACGCAAGCGACGTCGCCGCCCTGAAGAAGGAGGTCCTCAGTCTCGGCATCGACCCCTCCAAGCTCGTGGCCACCGCCTGGGCCTCGGCCTCCACGTTCCGCGGCAGCGACAAGCGCGGCGGCGCCAACGGCGCGCGCATCCGGCTGGCGCCGCAGAAGGACTGGGAGGTCAACAACCCGGCCCAGCTGGCCCAGGTGCTCAGCGCCCTCAAAGGGCTGCAGCAGCGCTTCAACGCCCAGGCGTCGGGCGGCAAGAAGATCTCGCTCGCCGACGTCATCGTCCTCGCGGGTGCCGCCGCCGTGGAGAAGGCCGCCCACGACGCCGGCTTCGACGCCGTCACCGTCCCGTTCACGCCGGGCCGCGCCGACGCGTCGCAGGAACAGACCGACGTCGAGACGGTGGGCCACCTCGAACCCGCGGCCGACGGGTTCCGCAACTACGGGAAGTCGACGGAGCGGGTCAAGACGGAACAGTGGCTCGTCGACAAGGCGCAGCTGCTGGACCTCTCGGCGCCCGAGCTCACGGTCCTAGTCGGTGGTTTGCGCGCCCTCAACGCCAACTACGATGGGTCGGCCCACGGCGTGTTCACGGCCCGGCCGGGTACGCTGACCCATGACTTTTTCGTCAACTTGCTCGACACGGAGACGGAGTGGACGCCGGCCGGCGAGGGCGACGTTGATCACTTTGTCGGCACGGACCGCAAGAGCGGCGAGAAGAAGTGGACGGCTACCCGTGTCGATCTCATCTTCGGCTCGCATGCGGAGCTGCGCGCTCTGGCTGAGGTGTATGGTAGCGCTGACGGCGGTGCCAAGTTCGTGCACGACTTTGTTGCCGCGTGGGACAAGGTTATGAACCTGGATCGCTTCGACCTCAAGAAGACGGCTGCGCTGAGGCCCACTAGCCGCCTTTAAAGGTTTAGTGTGGTGTGGCGCGTGAGGAAGGCGAGAATTAAAAGACGGGTGGAGACATAAGTGGTCTGTCTATAGACAGATACCCATACCCAGTAATGACCTTGGTGTTTTGTATTTGTGGTAGTTTATGCCCTTGCTCTTTATGATTACCATGACCGCGTATCTATCATGAATACACTGAAGAATATACTGAATATATCTACGTTCAGATACAGTACCTCTTGGTTCCGGATGGGCTTCCTACTGCTCAGCAAATCGCTCGTCACCTTCTTTCACTTTGCAATACTCTTGGACCTGCCGCATCTTACGTCTTACGAAATTGTCCTTCTCGGCTAGCGTTGCACAGTCTAGCATCGCCTCTCCCAGTCCTTCCTTGTGCAGAGCCTGCCAGTAAAAGTCGTCTACATCAAAGCTGCATCGCGCTGCGAGATTGAACCAAAATCGCCGGGTGTCCCATGAGTCCCGCATCCGAGCCGAGAGGCGCTGTTTTCCGGTTGGTACTGCTAGCTTGGACTCGACACGTTCCATGGCGCGAATAAACTGATCCTTCCTCGGTTCGAAGAGACGGAGGAAAGTCTCCATCTCGTCGTCTCTCAGCCAGACAGCCGGCGGTTGGAGGAGCAGCCACCACGGCACGTCGTGTGTAAATTGCGCCGGCATGACATTTGTGAATTCAAAGTCGAAGAGGGCGGTGATGCGCAGCGTTTTCGGGTCGATAAGCATGTTCGTGGGGCGTAGGTCGTCACAGAAGAGCCGGAAAGGCCCGTCGTCGTCTACTACGGTGGCGTAGGCGGGGATTAACTTGGCAAAGCAGCGGCGCGCAACGAACTGGCTCCAGGCAATATCTTCGTCGTCGCCGGCAATGTTGCGCTGCGCGTCGAGATGTGCCTGGAAGTACTGTGCGCACGCAGCGAAGTAAGCGGTGGCGCGATCAAAGGGCGACATGGCGGTGAAGTGCTCCGCGGGGCAGCCACCGACGGTGACGACCTCGTTCATATCGAACGTTAGGGGTCGTCCGGTGACAGCCCAATCGCCAGACGCGGCATCCTTGGATATGGCTCCTATGCGCGGGAACTGGAGCCGCGAGAGCTCCAAGATAAAGCCAGCGATCTGCTCGTAGATGAGGTCGAGTTTCGCGTCGTCCGTGTCTGGGTCCAGGACTACCGGTTTGGACTCGTCTTCGGTCGGCGGCGCTAGGAACCGGCCTAGGTTCTCTCCTTCCATGAGATCCATTATGATGAACGGCCCTAGCTGGGCCGGGCTCTCTTCGGTAAGGCCCCAACAGCGAACGCGCGGGATGGGGATATTAGTATGCTCGCGAAGGTATTCCATAACCATCACCTCGTTTTTGACCTTTTCGTCTCGCCAGGGTTCATGGATTTTCCCCGGATACGGGAAACGAATAATGACGTGCTCTGGGTTATCGACGTCGTCGTCGCCGCCGCCGCGCTTCAACTTCATGCTGATGTTGAATGAGCCTCCGAGGAGACCATCGTAGCTTCCAGCTCCATTCCAGCCCAGACGTTCATCAACAAAGGACATAATATCACTGCTCACGTCGATAAGCCTACGCGCAAAGGCAAGAGATTCGTCGTGGGCGTTTCTCTTGGCGATGGCGTCATAGGGCGCCATCTTTTCGCGGTCGGTTCTTTCGAACTCTTTCGAACACTCTTGAGTCGGGCAATCGGGGGGTAAGACACCTGATGTGACCTAACCTAGTGCGTATGATAGCCCGAGTACGTCGTAACGCCCCTCCAATGGGCCAGAAACATCACCGATGCTGCAAAGACCGTTCCTCATTGCTAGGTAAGTAAGGTGTAAGGTATCTTGAGTCCTTGACTGGATAGGGGGTGTGAAGTTGGTCTTACCTAATCCTGTTGTCCGCTTAGGGCACCTTACTAATCAAGAAACCTATGAAGTACATTACCGTACCGCTCGCTCCTAAGGTACAGAAGGGAAAATATCTTCCATCCTCAACTTGCGTTCGCGTCTTTCTCCTTTATTATATTCACCGTCGTTACTGCAACGAATTCCAAGTTGTCCCAACGCCAATGTAGCGGGAAGCAAAGAAGGGCTGGAGCTCTGCTTCAGCTCGCCTTGACGATCACCAGACACGACGAATACATCATCAGGCAATGGGTTCCCTGAACATCTTCCTTGTCCGTCATGGAGAATCGGTAGACAACGTCGCCGGCATATAGTACATCTTCCCGCCGTCCCTACACCCGCTCCATGTTGTGCCAAGTCAACACAATAACTGACACCATCCCCTCCAGTGCAGGCATCCGGGACTCCCCGCTCACCGCCCACGGTGTCCTCCAAACCCGCCGTCTAGCCTCCCATCTCGCGACCCTCACTCCCCGCCCCGCCTGGAGGGTCACGCACATCTTCACCTCGACGCTGCAACGCGCAATCCGCACCGCCGAAGCCATACGGGACGCCCAGTCCGAGCGCTCCACGAGTGAGCCGCCGGTTCCCGATATCGAGATCAGACAGCTGCCCGACCTGCGCGAACGGGATTTCGGATCCGACGAGGGCAAGAAGTTTGGCCGACTCGCTCGTGCAAGCGATGCGGAAACCCATGCCTCACTCCGCGAGCGAGCGGAACGGTTTCTGAATGAACATCTTGCGCCGATCCTCTCCGCTGCTGCTTCTGCTACGTCGTGCGCCACAGCGAGCTCAGAGGGAACATCGGCAGGGGGAGGAAAAGAGGGAGAAGAACATGAACCACAAGCGGTTTTCGTCGTCGCGCATGGACTAATCCTCGCGTCCTTCCTCCGGGTCTTGCTGAGCCCGGGGCTCTTCGTCCTACCAGCTGGGACTGCAGTCCCTGTCGATGTCTCTCCCGCGTGGAGCAATACGGGGTACACCCAGCTCGTTCTCAGCTCGGTAGCATCGTCTGAGGGGGACGCAGATATGCCGCCTGACGGACCCGAGAGTAGCAGTCGTTGTCGTACCCGACCTCGCTGGTCGCGCCTACGCTTGGATGTCGCCTGCGTGAACAACACCCACCACCTCGCTGGCCTGAAGAAGACGAGAGGCGGCATAGGTAGCGCGCGCTTTGACGACAAGCAAAAGACCCTCACGTCCTTTTTTGGGCCTGCGTCGTCTTCGTCTTCGTCTAGGAAGAGGAAGGCAGTGGATGAACTTGAGAAATGGTATGTCCATCCCTGGAGCACGCATGACGGCTCTTGTTCTTTTTTTTTCCCCCTTCCCTTCGAAGCAATGGCCCGTCATGATGAGAGACCAAAATTCACAGACCTGTACTGAACTACAATGTGGAAACAACTTTGTTCAATCACAGTCTGATACGAGCATATCCCATTTTCCCTGTCGGCATGTTCATTCGGCTTCTCAAAGTAACAATCATGGCTGACTTGGTGTAGACCATAGGCAGAAATATCAATTCTAGTCTAGGCATCCATAGACTGACTGGCTGGTGCAATATATACAAATTAAACTTGCCTTGCATAACATAACATGTCATACATCTGTACTCGTCTCATCTCTCCCCGTAAAGACCTTGTATATCCGCCTACTAATGGCCTGTCCAACCGTCCGGTCCGAAGGGGCGCCTTCGCGATTATTACTCCGCGGACAAGCCTCCAGCGCCAGCGGTCCCCGTTCCTCCAACCCCTTCACAAGTCGCCCGACAGTTCCGTACTCGGCGGCAATGCCATACGCAATGGGAGCCGTGACGCGCACAATCTCCTGCAGAAGCTTGGCGTACGTATCCTGCGCGTCCTCCCCCGTCCGCACCTGGCCGGTCTCCATACAAAACCCGGCCCCGTTGGCGTTGGCCGCCTCCCGCTGCTTCCGGTACGGCACCGTCGAGATGTGCTGCGTGAACACGGCCACCCACTGGGCCGTCTCCACGCCGGCCGCCGTGTGGTGGATGAGAACCCCGTGCAAGACCTGCAGCTGGAGGAGGGCGTCCTCGATCGCATCCTCGTCCACGTACTCTTTTCGTGGTGGCGGGTTTTTGCGGCGGCGGCGGGTCCCGGCGTCACTCTGGTCGTGACGCCCCGCGGGCTCGTTCGACGGGCGACCCTGTGTGGGAGTACCGTTGCCACCGACGACGCCGTCTTGCGCCCGTACGGCGGAGACGAACTGCCGGTTCCGTAGACTGCGGTTCTTCCGCATCCAAGGTCCCAAGCCTTCGATGAGGTAGAGGACCTGGTGGTCGGAGAAATGACGCTTCACCTTCGCGACGTGCGTGTCGAGATCCGCACCCGCGTCGGAACCAAGCGCCATGGCCACAAACTCGCCCGCCGTGAGGGTGACGAGCGCGTATTTCTCCGGCTCGATTCGCAGCTCGCATGGCTCCCAGAGCCCCAGCTCGTCGTTGAACTCGCTCTTCACCTTGCGACGCCACTTGACGACGTTGTCGACGGGACTTTGGACCGTCGTCGATTCGACGTCGAGGTCCTTGAGCAGGGTCTTCACTTGCAGGGCCAGGCCTTCCGGGAGGGTGGAGGGCATGTCGACGATCATTTCCGGCGTGGACACTTTCTTGTCGGTCCTGACCTTGTTGACTTCGGCCATGGCGGCTGCGCGCTCCTTCTCCCGCGCCTTTTGCTCCTTTGCGGCCTCTTTCTCCCTTTTCTTGCGCTCTCTTTCGCGTTCCCTTTCTGCGGCTTTCGCTTCCCTCTCGGCGGCCCGAGCTTCCTTGTCTAGTCCTCGATGGTCCGCTGACTTTTTGGTTCGGGACCCCGACGCGGCATCGACCCGATGTTTTGTCCGTGATACGGGGGCAGAGTTTGTCCTAGAGAACGGGCGAGACGGTCTGGTTGGTGGGACTCGGTGGCGGTACTTGGCAACGTCGATGTCATCGAGGTCGGGGAGATCATCGTCGCTTTCCGCAGACGGCCGGGGACGGTTGTTATAGGTTGACTCGTCCGAATCGTCCAAATCGATCAGAGCGAGGGCCTTGCCCTTACCTTTGGATCGGCGAGGAGGGGACGAAATTTCGAACGGATCGCGGGTTTGTGTCTCCGGTGCCGAACTGGATATAGGGTCCCAGTGAAGGCTTTTCTTTAGCCGCTTTGGGGAAGGAGGCCGAGAGTGACATGGGCCATTCGGGCCAGTACCGGTTGCATTGTCCTTTTTATACGTTCCGCTAGAAGAACTCTTTGCCGACCCAGCGAGTACATCGTCTTCTTCCGACTCTTCGAGGTCAATGTATATTTTCCGACCGGTTATTGGATCGCCGGCTGACACTGGCGCTGGTGCTGGGGCAGGAGGGGTACTAGCGAAGGGATCATCCAAGTATGACCGCTGTCTTTCTGATGGCCCCTCACCAACATCAGGAAGGGGGGAGGTGCTGCAGAAGGGGTCGTCTGCATCCAAGATTGACGTTTTGGAGGACTTGAGAGCGGGCGGGACGACATGGGGTGAACTTGAAAACTCGATAGTGTCGGTCACCATCCGGGCCTTGCCTAAAGATCCTCCCGGCTGCCGGACGAGCGGGTTATCGCCATCCTTAAGGTTCGACCGAGACGACTCGCGGGAGCTGGGCTTGGAGAACGTATCCCCAGGAGGAGACAGACGAAGTCGCTTTCCATTCCTTGCCGTGTGCGACAGTGGTTCGTCACATACCCGACTTGTGTCAAAATCACCCGTGGTGTCGAAATCATCCACCTCGTAGAACAATGTGGGCGGGACAACTCGTTTCGGAGGGAGAGACGCCGGACTATATGTGCTGTGGGACGCTGCATCTCTACTCGGGCCTTGAAAAGATGTGGGCGGATCGCTAGTTAGGTCGAAGACATTGTCGGTGTCGAATGAGCGTGTTGTCGACTGGGGAGGAGCGCCGGGACTCGGTCGACGCGGCACTGGAGAAACGGAGGGAGCGCGATCGGAAAAAGAACTTGACGAGAGCAGGTCTATCACCTCGTTCGTCATGTCGTGGAGGGGACTGCCAAAACAGACTTCATCAAGGCGATAATGTGGCTGGTTGGCGGGTAGGGAACCGCGTTAAAGGACGCGAGCACAAAAATAGGGCAAAAGGTTCAAAGTCGCGGTCGTTGCGCGAGCATCACGTGACTTCAGCATGCGGTCAGTCAGTGGCGCAGGGAAGGAGTTTCCCACAGAATACCTCCGGAGTACCTACTTCTGCTGACGCAATAAGTGCCTGTCCTTGCTCTTCCCCCCAATTCTTCGAAAGGCACTCATATTACGGATGTACCTTGCGTTGTACAGAGATCTCGTGTACCCAAGGTAGGTACCTTAGTTGTAGGATTGAAATCATACTGATAGGCCGGTAAGAGCGGCAAGAGGCGGTTAAACTCTGATACAGAGCTGCCCGGTGGTTAGTTAGTGTGCGAACATGTACAGATGGATTAATATCGTCTGGGAATTACTAAACGCGATGCTACTCTGTGACACTACTGATATCGTCACGGCACGCTTGATTGCTTCGAGGGATCACGATGGTGAGAGAATTATTACGACGTACGAGGGCTGAACGAGTCATGGCGAAGCTCCCAATCGTTCAAAACAAAGGGCTGTGGGGGAAGGATACGCACGCCGGCACCAGCAGCCAGCTCCGAGATGTCTCGGATGAGGAGACGAGGAACGAGGGGAAAGGTCATGGTAGTGCCATGTCGGTAGCATGGCAGTAAGGTAGCTTCGATCCATCCCCGCTGGAACAAATTCCTGTATCCGTACGTAATACTTCTTACACGATTCATAGGGTCAACCACGTGCCAATTGTTTCGGCATTTGATAAGATCCGATGTCTCGAAGCTTGCTCTGGGACGATACGAGTCAGGTACTCCGAGATAGTGACAATCAGCGGTCTGGTCACCGCTCACGGCGAAGCAAAGCAATGGCAAAGCAAACGATAAAGAGGGGGCGGGGTTATCGCGACCGCCTGGTCATGTTATCCATATCATCCATTCCATACAAGGTCAGTTATCTGGGCTAGCTCAGTGTGTACGTTGTACACTAATTATGCAGAGACCACTGAGGAACCAAATGTTCCCGCGTCTGGTTCAATGTAACAGCAGAAGGGGGATCGCGTCGATCATGGATGAAGCATGTTCATCGGGTCCGGCAGGGGCCACGTCGAACCGAAAGGACGAAACATTTTGTGCTTTCGTCGGGGAAAGGAAGAACACCCAAAGAATATGCATTTTCATGTTCACTTAATGGTTTATTGGTATTATTTAGTTCTGGCCCAAGGCGTAGAGTAGACCATGAAGTGATGATATATGGTACGTATCAGGTGATGAGCGGTGATGCGGTTTGCTTATCCCCTGCTCCCTACGTATGTATACCTACAGCAGTTGGGTATTCGAACTCTGGCAGAGACTTATTATGTATGCGCAACGTAAGGTATATGCAGTGGCCGTCAAGGTTGTGGGGGTCGTTTCGTCCCACCTTGCAACACGTTGCAAACCCGTCTCGTCACGGTAAGGGCAGGACAATGCCATTTGTCTGCAGAGGTTGTGCGTTTGAAAGGACCAAAGGGACCACTCGTGGGGGTTTGGGGGTTGCTGATAATGCTATCATTTTATATGGTACTCGGACTATTTACTAGGCCGCCACGCGCCGCATGGTATTCGTCGGCGCAGAAACGTGACAGGACGTGCAGAGCGCGTGCTGTGTCGACGTATCGTCTCTCTTTCTCTCTCTCTCTTTTTTTTTGATTTTTTTTTGTGGGCGAGCTCGCAGTTGGTTGGCGGAAGGAGTCCTGAAGAGGCTGCGCACGGAGGAGTGCGCTGCATATAGGGGGAAAAGCTTCGTCGTCCGTGAGTGTCGCATTACAACCCCCCCGCCTCTCCCCCCGTGACAGGCTGTAGGAGTGCGTCTTCGATCATCGGCCGTGTTACCGTTCCACAGCCTGACTTGACCTCCTTCGTGCTTTGTACGCAGCGGACGAGAGAACTCCAAGGAAAAACTAGCGGCTCGTAAATGTGGCATTGGCGAAGGAGTGGATGAACATATCCTGCCTTTTGGGGCCGAATGCTTACACTATTTCTCCATGGCCCGTCCCCTTCGTTATCCAACAGCACCAATGGTAATAGGCGGACTCGTGGCAACTGGCATTCCTGCCTAGGTACATACACGTAGGTGGATTCAGGGACCTGGGCTAGGGGAAGCCCGGGCCACCTGCGTTCGGTGAGACAGGGGATGAGCTCCATGTCAGTGCGGCGGCACTGTACGTCTAACCGAGCCTGTCTGTGTAATGGGGAATATGCCTGAAACTAGAACAGGGGAGCCAATAGGAAACGCGCCGGATCGCATGATAGACAGTACGAAATATATGCACAGATCCTGTTCGGACGAGATTAGAGGGAATTGGACTTGCCATGTCCTGTCTTCCATATCGCCTTTTCTTTTCCTTCTTCTTCTTCACCTCTCCCCTGGCTTACTGGCTCCACCATTTATTTGATACGGAGAAACTTAACTTATTGGTTGGACGGTCGGAGTATGATAGCGAGAAGTACAACGTACGAATACGTTGTACAGGGACGTCGTACTTTGCGGTGTACTCAGTACTACATACCTAATACGGTCTCGTGTGGTTCTGAGGATAAGGTACCTTACCTTATGAATGCCTAGGTACCTACCTTAAGGTAGGTAGTCAAGGCGGACGCAGGTCAGAAAAGGGACCGACGTCCGTATACTTAATGTACATATTGAAATATCACCATGTTTCGTCTCTTGTTCGCACTCCGTACCAAGCACTCCGTCCCATAGACCGGGTAGCGTTTGTTTGCTTGTTCTCAAACGGCGGAATTATTCGCAAACTCCAAACGGAGGAATTTGGACTTACAGTATCGCCTGCCCTTTTCTGCATGATATTGATTTTCCGAAGCAGACACAACGATATACTTCCGGTATAATATTGTCAGGGACCGTATAACCATCCGTACTTCGTACGTATTTCATGTGTAGGTGGGGTGACATACCAGTATAGAGTATCAATGCGTCCATAGTGTGGTTTTTTTTTCTTTTCTGCTTTTCTTCTCCAAGCACGCACGACGAAGAAAGGTACCTAGGGTTTTACGGCCTTTCTTCGTACCCGGCTGTTTTGGTATAGTCCGTACGTTGTACTAGGTAGGTACAACGTAAGGAAGTCTTCTCCGGTCTGCTTTCCCCCTCAAACGGCCATCTTCTCATCATCGTCACCCTCACCCTTCAAATCAGGAATTGGGGGAAAGCAAAGCGAGCAGCGCGGCGCTCCTTTCTCATAAAAAAAAAAAAAAAAAAAAAAAAAGGGACAAACCCCATATGAAAACACCCAACGCCTTGGATAACCGTGTCAGGCATCGAGACCGTGCGAAGCGAATCATATCCTCTTTCGGGACACCAAGACGAAAAGAAGAAGAAAAAAACGAAAAAAAGGAGGGTCAGGCTCTGAGCAAATCGCAACCCCTCAAACGCTACGGACCGCCAATCAACCCCCTTTCGGTTGCCGAGTTTAATTTATTACTCAAACGAGACCCCTGTTCTTCTCTTCTTTCGCGGAACAAACTCCAGCCCAACTGGGGTTCACCATATGGCGTCCTTGTTTTGTTTCGACTACCCATCCCAACCTTTCAGAATCCGTCCTCGCGGTCCTGCCTCGTCCTAGTCCCTGGCTTGGTCTGAGGCTGGCGAGTCGTGCCTACAACGTACAACGTACACTACAACGTACTTCCTACCTAAGGTAGGTACCTAAGGTAAGGTACCTTACCCACGACGAAGAACCTAGTCACATCCACGTACCTTAGGTACATAGGTACGTACATACCCGACCTAGCACACTAACACTTTGTGGTGTGTCCGTGCTACTGGGCCTGGTTCAGGTCCAGGTCCAACCCAGTCCCCCAACCAGGCCAGTCTTCTCACTCCACCCTCCACCCTCCATCCACCAGCACAAGCACCAGCACCTTGCTCAACCACCCCTATTTTCTACGAAGTAGATTGCCCCGGCCCCATAGTCGCAGAGAATTGCTTCTTGGACAGCGGCTTCATCCTAATTCTTCACCCAACCTACCCCCCTTCTCGACCTTACCCTTTCCCCTTTGCTGGAATCCTCTCGACGGGCTCCCGATGTCCGCCACGACCGCTGCTACTCCGGTTGCCTCGCTCTGACAGTTAACTTTTACAGACATACACAGCAACACTGCCAGGGGCGCAAACGCGGCCATCCCACAACGCGGGCGCGCCGCCGTGTTTGCTTATTGCATTTAGCCGCCTTGTTATCGAAACATCTATTGTTGGGCCTGCATATATTTTCTACGAATTATACCAGACGTTCACCGACGGCGCCTGTTTTTCGGCTGCCTGGTCGTTGCCTTTTTTCTTCTTCTTTTCCTTCGGCCCAGTCCTCCCGACAGAAAACTCGACGTGACCGACAACCGTCCTCGATCAGTCATTGCCATAGTACAGTCGCTGTCTCTCTCTCTTCGACTGCTTCTTTCGAGGCCGCCTCACCCATCGCTCTGCTGGTGTCTTTCCTTCCCTTACCAACATGGCCACCTCCCCGCCCGCCTCACCGGGCCACCCTCCTCAACGGCCAGTGAGCGCCATGGTTCGACCAGCACCCCGAAGCAACAGTCGCATGAGCATAACCAGCAGGGCAGCTGGTGGAGGAGGTGGAAGTAGAGCATCAGACGAAGACACTCGTACTGCCGTCAAAGTTGGTATGTCGTGCGACGTTGACTCCCCTTCCCGATTTATGCCTTGTACCGCAGCCTCTTCGCGATTGTACCCCTTTCCTTTCGCGTCTTGCTCGGCTATGTTTGAAACACCGTCGAAATGGACATGGACGCAAGCTCTTCCTAGATGGCTAACTCACGTCGTGTCCGACTCTTCCAGCCGTACGCGTGCGACCACCTCTCAAGCCCACCGACCCCGGCTTCGACCTCATCCCACAACGATTTCAACGGTCCATGGTCCAGGTCACATCCAACACCAACATAGCCATCGAGTCACCTCATGGGAAAAAAATCTTCGTATTCGATCGCGTCTTTAGCCCCGACGTAGACCAGGAAGGAGTCTGGGAGTATCTCAACGACTCGATTAATGCCTTTATCCAGGGCTACAATGTCTCTGTTCTGGCCTACGGCCAGTCCGGGGCCGGAAAATCCTACACAATGGGCACCTCTGGCCCATCGGAGCAGAACGATCCCGATGCAATGGGTGCGTATGATTAGGGGGGTTTTTCTTCTTCTTTCCCCCTCCTCCTCAGAAACACATGGGCTCGTCTCCTAACGCTAAAACGCCAACCAGGTGTCATCCCTCGCGCTGCTGCTGCGCTTTTCAGCAAACTTGATGGCCCCAGAAAGCAGTCTAATCGCGGCTCCATGTCACAACTGCGCACTCCGTCCCGTTATTCCCACGGCCCATCTCTATCGACCGGTGCCGATAGGGGTTGGCAACTGAAGGCGAGCTACGTCGAGATTTACAACGAACACTTGCGCGATCTTCTCGTCCCCGACAACACACCCACACACGAACGTGCCACCGTCACCATCCGGGAAGACGTCAAGGGCAACATTATCCTTACCGGCCTCCGGCAGGTTGACATCAACTCCGTCGAAGACCTAATGAATGTGCTCAACCTGGGTTCCGCTCTGCGACAGACCGATGCCACCGCCATCAACGCAAGATCCTCGCGGTCCCATGCCGTCTTCAGTCTCAACTTGGTACAGCGGAAGAGCGGCTCCCCCTCTCCCTCAACATTGGCCGCCGAAAAGCGATTCTCCGTCCCCATCGAAGCCATGACCGGCAACGAGAGCTGGGTCACCACAGACAGCAAGCTCCACTTTGTCGATCTCGCCGGTAGCGAACGTCTCAAAAACACCGGCGCACAGGGCGAGCGCGCCAAGGAGGGCATTTCCATCAATGGCGGTCTTGCCGCCCTAGGGAAAGTGATATCGCAGCTTTCGTCCCGGAGCGCGGGATCTCACGTCTCCTACCGTGACTCCAAGCTCACTCGTCTGCTACAGGACTCCCTCGGGGGCAACGCCGTCACCTACATGATCGCTTGCGTGACCCCGGCCGAGTTCCACCTGAGCGAGACCCTGAACACGGTCCAGTATGCCCAGAGAGCCAGGGCGATTCAGAGCAAGCCCAGGATCCAGCAGATTGAGGAAGGCGACAAGCAGGCCATAATCGAACGTCTCAAGGCCGAAGTGGCCTTCCTGCGCGACCAGGTCCGCAACGCCGAGCGCCACAACGGCGACCGACGGGCTCCCGCCGGCGACGGAGGTCGGTCCGACCGGCAAAACGAGCGAGAGATGGAATTGCAGGACCAGTTGCTCGATATCCAAGAGAACTACACCACCCTGAGCCAGCGCCATGCGAAGCTAATCGCCGAGATGGCCAGGGCGCGGGACGCTGAGCGGGCTGGCCAGGACGATGGGGGGGAGTCTCTTGACAAGAGTGCGACCGAGCGTTTGAACCGGTCCAACTCCTTCGCCCAGGCCGTCGAACAAGTCGTCCTCGAATACGAGAAAACCATCCAGTCCCTCGAGCAATCCCTGTCGAGCACCCGCGGAATCCTTTCCAGCACCGAGACTAGCCTCCTCGAGAAGGAAACCAAGTGCGCCTACGTCGAGACCCTCAACTCGCAACTCCAGGCCCGTCTGCAGAAGCTGATGGACCGGGAGGCGAGCACCGAGAATTATCTCCACGACCTGGAGGCGAAGCTGGACGGCCATACTTCGGGTGAGGAAAAGAATGCCGCTATCATTGTCGAACTGCGCAAGGAGATTGCCCGTGCCAGAGAAAACGAGGCCGCCTGTGAAGACTACATCTCCACCTTGGAGGAGCGCTTGGCCGAGGCTGACCAGGACGCCGAGCTGATGCAGCGGGAGATCGATCGGCTGGAACAAGTCATCGAGAGGCAGCGGAGCCTCGGCAAGCTCGATTCGCTTCTGTACGAGTTGGATCACATTCAAGGCGAATCCAACGTACCGGAACCCGAAGCCGAATCCCAAGTCACCAACGGCACAAGCCACCGTCGTAAGCATGCCGAGCACTCCCGCAGCCTGTCGCATGTGTCGCATATGAGCCGAATGAGCCACAGGGATGTGATCCACGAGGGTGATGAGGAGGACGTTATTCCCGAAGAGCCTGCCGAGATGGGGGCGGAGACGGAGACTACGATCGAAAATGGCTCCGCCAACTACGACGACGAAACCCCAGCGGCCCAAGATGACGACAACCTCAGGCCGGAGGAGACAGACTACACCCCGCCGAGCCCTGCGCAGACCAAGTTCGTCGCCGACAAGCTGGAAAATGTCACGCAGGAGCTTCTCGACCTCCGCGTCGAGCATGAGAGCACGGTTCAGGAGTACGACCACTTGCACAGCCGGTACGAGGAGGCTCTCCGTGCTCTTCGGGAGCTGCAAGACGCCATTGACGAGTCTCGCCACCCCAACCGGCACGTCCGTGACTCGATGCTGTCCATCACGTCCCCCACAAGCGGGACGCGACCGCCGTCTTTCTTCTCCGACTCGAGATTGACCAGCCACAATGATAGCACGCACCGGTCCCTCTCGTCCGAGCTATCCTCGGCCCTCGATTCACCCACCACGGTCGACGCACCCGATGCCGAGACAGCTACCATTCGCCCTGCAAACGAAGACGACGGCGCTTCAGACACTCCGGAAGCGTCACAGGAATTTGTGGCGGAGGAAAAGATGGACAACCAGGCGCGGCCCGATACACCACAATCTGGTACCCAGTCGCAAGCCGACCAGAAGATCCAAGACGTGGTACAAGCCTCGGTTGAAGACGAGAAGACGTCTGAAGTGCGACCTGAACTGCAAGATGAATCTTCCGCCCTGACCGACGTCCCCTCGTCACCGACACAATCTCACCATGATCTTGCCTCCGAGCTTGAACGACTCCGTGCACTCTCAGCCGAAAAGGAAGCAACAGAGAAGGAGTTGGCGGAGAAGTACGCGCAGCTTGAGCAGAAGCACCACGACACGCTGGACATGGTGGAGGAGCTCAAGACGGAGGTGGCCCAAGCCAGGGCGGCGGAGGCATCGTCGCCCCGAACGGCCCAACCCATCATCCGCCGGAAATCGAGCCAGAACGTGATGATCATCGACCGCGCTCATCGATCGTTCGCCTCGCTACGGAACCTCGCCGCCGACAACTTCGAGGACCAGCCTGATGTGATGCAGAATTTCGAACTCAACCTCAACGCGGCCATGCACGAGCTCCATGCGCGGTCCGAGAGAATACAGGAACTCGAAGCGGATGTTGCGGCGGCGAAGAAGGAGATGGAGACCAAGATGACCATCATTTCGGGCCTGACCCGGGAACGGTCCAGCTTGAAGGCTTCCCCGATGGACATGTCTCTCGTGTCTACGTTGAAGAACCAGCTTGAGATGACGGAGCGGCAGTTGCAGGAGATGAGGGAGTCGCACGCGGCTGCCGAAAAGGAGTTGCATGCCGAAATCGCAGCGCTTCGTGCTGCCGTCAAGGAGACGCCCACACCTGTTTCCCCGACAGAGAACTCGGCTGACGCGACCAATACTTCCGAGCCCGCCGGTGGTGATGAGAGGATGGTAGAGCTCGAGGGTCAGTTGGCGGCCTGGGAGTCCAAGCACCAGACGGCGCTCGCATGCATGCAAGACACCGAATCTCAGATGAAGAAATACATGGAAGAACTCGAGGACCAGGTCACCGTGCTGAATGCCAAGGTGGCTGAACAGGAGGGGGCCGCTGGCGAGAAGGCCAAGGAGGAGAAGGAAGAACATCAGAACCTGGTCAGGGTCCTCCGTGACGAAGTGGACGAGTACAAGGCCATCATCAGCAGCAACGCCGCCAGGGTGGCTGAGCTTGAGGCCGTCCACGCTACCACCAAGGCCGAGCTGGAAGAAGCCATTCGGACGCGCGATCTCCACGCGAGCCAGTGCAAGACGCAGCAAGAGCTCCTGGACAACCTCGAGCAGCAAATCGCGGCGCACGAGCAGGCGCTCAAGACGCACCAGGAAGGCATGAAGCTCCTCCGGGAGAACCACGCCAACGAGCTGGCGGAGGTCAGAGCGATGGAGCAGAAGGGCTACGAAGAGCAAATGGGCGTCTTGATGAACGAGCAGGCCGAGGCGGTCCGCATCCTGGAGAGCGAGTTGAACGACGCGCGGGACGACCTGACGAGGGTGGCAGCGCAGGTGGCGAGCGGCCTCGGCGTCGACGACGATGGCGTGGAGAAGCTCACGGAGCGCATCGACAGCTTGATGGCGGACCGAAAGGCGCTTCACGAGGCGGAGGCGAAGACGGGCGAGTTTGAGCGGCACATGGTGGAGCTCTCGAACATCAACGACACGATCCTCAAGGACCTCGAGCAGGTCAAGTCGACGCTGTCCGACATACTCACCGGGGAGGGTGAGGCGGTCAGGAGCCCGGCGCCGGTGACGGAGCAGCTGTCGGCGATTCGCAAGAAGATGGCGGAGCTCGAGAGCAAGAACAAGAAGAACTCGCGGCTTGTGGAGGAGTTGGAAGACCAGCTCCAGACGAACTTTGACCATGCCCAGATTACCAACAACCGCATCTCGACGCTACAGACGGAGCAGCAGGCGCAGCTGGATAAGGCCATTGCGGCGAAGACGAAGCTCGAGGCCGAGTTGGAGACTTTGCGCGCGGAGCACACGGGGCTTCAGGTAAGAGAGGAGAATTCTTCTCCCCCGGGAGGTGGAGGCGACAGGTGGGTGTATTTCTGTGAGCTGACAATTTCTGAACACCAACCAGGCCAAATACGATGAAGCGATCAGCGGCCAGCCGCAGCGGACGAACTCGACCAACTCTAACCTTCGCAAGAGCGCTTCACACACGTCTCTGCCGTCGCCGCCGCCGGCGATCCCGCTGCCCCCGCTACCCAGCGGCAACGGACCCGGCAGCCCGACGGTGCCGAGCTCGCCGACGGGGATGCGGCCGGCGAGCAAGGACAACATGGCGATGGCGTCGCTGACGCAGATCCAGGAGGACCAGGAGGCGCGGATCCGGACGATCGAGAAGCACCTGGACGCGGAGAAGCAGCTGACGCAGACGCTGGAGGAGGCGCTGACGGACCTGGAGAAGCAGTCGAACAAGGTGAAGGCGGACTGCGACGCGTGGCGCAAGCGGTGCGGGCAGCTGGAGGCGGAGATCAAGGAGCTCAAGGACCGGCCGACGCCGCCGCCGGCGCAGGACAACCGGTGGAGCCTGCACGCGGTGGAGGAGGAGCGGAAGAAGCGGCAGGCGGCGGAGGCGGCGCGGGCGCATCTCGAGGAGAGGATGAATGCCATCAACAAGCAGAAGAAGAAGAAGGGGTCTTTGAACTGCTTCTAGGGGGTGGCGGAGTTGTTTGCATTGTCTTGGGTCACCCCAATATTCCCCTCTTATTTTCTTGTCACTCCTTGCCATATAACGCAGCCTCTTCCTTGCCTTTTTTTTTTTTTTTTTTTTTTTTTTTTTTTTTTTTTTTTTTTTTTTTTACCCTTTCTTTTTTTTTTTTTTTTTTTTTTCCTTGCTCTTCTTTTCAAGCCTTCATGTCATGTTGTTTGTATATTCCAGCATCCCCCCAAGCACTGAAGACTCTAGCTCGGGCTTTGTCGTTGGCGGGACAGATTTGCACCTCGAGATGAGGCTTTCTCTTTTCCCCTTTTTTTCTTCTTCTTTTTTTCCTTCTTCCTATTCTACACGACACCAGACTTGCCCAGTGCAAGAACAGGACAGAATTTGGTTGACGGGGCCTTGGTCCACCTCCACCTCTTCGCCTGTTCGCCCGTATATACCCCAAAATCCTCGGGCGGCAGCGGAATGGACCTTCTCTTTTTTACAGGTTGGTCCACTCGCACGCCTCGACGATGAAAACATTCCATACCTCGTTGACGATAACATATTTTCTTCCTCCCGTCACCCCCTACCTTACCTTTACTACCCACCTCCCCCAACGTACCTATCAACCAGAAAGGACATGCTACGTCAGCCATGATGGTTGATTAATGATGGCACGATGAGATAATATCGATGGCTTGGAAGAGAAAAGGGAGGAGATTGATTTTTTTTCTTCACTTTTGTTCGGGCGGTTCTCTTTTTTTTCCCTTGGGGTGTCTCTTATTAGTTTGCTTTGGTTGCTTCGCGATGAAGCGTGTTTAGGATAGCTGGGACCGCTTTTTTTAGCTGCCCTGTTGTGAAAAGAGACGGACATGGTGAGATGATGGGGGAGCGAAATGAGATGGCTCTCCTAGTATTTGGATATGTAGAATTTATTGGTGACATTTTTCTTTTTTTCTCGTATGCATTTTCTGGATGGTTATTGAAGTCGACTTGGTGAAGCGCTTGCTGTGTCCTGTCGGTGATCTTTCTGCGCACCTGTGCGCCTGTGTTTAAACCAACCAGATGCAATTAAGGGGGCACTGATCGGTCATTTTTTGCCCGAACGTTTTGGCGCGTCGTCAGGTTGATGGTCCAAAAAATGTACATGTAATTCATAATTACCTTACCCTTTTCCCTCCTGGACTATATCATCAAGCGCTAAAGTCATCAACGCCAAACTTAATCCTTCCGTACCCGACTGGACCGTTCGTTCAAGCCATCGAAACAGGTCGAGCACTCCGCGGCGATGCCTCGGTCGGAGGAAGCGCAGGCTTTCTTTCACGCCGTTTACTTGGCCGTGCGGGAGATTCCACGGGGTAAAGTGACGACGTATGGGCACATCGCCCACCTTGTCGGGACACGTGAGTGGCAGCGTATTTTTTAGTTGTTTTGTTTTGGCGGTGCGCTTTATTCACTGTATGTATGTATGCTTACACACAAAAAAATTAGCCCAGCGTGCGCGGCAAGTGGGGCTTTGCCTCAAGCATCTCCCGTCGGACCCGGAGGCGCGGTTCAACTCGGACAACGTGCCCTGGCAGCGGGTGATTAATTCGCGTGGGACGATTTCACCTAGGTGAGTTACCTATTTACCGTCTGGTATCGAGGTTTGCAAGAATTGAAAAGTCGTGTTGTGTGTTTGGCAGGGCGGTACCGGAAGGGACGCAAGCGCAGGCTACGGCGCTGCGTGGCGAGGGTGTCGAAGTGCGGACGCTGGCTCTTGGCGAACTGGCGGTGGATTTTGAGGTCTGTGGTTGGTTCCCTGATGTTTTGCCTTCAGGGGGGGAACAGGAGTCATAGCAGGAGGTGCCTTGTGATGAGAGATGATTTAGGTGGATGTATAAGCCGGTAGATTGATGTCTTTGCGATACATGTGCAGGGAGACTTGTTCCTTGTTCTATGCATGGGTGTATTCGGGCGTGATTCGGTATGTTACTGTTACCACTTGGGGCGGCGGTCAGACGAAGTACAAGTCTATACCTTACTTACTACCTGTCTATAAGGTACGTAGGCCTGCACATTGATACCTTACCCAACACAGCACGTAATCAGTGTACGATGGATGGGAAAATAGAAAACATCATTAGGAGCACCGACAGCCAAGTACTGGGTCAAAAGTTGGTTTAGTGAAGCTCCCAAATCAACATCACCTGCAACATCTAAGCACACGTGCAAGGACTGGGCAACGCATGTATCACGACTGATACCGAATTAACACCGCGACGGAAGGCCCAGAGGGAGGCCCGTGTGTCTCGGCCCCGCAGCAGCCGCATCATCGCGTGTGCCGGATCCGGGGAACGGGACCTAGACCGGATCGAGGTTTCTGTTACTAAATCGTGACGTCCTCAAAACGCCGCCAACGAACAATTTAATAAAAGTATAATAATGTACATTAATTCGGACCTCGGCGGACAATAGAAAAATGTAAGGGACCTTTAAATGGCAGTCAGCCCGCTTCCCTCTTTCTTTGACGTTCAACTCTACGGTACTACCCAGGGCAGTCCCATCGGGTTCTTGGTCTTTTGCGACTCCAGCAATTCACAGACTACAGTCCTCCCAGCTATTATGTCAAGATGGAATCCGAAAACATGGAACATAGACATCGATCATTACATTAATCCGTGGCTTCCACCTCCGCCATGGCAGCATCTTCCAACCCCCGTCTCTCGCTTCTTCGGTTACCGCCGGGAGGTGCCCGAAAAACTCGGCAACATCGTGCTCGTCTTTTGGGCTTTCGTCGGCGTCTTTTGCTCGATCGCCCTGATAGAAGTTGTCTCCTATAATGTCCCGTCCTTCCGCCAGAACGGTGTGCCCATTATCGTGGCAAGTTTCGTATGTCAACTCCTGATTCCCCTGTCCTCGCCTAGAGAGAAAGCAATACCATAAACTGACCCGCCTTCCCGCTTCCCGCCCAGGGCGCCGCCGCCGTGCTCGAATTCTACTCCATCGACGCCCCCCTCGCCCAGCCCCGCAACGCGATCCTGGGCCAAGTCGTGTCCGGCGTGGTCGGCATCGTCACCTGCAAGCTCTTCCTGCTGAGCCCGCACTTCGACGCCGTGCGCTGGGTCGCCGGCGCCATCGCCTGCGCGGCCGCCACGTCGGCCATGGCCCTCACCAAGACGGTGCACCCGCCCGCCGGAGCCACCGCGCTGCTGGCCGTCGTCGACGACTCCATCGTCGACCTGGGGTGGTTCCTCCTCCCCGTCCTGCTGCTCGGCTGCGCGCTCATGCTGGGCACGGCCCTCGTTGTAAATAATATCCAGCGCCGATTTCCCGTGTACTGGTGGACCCCTGAGGACCTGGCTGCGCAGGGTCGGAGGCGGTGGCCGTGGTGTGGGGAGTCGGGCGACGAGGAAGCGCAGGGTCAGGTTTCGAAGGCTACGTGTGCCGTGGGGGGGGAGGAGGGCCGGCATAGGCATGCTGCTGCGAGGTCGGGGGTGTGGAGGACGAATAGCAGCAGTACTGGGACGTACATGGATAGGGAGCTGGTGATTCGGCCTGGGGTCGTCACCGGTCCTGAGGACTTTTATCTTACGCCTGAAGAGTTACTCTTTTTAGAGAGTTTGTGTAAGAGGATATAGAATCTCGGCATGGGGAGATGGCTGGGCGTACAAATAGTATGGGATTCTAATTGTTCATATTGTTTTTATTACTTGTGTGTGTTATTTTTGTGTTGGTCGTTTTTACTTTACCCCTTTTTATACATTCCTCGAGCTCCTTTGGCCCCTTTTAATCGTTCCAACTCGGAATGTCGGGATTACTCGTCTCAAGCCACGACTCTTCACCGACCGTCAGCCACTCACTCTTCGTCCCACACGCCTGACTCGGTGACTCACCTGTGCGTGCTGTTATCTGGAGCATAAAAGGGGTCAAAGAGGAATATACTAGACAGAGTCAACTTGAATCATTTCACATCCCCAGATTATCCCACTCCTCGCCCTCTCAAATCACCACACGACGAAAAATCATGACCGTCACCAAAGCCGGTCATCTGTCTTCCCGAGGCGCCGTTCTCGCGGACCCATCCAATCGACCCGTTATGCTCGATATCGTCTCCAACTTATGGCATCCCGAATCCAACCCGGGCGGTTATCTCAGTTTAGGAGTCGCTGAAAACGTTAGTCCTCCCGTCCCAGGGGCCCTGTTGCTAGTATGTCGCATGCATACCTGGACAGTGGACTAACATGGAGAGACATGAACGGTACAGACATTGATGCACGACGAAATCACCCAGTACATGACCAAGAATGCAAGTCCCGGAATCCTCTACATTCCGTGCCCCGTGCCTTTATATTTTCATGTTTCCAGCCTGACCTCACCGCTGACTCGTCCCAGATCTCCCTCAACAGCCACGCTCTTACCTACGGCGACAGCTTCTCGGGCAGCCATGGTCTCAAGTCTGCCATCTCCGCCTTCATCACCCGTCACTTCTCTCCCCTCCAACCCGTCCTCTCTCGTCACATCGTCATCACGTCAGGCGTTGGCCCTGCTATCGATAGCTGCGTCTTTTCCCTCTGTGATCCGGGCGACGGCATATTGCTGGGTCGACCTTACTACGGCGCATTTCCCTCCGACGTGTCTTTGAGAGCAAAGTATGCCACGATGCCTTCTCAACCACTGATGTTTTGCAGAAAGGCTGATGGTGTCCAAGGGCCCAAATTATTCCCGTTGCATTCGACGACATTGACCCATTTAGTCTCGATGCCATGCCGTATTATGAGAAGGCTCTCTCGGATGCCCGGGAAAGGGGCATCCTCACGAAGGCCATGATCCTCTGCAATCCCCACAACCCTCTCGGTACGTCACCCCTTTTTTTCCGGTAATAGTAGTCCCTCTCTAGCCCTAGCTGATGAGAACTTCTTTTGTGGTATCACAGGGCGCTGTTTCCCCCCTGAAGTCCTGGCCGCCTATATGCAGTTCTGCCAGAAACACAACATTCATCTCATAAGCGATGAGATATATGCGCTGTCGATTTGGGAGAACCCAGATGCCCCTGATGCGCCTCCTTTTACCTCCACTCTGTCGATCGATACAGCTGGTCGGATTGACCCGAGTCTTGTTCACGTTCTGTGGGGGATGAGCAAGGTTAGTTGATGTATTCTTTGCCTCAGCCCTTATTACTTCGCCATTATCTAACTCTGTGAATCCGTCTCCTAGGACTTTGGTTCCAACGGCATCAGACTAGGTTGTATCGTCAGCCAGAACAACAACCCTTTGATCCGTGCGCTGGAGGCCAACTCGTGCGTGAAAACCTGACATCCCCTTTCTTTTCAACCCCCTGAACAGTGGTACTGACACACCCGGTAAAGCTACTTCACCTGCCCCTCCTCCCTGGCAGACCGCGCCACGACCGCCCTCCTCTCGGACACAACCTTTGTCGAATCCTTCATCCGTACGAATAGTCGCCTCCTGACAGAGCGATACGTCTCGACCGTCCGCTTCCTCGAGTCGCGCGGCATCCCTTATCAGGAGGGCTCCAACGCCGGGCTCTTCGTCTGGGTGGACCTCCTGGCGTACCTCGCTGGTGCCGATTCCTCTGAGGGGCTGGGATCTGAGGAGGATCGATGGGCCTTGGAAACACGGCTCGAGGCCGCGCTGTTGAAGGAACGCGTGTTCCTGGCTTGCGGGGCGGCGTTTGGGAGTTACCGGCCTGGGTGGTTCCGCGTTGTGTTTGCGCATGATGAGGCGTATCTTCTTGAAGGGTTGAGGAGGATCGTTGACGCTTTGGAGTTGCTCAGGGGTGAGATGGCTCGGGGGTGATGGACAGTGGCTGATCCGAATATTGAAGGGATGTTAACATGCTCGTGCATTTTTCAGAGTTATCCAGTAAACATTATATAGAAGCGGAACTACCACGCTAAACGTACAATATATCTGCATTACAACAGCGTCAGGGTCCCCGTCCACAAAGTCAACAAAGCCAACTTCCTCTCAACCAGGATGACCGGCCCTCCAGGACCCGATGAACAAATGCTCGACGAGGATCATGGAGTCCCCCTTCTCATGAGTGTGTTCTTGAGGTAACCAGCCAAAACTATCCTTGGGCAGGACCAACACATCGCCGATCACCCGGGGCTCCGGAAGCCGATCCAGCTCGTCGCCGGTGTGAGCTTCGCCCGTGATGCTTGAAAAATAATCCATCATGACCTCGGTAAACGCAAACGGTCCCGTCGTGGACATGACCTCTCCAAACGTCACCGTGACGCTACCCGACGACGACGACTTCTTCTTCTTCGACTCGAGGAGCTCCCCGAGGTCTCCCGCAACCTTGTCGACCAGTGTCCTGATGGCCGGATGGCCCGGCTTCGCCAGCACGACATACTGACACAGCTGCACCGAGTAAGGGGAGCCGGGCCAGATGGGCCGCTTGTGGTGGTCGTTCTCGATACCGACGACCAGGTTGATGCCCAGGTCGCGGTACCGGTCGGGGATCCATTGCGAGACGGGCTGGTGCGGGTAGACGTCGATGTCGGCCCACACACCGCCCTCGCGGAGCAGGATCAGGTAGCGCAGGAAATCGGCTTTGAGGATGGGATCATCTAGCGACGTGAAGAGGTCGGCGATGGACGAATCGAAGTTGGCGCGGACGTAGGCGTCGTTGTTGGCGTCGGTGATGCGCTCGTACCGCCAGGCGGGGTTGCCGACGCGCCATTGATGGGGGAAGCCGATTGTGCGGTCTGTTGGGTCTTGGGAGTCGTCTTTCCAGCTTTGCCAGATCTTTTGCGGGAAGGGCTGCGAGGAAAGGAGTTCCATGTCGGATTGAGGTTCGCGTTCTGGAGGATGGGCTTTGTGGAGGACGCCTCCTTGGCTATCGGTGTAATATGAGTGATGCCCGACCAGCAGGAAGATGGTCACTGCAGTCCCTGCCAGCAGGGCGTACACAGATTTGAGAGGGATGCCGGACGGCCGCATGGCTCTCCAAGTTGAAGGGGGAAGTGAAGTTGAAGAAAAAGGGGTTGGGCAGCGGGACTTGGCGATTCGGCGATGAGGGTAGACCGTAGGGGGTTGAAGCCCGCTTGTATGTAAGGAAAGGAACATGAAGGAGCTGAAATGGAAAAGGAAAGTACTGGTATGGAATATGAACTGCAGACTGCCAATGCCAGCAGTGTGTGCCCCTGGTGATGGAGCCAATGACCTGGAATGGTTTGCCGCCGGTTTGTCCGTTGGTGCAACTCAACGGCTCCGAACCAGGTCGCCGGGACCAACAGGCCAATGATGCCGAATGGACAACGGAGCAATGCATTGACGGGCACTTACGCAGCCTAACTTTTGTCCAGACGGCGTTTCTCTCGTCTTGGCTCGACAATGCCCCGGGTGCCGCCCACCGAATCCCTGGAGGCCGATCCCCGGGTCGCACCCATATGTTAGTGAAACGTCGCCCTGTTGTTGTCGCGTCTTCTTCATCTTCTTTTTCCTTTCCCTTTCTCTTTTTTTGTTTCTTTTTTATATTATTATTTTGCATCTGACTTACACGTCCACTACACCCGGAGTATGTTGGTTTCGTAAGTTGTAACCCGCACCGCAGTGACCGCACCGTGCTTCGTTCATCTCGACTCGCCATCAGAGACGTATGGTCACACATCACCATGGCGAGACTCGCTTTACCCGTCACTCTTCTCTGTCTCTTGCACCTCTGTTCAGCGCGTTGCTACTACCCCAACGGCCTGAGAGCGAACGGTGATTTCCCGTGCGACCCGGACGACGACGATAGCCCATGCTGCAACGGGGGCGCGGGTTGGTCGTGTATGTCAAACAAGCTGTGCAAAGGTCCAGACGGAAACATCATCCGAGGGTCTTGCACGGATCAGAATTGGGAGTCTCCTAGCTGCCCTCAATACTGTCTGAGTAAGTTCCCAGGCGCGCATGTTTGAGACGCGGGCAAAAATCACAGCGAGGCTTTTGCCCCTGGATCTGCCAGTACAAGAGCCAGTTGAGCAGAGGCATTTGATGCGGACTGACACTCTTGTCAAACCAAAGGCGCAAACACTGGCGGCACCGATCTGATATCCTGCGCCAACGTCACCGAAATCGACACATTATACTGCTGCGACCACACGATAAACTGCTGCAACAGCGGCGTGGGACGCTTCGAGGTCCTCCCCTCCGAACCGGAAATCTGGGCCACATGGAACAGGGACGAAACGCAATACGTCGTTGTGCTGGCAACACCGTCTTCTACCTCGACATCCGAGGAACCGTCGTCTACTGTCGACACGGAGTCTGCGACGACATCGACTCAGTCTCCCACAGCCAGCGACGACAGGGGCGATCGCAGCACCAGCACGTCAGAAGCGTCATCACCAGCCGAGACCGCCCCCGAAGAGTCGTCACAGTCCGCACCCCAGCCCTCACCAGATGCTTCGTCGGAAGAGGGACTATCGGTCGCTGCTCAGGCGGGTATTGGCGCTGGTGCCGGCGTCGGCGCCATATTGATCGCGGCAGTCATATATCTGTTCTGGAAACTCCGCAAGAACCAGAAGATGTTGGAAGAGAATCAACGGGCGGCTGCTGCCGGTCGATGGACCGGCGCGGCGCCCTATGCGGAACAGCCACCTCAACCTATGAGCGACGTGATGGTGAACCCGTGGTATTCGCCTCATGGTCATAGTGGCCTGAAAGAATCGCACACGCAGGTTCGACAGTATCAGCGGCAGGAGCTGGATACAAGGACGCCGCAGGATTATGGAGAGCGAGCCGAGTTGCCAGGATACGTTTTATAATATTATATGCAAAGAATATAACATGAAAACAATGATGACTCTCCTTCCTCTAGACCTACTCTCCTGCTTTTAGCACGGACTATTAGTTTCCCATGGTATAGACAGACCTTGGACAAATAGAAGGGAAACTTGCTATTAGGATCAATGATAGATCCGCAGAATCGGGCAGATCTCTCTCACGACCCGGGGTGAAAGAAGCCGGTGACCATCCTAGACTACGGAGTATACTGTATGTTGACTTCAGCGCCGACATCCCGTGGCAGTTGAGAAAGACGATTGCCTTCGTCAAGTGGCCGACTGGTCTGTAAAAGTCCTACAAACTGAGCCAAGCTCAAGCCCCGATACTGTCCTACCTATGTGACAATATGCGATAAGATTCGGCACCAACCTCTTGCATTTCTCGTTCGCAAGATTTTTCACCTCACATGCTTATAAGCACAGTCCTCACCACCTCCAGGAATAGTTTAACTGAAGACCCAGCCCCCAAAACGTATTCCATGGCACCCCTGTTGAAATGGGCAAGAGGCTTCCTACGCCGAACGCCATGGGCCCCTTTACGATTTCCCACGGCTGGTTTTGAAGTTCTTCCTGCTACAGAGTTGCTCGAGGAAGAACGGTTGGAGGAGTTCAAAACAGGCTGCTACTACCCAGTCAATATTGGAGACCTATTCGCCTCCAACAAATACCAAGTGGTCGGCAAGTTGGGGTTTGGGTCAACCTCGACAGTCTGGCTGGCTCGGAATCTTCGGCATGTTTCCCTACTTTCTCCAGTGCGCCTTAAGCGATACTATCATACACTCAGACAGTGTCGACTAACACCAAAAGCAGGGAACAAGATTATGTTACCTTGAAGGTCTTTGCGCGAGAGTTTGGGCAGACATGTCTGGACGAGTTCCGGACGTACGAGACCATCGACAAGGCGAACCCTTCCCACCCCGGACACCGGCACGTGAGGACCGCCCTGGAGACCTTCGCAATCGACGAGCCCGGAGGGAATCACCAATGTCTCGTCCAGCGGCCCATGTGGGATAGCTGGAAGGATCTGCTGCTGCGAAACCCCACGGGCCGCTTCTCCGAGGCGCTCCTGAAGGGGGGGCTGCAACACCTCCTCCGTGCCCTCGACTACTTGCACACCGAGTGCAAGCTTGTCCACACAGGTGCGTGAGCTGGATTCGGCGTGCCCGCCATATCATGGTATCACCTCTGACACAACAGTGGTGTACCGTATAGATATCAAGGCGGACAACATTCTGCACGCAATCGTCGACCAAGGCATCCTGGAAGCCTTCGTCAAAGAGGAGTTGGAGACGCCTTCACCGCGCAAATACGTCGGCGGTACCCCTATCTACATGTCCAGACGCTTCGGCCTACCCGAGGACTTTGGCAGGATCGTGCTCAGCGACTTCGGGTCCGCCGTTAGAGGGGACACGAAGCGCAACCACGACGCCCAGCCGAACGTGTACCGGTCGCCCGAGGTCATGATCAAGGCGGCATGGAGCTATCCCGTCGATATTTGGAACGTTGGGGCCATGATCTGGGATGTGTTTGAGGGCCGTCACTTGTTTCGCGGCGAGGACCCGACCGGTAGGGGATATACGACGCGTGCACACCTTGCTGAAGTCGTTGGGCTGCTGGGGCCGCCACCCCCGGATCTGCTCGAGCGCGGAGTTAGGAGCAAGGAGTTCTTTTCGGAAGACGGTGAGTTGTGTGCACTGTCCATATATGTTTCTTGAGGTGCTAGAAAAGGGGCGAGGGGTGAGGGGTGAGACTGGCTGACGTCTTTACAGGACGATGGATCGCAGATATCCCGGTTCCCCAGGGAAACAGCCTGGATAAAGCCGAGCGCTTCCTCCAGGGGAAAGACAAGGCCATGTTCCTCGACTTTGTGAAGGGGATGCTGGCGTGGCGACCCGAGGATAGGAAGACGGCGCGAGAGCTGCTTGAGGACCCGTGGCTGACAGACAAGGCGACACATGTAGACCAGGAGCAAAGTAAAACTGGATAGATATAGTCTATAGGATTAACTAGCGAGATGAAGGAAGCTTATTGTACATAGTTGAGAGTTCAGGGTATCAAGCATAAAGACAAAGAAAATTCAACAGAGGAGAAACCAGGGGTTAAGACTCGTAAGACGTAAGATGTTGTCCATGTCGACTCAAGAGGCACGGGAATAACAAAGGAGAATAGGGGAGAAAAATAGACAGATCAAGACGAGACCCCATTAACGTTCTTCTGCTCCCCCTGGCGCACAGCATCGGTGGCGGCATTGAGACGGCCAAACTGCCACTCCGGAAGAGTAATGCCAGTCTGCTCGTTGATGGTGGTCATGAGAGGAGGCAGCATCTGGTACAGGTTGCGCATGGTCTCGGTACCCGTGGCTGCCCCGGCACCGCCCTCGGCACCACCACCACCAGCAGCCCCCGTGTTCCAGACGCTAATCTTGGGCTGCAGACCCCGGATGGCGTCGGCGTTGGCGTGGGCCAGGTCCTGGTAGACGCCCTTCTCCAGCATCATGTACTGCAGCAGACCGGCGGGACCGCCAAAGGCTTGGCCCATCTTGCCGTAGGCGTCGGCCATGGCGGCGAGACCCTCGGCGCGCAGGCGGGCGGTGACGAGGTCCGCCTCGGCCTTGATGCGGGTAGCGTAAGCCTGCCCATCGGCCTCGCGCTGGGACTTTTCGAAATGCGCCTTCGCGTCAGCCTCGACCTGGTAGGCGCGCGCATCGGCAACCTGCTGGGCCGACTCTCGCTCGATGGTAGCCTTGACGACGTCGCGGGCGCGGAGTCGCTCCATCTCAGCGGCGGCGCGCTTGATCTCGACCTGGCGTTTCAGCTCCTCGTCCGTGGACTGCAGCTCGCGCTGGGCGGTGACGCGAGCAATCTCGACGTCGCGGTTGAGCCCGGCCTGACGGGTGCTGAGGTTGGCCTCGGCGGCGGCGCGCTCAATGTCGCGCTCGGTCTTCTGGACGGCGGTCTCGGCGTTGATCTTGGCGATCTCGCGCTCCTGCTCGCCGCGGCGGTGGGCCTCGCCGACGTTGCCGCGTAGCTGGGCCTCGGCCACGTCGATGCGCGACTGGTTGGTGGCGCCCTCGTGGGCCTTGCGCGAGAGCGACTCGAAGTACTCCGAGTTGGGGGCGTCGCGGAGCTCCTTGACGTTGGCGTTGTAGATCTTGAGCCCGAACTGGGCCAGCTCCGACTGGATGTTCTTGAAGATGCGGCGCTTGAACACCTCGCGCTCGGTGAAGATCTCCTCCATGGTCATGGACGAGACCAGCACGCGCACCTCGCCCTCGATGATGCCGTTGATGATGCTCTCGACGTGCGACTGGCCCTCCTGGGGGTGGCCCTTGCTGTCGACCTCGCGGTCGGCCAGGAGCATGGCGTATTTCATGAGCGCGTCGCCCTTGTCCTCGCGGTCCCGGTCGTCGTCGTGGCCTTCGTCGTCGGCCGAGTTGGCGCCTCGTTGGTTGACGTCGGGGCCGACGGTGAAGACGACGGGGAGGAGGAACTGGAGCTTCTCCTTGGTCATAGCTTGGAGGTTCCTAGCATAGTCGTTTGGTTGCACGCTGCGAGGAGTGTTAGCAGGAATTGCTTAGCTAAAGTCTGAGACAAGAAGGGGAAGCGCACCTAAACCGCATGCATCGCTGTAATGGCCACACCCATGCTGCTTTGGTAATCTTGATCTTCTTAACGCCCATGCCAGTAATGGCCAGGTACTGGTCGGGGGCGGCGATCTTGTAAGACATGTTGGCTGAAGTTCGAACTTGAGGTCGGTGCAAGAGAGATGTGTCGCCGCTGAAGAGACTGTCGAGTGGGGAGAGTATGAGATAACCGGCCGGGATTCAATGGGTCTGTCCTCTTTTATAGTTGAAGGATGATATGGTTTGAGGAGGCAGGAATGAGGCCAGCCAAGAAGGTTCCGTGGAAGGTTCCGTGGAAGGTTCGAAGCAAGAGAAGCTTTGGTGGCTGTTCCCTGTCAAACGCTGTGAAATGCTAGGAAGTAGACAAAGTTAGATAAGGCCCGGTGTGGTTTGCTTTGGTCGTGATACGTGATCAGGCGGTTGATCGCCGATGATGGTGTTGAATTGTTGATAGACTATAGTCGGATGGAGAGAGAGGAAAGGACTCAGAGGAGGACGAGGATAATGGTCACTTTTTAAGGATGTCGTCTCCATTGTCGAATATCCTCTCGCTGGGCATCATGTCAGTCAGCCTAGTGGAAAAGGAGGCAGTGTCAGCAAGTCGATAGAGCAGGGCTGCATGTGTGTAGTGATGGTCAATGGTGTTGTTGAGGGAATGCAGTTGGGTACTCGGGTACTTGGGTACGAATAAAATGAGCTGTGGCTTGTAAGGCCGGAATGCAATACGTACAAGTACATCACACTGTCTAGCACACTGTGAGTCGTATCCACTTCACTTCCTGTTCCCCATCTTCTATTGGTCGAGAGCCGATGAAGCGTTTCCGCCTTGCCCTCCACTAACGCCATTCAGCCACCGACATTAAAATAAGGCCCCGGGGGATCTGGGGAAGGCCCACTAATTCCGCATGGTTTGAGGTGGCGGTGTAACAGGAGCGTCTAATATCATCACGTGGGTTTGTTCCCCCCACTTACATTATCCCGTAATTTGATTCCCGTCCTTTCTGCCCCTGTTCTAGCGTCCTTCGGGCACAAGTCTCTCCATAAGTCCCTCGCCAGCCTCATTTCGTACCAGCCACAGCACGTCTTTCATCTGTTAATATCTGACAAGGTCAACTTCGCTCACCACACATGGCTATGGCATGAAGTTTGTAAAGTTGAAATCAAGTCAGTGATGAGCTGTCAGGGGGTGGCTATATCGCGTCCAGGGGGTGAAGCACAGCCCCAGTTCAAGCCACACACTTGACAGATACAAAGTACTTCGTACAGTGTGCGTGCTGCGGTACACGATGTGGGACCCCCACTACCCGAGAATGCCTTGCGCCACGCCCGGTGATTAGTGAAGCTTCGCATGGCTTGGCTGGAGGAGTCTTAGACCTCTAAACCTGTGACCTGTCCGTCTATCCGTCAACATGCCAAGATGAACTTGACCACCTCGCCCTCGACACTATCTTCTAGGCTTGCAACTTTAAATCCGCCTAGTCGTCTTACGTTGTACTTACTACCCTTCTTCTCTTCATCCCTCGCTTATCAACGAATCTGGACTAGAGATTCAAGTCCGAGGCCCCGAGAGTCCCGACTCCCAGCCAGCCACGACGCTGGGCGGCCTGGGCCCCTGAGTCCCTGACGCATCTCATTCAACCAGGAACCGAAACATAGCAGGCCTCATTTTTCATCTCGTCTTCCCGATATCGCAAAGCCTAAAGCCCATTCTGTTGACTTCTTGTTCTCGCCACACGCCTGACGTGCACTACGAGCTGCAATTATCAATACATGTACGCTGCCATCGATCAATATATGCAAACTCACGACGGATATCATCAACATACACCAAAATACCATCTCATAAGCTTCCAAGTCATCTAGGTCACCGTTTGATAACCGCCCATCATGACTAAACCTCCCTCACCCCCATACTCGACAACCGATGCACCACCTCCCTCCTACTTCGAAGCAACAGCATCCTCCTCCTCCTCCTCCTCAACAGCAAACCCACCACCCCTCTTCCCAACCCAAAACCCCCTCTCCTCCTTCCTCCGCGCCGCCCACACAGCCCACGCATGCCACCTCGCCGCCCACGAATCCACCCTCCTCACCCTCCTCACCCACTCCCTCGACTCCCACACCTCCGACCTCCTCGCCTCCCTCTCCCCTCCCCCGAGACAACTCAACCTAACCCTCGTCCCCTCCGCCGCCGTCGCCCCCTCCTGGACCCTACTCGACCCCGACCTCGACGCCGAAGACCCCACCCGGGGACGCTACTTCCGCGCCATCCGGGTGCAGAACAAAAACAACAGCAAAGGCCCCTCCTCCCTGGGCGACGGCGACAAGAAATCTTCGTCTTCCGCCTCGGAGGAAGGGGAGACAGAGACGGTAAGGGAGAAGGGGTTCGACGAGTGGGGCCGCTGGGACGACGACGATGACGACGCGGGGAAGAAGAAGAAGAAGAAGGAGGAGCACTGGTGGTTCCGCGACGAGGTGCTCGCTTGTCGCTTGGCTCGGTATCTGCTCCCTCCTTCTCCGCCTTCGCAGCCGGCTGCTGCTGCTGCTGCTATCTCGCGGAGAGGAATGCGTGGGATTCGCGACGATTATGATCATGTTCGCATGACGGCCAAGGCGGAGGAGGTTACGTTCCGACGGGAGAATGAGATGGGTATCTGGGAGAGTTTGAGTGGCTGGGGTATTGTCGTGAGGATCAAGATGCGGAGGGCCTAAATTACGTTTGAAGGTACGGACGGGTACGGGTACGGGTACGGGTACGGATTCCGACAAACATCATCTTCGCGACCCGGATGTTGAATGTCATCTGTCTCTTTGTTTGGACCAAGTTCTCATCAGAAGCGCTATGTTTCTAAAGGCCTGCTTAACAAGTTCTATTTGCTCCTGACCCTACTGTCCGTACCCTCATTCTCTACCGAACCGTCGGGACGTCCCTTGCCCGCGAGAATCGCTCTATATCCTACCCGAAACGGATCTCCCTACTAGGGTCCCACGTCCCGCTCGCATGGTGTCTGGATGCTTGTGTATTCGCACCCAGACCCCCGTTAGGACCGGGCGGACCAGTCGGCGTAGCCCCCTGCGGCGTGCCAGCAAACCGGATGCCGATGTCTGGTGTCCACATGCCAGAAGCCGTCGAAACCGGCTGGGGATGGGGCTGCAGTTGCGGTTGCTGATGCTCTACCGTCGGGCTGGCCCACGATTGGACCGCCGATTCTGCTGAAGGTTCGACGACTTGCTGTCTTGGATCGTGTACGGGAGGTGGTACGGGGTTTATCGGAAAGTAGGAAGTCGGAGGCTGCTGCTGCTGCTGCTGTTGGCCAGAGTGGTAGTTCAAGGGCGGGGAATGGACCGGCGTCCTGTTGCTGATGGAAAGTGAACCCAGCGTCGGCATGTTGAGCTCCCTAGGCTGATGTTAGCGATAGATCTTGGGGGAAAGAAAAGAAGAAAAAAAAAGAAGAAGAAAAGAAAAAACATACTCCTCAAGACTCTTCGCATCCATCCGCCGCTCCGCCGCCCACGCCCGCACCGGATCCCGGAAATTCTGCCCCACCACCTTACTCAGGTCATTATAAAACTTGCGCCCGACGTCCAGGTGGTTGACAATCTCCTTGTACTTGTAATACGCATTGTCGAGCCTCTGCAGCGCCTGCTCCCGCTCGCGGTTCCCGCTCGTCATGCTCCGCCGCTGGCCCTCAAACTCCCGGCTGATCCGCTCCACCTCGCCCGCCAGCCGCTCCTGCTCAGTCGCGTCCTTCTCGACCGCCTCCAGCTCGGGCTCGTACAGCGCGTCCAGCCGGCGCTCGAAGAACTCCTCAAAGTGCACCGGCAGGATCGCCGTCGTCGGGTACGTCCGCTCCAGGCGCGCCGCCTCCTTGAGGATCTCCGGCTTGATGTCGTCGCCGCGGCACTTGTCCCGCAGCGCGTCCACCCTCCGCCGCCGCCGCGACTCGAGCCGCAGGACGTCGTTGTAGGCCCCGCGCAGCCGTCCTATGACCGGTCGGAGGCCGTCCGGGATCTCCACGCGTCGGCTGGACGGCACGTAGTCCATCAGCATGCGGTCGGACCCCGACATGAGCTCCAGCAGGTCCTGCACCTGGGTGAACTTGTTCTGCACCACCTCGTCGCTGCTGATGCTGGTCTTGAAGTAGCCCTCGATCTCGTCGACCTGCGCCCAGAGCTGACCGCCCTGCGGGTCGCTGCGGCTGTCGGGGCGCGTCCACCGGTCCGTCCCGTACTTGGTCCGCAGCTTGACGTCTTCCTCCTCCTCCGCGGCCAGGATGGCCTTGCCTTCGGCGAACACGGCATGGTCCGCTGATCGCAGTTTGTCGATGTCTGAGAACGCTCGCTGGATGCGACCTACCGCGTCGGCTTGCCGAATCTCCTCGGCGTGATGAATCAGGTTAGGCGGCAAACCGAGTGGCTTCTCCAGCGCCTGCAACGATCCCGGCAGATTGAGGGAGCTCAGCATGGAGTGGAGCTTCTCCGTGAGATCTTCGTATGCCTGGATGACGCTCTGATTTACGAGGCGATCCCGGCGTTGTTCGTATATGGTGATGGCAGCATGGACCGCAAAGGGAACGAGTTTTGTGAAAAGCGCCGGCCCGAACTCGGCATGATCGCCTAGGTATTCGAACGGATTGGCAACTTGGGGAGGCACCATAGCCTTGGCCATATCCGCGCGGTCGAGAATCGTCAGCTCGGGTTTGCATGGTACGGCCTCTCGAGTTTTGTTAGCAAGAACAGACGAGACGAAAGTACGAAAAGGAAAGGAAAGGAAATGCGACGCGCTGGATGGGTTTCACCTACGCATGTAGATCTTGTCATTGTCCCTTTCGGCCCTCTTCAAGTCTTCCTCCACCCTCCTCTTGAGCCCCTGGAGATCTTCCAGCACAATCTTGTTGAGGTAACCCCCGCGATTCTCCTTCAGGCCCTCGTTGACGCAGGCGACGGCATCGGCAAGGCGCGCCACCTCCTCCCCAAACTTCTTCTTCTCCAGACAGTCGCAGGCGGCCCGGTACTGGGCGGCACCAGCGAAGTGGTGATGTTTCGCACTCATATGGTGGATCCAGGCCGAGCTGATGGCCTCGCTCTTCATGGCCGAGTCGATGGCCAGGTTGTAGAGGTCCGACACGCGCGCGGCGAGCCGTGCGATGCTGGCGTCTTTATACGTCCCATCCATGACGGCCTTCTTCCAAAAGCACTCCTGGCACTGGGCGAGGAGGAGTTGCTTCAGGGCCTCGAGGGTATGCATGTCCATGTCGTCGGGCGGGTCCGACATCCTCAGCTCCGGCAACACCTCCTGTTGCATGTGGGACAGGACTCCAGCGGCGCGCGAAAAGTACGAGACGGCCGTTTTGACGCCTTCTGGTCCGCCGCGACTCTGAGCCACCGCTAACTGGGAGTAGAGCGCGGCGAGGTTGTAGAGGATGTTCAGGAGCTCGAATTTCAGGTTATTTCGGACCATCGGTCGCTCCGGGTTGTAGCCCAAGGCGGGGTACCACGTAAACTCGGCGCCGATCTGGGGAGGACAAGGCGCTATGGTCAGTAAAGCGGAATGGCATTCCTCGGAAAAGGGAAGGAAGACAAGACAAGAAAAAGAACAAAAAAAAAAAAAAAAAAGGCTCACGTCAATGGGAAACTTGCCGCCGATCCAGGCGAGTTGGGCGGCATAGGCCTGAAGCTTAGCGATACCACTTGCATGGGGTTCTCGCACATTGACGGCCTCCCGACGAAGAACATCAATAGCTTCGAGGTCCTGACGGAACATTTCCGGATGCTGGTCATATTTGGTGTTGATGTACTGCCGAATGGTGGAGGAGAGGGAGATGGGAGTGGATCGGCGGAAGGGGAGGGACAGAATATGGGAGATACTAAGAGCAAGGGCAAGAGTCAGTCAGTCAGTCTAGATACGGAGATTCTTATGTCGTATGGAGAGACAGGAGAGACAGGAGAAAGGAGACAGTAGGAGATAGAAGAGAGGAGCCCACGTTGACATGGTGATGGTGATGCGTCGGTCACAAGACCGACACAGGTCTGCGTTCCGTATCCAGGCGTCAGAGGTAAATAAAGATTCGGGCGTAGTATGTTGTAACGGCTAATAAAGCCCACAAGGAAGGTCGTCGTCGTGATGCTGGTTGTGGTTGTGTTGGTGGTGAGGCTGATGTTTGTTTCCCCAGAAAGGAATCATCCATCACTTCTGTGACCGTGGAAACGAGGCCGATGACTTCATCTCTGACAGTGACCAATCAAATGCACCGACAAGTATTGAGATACCTGTCCGTGCCTGGCTGTGGCGCACCAGATAGCGGGGGTGGCTCAGCAACTATATGTGGCTGTGCTTTGTACTCTGAACTCCGGTTTGGATGGGGGGTGACGCGATACAGCGAGGAGTCTACCTTAGGTACCAAATAGTTATCAACATATGGCCAGAGAGAGATTCAGCGCGAATACTGGAAGTGACAAAGAGGACGAAGAGTTGAAAAAGAGCAAGGTAAATTATAAGCTTTTAATCATATCCCACATTGCTCAACAGAACAATGGACATACTGCCATCTGCATCGGCCTCCTTGTAGACGTATACAAATACAATCCTGAACGCTGGCTCATCGATACGCTTGATATCCTGCCCAATAGCAACTCCTAAAACACCGTGTCCGTTTGAGATTCCAAGGATCCTGATACAAATATGACAAACGGACACATATTATGGCGCGTCGGCGCCCGTCAGTCGTAAAGCAAAGGGATATTCGTAGTCGTTGGCGAGTCAAAAGACGGTCGTGTCGTGATCCCAACCGAAACTCGGATGGGGAGATGAGATCACATAACCACCGGCATGTCAGCCAGCTCGTTCGCCGCCGGCGTCAACCACCCGATCCCCGACCCATCCGTCCCGTCCTGGAAGTTCCAGACGTAGTAGCCAATCTCGGTGCCGAGAACAAGCAAATTATCGTCCCCATCCAGACCCCCTCCCTCGAGGGTCCGCCGCTGCCACCTCTCGCCAAAGATCTCGAGCCGGCTCCTCCCCCTCCCGTCGTCGGCGCGCCGCTTGTTCTCGCCGATCGGGGCGAACGCGACCGCCCGATACGGCGCCGCGTTGTCGGCCCGCGACGCCTGCCGGTAGGAATAGAAGACGTTGTTCCAGAAGAACACCGACTCGTCCCATTCCAGCCGCCGTCGGTTGTGGCCCGGTCCGGTTAGGGAGCTGTCCGGGTGCTCCGGGACGGTGCAGAAGGCGAAGCGCCGGGTCAGGACGTTGAAGCGCGCCATGACGACGCTGGTGGTCTCGAGCCAGGCGAGGCACAGGGCGACGCCGCCGTGGGAGTCCATGGCGCGGCAGAGCGGTTTTAGGCGCACCAGCTCGTCTTGGGTGCCGTCGAAGAAGTGGCGTGTGTGGTAAGAGCGCACCAAGGTCCGATCATGGTACTCGCTCACGGATATTTGTAAGAAGGCGCGACTTTCTTCGGGGAGTCCTGATCATAGTGTTAGCATGGGGTGTTGTGGGGTGTTGTGAATTGTTGGGCTTTCCGACCGAAGGGGAGGGGGGTACGGGAAGAAGGGAAAGAACACGAAAGGCACTCACCAGGCCCGGCACACATATAGACTAGGAAGAAGACGTCGGGATTCCAGGGGTGGAACACAAAGCCAATGTCGTGGGCGCACTTGGGGTCGGAGGTCAATCTGGCAGCCGAGGGGTCGGTGCGTGGCAGATCGACGGGCAGAAGATTCTCTCCCCAGCGCCACAGATACGGACGACGGCGAAATTCGCGAGGTAACGGTTCGGGTAGGGTATCGTCATCGAGTTGGAACACGGTGAAGCCGACCGTGGTTTCGGACGCGTATAGGTACATGAGGTTGGAGGGGATGGAGAGCTTGCGGAATTCGCGATATTCTATGTGGTAGATGACCCTGGTAGAATCACGAATGAGCCGGTTGAACGTGAAGCACGGAGACGGAAGCTAACAGGGCAGAAAGAGGGGCCGGGGGGATAGGGGTGGGCAAAGTCCTTACAGGACGTTGTTCCGCGCATCTCCAAAGACAAGCAACTTGTCCGTGATGGCCACGAGCACCAACTCCCAGCCGCGAAGGCGTGCTTCGGGCGACGACACCAGCCGCCTCTCCCTCTTCACGAGGTCGTCGAGAATGACACAACAGCCATCCAATTGGCGCGCCACCTTCCCATGGCTGTAGTGAACAGGGAACAGCCGCGAGTTGAGGACGAAGGACCGGGCCTGCGGTATATGCTGCGGGGGGTGCGGGAGCCGCAACACGCCGTTCGGGTGGGAGATGGGATCGGGCAGCAGCTCGGGGGAGTCGAGGCGCGTGGCGTCGCATTCCTGCGCCAGCGTGGTGACGTACTTGCCCCTCTGGTGCCGGATGTAGCGGCGGGCCGCCTTGCGGAACAGGTTCCAGCAGTTGGGCGGCTGGATCGGGGCGAAGGTCTCGATGAGGCCCGGGAAGAAGTAGCGCACGTAGCCGCTCACGACGTAGTCGCTGGTCCACACGGCGCGCCAGTGCTTGGAGACGCGGACGCAGGTGAAGATGTCGCGGAAGCCCAGGTAGGTGGCAATCTCGGAGACCAGCTCCTGCGGTAGCTGCACGAGCCCGGCGAGGCCGTGGGGCCTGGCTTCGACCAGGTCGCGGAGATACATCAGTTCCCAGGGCCCGAGGGCGTCGACGAGGTTGACGAGGGCGGCTTTGCGGCGCGGCATGTCGGGTTCGCCGCTGGGGTAGGTGAGCTGCAGGAACTCGTCGGCGACCGAAGAGGCCGACGAAGCGTCGGATACGGACATGGGTGGGCTGTTCATTGTGTCGGTGGGATTGCCAGCGGCGTAATTATGTGCAAAGCGATGGTCGAAGGTCGAAGGTCGAAGGTCGAGGACAGGTCGACGCCAAAGAGAGTCCCTGGAAGTGAATCGCTTGGAAGGGACGAGGGCATTCGGGGAATCGTGGAATCGTGGGATCCACGGCTTCAAACGAACGGGATGTTGGAGAGTTCAAACATGACCATGACCGTGACAGACGATGGGCTCAAATTGGACAAATATAATAATAAAACAATATGACACACCGATCCGACATTCTTAAGCGTGAGTGACGATAGAGGGCGCTGTAGATGGAAGATGGTCGACTCATATCGACGGGGGGAGAATAAACGATACATGTACCCAACAAGGTTGACTGACGTGATCGGATGTTGACTATTTAGGTAGTGTACAACGTAATTACGTACCGATTGCCTGCGGACATGCGGTCCCATGTGGGCTCTACCCATATGCCTATGTCATCACGTGTCACAAAAAAGACCAACGACATGACACTAGTACGTATGTGGACTAGTGATCTCCAATACGATCGACAGGTACTTTGCACCCGCCAGTGGGCTTACGTTGCGTTGACTGTTCGTTGAGACCAGAGCAGGCCTCGGGGAAGCGCTAGAAACCGTTGCCCCTTGTACATAATCATGCAGCTTTCTAAGTCTACACTGACGCTGGCCCGCTTTAATTTGCGTAAGTTAATAGCCAGCCTTGCGTTCGTACTAGTACTACCGCCCGGACCCGTTTTACGGGATTTAGCAGTATTTTTCGGGGGACTTTCGGGGGACTTACTTTCATAGTATATAGCTATATAGCCCGTAAACCAGCGGTACTTTTAAGTTATATAGCTTTTACCATAAATACCGCGGTAGGTTATTAAGGGATTAGAGTGCGGATTACCTGTAAATTAGATGTATATACTATATCGCCGTGTCTCCTATCTACTGCCTATATTCTACGGTGCCCGTAAAGTTTTTTATATAGTATTACACTATATTATTTACGCCGTTAATATAGTTAGCTAGCCTGATTTAGAGCCGCGAACCTACCATGGCTATAAGAATCTTAAGCCGTTTTCTGACTTTAGTTATTATCCTCGAGTACACAGGATTTACGCTACCTATATAATATATCGTGCTACGAGAGTAACTAACCGAAACGCCCGTTAAGCCGCCCGTTAAGCCGCCCGTGAAGAACCTCCTATAGGTTCGGCGGCTCCTCCTCTACCCGTTTTAATAACCCACCCTCTAATAGATCCTGCCCCGGTTCCTCCATGTCGCCGCCGCGCCCGTTAGCAGAGATATGGCCTATAGGCTACCCCGGGAAGTTACTACACATACTATAGACGTTACCTTCCGAGTATTAATTTTACTATACGGCGTAATAGTGCCGCGTATAATACCTATAATACCTGCCGCATTATAGCCCGTCGTAAGAGAATAGCCGTTAATACTAGCCAGAGTAATACAAAAATCGACTATCGCGGACGCCGCGAAGAATATACTAGGCCGCTAGGGTAGTATTAGCCGGGTATTACGGTTAATTACTATAACCTTAGATTAATACGAGTAGAGTATGAATATTACGCTACGCTTTATTAGATTAAGGAGAAGTTATAGATTAGTTTTCTATTCCGCGTTATTAGTCGTTAGCTAATAGCTATTGTCTTCTATTACTTAGGAATCGTCGCCTACGAACCCGAAATTTAGCACTTATTATAACTAGGGCGACGTCGACGTTCTTGTTATCTCCCCGCTACCCGACTTCTTCTAATATTTACTATACACGGATACCGCTTAAGCTGCAGATTATCATAAGAGAATCCATTAATATAATAATACCTTTTCGTTTACGTCTATATAATATACTAAGACCCGTTAAGGTACTACGGCCGGCGGCGTAATAGCCTTCTAAATCCACGGTACCCTTTACTACTATACTAGGCTATTAAGTGCTATAGGTCGACTTCCCGCCTTTGCCTAGCTATACTTATACGACCCGTAGGCTACTATCGACTAGCGCCTTACGAATACCTAAAGCCTCGACTATACGCTTAACTATTATATCCTAAGGAAAATTTCGGACTTCCTGCATGAGTATAACCCCTTCGTGTAAATATATAAAATAGCCTGTAAACGCTTTAACTCCCTCCGTAAATAGTGCCATATTATACTTAACTCTAGGATAGAATTGGTTCTTAAGTAGGGTGCTAATATACGGCGTAAGAATCTACTCGTTACGGACAAGGTTACGGCTATTATACCGGATAAGTGGGGTAAAGTCTGCTACCGTGATATTATCCTCGTAGAGAGACTAATATGCCCTATCCGGGCACGACTCTGGCTAGCCAGTATTATCGGACCTGGAGAACCCAGGATTTAAAGGGTGACCTTTACTATAGTAAAAGATGTGTAATAAAGATATCTTCTCTAAACTAAGGGGGCGCGCGCCCCCGGGACTTCAGTATCCACGGGGAAACCCCGTGGAATCCTCGGCTTCTACGTATAGAAACCCGGGGGAATCCCCGGTATTCACTAATTATACCCCAGAGAAGCTATAGTATACCCTAAAGGTACCTATAGCGTACCCCGTGGGTGCTATAGTATAAGCTATAGTACTGCTAGGGTACCCTACAGTACGCTCTGGTGTTCCCGGTTATATCTGGGGCGTATTAAATTCCCCGGGCAACGAAGCCCTGTGTCCCGCGGGCTTTCCCCGGTAACTACGATAGCCTTACTTAAGGCGCGTTACGGTTATACTAGTAAACCGCGGTGTAGTTAGGGAGAATAGAAAGAAAATATTATTACGCGGCGGCGCCCTAATAGCGACCGCCGCCGTTACTATCTACTACCTAGCCGGGCGAAGAAGAGAAGAGAAGAAAATAAAACTATGCCGACGCCACGGCGTTCCTTCCCACGGCGTTCCTTAGTAAAGCTAAGGCGAGCAAATAGCAGATAGAAGGAAAGAATTTCGTACCGTCCGCTAATCCATCACACCGCATACTATAGCGAAAATAAAGGTGCTAATACTATATATAGCAACTCTTCTATCATAACATTCCACGGTAAAGCCTCGGTAGCCTTAATACCTATTATACCTAAATATATAGTTAATCGAGTATAGTAATCTCGTCCTCGTTATTAGTAGGCTACGGCTTAGCTATCGGAATACTCTATCGATCTAGTAGCATGTTAAGAGCCAGGGCCGCCTCCTCTAAGGTAAACTCAGCGGCGCGAGCCTCGATTTCCGCCCGATCGGCGGCGTAAGTGCTCTCCAGGCCGGAGACAGAATAGTCCGACTATATTACCTATAAAGCGGTATAGTAGCGAATAATACTAATAGCCTTATTAGTATCGGTGGTAAGCATATTCACTAGGGCTTCGCGGCGGGTACTAATAAGCTAATCGTCCTCGGTAAGGGGTATAATGGCCACTATGCGGCCTAAGCGCTATAACGTTAGTAGTAGAGGTAAATCCGCGGCGTTCTACGTATCGTCCTTAATAAGCCTATTCTTTATAGTAAAGGTAATAAATACCGCCGCGGTAATAGGCAGCGCGATTGCGTGGGTCCGCTAGTAAACGATAATAATAGTCTATTCGCCCTTAGTAATTATTTCTTCCGCGGGCTTAATGCCCGGGGCGTGTAGGTGCTTAGTGAGGTTCTTTATAATATCACACAAGGCCTTCTCGGTGCCTATAGCGCTAACTACGCGCTTAGCAGCTTACTCCGTCGTAGGGTCCGATAGCGCGGCATGTTTAATGGGTACGGTTAGGGTCGGCTCTTCGCCGGTCCGTACTATAGCTAAAAACTCCTAAATAGTTAGTATATTCTGAGTCGGTTCCTTATCTTTCGCCGCGGGGAGCCCGTGGATAAACTTACGGATAAGCTTATTAGTAATACTGGCTTACTTAGTATACTATTCTAAGTTTCTCTTACGGTCGGCGTGCACTATAATACCCTTAGCTTCTATAAGCACCACCTCGTAGACCGCCTTAAAGAGGTATACGTGATCGCGGATATACTAAAGCATAAAGCCGAGGACTATCGAACTCGCCAGTTTCTTAGGGTTCTTACCCTAAAGAACTTAGGCGGATAATAGGCCGGCCGTGGTAGCCTTTACCTTAGCTTTAAGGTCGATAAACACGGCCGTACACTAGCCGGAGGTAATAGCGGGGGTATCGACGTTAATAGTGCGGTTAGACTATGGTGTCTTATCGAATTTACCGGCGTAGTTATAGGGGGCGTTAGCGTCTCTTACTATAATGTAATACTTAAATAAGGTTTAGGGGCGGTTCCACGATATAAGTTTAGGGTTTCCCTTTAGCAGGAACTCGGGCTAAGGAACTTAGCTCACGATATTCTTTACTTTATCCTTAGTAATTATCTAGTAAAGCTCGGGGTATTCCTTAGGCATGAACACGGTTTAGTCGAGATCACGAGTCTCGGGATAATTATATCCTAACCCTTCCATATACCTACGGAACTCGGCTATCTTAGACTTATAGCTAGTTTTCTAGAGCGCGAACCTAGTGTCTAGAGCCGATAGTCCGTTCTCTAGTCGTTCCTCGCCGCCGTAAAGTGTAATAGCTCTAAAGTAACCCTCCTTAGTAAACCCGGAGCCGATTCTATTAGGGTTTCTAAAGGCTTTATCAAACGATTCCTAATATTCCACGTCCTTAAAGGGTTAGTGCGATAAAGGAAGCTAAACTATAAAATACATCTATAGTATAGGGAATTCGGTATACCGCGATATAACGCGGTATAAACGTTAAGGGGGGGACTAATAAGAAGGAGGGGAATACGTTAGAAAACGCCGAGTCTTAATTAATATAGTTAGGCCTTATCTAGGAGATAGTAAACGATTTAGGAACCGATAGCAAACTACGTTAACGATATAAATAGTCGCGGTAGTGATAAGTGAGAACGGAAGGGGAATAATAGCTATACGCTATAAAAGCGATAGTATTTTTCCTAGCGCTGCGTAGAGCACCGTAGTAACTGTGGTTATTACGGTGGCTATAGAAGGTATATATAGGTTATAGTCCTTTTATTCTTACTATTCCCTAATGTTACCTAGGGTTCCCTAGCATTCCTGGTTATTACCTAGGACGGCGATAACGTTCGTCTTATATCGCGTCGCCGGCGTGTCTTATAATACTTTAGTCTTCTGGTTCCGCTACGTGCCTACTAGCTCTTTAACGTCTCGCGGTTCTTTATTACTCGTGGTTCTTTAATATTACCCGGCTATAGTACCCTCGGAACCTCCGTCTTCTTTAAGGCTATCCTTAGATTAAGGTCTTTATCTTCTTATACCTTTATAGCTTTTTCCAGTATCTAACTATTCCAGTAAGCTAGCTAACTTCGTCCCTTACTAATAGAGTTACCTTATTCTCACGGTACTCGTATAGGTCTCGCTATTCGCTGGCGGTAATCGAACTTTAGCTATATAACGGCTTTATATAACGGCTTTCGTCTATAATAGTATTTACCGGCGGTAACCGAACTTTAGTTATATAACGGCTTTTATCCCTAAGTATCTGCCCCGGGCAATATAAGCCCTACGTCCCGCGGGCGTCCTTTAGTAGCGATAGTATTCACGATAGATAGGAAAGAAGGGAAAGGGAAGAAGGGAAAGGGAAAAAGGGAAAGGTAAGAAGGGAAAAGGAAGAAAGGAAAGGGAAGAAGGGAAAGGAAAGGAGTATACGTTACGAAACGACGCAGATACGTTAAGGGGAGACGGTAAACCACGATACTCTATTACTTCGCCGGTTCTTCCACTTAATAGGCCGTTTAGCCGTCCGAGGACGTTACACCGTGGAGAATCCGAGTATAATACCACGGCCTTCCGCGGTATCGTCCGGAAGTCCGAGAGATACGTAGGGTCCTAGTCAGGAATATCGGGCACGGCGGTATACGTGCTATAGCCCGTAGACGGAGGGTAGCCTTAGCGTCGGTCACGGTTAAAGGCGAGTCTACTATAAGGAGGCCCTCCCTCTAACGGGGAGGAAAGCCGAGGGAACCTCGGGCAAACCCGATAAAGGCTAGTAGAATAAGGGGAAGCTCTCCCTCTAACAGGGAGGATAACCGAGGGGCCTCGGGTAAATCCGATAAAGACTAGGATATACCCTCTAAGCCTTAGGATATATAGCCTCTCGCATGGATACCGGTTCTACGCTTTTCCTCTTAGGGTTATTACACTGCTAGCCTCGGATATTCTTAGCACTTTTAGCCGTTTTAGTTAGCGAGCCCGCTAATAGGAAAATATTCTCCGCGAAACACGGGTAAAGGGAAGATTACGGTAAGGGGAGGTCGGCTCCCCTTTTACTCCGCGGGAAGAGGGGAAAAAAAGGGGGGGGGAGTTATCGAGTAGCTCGGTGCCACGGTAAAGGGGGGGGAAAAGGGGAAATTATCGAGTGGCTTAGTGCCACGGTAAAAAAAAAAGGGGGGGGAATTAGTACGTCCCGTGGTTCTTTACCGGAGCTCGGGTTCTACGGAGGGCGCTAGTATATAGAATAATAGTCACTATCCTATGCCCTTTAGCAATCGTTTAGAAGGTTCGGTGTCGGTGTAGGTTAGTATAATCGCTCTCCTATGCTTAACTAGCGATTATTAGGAAGGTTACCGTGTTACCGTATGTTTGAGTTTAGGATCAATCCACGGTAAATACCGGTGTATAGGTTTGTATAGTCGCTATTCCTGCGTATTCGGCGACTATGGATTTCTTAGTACTCTACGCCTAGACCTATTAAAGGGGAGGCGATTAGGGGTTTAGTACCCCGTGGTTTTATCGGGACTCTGGTTCTACGGAGGACGCTAGTATACAGGATAGTATAGGCATTATCCTACTCCTTTTAGTGATCGTTAAGAACGGTTAACGTTGGTGCAGGTTAGTATAGTCGCCTACGCTGACTAGTAATCGTTAGGAAGGTTATCGCGGTGTCGAAGCTCGGGTTCCACGGCTAGTATAGGTTAGTATAGTCGCTATTCCTGCGCTTAACGGTGGTTTCCTTTATTACTCCACGCCTAAACCCATTAAAGGGGAGGCGTCTTCGCCTAGCGCGCCTTATATCTATTTAGTCTTAGCATACGAAGTTCGCGCTGTTAAGGGCAGCTACGCCGGGCACGCTAGCATTCGCTAGTAAACCGCGTGCCTATTTAGTTTTAGTATACGTAGTCTACACCGGGCTGCGGTACGCGAACCTTGCCTATAAGCTTAGTTGCTACTATTTAATATACCCTATCCGGGCACAGCTCTGGCTAGCCAGCACTATAGGACCTAGACGGATCTAGAATTTAATATGCCCTATCCGGGTATAACTCTAGCCAGCCAGCACTATCGGACCTAAGGAACCCAGGATTTAAAGGGTAACCTTTACTATAGTAAAAGAGGTGTAATAAAGATATCTTCTCTAAACTAAGGGGGCGCGCGCCCCCGGGACTTAAGTATCCACGGGGAAACCCCGTGGAATCCTCGGCTTCTACGTATAGGAACCCGGGGGATTCCCCAGTATTCACTAATTATACCCTAGGGAAGCTATAGTATACCCTAAAAGTACCTATAGCGTACCCCGTGGGTGCTATAGCATAAGCCATAGTACCGCTAGGGTACTCCGTGGTATGCCCTAGTATTCCCGGTTAAATCTAGGGCGTATCAGAGATGGTCTAACGGTAGTGTATGCAGCCTTACGCGGATCGACTATAAGTGTTTTGCCTACCTACTACTATCTTACCCGCTTATATATCCGCGTAGCGGTTCCGGATATTACTAGTAGTTATAGTTACGGGATATTTATAACTGTTAGCGGCAGAATACCGAGGTTAAGTTCCGTTAATTCTGCTATTATATACTATACCCGCGATACTAGTAGAGGTTTATGCCCTTTATATACGGCCGTCTTTTTTAGCAGTTTTTAGTGGACCTATAGGTATCCTGCAATTAGAAGAAGTTTAATTGAATCTAGCGCTTTCAGAACGAGATACGGGCTAAAGTATATAACAGGATACGGGATTAGGCATACGAGGCTAACGGCGATACCCGTAATATTAGCCGACAGATCGTCTTACCCTTAAATTATATTAGCGGCTAGAGGTTTATCTTATAGTATTATTAGGATTCTATAGTAATTATACGGGCTCTTAGCACTCCGACCTTTTTTATTACTTTTACGGCTAATCCTACCTAGCTAAAGATTATACGGGAGCTTTAGCTAGGTTAGACTACTAATAACCGGCCCGATTTAGTTAGCTGTGTATTCGAGTTAAAGTCCCGCGACCTAAAATAGTAGCTACACGATAGTCTATTTAGTGAGTTTACAGAGATTATATAGACCGTGGAATACCAGAAACGCGGTCTTCCACACCGTTATATCCTTCTTTTCCTTACGCCGCGAGCGGCTAAGATATATAAAGACCCCGTAAATATCAATAAGGTTATCTCTACGGAGCTACCGGACCGCGAGTCGGATCCTACTAGCCGTCTTGTTAATATTATTAGCAAGAATATAATGCATAGTCCTTAGGGTGATAATAAGCCCTCTATACCGTATATATAGTCGTAGCCTAGTGATAAGAACCGTATAAAGTACTTTAAGCGGTTCCCTAAGCCGTACTGCCTATAGACGACTATACGAGAGGATAGTTATCCTAAATATAGGCGCCGTAACTCTAGCCTGTATATTATAAAGAGAGGCCGTGTAGAAGAGGTCCCCCTTAATAACCGTTTTATTATTCCCTATAGCCTATATCTCTGTCTCTGCTATAATACCTATATTAATATTAAGATTTAGGGATCTATTAAGGTAAGTTATCCTCTCCCGTATATCTGCCTCCGTTCTAAACCTTACTAACCTTAATATTTACGGTTCTATATAGGCAATTAAGTACGTGTATAAGTACGTTTATAAGGGCACCGGCCGTACGATTACATATATATCCGGCGAAGAGGGCGAAAATAAGGTTAACCTCTATCTCCAGAGTCGTTATATCGGTCCCGCGGAGGCCGTTATTTAGTTATTCGAGTTTCCCATATACCGTGAGTATCCGCCCGTTATGCGTTTTCCGGTTTAGCTAAAGGGATATTAGCCTATATACTTCGGCGATAATACGACCATAAGCCAGATCAAGTATATATTATAGGAGTGGAAGACTTAGCTAATAGCCTTTTTCGACTATAACCGTAATGACGCTAATAGCCGCGAGTTATTCTATTACTAGTTTCCTAGCCGTTATACGTAGAAACCGTAGTAGTTTACTTAATAGCCGAGGCAGCGTGGATTTTAAATCGGTCGTCTATGGTATATACCCCTAACGGCTAGAGAGGCGTACTATTTATAGTTACTCTTAGTCTCCGTTCGAGGGCCGACTTCCTTTACCGATCTTTATACCGTGGAGGGAATTATCTATAATATCTACCGCGAGGCCTATATTATAGCCGGGCTTCTGCACGATAACCGTTACTAGGTTACCTGTTTTAAGGAGGCCATTATTTAGAAGACCGGGCGTGCGTTACGGGAGCTGTTTATCGTCGCTTTAATCCACGGAGACGTTTCCGGTCTAGTGTTAATCTAGGAGAGGTTTACAGAGTCTATATACGACAACCTGCCTTATATGTTATAGCGCTAGTATTTCCGATATCCTGCCGATCTAGAACGCCCGTATATCAATTACGGTCTTTATCTTATATACTCTTAGCTCCTTAAGGTGAGTAGGAGTATTATGGAGTTTAGACTGCCCGCGCCTTTATATGACTAGCGCCGTGCGACCGGTAATATATTATTTATTATAAAGACTTAAGATCGCAATGCTTAGGCTACGGTATACGAAGATATCCACCGCCGGTTTAACTAAAGCTAGACTATAGTATTTAGCTACATTATAGCTGCTATTAAATCTTATAGCCGCGGCGCCCGTTTCTTTATATAGGGCCCCGGTGGTATAGGGAACACGTTTATATACCGTAGTCTTTACATATATTTCCGGTCGCGCGGGTAGATTATACTCTGCGTGGCGTCCTCTAGTATCGCGGCCGTTCTTCTTAAGGGTGGCTATATAGCCTATTCGCGGTTTAAGATCCCCTTATAGGTTAATAACGCCTTAACCTATAACGTGCTAAAGACTTCGGACCTTATAGCGTTACTACGGAAGATAGTTCTTATTATCTAGGATAAGGTTCTTATATAGTATAAGTTCTGTTTCGAGGCCGTTAATCGTACGTTACGGGATATACTAAGTAACAATTACCTCTTCGGCGGTATTCCGGTTATCTTCGGAGGCGATTTTACTTAGATCCTGCCCGTTATTCGTAATAGTAGTCGGGCGTAGATTATACACACCTACTTCTAGCGGTCCTCTATCTAGCCGTAACTTAGTATTCTTTACCTAACGGAGAATATATGGGTTACCTCTACCGATCCAATAATCGGGCGTTTATTTAGTAGTTACGGGACCTCTCCTACGATACCGAACTTCACGGGTTAGTCGACCTTTTCCCTGCTATTACGGCTATTTACAATATCGTCTATCTATATAGGCGTATTTACCCGACTAAATTACTATAGCAGGCGCCGTTAGACTATATAGTCTTTATTAACCGCGTTATTCTAATAACTCATAATACTACTATTATGGCTATTAATAGGTACATACTAGGGCGACTACTTAGCCGCTCGTAGGTTTATTTAACCGAGAATTCGGTCGCTAATCGGGTAAAGGATACTAATAGCCCTACGCCCGAATTAGCACCGGAGTTTTTAATATAGTTAGAGTTCGCCTTTATCTCGCCCGTGAGGCTTAAGCTAAAGGTCGGCGCGCCCGTTATACTTATACAGAACCTTAGCCCGCGGCAGGGATTATATAACGGCATGCGTATAGTTATTTTACGGATAGCGTATAATACGCTAGAGGTTAAGGTGCTATCCGGAATACACACTAATAAGGTAGTATTTATCCCCCGTATCTATTTAGATTCTAATAAGGAGGACTACCCGTATATTATCTAGCGCCGTTAATTCCCGTTACGGCTTTATTTCGCGATAACGATTAATAAGTCGTAAGGGTAATCGTTTAGTATAGTCGGCGTGGATTTTCGGTAGCACGCCTTTACTCACGGTTAGTTTTATATTACGATATTAAGGGTTACGGATATTAGGAATCTATTTATTTTATTATAGGCCGATAACGGTTAGGGCGGTAGGCAGGCTTAGCCGTAGGTTAGCCGGAGTATATCTAATATTGTATACCTAAAGATCTTAATAGATTCTATTTAACGGTTACTTCTACGGTCGTAGTAGTCTGCTATAGTAACTAGTAATCGATAACGCGGTCAGGTTTCTTTATTATATAGCCTATATTAAGGGTAGACGAAGTAACGAAGTAAACTACCTATTCCCGTCGTACCGGAAATATAAAAACAAAATAACTGTAAACCCTTTATAAAATAGTAAAGTAAAAAAAAACCCCGTTTTAGTTCTCTGCTGGGATACTATTGCTTAGGGTAGCGATTATATTCTTATAGTACTAGATTAACTGCTTCTTTTACGCCGTCGTTATACCGGTAAGGAGTATCACGGCTAATACTTCGATATTACTAAAGGTTATTACGGGCGGGGCGAGGGGCGCGGGTGTAGCAGGCGCGGGCGTGGCGGGCGTAGGCGTGGCGGGCGTGGCGGTAGCCGTATTTATGCCCGAAGTACCGGCGATAGTTATAATAGTCGGGGGGGGGCGGGAGCGGTAGCCGTAGTCGAGGTCTTTACCTTCTTAGAAGGCGTTACGGTTCCTATAGTATTATAAATTAATTAATTAGTATAGGTTGGTATTCGTTACGATTATTATTAGCTTACCTATAGTCTTATTTACACGCTTTTTCCCCTTAGAAGAAGCGGGAGTAGTGGTGGCAATAGCGGTGGCAGTAGTATTATTATCGGCCGGGGGGGGGGGGGAGCGGTATAAATATTTACGGCCTTCCGAATTAAAATAGCAGTTATTATAGCTACCGCTAATAACTCTCGAGAATATATAATAACGGGCGAAAGGACCGTCTTTCTTACTATAGTGCTTATAGTCTATCTAGAGGTCGCTGATGATTATTATTATAATAGCCTCTTAATTAGCCGGGCGACTAAGGTTAAGGTCTTTATCCTCCTATAATAAGAGGTCCCGTTTAGCCTATATTAATAATATCGGTTAGTATATAATAAGATAGTAGGTAAGTTAGTAACCTACCCGAATAACGCGTATAGTATTAAGGGCCCCGGTAGCTTTATAGCCGCTATTATATATAAGGTTAAGAACCTTACTACGGTTAACCGTGCGGCCGTCCTTTATAGGTATCCTTTACTAAACACGTATACTAAAGGAGGAGGCCGGCGTATTATATACGGGCGGGCGGGTAGGCGTGCGGGCGGGCGAGGTAGTAGGCGAGGTAGCGATAGAGGCGGCGGCGGAGGCGGCGGGTAAGGTAGGGCGGGAGGCGGCGGCGGAGGCAGCGGCCGAGGTAAGGCGGGAGGCGGCGGTCGAGTTATCGGGCGACGGGGACTAGGATTCCTGCGAATCGATAAAGGAGTCGGATAGGGCGGGCGGTATATATTACGACCTGTGTTCCTAGACACTAAGTCTAGGATCCCTAGTCAGGGTTATCGTGAGTTTGTGTTCACAAGGTAAGAGGAGGTTATAAGCTGAGCGTAGTTCTCTCGTAACTTCTCGTAGGCAGTCGTAAGGTAAGTCTGCCTCTTCACTGTGATACTTAAGGAGGTTCCTAATAAAGACTTAGATTGAATACTATCTTATTCTCTGGTAGAAGCAAGACCTAGGACACTCTAGTATATATATCTAGCTGTTTATATTCCCCTGGGTGAACTCTCCTCCTCTGTTCACGATGGCTCGAGTGAACTCAAGGCCGAGTTCACTTCCCTCCAGGTGAATATCCTGCTTGGTTCACGGCTGCCTTAGTGAACAACCCTTATCCTGTCACGTGACCTGTATATATAGTACACACATGCCTTCCAATAACATTATTCCCCTTATGCAGTTGGCCTTCTTAATGACCTATTCTTTGGCCGTAATAGTATACTACGAATTACGGTTAGTATTATCGCTTTTTATAGGGTTAAGGCGTGTATTTATACCCGTAACTTACATAATAGCGAGGCTATAACTGCTTAAACCGGAAAGGAGGGAGGGATATTTAAATAGATAGAAAAAAACTATTACTTAGCAGCGCTATAACGGTTAATTAATTACGATCTTTATTCCGTAAATAGAGTAATCGTGGTATCGGAAATAGAGGAATGCTTTATCGCGATAATAAAAGAGTTACTAAAGACTATCGTTATAGCATAGAAAATAGTAAATAATAGTAAAATAAAAGAAGGCAGACGTTTTACGGTTATTTTCGGTTATTTTCGGTTATTTAGTTATTATAGGGCACGTTATATAATAAGCCCCCCCCCTAAAGGGGGGGGGGCGAGCTTGGCGGCGTTGCCGGTAGGGCAACCTGCTAAGCTCGTACTAGTACTATTAACCTTATATAGGTACACCGTACGTTGCAAGTGTACACTTACTTTATGCCTTGGGTTGTTTTGGGTGGATGCCCTTGTTACAACGTACTTTGTGAGACTTCTACTCCGTCCTTCGTACCTACCTTAGGTACCTTACCTATGTGTCCTAAAGGTTAGGTACCTTAAGGTAGGTAACTCTAAGGATTAATGTTCCCTACCTCGGCTCCCCGGTACCAAATCTCGCATAAGCTCACCGTAGACCTCGTGATACTTACAAAGGAAATAGTTCATTTCCGCCCCTGCTAGTGTTCAATGAGAAACCCATCCTTGCTCTGCTCTTCAATCTTGCATAACCATGGAAGCAAGTAGGTGGCCGGCAAGTTGCAACTCCCGAGGCACACCGCAAAGTGACCAATTTTAAACTTGCCTATACCGACTTTCTTCTCTCCCCACGCGAGGCTTCCCCGGCCAAGGGGGGGGGGAGCTGTTGAACTATATACACCTTAAGGTACCTACACATTAGAGGATTCTCTTTTAGTGTAGTAGTACGTTTTTGAGTGTAGCAGTTATGAGCCCGGGAGGAATACGCTAGTCTATTCCTATAACTCCGCTGCTACCTACCAAAGGTCACCCGTTCGAAACCCAGCCGAGGAGATGCCTTAAACGAGCTTTAGTGCCCTAGAAGACCGCTTATACGAAACAAGCCGTGTCGATGCAAGTGTGTATCCTTAGCCTTTAAGCACGAAGATCGTCCTTATACAGGCTGGGGGGTGTGTTGAACTAGATACACCTTAAGAAGTACCTACACATTAGAGGATTCTCTTTTAGTGTAGTAGTACGTTTTTGAGTGTAACAGGAGCCGACTCCCGACAGCGCAGGCGCCAAGGAAAACTATTCCCCGAAGCGGGAGGCCAAATGAAAAGAAAAAAATGAAGACAGCTAAGTAAGTCTGGAATCATGACTCGGGCAGTGGATGCGATGCGGGGTAAACTACCTAAGCGGTGACCCGTTTCACGCAACGGCTTCGTACGAATCGCTGTGCCTGGAATGTTACGGAGTATCAGCCCCATGTCAATGGGAAGCTAGAGATGCATCTGTACGTTGTACGTTGTAATTAGTGAAGCGAGTGGCTGATCATAGAGGCAGCTGACATTGTGTATACCGTAGTAATACGTTGAAGACTCCACGGTAGTTGAGATGACTTTGTACTAGGAACGGAGGTAACGGTAAGACAACGAGAAACGAGACGCCGTCCAACGTGACAAGTCATCCCGTTAAGCTTATTCCGGATGGTGATTATACGAAGCAAAAGATCGCTGTTCCGTTGTTCTTCGCGGGCATACCGATGACAATGAATCTAACAATGACATTCATAATTCAGCCGTATCCGATTAGAATTAGGTTTCCATTCTGCCAACCAGGCCCTTCTGCGGGACACGTGGTGGGATACTGATTTCGAATACTACGATGGCTTATAGACCGCTACTCGGTTGCCGGTGGTGGCGCGTCTGTTCCAATCCACGTTGCCCAGTTATAGGACGAGGACTCCATGCCACCCTGCACATAAAAGCAAGCGATGCGCCCATGACTAGGAGGTAGGTGCCTATGAAGCGGCGCTCGACAGCTGTTATACAAACATGAAGTAACGAAGTACGTTGTACGTAAGGAGTAGTAATCCGTAATAATTGCTTTATAAGTTACGTGTACACTGCCCTCGAGGTTGTCAACAGAGGACTTTAGTCACCGCTCACCATTGGCCCAACTGGCCCCCGCAGCAGCCACAGTAAAAGTACAGAGTACGCGTAAAGAGAATCCGGGGAATGGCGCGGGATCACAGAAGCTAACCAACCGTGTGGCGGGAGACTAGGTACACGTGTAGTTGGAAAGAGCAACAAAAAAAGTGTCAACGAGGTGTCAAACACACACAAAAAAAAAGGTCAAAAATAAACGGGAGAAAAACAGGTTTTGCAAAGACCCGTTCAAAACATCGTCTTCATTCCATGTTCGTCTTGAATCGCGTTGACTAATTCGATCCTTGTCCAAGTCCGTGTTTGTACTGTGCCGACCTGCCTATCAAGACATGGTACTTTCATTGGCAGATAAGGCAGGTACCGTACCCACGTAGATACGCTGTACAACGTAAGGTACCTACTACGCTAGGATGACTAATTTTAGGACTCGTTGACGCAACCGCCGCAAGCCCCTGTGACTCCCCCCAACGCCAGGCTCCCGTGCCTTTGGTCTCCCTCGCCTTGTGTCGTGATGATCTTGTCTACCTCCCAACCTCCCATCTTCCGAAGACCGCGTCTCTTCCCCCCGAAAACCATGAGTTGAATACACAGTAAATTCTCCCCAAGTATCCAGTCGCCGTCCGAAAAACAGGCCACCATTGCAGCCGCCCGCCCATCATGACCCGACCGCCCTCTCCCGGCGCGACGTCGTCGCGTCCCTTCGACCCTCAAAACCACCGAGACGAAGACTCCTCCTCCTCCACCATAGCTCGCATCACATCCTCCAATTCCTCCTTCGTGGAATCCTGCTCCTCCAGCACAAAGCACTACCGAGCCCATCGCTCCCGTCGGGCCGCCACCGCCACCGCCACCGCCTCCGCCCTCCGCTCCCTCTCCTTCGTCGCCTCCGTCGTCTCCGCCCTCTGCGCCGGCTCCATCACCGTCTTCTCCCTCTACGGCCACATTTTCCAGGAACGCCTCCATTATACCCAGCTGCAGGTCAACGGCCTCGCCATCTCCTCCTCCATCGCCCTTTACCTCCCCGTCTCCGCCCTCGGCTACCTCTGCGACCGCGCCGGCGCCCGGCCCCTCTCCTTCCTCGCCGCCCTCCTCTTCGGCACGGGCTACGTCACCGCCGCCACCACCTACCGCAAGCTCGACCTCGAAACCGCAGCAGGCCTCCGCGGCCGCGATGGTCGCATTATTCGTATTGTCATTGGTGACGGGGACGGCGATGGTGGTGGGAGTGGGAGTGGTGCCCCATATGCCACCGACTGGACCTACCCCATCATGATGTTCGCGTTCGTGTGCGTCGGCGTAGGGACCTGCGCCATGTACCTCGCCGCCGTGGCCACCAACGCGAAGAACTTCGGCAAGGGGCGACACCGCGGCCTCGCCCTCGCCGTGCCCATCGCCGCCTTCGGCCTCAGCGGCATGTGGCTCAGCCAGCTCGGCAGCCGCGTGTTCTACGAGCGCCTCCCCGACGGCAAGGCCGGCGACCTGGACGTCTTCGCCTTCTTCCTCTTCCTCGCCCTGCTGCTCGTCGTCGTCGGCGTCCTCGGCGGTTTCGCCCTGCGTGTCGTCGACGAGGCGGACATGATCGAGGAGGCCGTGGAGGAACTGGAGCGGAGCGGTCTGCTCGATCGCAGCGCGCTTCTGGAGGGCGGCGCGAGGTTGGCGGGACGTCAAGGCTACGGCGCTGTGGAAGACGCCCGTGGCGTCGAAGGCGTCGCAGACGACGATGACGACGGCGGCGGCGGCGGCGGCGGCGGCACAAACGAGGAGGACGACGATGGCCACGACGACGAAGACGACGTCCGACGGAAAAAGGAGTGGGTGCTCAACGCCGAGACGCGCCGCTTCCTCACCGACCGGACCATGTGGTTCCTCGCCCTGGGCTTCCTTCTCCTGATCGGCCCCGGCGAAGCCTTCATCAACAACCTCGGCACCATCATCGGCACTTTGTACCCGCCGGCCCGCGACCGTGATGCCGCCGCCGATTCGGCCCCGCCCACTTCACCCTCCACCCACGTCTCCATCGTCGCCCTCACCAGCACCGCAGCCCGCCTACTCACCGGGTCACTAACCGACCTGCTCGCCCCCTCGCCCGCCACGCGCCACCTGCAAGTCCACGTGACCGCGCGCCCGCCCTTCTTCCGCAACCTCTCCATCTCGCGCGTCGCCTTCCTCCTGGCCTTCGGCGCCACCCTCTCCCTCGGCCTGCTGGTCCTGGCCGCGGGCGCCGCCCAGGGCCACGGCGAGCGTTTCTGGATCGTCTCCGGGCTCGTGGGCGCGGGCTACGGCGCCGTCTTCAGCCTCACCCCCATCATCATCACCGTCATCTGGGGCGTCGAGAACTTCGCCACCAACTGGGGCATCGTCGCCATGTTCCCCGCCCTCGGCGCCACGTTTTGGGGGTTGGTCTACTCGGCTGTTTACCAGGCTGGCGCTAGGCATCCTCCCCCCGGCGTCGGTGGTGGGGGCGACGGAGAGGAGGCCGGCGATGTGTTCTGCTATGGGCGGCAGTGCTATGCGCCCACTTTTTGGGCCATGGCTGCCACGGTCTGGCTCGCGTGCTTGATGATCTTGTATGCTTGGAAGGGACACAGGGGGTGGTCGCAGCGGGGAATCATTGTTTAGGAGGGATTGCAACGCGTTTTTTCATCTTCTTGTGTCACTCTTTCCCTTTTCTATCTATTTGGTCTTCGGTCGAGTCCTCATTGGGTTCATATCAGGTCGTCTATTCAGCATATCCGGAGTTAAGGGGCGTGGGCGACTGGTTCGTAGGGATGGGATGCATTGGCTAACACAACACACCATCCCTCATTGATTTCCTATTCATATCAAGCATGCTAGCAGGCTGGCCAGCACAATACATATTACATGCCAGCCACACGGGTGTAGCGAGGGGAATTCGCCGTGTTTTAACTACGGGGCGAACCAGGAGCCTGCGACGGTATCTGACGGGACAAGACCTCCAAATGCAACGGCATATCGCTGTAATTATCACCCGCCATCTGCCCCATCGAGGATACGACATCTGAAGGTCTATACGATTCTGTCATTTCATGGACTCACTTCTTAAAATCTATACACTAAATCTCTGCCCCCAAACACCCCACCAGATATATGCAGTCGAATGGTTTGTCTGAACAAAGAACAGCCATCTCGCACGTCTGTTCTCTCTTCATGTTTCGTGCTGACAGCAATCCACCCACCGTTCTGTTCTGGCCGGAAAACAGAGCGGGAGAAAAAAAGGCATATGTTTGTCATTGGCCCCCACCCACCACGCGCCTGCCGCCCCCAAGTTGAAAGTACACAAGCACAAAGTCCGCAATCGACTCCTTCTTTACGACACAAGACTCCCCGGTTGCAGTAGGGGCAGTAGTTGCGCGAGGGATGTAGATCCACGCCCAAGCCCCCCCCAAAAAAGAAGAAGAAAAAGAAAAAAAGAAATCCCCGGCTTTAGTAGCTCCGTCCTTCGCCGACAAGGCGCGTACAAGGGGCACGAAGAGGAGAACAAGAGTACAATGGGGAAAGATAATAAAATAATTAACACCAGTACCAGAATTCCCTATGAGAACACCCTTTAACGCCCGAGATATATAGAGCAGCTGCTGGAGTCCAGAAAACCTCGGCACAAAGTGACAGCTGTATGATTCATTGCTTGATTGGTTGACAGACAAGGGGTATGAATTTGAAAAGTAGCATGGCTGAGAGAAGATGAAGTTGGGTAGTGAGCGTAGTGCGTTCCGTGGTATTATCATTAGCATGTGATGCGCGAGGGTAATGTCTCCGGTGTCTGATACAATGGGGGGTTCTGCTGCTTGATCCTTGGGCATCAGGACAAGCCGTGCTGCTTGCGGGTTGTCCTAACGGGGGGAAGGAGGCTGTCATCGGGATGGTTTCCGGATCCGGAAGGACCTGTTTGCTATCCTATCTCGTGTGGCCAGGAGAATCGTTGCAAGCGAACCCCCCTCCATTGAGTCAGTCCGTGCCGAGACCAAAGAGACAACGGGATCTCAAACGGAACGCTCCTTTGTATGCCTGATCATGACCAATGTCCCGAGTACCATGCCCCGCGCCCTGTGCAAGTCTGTAATATGTACGCCTCTGTCCGTGGCATGTCGTCGTCAAAGTAGCGGATCTGGAGTTCTTTCGACTCGGCCTCACGCGGGAAGCCAAACAAGCTCAATAACACCATCCAGGGCGCGCATGGGCTGGTTATTCACCTTCCAGCGTTCGTCACTGCTCTTGAGGATGTAGGTCTGCAGCACGGAGCCGTCCTCGTTGTTGTGGGACTCGCGGAGTTCCCAGGCAATCTTCTTGCCGGTCTTGAGCAGCGAGGGACGCTGAGGTCCATACATGAAATCGAGGTTCCAACCCCTGTTCTCCGGGGCGGCGAAGAAAGTGCCCTCGAACTGGTCTAGATCGAAATCGATGCCCTGCGGATAGCTTGCCACGCTGAAACCGTTGGAGATGATGAAATCGTCGGTGGTGATGAAGCGCTGAAACGGGCAGTCCTCGCCGCAAGCGTGGGCGATCTTGGTGGTTTGGAAAGGGTAGGCGTAGTGCCAGCCACCGCCCTTGAAGTGGTGCACGGAGAAAGGCTTGATGCCGCCCTCGTAGAAGCCGGCAGGGTCGCCGTAAAGATCCAGCTGCCAGAGATCCCAGAGCTGGGTCAGCCGAACGTTGGTGTTCTCGTAGATGCACTTCCGCAGCAGGATGTCACCCTGAGGACCCCAGCCCGAGTTGGACTCGGCGATCTTGGCAGGCGTGCGGCAGGACGGGTGGAGTTCGTTGATCATCTTGGCCAGAGGCAGGCTGAGGAAGACGCCGGCGCCGCCGAAAGCTTGGGAGCCGTGGCGCTCGAGGGCGCCCACATCCTCGGACAGGGTGCCGATGTAAAGAGGCTTGTTGTGGTCGTACTTCTTGAAGCGGGCCACGAGGCTGTGCATGGCGGTGAAGTAGGTGTCGTCGTCGCACAAGACGAGCCACTTCTTCTTGGGCCGGTCCTGATGGTTGTAGAGCATGGGGACGAGCTCGAGGTAGCGGACGGCCATCTCCACTCGGTTGTCGCCGTGGCCCACGTCGGCATCGATACCGGCACGGGCAAGCCGATTCGTCACATCTTCGAGCTCCTCGTCACTGGCGTTGATGAGTTGGAGGATGAGCTTTCCGCCGTTCGAGTTGCCGTTGCTGTCGGTCAACCAATAGGCCCACTCCTTGATAGGGCTCGATTTGGGATCGTCGATTCGACCGTACGTGGTGGAGATGGCGAACATGAACTCGGAGAGGTCGACATGACCAGGGAAGTCGGACTGGGTGACGGGGACCTGGAGAGGCGCGGTGCACTCGTCGTCACGGGACTCGGCATTCACGTTGACAAGCTGGAACGGATGGTCGAGGAACTTTTGGCGCAGGTGGGTGTGGCGGAAACGGTCGATGGGCTGGCGAGAGAAACGCACGTAACGCTTGAAGTACTCCATGTGTTCGCCAAGCTCGTACTTCTCCCTGATCTGACGAAGGTGCTCCGTGTCGATGCCGCAGTTCATGAGGTGGGTCGACCCCGGAGCATCAAGGTCGGTGTCATTGAAGCCCTGGGGGACAAGATCAACCTCGAGAGGGACCTGGTGGACGACGGAGGCCATACGGTCAGCCGTCTTGAGGATGCGGTTCCGAGCATAGATGGTTTTCGTCTGGAAGGTCATGCACATGAGGAAAAGCACGAGAGCGGTAAAAATGAAGGTGCGAGCGAACGGATTCCTCATGCTGCAAAACCGGCCGGCGAGCGGTAGGGGTAATCTTGCACCCATACTCCTCATGTTCATGTGAAACGCTTTTCTATCCAGTTTGACGGTATTAACCCGACGCGACGGGGAAGCTTATTATGGTTTTGTGCTGGGCGGGTCGAGTCGCTCAGGCAAATGCAGGCATTCGGCGAATCGAATCGATCACAGGGTCTTCGGTCAGTCGGTCGGTGAGTCGGTTTATTTCCTCGTTAGTAACGCAATGGATCCAAAGACGGAATTTCGCTGAGCAGGACGACAAATTGACCAGGCAATGTTCAAAGACGGTTGACAAAGATCCTGGTGGGGGAACGTCGTTGTCGTGAGAAAGCCCAAACAGCGGCTCGAATGCAAGAAAATAGGGGGAATGATAATGAAGGAATGAAGGGAAAAGAGTTCAAATGATTGATATGCGTAAATGGATGCTAAGCGAGCGTCACGATCATACAGATCGGCAAAAGAGGAGGATGTCTGGTTGTGTACGGGTGAACGATAGACAGGCTGATGTCGAGGCAACAGCAAAGAGTCAATCCCAACGAGTCGAGTCCGATTAGGCGACAAAACAACGGGCCAGGGACTCGGTCGGCTTCAAAGAAAAATCGGCAAGTGCTATTAGGGCGGATGATAGCGACGATACTTCGTACAGTCCGAGCGAGTGTCGTTTTGTCGGGAGGTGGCCGACGTTGAGGGTCGGAAATTTTGGTTGAGGGGAGAGAGGTGAGAAACACGAGGTGGAAAAGAAGGGAAGGGGAGGGATAAAAAGGAACGGCGCATAACGGAAATGGGGGGAGGGACGACTGGCATGGGAATGGGCTGGGAAAGTGGAAAAGAACCCCCCTTGCCTTAGGTACAGGGGCAGGGCAAGGGGTTCGTTCTGGGCTTCAGGGGTTGTGAGGGTTTTCGGATGGGTCCCGGTCTACTGGAAATTGGCCCGCCAAGGGGGTGAGGCTTCAAGTCCGTCTGATCTTGATAAGGATAACGCAGACCTTTAGACACACCTCGTCAGGCCCCAAGTACCGAAGGTAGAGTATTCACAGAGTTCAGTGGGAAATACGAAGAACGAAGTACCTAGGTACAAAGCACCTGCAGGGACAAAGTCATATCTCCCACGCGTTTTCCCACGAACAACTCCCTCTTGCTGTCGTCAATTAACCCTGATTGGCTCTGCTCATGAAGAAAACTTAGGGGGTTCAAGGATAAGATAAACAACGGGTCAAGGGTCCGTTTGCAATCGGTATCCAAATCCGTACGTGGCTGCAAACGTTCACCTCACCCCATTCGCCATTCGGCGACTCCACGTTTGGCTCTGCAACATCCCATACGGTTGTCCGTGGCGGCATAGGAATCTGAGCCATCATCGATTAGTATGTGGTCTGACAAGGTTTGACGCACTCCATTCCACATTACCGTAGTAATCTTGGGCATTACCTTATCCTTGGCGACATCTCCCTCTGTGTTCCTCCATCTCAGACAAGCTGTAGTGCATTTAGCCGTCCATGTTACGTTCCTCCACAGGCCTTTTGTCCCGGACGCCTCTAAGCAGGGAGCAAGCCTACCACCATTCGATTCACGATCATGACCCAGCGTATCGAGGCATGTCAGTTGAGAGCAAGGCCGCGGGGAACCCTGTCGAGGTGAGGAATAGGGGCCAAAGACTCGGGGGTGCAAATGAGGTGGTCACTTGCGGATATAAAGTACTCTAAGGTACTTTCATGCTCCTTCGGTCTGACTGGTTTGGGAGCTCTCACCCCCTGGCCCTTTCCTGTGGGTACTTTGTGCTGACTCAGCTACGGGGGATTAACCCCCTTGATTAACCCTTGCCAGGCAGCACTTCTATCCACAACCATCAATCATCGCCAGCCAGCATACAACACAACGTAAGGTATTCAGTGGTCTCGCATCGGCTATTCCCGCTATAACTGTTGCCTTCAATATTGAATGCCTCGCTGTCTCACATTCCATTGTTTTGGTCTCGTCTCCATACCATTACAATCATCGTCCTCGACGCTATAATTATCCACCAGACACAGGCAAATCATCTCCACAGTCCCACTTTTCTTCTGGACCCGCTTTTGACCCTTGGCTGATCCCTACCATATTGGAAAACCTCCTTCTGCAAGGCACGTTTGCCCCTTATTGCCACGAACAGGGTCAAGGGCCTTTTTCTTTTTTCTTTTTTTTTTTTCTTCCTTTTTTCTTCTTCTTTTTCCCTCTCTCCTGGCTTTTTTTGTCCATTAAAAAGTTCCATCGCCAAGGTCAAGCAGCCGACAAAATGCAAAACCGTCGATCCCTTTCCGAACGGGTCAAGTCTGATTCCTGTGTCGCATCAATGATAAAAAGACACAGATCGGTCCAAGTCGCGTGTTTCCCGACGGAGCCCCGACCGGGGGTTGTCACATTCTTCTCCCTCTCTCTTTAGGAATTCGCAGCACATAGTTTCCAGGCACCAAAGACATACTATCAATCCCTCATGACTCCGGCGTTCAACTATTGACTCAACTCCCTCGGGTTCGCATTCCTCCCTCAATGTCAGGGGAAGACACGGGGCTCACTCATTAGACCACGAGCTACGGCGCGACCCCTGAATCAGACTCTCTCCCTCCATCAACGCAAAGGGTAGTGATTCTTCAAATAGACCGTTTGGCGACTGGACCCTCTCTTGAACCCAATTGAGTGAGTCTTAAAGGTTGTTCCGGAAGCTGGCAAAGGCCCGAACTGTCACCGTCGCTTCCGATATTCCCGTTCGGTTCTCCTCTTCGGTACGCTCTGCCGGTGCAACTCGTGGGGGGAGTCGTCGTCGCAGGGCATCTCAAAGTACCGCTCACAATTTGAGAAGAAAACGGATGCAAAGTTTACGATCCTCTCGCATCTTGTCATGAATTAGGTAGGTACTAATACTAAGTGAACGCTATTGTTTAAACACTAAAGTCAAGGAAAAGTCCAGGGGCTCCAATCACAACACAAACCGGGTTCCCTCCCGTACAGTACAGCATTGGCAATATATCCGGCCCATGTGCAACTGCCGACCCCCGAACCAACGTTTTACCACATATCACTGGTAATGATACTTCACATCCCCAACACCAGGTCTCTGGATGCCGTCGTCCACATACCCCGGCAGCTCATCCCCTTGCGCTCCAGACGGTGGTCCCGCCACACCTCCACCGCCGGTCATGTGTGGGGACCCATGGAACTGACCTCCGGTAGCCTGCCCGACCGGATGGGTCGGATAATTACCCAGCTGACCATACTGACCACCGGGAGCGGCAACGTTCGGATCCGCACCCGACTGGGGAGGAGGGGCAACACCCGCAGGGGTCGGATGAGGCGGGGGCGGCAGGTTCGCCTCGGGCAAGGGTTTCTGACTCTCGGCAACGCGCAGCGCTTCGTACAGAGCCGGCGACCCAGCCGGCCACTTGGCGCCATGGGGGGGCACTTCGCCGCGCAGGATCTGCTCGACGCCGACCCTCTGGCCGTAGAAGGCCGCGTTGGCGTCGCGACGCTCGGTGATGACGGTGCCGTCGACCTGCACGCCGGCGTAGAAGCCGCGGGACTTGACGTAGGTGAAGACGGGTTTGAAGGAACCGCTGCTGCTGCGGCGATGGCGGTCCTTGTCTTTCCGCGGCGGCTTGAGCTTGTCGTCGTCCTCACCGAAAGGCTTTCCGTCGGCATACTGCGACGGGGGACGATCGTATACCAGGTCCTCTTCTTCTCGTCGATGTTCGCCCGACTTGCGGCCTCCTCCTCCGTATCCGATCTGGACATTGCCGCCGGCGCCATACGGGCCGGCAGTCACGGCAACGTCCGGGCCTAGACTGACGCGGGTACTCTTGAAGGCCTCGAGGGCTTCCCGGCTGTTGATGACGCAGACGCAATCGTAGATGTCGACGCCAATCGAGAAGCCGGCGCCGAGGGTGTGGACCTGTATACCGGAGGGCGGGGACCAGGAGCCGTCGGGGCGGCGAGCGATGAGGATACCGGAGCCTGTCGCGCCGGAGAACCCGTAACTCACACGCGCGGTGGTGAATATGGCCAGGCCCTGTGCCCTTTGGATGACTTTGGAGGGTATTTTGACGATGGCACGCTGGCCGTGGAGGGCTCTGGGCTGCTTGTTGGGTGACACGGGGCGGGCCCCATATGTGGGTTCGGGAGCGGCCGAAGTTGGGGAGCCTTGGTAACCTTGGTGACCTTGCTGGCCTTGAGTACCTTGAGGACCCTGAGCAGCCGCATCAGAGGCGATACCCTCCTCTACAGTCTTGTTAGCGCACGTATCCTCTACTTGCTGGGGGAAAGCCCTTTTGACTTACTGCAGAAGCTTCTGAGAATGTTGGCAGCCTTCTCACACTCCTTATCCATAGTGGTGGGCAGGAAGCTCTGGGCGCCTAGCTTGTTAGCAAAGGCATTGATCGGAGCGGCGGCTTTATGGCCCATCTCCGACAAGCGGTCACCCCAGGTACGATGGGGGCGTTCATGCGTCGTCTGCGTCGTCTGAGTCGTCGCCTGGCCCGCAAGAAGGGGGTTTCCAGACCCGGCCGGGTTGTAGCCTTGCTGTTGGTGTTGGGTGGGTCGCGGGCCAGGAAGCGGAGGGGGCCCCTCGTAATCGTCGGAGGGCTTGTAAGATGTCGGGAGATTGTCGTTGGGTCCAAGTCCAACATCTGCATTGGATGGGTATTGCTGTTGCGAGGGAGGCTGCCCGGGAGGAGGGGGAGGGTAGTATTGCTGTTCGGTCTGGGGAAGGATAGGAGGTTTCTGGTCTCCGCTCGTGTATCCCTGTCCATCGAAGGTATGGCCAGGTGGGTGCTGACCAGTCGCACTTTGAGGAGCGTACTGTTGTTGATCCTCGGGCGGAGGACCAGAAGGGGGGGGTGGGAAATAAGGCTGCTGTTGTTGTTGTTGTTGTTGTTGTTGATACTGCTGTGGGTTTTGAGGGTCTTGGCCCGAAAATTGAATAGGTGGCTTCTCGGGATTTGATGACATGATGGCAGAGTTCAGACTTGTCAGAAGTCTCTGAAACTGAGAGCTGTGATGAGAGAACGAGACGACGTCGTTGAGGTTGAATGCGCGAAGGACGTTTCTGATGGCGGGGGCAGGGTATCTCGATGGTGGCGGGTATCACCGTATCTGTGCAGAGAGAGGTTCGACGGTGAAGGAGTAGAGATTAGAGAATGGTGGGTGACTAGAAGAAAGAATGGCAGAAGCTGAGAGGGTTGATATATAGTCGGTGAAGAAGGTTTTGGGCAAAACCAGACAGGTTCTAATTATTTAGTAAAGTGAAGTGTTTGCGGGAGGGTTCGCCGCGTCATTGTCATTCGATTTTGTTTCAGCTGTGACGGAGGCCTGCGAGGGAGGGGGAAGGGGAGAGGGAGGGGGAAGGGGAGGGGGAGGGGAAGCTCTTGCCTTGTCCTGAATTGGTAAGGTACTGCTAGAATGTACCTGGTGACGTGATGACGTATCGTGGCGCAGTGGTGCCACTGCTTGGTTAAAGGGCTTGACACTGAGGCGGTGCATGTCTTGATCTTCCAATTTGTAGTGCACACGTGTATTATTACGGAGTAAGGTACCTAGGTACTTTTCCATTCGCCCTACGAACCTGGAAGTCACTGCAACACCTTCCACGCGGACCACGCCTTTCATCACCATGCCCCTTGCTTCCCCTTGCAGTAATTGGCCCGATTCACTTTAGTTTCCGGGCGGCTTCTCCGCCTATCCCCCGACCCGAGTAGCCCCGCCCCCTTATCCGTAAACTAACTCCCCGTCGACCCAAATTCGCGCATGGCACTTCACGACTAATACCACTATACATACCTCAACTTCACACCTCAGAATACATCTCCCTGCAGGTGGTCACTGTTTCTTTCATTCTTTTGTTATTATTATTTATATATATATATTCTCTCGTGTCTAACCCTACTAGAACCATGGCAAAGTCGAACCTCCATCTCCCCCGAATCCTCTGCCTGCATGGCGGAGGGGTCAACGCCTCCATCTTCAAAGTGCAAACCCGCGTACTCGTATTCCGGCTATCCAAATACTTCCGCTTCATCTTCGTCGAGGCCCCCTTCATCAGCGACCCGGACCCAGCCATCGTCCCCATCTACGGCGACCAGGGCCCCTTCCGCCGCTGGATGCGCTGGCTCCCGCACCACCCGGAGCTGGACATCGCCACCATGACCAGCGAGACGCGCCGCGTGCTCGTCAGCGCCATGGACCAAGACGACGACGACGCCGGCGGCTTCGGGCCCTGGGTCGGCCTCCTCGGCTTCAGCCAGGGCGCCAAGGTCGCCGCCAGCGTGCTGTACACGCAGCAACTCCTCCGCGACAAGTTGGGCGAACACGAGGCCGCCGCCTGGTTGACGAGCACCGCCGACCCGGACGCGCAGCCGAGCAGGACGTTCCAGTTCGCCGTCGTCATGGCGGGCCGGGCGCCGCTCGTCACGCTGGACCCGCGCCTCGCGCCCCCCTTCGGCGTCGTCGACATGTCGCATTCGAGCCCCGAGTTCGTTGGCGCGCCGGAGGGGTTGCCGAGGGAGGGGCCCCATCTGTTGCACGCGCGCACGATCCACGTCCACGGGATGCAGGACCCGGCTTTGCGATTGCATCGCTTGATGTACGACAGGTACTGCGCCCCCGGCACGGCGACGCTGGTGGAGTGGGAGGGCGGCCATCGCTTGCCTTTCAAGACGGAAGATGTCGAGCCGGTCACCTCGGAGATTATTGACCTGGCGAGGGAGCTGGGTATCATTAAGGATGACGACGACGAGTAACTAGCTGCAATTGGAACAAACAACAACATCATGAAACGAAAAGTCGAAACGCAAAACCTCAACTTCCATTTGCCTACCCCCATCCCCGGCTCAGCGGATGGGATCCATAGACCCCAGCCCTCACCCCTGCAACATGGCAACGGCACGCTCCTCAACGATTTCCTCATCGACAAGACGCTTCAACACCCGAATCGTCCACCCCTGACAGTGTTCCCGTGCCGTCACAGCAGCCCCGATTGACAGCCCGCGGCGCCGGCTCTTCTCGGGCCACGCGGTCGACGGTGGCGAGCTGCGCGTCGCTGAGGTTTCCGTTCACCACCTGGGTGCCAGCAAGAGGCGAAACACGCAGAGCTCAACATGTCTTCATCCGGGACGTGCTCGTGCCGCATGTTCTCTGCGGTCGCCCTTGACGTGCCAGACCTGGGCCCTTCCTGCGCCGGTGGCTTCGGGTCGATGGCGACGATGGGCGAAACAGACGCCAGTCCTTGGGCTCGTGTTCGGCTTCGTGCTCCACGGCCACGGAGAGCTGCCGTGTCGAGGGCTTCAAGTCTCGGGGTCGATCTTGCGGGTCCATTGCGAGCCATCGGGACATGTGGTGTATTGTCGCTTACGACGCCCTATTTGGGTTGTCACTGCAATGTGTGTTTCCCGAGTCGGTCATGCTTTTCTGATTTCTTTCTATGATTCTTGTTATTTATTTTATAGAAGAATGTGCATGTGAGAAGATGTTCGCCGGTAAAGGACTGAAGGTGGTGAGATGGAAATTGTGAGTGAAATTATAGTTGAAATTCGGACAGAGACAAATACTTGACCCTTCGAGTCACTCCTAGAGGAAATAGGAGTATGGTTACAGCCTTTCAAACCCTCAACTTAGTCGTGCAGGAGGCTTGTGGCGGCGTTGATCCCAAGACGTTGTGGTATGAGACCTGCTACTAGATCCCCTATTGGACTCTTAACACCTTGACTATATTCAGCACATGAGGATATTGTACATGGATGATTCTAAGAGATGAGACACTGAAAAAGCCTTGTCAGCTATCTAACCGCCATAAAATGACACATCCATACATGTAACCTGCAGAACACAAAGCTGAGGCTTAAAATATGCAGTGTGAACTCTGGTGATGGCCAAGCCTCTGGTGGTATGGGAATCAGGAGGATGACTCACACGCCGATCCTTCGAGCCCAAGAAACTCGATAACTGGATCTTAAAAGGAGGGAAACCCTGTCTTGATATTCCACTGTTAGTTTCCCAAGTTCCAAGCGGTGAGTATTACTGAGAAGTCAGGGAAGCACCAAGCAACATCGATCTCGCCCACTCCCCATCCCCTTCTAGCCATGTCCGCCCCCGACGTCCTGGTCACCGGCTCAGCCGGCCATCTAGGCTGCGCTTTCATGCTCTCGTTGCCTTCACTCGGCCACACGCCAATCGGCATCGACATTCGTCCCTCCGAGACAACCACGCACGTAGGCTGCATCACAAACCGCCCCTTCATCGCCGCCCTCTTCACGCAATATCCCACCATCAAGCACATCCTACACGCCGCAACGCTACACAAGCCCCACGTAGGCTCGCACGCCAAATCGGACTTCGTCAACGTCAACATCGCGGGGACCTTAGTCCTCCTGGAGGAATCCGCCAAGCTAGGGCCGCAAATCGACTCGTTCGTCTTCATCTCCACGACGTCCACGTTCGGGAAGGCACTGAGTCCCCGCGAGGCGTCCCCTGCAGCATGGATCGACGAGTCCGTGGTACCGGTGCCCAAGAACATCTACGGCGTCACCAAAGTGGCGGCCGAGGACCTGTGTCGCCTCGTGCAGGCCCAGACGGGGATGCCGGTGCTTGTGCTCCGTACCAGCCGGTTTTTCCCCGAGGCGGACGACGACGAGGACCGTCGTAGCTCTATGGCGGATGAGAATCTCAAGGTCCTGGAGTTGGCGTATAGACGGGTTGATATTGCTGATGTGGTGTCCGCTTGCGTCTGTGCTATGCAGCGGGCGAGGCATATCGGGTGGGGACGATATATCGTGAGCTCGCCACCTCCCTTTCGAAAGGAGGAAGGGACGTTGCAGAGGTTGAATGCCTCTGGGAAGGCGGGGGTTGTACTCCAAGAGGTTGTTCCGGGAATAGCGGAGGCGTTGGGCAAAAAGGGGTGGAAGTTTCTTCAGCGGTTTGATAGGGTGTATGATTCGACCAAGACGGTGGAAGAGTTGGGATGGAGACCAACATACACCATTCAACATGCGGTGGGATGCATTCTGGAGGGCAAGGAGTGGAGGAGCGATCTGACATTCAAGGTTGGGAAGAAGGGGTATCATAATGTCCCAACGGGTGTATATACTGTGAGATGATGCACCAGGCATCAATCTCGGGACCCTCCTCTTCCCTTTACACTACAGTCGAGTAAATGAACATGGTGAGGTGTTGTCAAAGGGAAGTTTTAGTCTGCTTGAGTCTGTCTGACGAGGAATAATTTTAGGGGGGTCGACAACTTGGTGTGAGGCATTGATAGGCACATGCAAGCAATGTAAGCAATATAGTAGCACAGCGTGGAGCAATATAATGAGAGAATGAGCATCAAGATGAGCATGAGGAGTTCCCACTCGCATAGACGTTCTACCGAGACCCCCGCCTTCGCGTGAGATACCGCATTTGTCTAACTTGCAGCTCCGGCCATCGTCGTCCCATGTGACCGTGTCTGGGGACCCTGGCGGGCTATGGGTAAGGGCTTGAAAACGGTTTCGCGGACCTCGGGCTGATAACCGAAACCGATCATTGTGCCGCCCACAGTGAGTTGATTGGTGTGAGCTCTAAGATTGCTCAGGGAGTGCACAGCCCCAAGAATGCAGCATGGGTTGCTTGGGCAGAACTTGGGGAAGAAACGCCGACGGTGTCTCGAGCAGATCTGATAAGAATCAAGATGCCCAGTGTCTTGCATTTTTGGGTGCCGAAGAAGATCACTCCGAGCAAAGAATATGACTGCATGTAAGATCTTCCCATCCTTGTCTCTAGCGATACACTGTGCTACCAAGCCGCCGTGGGAGCTTAATACCTATAAGACGAGACCTGGCTACATGTATTCATAGTTCCAGCTCGCCGGTTAGGGCCTAGAGGACCTCGGGTCTCTGAGCCTCAGGGGTGTCGGCCTGCAAGCAGCACGGCAGGCAGGACAGCGAGTACAACGGCGAACTGTACAATTTCAAGGAGCTTCTCGGCCCATTGCCTGAATTTGGTTAAGGTCTAACAGGAATAACTATTACCCTGCCACTGGACCGGGTCGAAAGCCGGATCTCATGTCCGAGTCTAGCCCCTTAGTTGACTCCCTTTTCATGAAAAAGATCACAAGTTCTTGCCAGTGCAACCCTACAGCTAATTCTCCCCGGCCGTCTCAAACAGGACATGGAGTCTACGGTCTCTATTGACGGCAAGAACTCGAACGATGCCGAGCACATGGAAATATGTATACACAACGCAGAGGTTCTGCACATAACGAAGGGACTTTCAAGACAGTTCGTCCGCCGGCGATCCATCCCCCGCGCCCTTGTTTCAGTCCGTCGGGTCACTTGGGTGAGCTCGCGATGATGTTATCGAAGCCGGGAGTAGCACATATCGGTGTTACATTCGACGTAGACTCCGTATCATATATACCACTTCCTCGGCCTTCACCTTTGTGGTTTACCAACTTTACCTCCAGTCCCTCTCATTCTCGTTTCTATTTCTTCATACCTTTTTGTCCGCTTGCTTTTTTCAACTACTTTGTTTCTACTGTCAGACTCTTCTCTAAATACAGTATATTTTTTACCACCTTACAATGCTATTCATCAAGTTGGGCCTGGTGCCTGTTTTGGCCGCCCTCCCTTCTGCTCTCGCCTGTCTAGGATATACAGGCGGCGTCCCTAGGGCAACCAACACCGTTTCTAGCAACAAGGTCATTGAAGTCAGGGCTGGACAAGTTTTCGACGGCCAGTGGCAGCGCTTCGACCGGGGAACTGGTGCCTGCAACGAGCAGGCCGAGGGCAGTACGTTCAGCCGTCCCCTTTCCTACAGTTACACACATGCTTGGTGTTTCTATCCAAGGCCCCCCGACGTCTTTTCCCAAAGTTTCCCCATTCTTCTCATTTCTTCTCGCCTGACGCCCGCCTTTCTCCAGGCTCCAACGACGCCGTCTTCCTCCTCCGCCGGGGCGCCACCCTAAAGAACGTCATCATCGGCAGGCACCAAGCCGAGGGCGTCCACTGCGACGGCCCCTGCACGCTCGAGTTCGTCTGGTTCGAGGACGTCTGCGAGGACGCCGTCACCGTCAAGAACGACAGGGCCGGCGACCACACCTGGATCATCGGCGGCGGCGCCTACCACGCCGCGGACAAGATCGTCCAGCACAACGGCTGCGGCACAGTCAACATCATCAACTTCTTCGCCTCCGACTACGGCAAGCTGTACCGCTCGTGCGGCAACTGCAGCTCGCAGTGCAGGCGCAACGTCTACATCGAGGGCGTGACGGCGCAGAGGGGCGGCGAGTTGGCGGGGATTAATGCGAACTATGGGGATACCGCTACCATCCGGAATAGCTGCACTTCTGCCTCGCCTAGGTGTCAGTTCTATCAGGGCTGTGCTGGGGGGTGTGAGCCCAGGAAGCTTGGCGCCTGTTCTGGCTGAGCTTTTGGGGTTGTAGGTCGCTGGCGGCAGCTTGAGGGGAAGGATCGTCAGGACTCAGGCGCGTGTCTTCTGCCTATACTGAGATTTTCGCAATTTTCTGGCGCGTTCCGTTCTGAAGGGAGCACCGAGGGTTGAGGCTTTGGCTGAAGACGACAAACTCTCAACTGGTTATAACTTATACTGTATGCAAGTTTGTTCTGGGCCAATAGTCAATACAACCCGAGATCTATGTGCGTCCCTCGGGAGTTCTAACACCGGCACGAAAGAGGACCGTTTGCTATATATGCATGTGTATTCCATCCACATTTACCAGGAATGGCGTTTGTCATCCTATGGTTCTGTCCCCGTCTTGAAGATCCCGAACGAATCCCGCAGCTCAGGGGCGTCTCCCGTGCCGATAGCGGATCTACCCCCTGTAACCACGTCTCGACACGGGAGAAAATTTATACAAAATAGGAGGGGGGGGAAATGAACACTCATTCATACACGGCCAGCTTGAGTAATCATCGAATCATGTCGTACTGGAGGCGAATGGATTGAGCTGACATTTGATTCACCGTTGCCTCCATCAACCTACAACTTGAGGTTGAGCGGTCCTCACAAGTTCATAACCTCACTCATCCCACGGTTCACACCGACATCGCCATCTCCCATCTCCCCTCACGATGAGCCGACTTGCCTAGAATCACGCCAAATTCATCGAATCCACAGTCCACGCACAATGTCCCGGATTCACACTATTCCCGGGAACCAGGGCCCCGGGCCTGGCGTCGATCCATGTCAGAAACGCAAGTCGTCGATCCCGGACATCAGCATCGCAGACGCTGCGTACATCGCCCATGAAAAGAAGGGCCAGCTAGACCCTGCAGCGGCAAGTTCAACGGCCGAATCCTCAGACGCCGAACGATCCCCAGTCATCCCCGTCACATCAGAGGACCCGGACGTCTTCCCCGATGGCGGAATCAAGGCATGGACCGTCGTCTTCGGGGCCTGGTGCGCCATCTTCTGCACCTTCGGCGTCGGCCACAGCATCGGCGTTTTCCAAAAGTACTACGTTACCGAGGCTCTCAGCCAGTACCCGGCATCGGCCGTGTCTTGGGTCACGGGGGTCATGCTCTGGACGCTCAACTTTACGCCTGTCGTTGTAAGTTCAAGCGCAAAGCGGAGGGGGTCAAGCATGCTGTGAAGGAAGACACTAACTAGTAACACCCAAAAATAGTTCGGGTTCGTCTACGACAAATACGGCCCAAGGTGGATCATCATCGGCGGCACCGTCACCTACGTCTTCGGCATGATGATGACCTCCCTAGCCACCGAGTACTACCAGTTCTTCCTCGCCCAGAGCATCGTGGCTGGCGTGGGCGCCGGCGCTGCCGCCACCGTGAGCATGTCGGCCGTCATCTCGTGGTTCGACCGCTATCGCGCCACGGCCTTTGGTGTCATGATGTCCGGTTCATCGGTGGGCGGCATCGTCCTCCCCATCATGATCCCCAAGCTGATCGACCGGGTCGGCTTTCCCTGGGCTATGCGCGTCGTTGGCCTTTTGTTCCTCTTCATGCTGTCGATCTCGTGCCTCACTATTCGCTCTCGCTTGCCGCCGCGGCCGAAGCCGTTCGTGTTGAAAGAATACGGCATGAGCCTCCGTGAGCCTGCCATGGCTGCTACTGTCGCGGCCATGTTCATGATTTATTGGGGCATGTTTCTGCCGTATAATTTTGTCATTTTGCAAGCCGAGGCGCAAGGCATGAGCCCTGACCTGGTCATTTATGTTTTGCCCATTATGCACAGCGTCAAGTAGGTCGTCTTCCTTTTTTCTTTCCCCCCCTCTTCCCCCTTCTTTGGAGTCCTCGACTTTTTAGGAACTGACGCAAGACATACAGCATTCTTGGCCGTATCATACCGGGCATCTTGGCAGACAAGTTTGGCCGCTACAACATCATGATATGCATCACCCTCATCGCCGCCATCTTCTGCCTCGGGTTATGGATACCGGGCAACACGGACGCTACCATCATAGTCTTTGCCGTGGCCTTCGGCTTCTGCGCGGGCGGCTTCACGGGTCTCGCGCCGACGCTCATCGCCCAGATATCGGACATCAGAGAGATCGGCATCCGTAACGGCTCGGCCTTTGCTATACAGTCGTTTGGCGCCTTGACGGGCAGCCCGATTGCGAGCGCGATAGTGGACTCCCGAGGAGGTGACTACCTTGGGCTGAAGCTGTTCTGTGGGCTTGCCATCTTGTCGGCGTCTGTCGTTTTCGTGGCTGCGAGGTACGTTCAGGTAGGGTTCCAGTGGAGGAAGGTTTAGATATGGCATATAGACGGCGATGTCCAAGTTGTGTAGTCCAACAAGACAACCGCAGTCGAAGTACGGAGTGAATGGCAATCTTCGTAGACTAAGATGGGAAGAGACTACTAATAGTGTAAGTGGCATCAAGTCCATCGTGGGTGACGGCTGTCTCGTGTTCAGCATCCTTTCAAACTTTGAAATTCCCAAACTCGAGGAGATATGGCGCGGTTCCGTTGTTGGATAGCCAGCCAGGCCAAACAATACGTTGTTAACATTCAGTCTCCGGGAGGCGACCATGGGCCAGGTGGTGTGGTCCCGTCAAGCAAATGCCAAAAGTCAAGACTCCTCCAGCCACCCCCGCCTGAAAGCTGCACGACTGTCAGTCACTGGGGCGATGGTGAGAGAAATAACAGCCAGACCATATACTTACCTCCGGGTTCAATTGCAGCCGCATACATAACCAGTGTAATAGGCCTGAGATCCTCCATGCCCGGTTCGACGCCAGCCCTCTCCCAGGTTTCGAGGATCTTATCGGCCGTGCTTTGCCAGTCGGGCTCACGAACAAACGCACATCGGATGCCCAGCACGGTCCCAAACTCGCGAAAGGCAAGTCGAGTCCGAATGGTCTGACCAAAGTAGCCCGCAGCCAAGAGCTTCTTCAAATCCCTCTCAGCCCGCTCCAGCAGACCCCTAGCCCACGTCTCCCGACCGCCGTACAAGTGCGCCGTCCAGAGAGTCATGCCCAGATCCAGCGGGTCACGGCTCCCATATCCCTCCCACTTGACCGAGACAATCCTCTCATAATCCCGCATCTCCTCCCGGAGGACGTCGCTCTCCTGGTCATCTTGGCGCGCAAAGTCCCTCAACACCTTGCAGACAACAAGCCCATCCACGGGATCCAGATTCCCCTCGCTCGTAACCAGCGGCCGCTCCAACCCGGTACTCACCTTCCAGTACATCCGCGGCCTCGGCTTCTGCCTGTCGTAGACAAAGGCCGGATGCACCGCTTGCATGAGTCGGACCGCATATCCGTTCCACTTCAAAGCGTCGCCGTGTCGCCGCTCCCGGCGCGACGCCACCGCGAGCCGGTTCAGGGCGAACATCCACAGGGACAGGTAGTGGTGGTATTGGCCGTCGCCGTCTGGGCCGGAGGCGTCTTCTTTGCCGATCCGTAGGCCGCCGCCGAGCGGGTCCGTGTCGGAGGCGCCGGGGAGACGGGCGGAACCGTCGCGCGTGCGGCCTAGGACGTCGTGTACTGTGTGTGCGAGGGTCGTGGCGTAGTTGAAGTAGTCGGATGCTCCTGTCAGGCGATGGAGGGTCAGGAAGTTGACGAGGCCGAAGGCGTCTGTCCAGAGGTAGCGGCCCTTGTGACCTGCGGATGCGGGGGGAGGGGTCCAGGGGCTGGAAGATGATGCGTGTCCTAGTGCCTCGGCCGGGATGTTGTCTTCGGGGATGGGGAACCTGTAGACTTGTTGCATGGCCTTGGTGAAGGCGGCTAGACGGTCGGGGGGAAGAGGAGGTCGCGGCGCGGGCATGTCGTCAGGGGTTCAGGGGTTCAGGGGCTCAGATAGACTGTGAGGAACGTGGTAAATTGGAATATCGGTCGGGATCGTCCCAGCTTCAAGCACTGGCGGAGTTAACGTCGCAGCTTGAGTGAGAAATCAAGCCATTAAAAGATGAAGGTGCGAAAATTAATAGGGGGAATAGTCGGTGGTGCAACTCGTTATCGTTATCGTTGCGTCAGAGCGCGTGGTTCGACGTCACCGACTCACAGACTCACCGACTCACCGACTCACCGAACCACCCCACGGTCGGCCTCGGCCACGGTCGGTCACTCGTGGTACCTCACCGAACCTTACCTTATGCTCCGTACGCTCCGTACCTGGTCTATGATGGTACTTCAAGCCCCTCTAGTCTAGTTTGTCGACACCGCGACACAGTACAATACAATATATGCATGCAATAATTACAACGCTGTCTAATTTTTCTTCCCACCTGATCCCATGATAAAGTCTACTTCTGCAGCCCGGAAATATTCAGGCCAAGCCTCCATGTCGTCTTGGCAAGATTCGATGGGAATCATGTTGTAGCATTTGCGACGAACACTGCGTTGCACCCTTTCATTAGTACATGTACCCAACAAAACAGCAAACACTGTGAAAGGGGGAAAAGATAAAGGGGAAAGAAAAGGACGGAGGGGAATTCAAGCAAAAAACTCACTCCTTCTCGTACTGATCGTCCAGCCGCCTCCTAGCCTCCTCCGTCAAACGTCCCTGAGCGACGTACTGCTGGACACCCCACTGCCATCGCATACATGCATGTCTGAAGATGTACGGATGATCCTCAATGTGGCCGCAGCCCGGCGTAGACCAGTCAAACTCGGGAGGATCTTCGTGTCGCATGTGGACACGGAAACTGTCGATGGACGTGTCGAAGAGGAGCAGGTCGGTTTCTTCCATTGTGTTCCTCAGTGCTCGGGCATCGACGGGCTGGGCCTGTGGAAGGGCCAGGGCCCCGGGAAGCAGGGAGGTGAAAAGGAAGGCTGCTATAAGCCTCATTGTAGCTGTTTCGGTAGAAAGATTCCAGATGAGAAGGGGAAATCGAAGAGTCGGAGGCCCGACGGTGGTGAGTCGTGACTGTGGTGAGTGTAGACTTGAGACCGCAGTCCGCAGGGGCCACGTGATGGATGGCGCGAGCGAGTGGCTTTTCAATTTCTCACCATCACGGTTGGAATGAACTGGGAGAGGCTCGTAAATCAGGAAGAAGACGCATCAAGTGGAAACAAAGCTCAAAACCCTTTAGAGGAAAGGAGGAAACTTGTATATATTCGGGGGATTTGCTCTGTGGGCTCCAAGTTCCGACCGTTATCGGAGAAGGACCGGTAGCCAATCGGTCGTGCCGGTATGGATCCCGCGGGGAAAGAGTGGAGTCCGATCGGGGTTGGGCGGAACTGTTCCGGGCACCCCATTGCTAAGAATAGTTTTGGTCCTCGAATGAAGCCAGAGCTAGGTAGGTGTCCCAGCTTTCCAAGTGCCGATTTGATTCCTTACTGGCGTGGGGAGCGAATGGTAGGGACAATTCTCTGCGCCCGGTGAGTCGGGAGGAAGATTGACGCGATACATTAAGTGCATGTGGCCACTGGCCCCTATATCGAGTCAAACGGGCAAGATCATAAGGAATCCGTTGTACTTGTCTGTTTTTGTATTCTCCTTTGACATCGGTCTTTTTTTTCTTTTTTTTCTTTGCTTTCTTTCTTTTCTTCATTATTATGATTACATGTAATATTGTTATTATTTCCCCCCTTTTACAACTCCGTACTATTCCCTGTTCCCCTATTTGTGACCAGACCTTATCCCTATACCAACCCCCCGACCGCTAGAGCAGCGTAGCAAGACATAACGTACTCATAATAATGCATATATCAACACGCTTTACACGTGTATAAGGTACCTAATTCCGAAACACTTCTGACCTATTGGTTGAAAGTCCCAATTCCTAGACAAACAAAATACGGATTGAATCTAATCACGAGCCTTCTTCGAGACCGCATTACATCATCGATACATCGTAATGATCATCACTTACCTCACTTACCTCACCTAGGTATGGAGCTCATCGCTGCGGAAAAAGGTGCTACCCCCATCTTCTCACGCCTCCTTCCATCGCAGTCGCACTCGTAACCTTCCTCCATCAAAGTGTCCTGGGTCTCAGGCTACCCCTCGAACTTTCTTACCATTTTTTCCACTACACGGATTCTTCACTCTTCATGTGGATGCGATATCAACTATTCGTGCCCTGTTCAAACGTGCTTCGAAAATCACCGAGTTCTCTCACGATAAAACAGCCAATTCAACTTCAAATACGCACTTACACAATGGGGTCACGGCATTTCATGCAAACCACCGGAGGGACCGATGCCGTGTGGGTGCATAAACACAAGTATGCCGACAGACCGCAATTCCAAGCCCTCAGGACCGACATCAAGACCGACATCTGTATCGTCGGCGCCGGAATAGCCGGCATCTCAGCCGCTTACGAGCTGGTCACCCGCGGCAAAGACGTCGTGCTGATCGACGCCCGGGACGCCATCTCGGGCGAATCCAGCCGCACCAGCGCCCACCTCTCCAACGCCCTGGACGACGGCTACCTCGCCATCGAGAAGAAGCACGGCCGCCACGGAGCCCGGGCCGCCGCCGAGAGCCACACCTGGGCCCTGAACCACGTCGGCGACGTCGCCAAGAAGCTCGGGATCGAGTGCGAGTACCGCCACGTCCCCGGCTACGAGATCTCGCAGTACCAACGCGGCGACGACGACGCGAACCACGCCAAGGACATGCAGGAGCTGCAGGAAGAAGTTGCCCTGGCCAAGCAGCTCGGCTTGGACGTCGAGTTCCGACCCGAACTGGCCGTTAGGGGCTGGGACGGCAAGCCGGACCAGCGAGGCGGTGCCGTCTTTAACGGCCAGGCCGCCGTTCATCCCACTATGTACCTCGCCGGCGTCCTGAACTGGCTCGCGCAACAGCCCAACTTTCAGTGCTTCACCCACACCAGGATGACGTCCGTCGAGGAGCAGAGCTCGGGTATGCTCGGAACAGGGGGGAAAGTTGTCACCGTCAAGACGGAGAACGGGCGCACCATCGAGTGCCACAACGCTATCCAGGCCACCTGCGTCCCGCTGCAAAAACTCAGCATCATCGCCGAGATGGAGTACTACCGCACCTACGCTATCGCTATCCGGATCCCCAAGGGGTCGGTGGAGGATTGTTTTATTTATGACTCGGCCGAGGCGTACAAGTACGTCCGCCTGACCGCCTGCGACGACAAGGACGATTATATTGTTATTGGTGGCTGCGACCACAAGGTCGGCCAGGAGAGCCCCGCCGGCCGGTTCGAGGAGCTGGAGACCTGGGTCCGGGAACGGTTCCCCCGCGCCGGCGCCGTCGACTACAAGTGGAGCGGCCAGATCTACGAGCCGGTCGATTACATGGCCTTCATCGGCAGGAATCAGGGCTGCGACAACATCTACGTCGTCACGGGCGACTCGGGCAACGGGCTCACGCACGGCGTGCTGGCGGGTCGTATCCTCGCTGACGAGATCGAGGGCAAGGCGAACCCCTGGGCCAAGCTGTATGCGCCCAACCGGATGGCTTCTATTGCCAAGTCGCTGCCGTCTATGATTTCGCATGACGTGCAGATCAACTTGCAGTATAAGCGCATGGCGCAGTCGGATATCACCGACATTGAGGACCTGGTGCCCGGGTCTGGTGGGGTGCTTAACCTGGCTCTTTCTAAGCCTGTTGCTGTGTACAAGGATGATGACGGCCAGGTCCACAAGATGAGCGCCCTGTGTCCTCACATGAAGGGTGTTGTGTGCTGGAATCCGGCCGAGAGGTCGTTTGACTGTCCTGTGCATGGGAGCAGGTTCTCCGAGACGGGTCTGTGTCTTAATGGTCCGGCGAAGGCCAATCTGCCGGCTGCTTAGTGAACCGGATGTGTGTTTGGCTGCCTGTTGGTGTTAATATGGCAATGTACTACTGTGTCATGAGTTAAGTATTTGACGTTTGAGAATATTTTCCAGATGCCCCTGAAAGTCTATATGGGAAAGATGAACATCCTTGAAATGCGTCCCTTTGTGCCAAGCAACGCAGATCCTCCTGACTTCCTACCCTACCAACAGCTTTCTGAGTCCCCCGGCTATTCGGCATATTTAAAGGCGATCTGTCGGTCTCACAGCATGATAGATACAATACATGTGCCTAACCATGCAGCAGTCTCGATTCCTCAGCACGGGTGTTCCATCACGATCAACGGTGCGGCTACCAGTCCAAGATTATTGTTACTGACTTTTGTTTCGGCTCCAAGACGCTCTTATACTCAACTCCTGAAGTCTTGTCATTCTCCCAGTTTGATGGAAAGGAAGTTCTGGCGTCGTGGCTGCCCGAAGGCGAGACAGGAGAGTTCGTTGTTGAGGGCGTCACCGAGGCCAAGCCCAAGAACTTATAAGCTAGTTTGTCACGTTCGATCATGTTCCATGATCCATCGCATGGCTTTTATTCTCATCCTGAACCATCGCGGAAATGTTTCCCGAACTGTTAGTGGGCGTCCGTGCGATTCTACACCGGAACGCCGGGACGGGGTTCTCGCATGGTAAGTGGGTCCCGATCCCGGGGCCCCGGATCTACGTTCGGAGAAGATGTCCTGTTGGCTAACGAGGAAGAATGGATGGAACCGATATTACATGTACTCAATAGTCTGCATTTAGGGTAGGTCTACTCGTTATTTAGTGTGTCTAGTTGTTGTTGCGGCGGGGGGTTGGAAGTGGGTGGCGCTTAAGGCGAACCGGAAAAGGTTTCCCTTCTGCAAAATCATGTCCGTAAAACCCGGTCCCCTTGAAAGTCGCCTTATTATTACCAAAACTCCCACGCCCTTACCATCTTTTCCCTCCATTACCCATTACCCTGACTGTTCTGCAAACCCGCGATTCCCCAGGAAACCGCCCGACCCGCCGATCTCACCTCGCCTCTCCTCAGACACGAACGAACGAACAGAAACCATGGGCTACCTCAGGTCGAAGCTGGAGTACGTCTCCGTGCCCTCCAACTTCAAGCCCGGCCCGAAACATGGCCACTACTCCGACATGGACGCCGAATACGCCAAGGTCGGCCCCCCTCTGGCCAAGATGATGCTCGAGGGCTGGACGAAGGACATGCCGATGGAGCAGTTCAAGGCCATGTTCCTCAACGAGGATCCCCCCGTGCCCGAGGACTGCCCCCAGCCGGGGAAGGACATCTCCCTGGAGCGGCTCAAGGTGCCGATGCGCGACGGGGCGGAGCGGGAGCTCAAGATCTACAAGAACTTCAAGGCCCAGAAGAATGCCGCCCTCGTTTACAAGATGCACGGCGGAGGCTGGACGGTTGGGTCGCACGAGATTGACGAGGCCGAGAACCGGTATATCGCCGGCCTTACCAACGTCGTGGTTGTGAGCATCGACTACAGGATGTTCGTACGGTCTACCAAGTGAAGTGAGGACAGGTCTTGCTAACAGACCCTCTGTATAGGGCGCCGGAGTTCCCGTTCCCCTACGCTCTGCACGACTCGGTCGACGGTCTTCTATGGGTACGTACGGTCTCTGAGACTCTGACTCCCTCACAGGCTACACCCAATCCGCCCCATATGCGAGCAAAAGTTTCTGAACTTTTTGTGTTGTGGACGACTTTGACTGACTTTCTGATAGTGCAAGGCCCATGCCAGCAAGCTGGGAATCAACCCCGAGAGGATCATCGTGGGAGGCTGTAGTGCTGGAGGGAACCTCGTACGTGAACTCGCGAACCCCGTCTCCTTGGACCTTGGAGCCCTAGTGTCAACTATATACATGTAGCTACCATATTTGTGTCGTGACTAACGTACATCTCCCAACAGTCCGCCGCTCTGAGCATCGTCGCAAGAAACGACGGAATCACCGGCATCGTAGCCCAGCATCTCAGCATCCCGGTCACATGCCACCCCGCGCTCTTCGACAAGGTGCCCGACGCGGAAAAGTACGAGCTGCTCAGCTACATCCAGAACAAGGACGCCGACCTCGTCAACGCGGCGCAGATGGAGTTCTTCTGGGACTGCTACACGGGGAAAGACACCAAGCTGGACGTGCTCCACTCGCCTCTGCTGTCCAGGAACCTGAGCGGTCTTCCACCAGCGAGTACGTGTTACCGCAGGCTTTTTTTTTTTTCTCCTTCTTTTTTTTTTCTTCTCCTTCTTTCTTTTCCTTTCCTCGCCCCTTCTTTTGGATGTCATTGATGGCGGTGCTAACACGACGGATTTGTAGTGGTGCAAGTGGCGGGCCTGGACCCCCTTCGCGACGAGGGCATCGCGTACGCAGAGGCGCTGAAGGCCCACGGCGTCCCCACAACGCTTCACGTATACAAGGGCGTGCCTCATGGGTTCTACGGGTTCCCTACCCTCGACGCGAGCAAGCAGTATTTTAGCCGGCTTGTGGAGTTTGTCGAGCGCCATGCCAAGGGCTTGTCTTCGAAGTTGTAGACGAGATGGTTGATGCATCTGACATGGCCTCCTCATATAGTATCAAATGTAAATATAGCGAGCGTCTTATCTCATAAACCCATTCAAGTGATATTAATATCCGTCTTCCTGTCTTTTGCGAGGGTGCGTACGGTGTACCTCCTATATCTATCTGTGTCATGTATCCCGCAGCTCGACGTTGGAAACGGTCCAGACTTACAACGTACATACACCCGCGACCCCACTTTCGTTGGCGGGGAGGGGTGGACGAGCAGGGACCCCGTTGGACTACGACGTACGGGTGGACAACTGGGAGATAGACAAGACACGCACGTGGCTGTCTTTGCATCTAGTCGAGACCGACAGACTGTGCCGCCTCCGCATCATGTCAGAGACTTTGTGTACATGTGCAGCATTGGCAGTGTGGCCCGTGAAAGTGTAAATCCTTCCCGGTCTGGCTAGCCAGGATCAAGAGTCAAGACGAGCTTGTATAATGGAGCAACCCTCGTTGTCTCAGTTTGTCGTGCATTGGGGTGGGGGCTGGGGAGTTCACCGTTCCAGTGCTCTGGTTGCTGCAAGTGAAGTGCGACTGTGCGACGTGGGACTATCTGCAAGATCTGAGTAGGGGGAGTGGGTTCGGGATTCTCCATACCTGTGCTGACAATATTGGGTGATTCTCGGGAGTTGGTGGCTGAGATTGATGCATGCCTCAGTGTCGTTGACTCGTTGGTGTCCTTGACTCCTTGTTATCATGTTCGAAACAACATCGAAGTCATATGCTTGAGTCTGGATTCGGAACGTGGGGCTATCACTTGACATCTCGGAGAGATCCGTGATTTGGAACTGGAATAAATTTTGAATGTTAATGTGGTGATGGAGGTTCTCAGTAATTACAAAGTAGGAGATTTGAAGGCGGCACTGCGGCAATACAACATAGTTCCGGCAGCCGGGGCTTCTGTGTGGGTCCCGAGAAGTGGGGATCGTTAGTCGACGGTCGGCGGTCGGGGGACGGAATAATACATCCCGGTAGTTCACATACCTAGCAATGTCTCATTCACATTTCTATTTACATACCAAAAGAAAAGCCGGGCGCAAATGTCTCTAATGTCAAAACGGTTCCAATATTCACCCTGGGTAGTGTGACGGACATAGCGAAGGAGAGTACAACGTAGGTTGGTTGTGCGCATCTTACATCACTCATCTTACATCACTCGTACAGCAATGCATGCTTTTGCAATATCAATCACGACGAGTTCGAGGAAATCCATTATCGCCCAGTCCTATACCGACGCCATTCTTACGTTTCTCGATTTGATGTCAATTTTTGGGGTAGGCGAGATAATGGTGGTATTTTGGATGGGACAGGTACATGTGTGGAGTATTTTAGCTCCATCGCATTGGGAAATGGCGCGCTGTGATTGGACACTGATAAGACACCCCTGGCTTGGGGTCCGTGTCAATCTTCGGCTTCTACGCACACGACCAATCAGAGTTCTTCTTTCAACCTCTTATCGCGTGGTAACTCCCGGACCCGTCCCGGTGCTTCGGCCGCCCCAATCTTTATTTCGAACTCTCCGATAACAAAACACCAGGACCTCAGACAGTCAACTTGGTTTTCAAAATGCCGTAATAAATTTTTGGACGATTCAGTGTTGTCTTGACATCCACCAATCGCCACTGCTGAGAATGGGACTCGGACCTCCCCCGAGGGCCCCGACTTCGGTCTGCTATCGCGGCAGAACAACCGCAGCCAGACCCCAACCACTCATCAACCACCATACGGCCACACTCCCATCACCGGCTTCGGCCACTAATCAATCAACTGCCTCTGCATAGGCTGCACACATAGGGCGATAGGCGTCAAGAGATGCTTATTTCCCCCCACTATGTACAATCCCACGGTTCCCACCTCCCGCCCTTAGTCCCCAGACTCCCCACGCACCCGCAACGACGGACCCAACCCTGTCCCGACTCGCAGCAGCCTCATGCGCCCCATTGTCCGTACCGTACGTGCTAACTATCCCAGACGTTCCTTGACGCAACCTTGTTTGTCACAGTCAGCCTTATCTCTCCGACGACCCCTTGGCCTCCCCTCCCCCGAATCCCCACCTCTCATTGGCAACATGGCACCCTGGCTGGGCCTTTGGAAACCCGACTGTGGCTCTCGCGTCCTCGAACCCGCGTTTGCATTATCATTCTTTCTCCGATTTCTTACCGTTGCCGTCTTTCTCGTCTCCATTTTGCCCAGTCCTTCAGCCAATAAACATTGTGACAGAACGGCTCTTCCCGGGACACGGCTTATTTCTTGTTCCCCACAGCCCAAAACGATGCAGCACTCGTCGATGGCTTGCCGTGTTTGGAATAAGGACTGACTCTTGCTCCTTGGCCGTGATCATGAAGCATATCTATTTATTTCCCTAGATGCCCTCTCCGGTGTGTCTCTGTTTCCTTGTCTGTGTTCTCTCAAGTGAAACAACAAAAGCGTGGCCGAATCCCTGAAGCTTGGAAGTTGGGCTCGGCTTTATCCTTGCTTCTTGGTCACCTACAGCACACGTACATACATCAGTAATCACCCAGCCTTTCCCCCCTTGACAACCACCCACATCCGAAAAGGAGCACAGCGTACTGCGACCTCGCGATAGTTGAGCTCTCTTGCCCGCCATGGCTTCGGATCCCATCCTTCCTTTGGGCGTGGGGTAAGACATTCCATTCCTCTCTCGCCTGTCTGTCTCGCCCTCGACGGCAACCAGGAAGACGTTGAAGTCTCGAGGCTTTCGACTTCCTACATGTAGTCACAACATGAACGCAACGAGAAAACGTCCGACTAACCCTTACCTCTCTTCCAGCTACGGCCTCATTCTCGGCCTAGGTTTCCTCTTCGCCCTCTTCATGATCGTCATCACATGGTGTCTCAAGCGCTACAACTATGAACTGCAAACCTCCGAAATGTTTACCACCGCCGGTCGCACCTTGAAATCAGGTCTCGTCGCCTCCTCCGTCGTCTCCACATGGACATGGGCTGCCACCCTCCTGCAGAGCTCCGGTGTCGCCTACCGATAGTAAGTTGACCGTTCTGTCATACGTGCGGACAAACAGAAAACGGACAGAAGAAAAAAAAAACCCTAACAAACACATCAGTGGTGTCTCCGGTCCATTCTGGTACGCCTCCGGTGCTACCGTCCAGATCGTCCTCTTCGCCACCCTCGCCATTGAGCTGAAGCGCAGGGCCCCCAACGCCCACACCTTCCTGGAAGTCGTCAAGGCCCGCTACGGCGCCGTCACCCACTCCGTCTTCATCGTCTTCTGCTGCTTCACCAATATCCTGGTGACGTCTATGCTCCTCACCGGTGGTGCCGCCGTAGTCGAGCACCTCACCGGCGTCCCGACCGCCGCCACCGTGTTCCTCTTCCCCCTCGGCGTCGTCGTCTACACCCTCTTCGGCGGTATCAAGGCCACCTTTATCACCGACTACTTTAACGCTCTCGTCATCCTGATTATCATCTTCGTCTTTGCCTTTACCGTCTACACCACGAATAACATCCTTGGTTCTCCTGCTGCCGTCTATGATATCTTGACCGATATCGCTAAGGAGCGTCCCGTGGATGGTAATGCTGGGGGCAGCTACCTCACCATGCGCTCTCAGGGCGGTGCCGAGTTCTTCATTATCAACATTGTCGGCAACTTTGGTACCGTTTTCCTTGACAACAGCTACTATAACAAGGCCATTTCTGCTTCTCCTGTGCATGCTCTGCCCGGCTATATCATGGGGTGAGTTGCAAATTTGCCCCCCCCCCCCCCCCTGCGCAACCCTTCCGACGTTCCGTGTTCATGGAATCATCGACTGACTGTTCCAATAGTGGCATCTCTTGGTTCGCTGTTCCCTGGCTCACCGCTACCACCATGGGTCTTGCTGCCCTTGCTCTCGAGCGCTACGACGTCTTCCCTTCCTTCCCTGACCGTATGCCCGATGCCGATGTCACCGCTGGTCTCGTGCTTCCCAACGCCGCCGTCGCATTGCTCGGTACGGGCGGTGCTGTGGCCACGCTCTTCCTTGCAGTACGTCCACCCCCCCTTGATGTTGTTGATTTCCACATCATAGAAAACAAACCCCTAACACTTCTTAGTTCATGGCCATTATGAGCACCTACTCCTCCCAGCTGATCGCCATCTCGTCCATCTGCACCTACGACATCTACAAGACCTACATTAACCCCGCCGCCACCGGCCAGCAGCTCATGCGCACCAACTACATCGGCATGACCATCTTCGCCCTCTTCATGGCCGGCTTCTCCACCGCCCTCTACTACATCGGCGTCTCCATGGGCTACCTCTACCTCCTCATGGGCGTCATCATCTCCTCCGCCGTCGTCCCCGCCACCCTGACCCTCACCTGGTCGGGCCAGTCCTGGGCCGCCGCCACCTTCGCCCCCATCCTCGGCCTGACCTGCTCCCTGATCGGCTGGCTCGTCACCACCCACGTCACCTACGGCGAGTTCTCCGTCGGCACCACGGGCTCCAACACCCCGATGCTGGTCGGCAACATCGTCGCCCTGCTCTCCCCCCTGGTGTTCGTCCCGATCCTCACCTACCTCCCGCCCTTCAAGCCGCAAAAGTACGACTGGCAGTCCATGCTCGAGATCCGCAAGGTCGACGACCACGACATTGCCGACTCGGCCCACGTCGACCTGGAACTCGTCCCCGGAAATAGCCGCGGCGCCGCCACCGAAGCCGCCGAATCTACCCCTGCCACCGCCGCTGCTGCTGCTGCTGCCGACGAGAAGGCCAAGCTCGACAAGGCGGCCAAGATCGCGCGGTACCTCTGCATCGGCCTCACTCTCGGCTTCCTCATCATGTGGCCCATGCCCATGTACGGCACCGAGTACGTCTTCAGCAAGGGCTTCTTCACCGGCTGGGTCGTCGTGGGGATCCTGTGGCTGTTCGTCTCGAGCGGCATGGTCATCTTCCTTCCCATCTTCGAGTCGAGGAGTACCATTGCCCGGACTACGCGCGCCATGTTCTCCGACTTGCTCGGCTTGGGTAGAAAGCGGGCTGTTGAGGTTACGCATGGCAGGAGCATGCCGGGTGAGGCGACCCCTCCGGAGGGAGAAGTCTCGGAGAAGGTGGCAGAGAAGAACTGAAGGAGGATGGCTCCGGGAAGTTGAAGCAGGAGAAGAAGTACGGGATACCCCGGGGTTCGGAAGGATGATAGACTTCATGTTTTCTCGTCCTTTGACGTTCGGTGTTGATTCATTCGTCTAGATTTGATATTTAAGATACCTCGACCGTTTTATAGTCTTTAATCGAGCTTTTAGTACAGATTATATTCAGGCCAAACATGGCACTTAGTCAACGACATGCCCCTCGTCCTGCCTACCTACCTACGTCTTGAGGATGTCGGCAGCGACGACAATACCCCTCGCCGTACGACCAACCCACTCCTGGGCGACGCTAAAGTCCCCATTCTCGGCATACTGCACCCCCTCAGTGATGCCGGGGAACGTGACAGCAGCGTACCCGGTATCGAGACCCGGGGCGGTGACGACGTGCCTGTAAAACTCGCGGTCGGGGAGACCCCCCTGCGAGATGAAGCCGCGCTGGAAATCGCGGTACTTGCGGTTCACGACCTTCTTGAGGTCCTCGTCCCCGCGGGAGACGGCGAGGCGCTCGAGGGCTTTCGCCTCGTCGGCGCTCCGGCGGAAGTGCTCGATGGCGGCGTCCAGCTCGGAGAGGTCGAGGTCGGCGCCCTGCTCGGCGGCGTACTCGGCCAGGTCGTCGTAGTAGGCGCGCAGCTCGACGGCGTAGTTGGGCACGTCGATGGGGAGGATGTCGTCGGTGGCGAGGTGGTAGACCAGCAGAGCCAGGTACTGGCCCTGCGACGCGTGCAGGTGGAAGCCCGGGTCGCCCCAGGTGGCCATCCAGTGGTAGGTGTCGTAGTTGGAGTGGTAGTGCCAGATGGGGTCTGTGCGGCCGCCGCTCGAGCCGATGTCCAGGGAGCTGACGCCGCGGTGGAGGAAGGGCGTGTAGTCCGAGCCCGAGCCGAGGACGCCGACGAGGCCGCCCGAGGCCTCCTCCCAGGCGGAGTAGAGGGTCTGGTTGAAGGCGCCGAAGCTGGGGTGGATCACCTTCTTCATGGTTTCGGTCGCGAGCTTGTGCAGCTCCGGGGTGCCGCCCAGGTTGGGCCGAGGACCGCTGACGGCGACGTCCAGGTTCAGGTAGGCCACGAGGTTCTCGGTCAGCCAGACATCGTGCTCCTCGACCCATTCGGTGGAACCAATCAGGCCCCATTCCTCGGCGTCCCACGAGCCCAGAGCGATGTTTCTCTTGGGCTGCCATCCGGTGGTGGTGCGGAGGTGGTTGAGGGCCTTGGTGAACTCGATCAGGACGGCAGAGCCGCTGTTGGGGTCGCCGTTGCCGCCGATCATCCAAGTGTCTCTGTGGTTGCCGATGAAGATGGTCTCGTCCGACTCGGTGCCGTTGATCCAGCCAATGACGTTGTGCACATCCTTGAAGGCGTCTTCGACTTCGGTGTCGAGATTGAGCTTGACACCGGGAGCGGGGCCGGTGAAGTAGCCGGCGTCCAGGCCGCCCACCCAGTTGGTGCGGTTGACTTGCTCGCCCGAGACGCCATGGCCTTGGAGGGCCTGCAGGAGGGGCTCGGCGGCGCCATAGGAGATGGGAATGGCGGGGATGCGGGAGATGACGTCCGAGATGTCGGCACGGGGAGCATCCTTGTGCGAGGGATAACCAGGGGTGGTGGGATCTCCGGGGCGAGTGGAGAGGAAGAGAGTCGACCCCTTCTGCTGAGCGTTTGGGTTTCTCGCAGGTCCATCTGCGAAGGGGGGCGGCTGGTTAGCGAAGGCGATGTCTGGGGATCATTGAAAAAGTTCCACGTACCGGGATAGGCAGCATAGCCATTCGCTACGGTGACTTCACCGTCATCGCCAGGGTCGAGGAAGATGACGGCACCAATGGCGCCAAAGTCCTGGGCGTTCTTGACCTTGAGACCGCGGAAGAGTCCGCCATAGCGAATCAGAGCGATCTTGCCCTCGACGGAAACGCCGAGGTCGACGAGAGCTTGGAAATCGTCGATTGAGCCACGGCTATCAAGTCATGTTAGCTGAAAATATCAACCCGGTGAGTTCGTCATGACAGCAGGAATCATGATCGAAACAGCGGTGAATGTGAGGTTAAGGAAGAAAGAGGCTTACCCGGCATAGACGTATTCGGCGCTGGCCGAACCACCAGCAGCATAGCCGAGGAAGGTCTGCTGGCTGACGGCGTCCCAGCCAGTGACCTCGTCCTCCTCGAGAACGTCCTCCTTGATGTTGACCTCGGAGGTGTTACCCTCGGCGTCGGTGAAGGTCAAGGAGGTGGAAATGGGATAGCGGAGGAAGACGTTGTATTCGTTGAGGTGGGCGTCGAAGCCGTTGGCGGCCCACTGGTCACGAGTCCACTGCGAAAGGTGTTAGCTGTGAAGGAAGAATAAAGGAAACCAAGGACAGCTCACCTCAGCGGCTTCCTTGCCGAAGCCGGCCAGCTTATCCTGACGACCATAGTAGTAACTCCACTGGTCGATGGTGATGTTGTCAAAGCTGTTGACGAGGATAGCCTCGTGCTCGGACAGCACAGGCGGCCACTGTTCGTCACGCTTGGCAAGGGAGAGCGGCTGGCGGTGAGTGCGCTTGAGGAGACTGTTGAAGTCGGGAGCGCAAGCGGCAGCGCCGGCCGCGAGACCCAGGAGGGCAGAGACCTGGGTGGTACGCATTGGTGATTTGTTCGACCCCTAACTCGACTCGAGTATCGTCAAGAAGATGTATCCTGCCAGGCGAGGGCGAGAGGATGTGGGTGGGGGGAGAAAGGACAAAGGACGAGGGACCAAGGACCAGATGGTCGACCGCCGACATATATATTTGACGCATTTGTGTGTGAATACCTGCCAATGGTATGAGACGCTGAACGACAAGGATGTGGTCACTGGCCAGTGATGTGATTGATTCGGGGGTGACATACCGAGGGGACGGAGTACGTTGTAAGCTCGCACGAACATCCGGTCAATGGGTCAATGGGTCAATGGGTCAATTCGTGTGGCCATCCAGATTCCCAGACCTTCGGCCTTGGAAGCCGGGTAACTGATTGCATTATGGGTGTCCCCCCAGCTGCTGAGGCTGCGTGCGACTTCTCCTCGCCCTCTCTCTGTGAGGCTTCTGATTTGTCTTCACCAGAAGCTGTATTCCGGGGAAGTGAGAGGTGGATTCGACTTCCTAGAGCTACCGGCAATTGTTTGTGTCGTCATAGGCACGAGTAACCAAAGGCTTGGCACACTCGTCGATAGCGGCCGTTTAAGGAAGCTCGTTGAGTAGGACAAGGGTTCAACAAAGGCCGGCATGCGGGACCCGAGAGCTGTGGCTGCTGGATTCTGGATTCTGCGATTCTGGGCCGATGGGGAAGCAAGCTCGACTTTTGACCTGCCCGATCCGTGTTCGCGTTGGTGGGGTAATTGGGAACCGAGAGGAGAGAGGAGCTGGTGGGGAGCTCAGACGAGAGGCCGACAATAAGAGAGCCCGACGGTTGATCGGACTCACTCTGTTGTTGGTGGTGGAGGGAGAAGAGACGAAGACTGGTGAAAGCGGTGGAGATGTGGGTGGTGGGGTTTTCGTTTTCCAGGTTTGTCATCAACCCTAAACCCGCTATTCCCCGCACACTAAGGTAGCCGTCGCTAGCAGTAACTGCCGTGATCCGTGTCTTGGTACGTATGGATTACTTCGGCACTCCTGAATTCGTACGAAAGGGCTTCGTATGGAAAGTACGAGTACTTGAAGTGATTGATATCTCCTATTGGTTGTTTGATTGCCCACTTACATAAGGTACTTACATGCATCCCCGCACCAAGGCTCTTAGTCATTCTAAACGTCATCTGGCTCGGGATAGTGCGAATGACGGTCAGTTGTGATTGGTTGAAAGCTCATACCTCTTCCCCACGGCCTCCAGTCTTGAGCTTCCACGTCCTCGTGAATTCTTCACAAACACCAACGAACCCAACAAACGTCCGGTCTGCAAAAGAGCCCAACCACAACTGAACCGAACCGTTACCGAGCCCTTCCATGGAACGTAGCTGCATGACACCCCTGCCAGCACGCCATAATAGGAAGCTGCGACGAAGATTGGGTCACGTTCATGGGCTGATTGATTGAGGGCATTTGAAGCAGAGGAATGAATTCGAACGATCCCTTGACATCGAAGGCATGAACTGTCAATGGAGGGTGGGGTCGTTCGTCATTGCCCCTCGGATCCCGTCATCAGTTTGGCAGTTGTGAACTGTACTAATACAGAGAGAGCACGACACGAAGCACGCTCGGCCGTAGCGAAGACGAGAGACTAGGACGGACGGACGAAGAAGAATTCCATAATCACGGCCGAGCGCCCCGGAATCATGTGGTCATGCAACGCTGAGACTCTGAGAGTCCTTCCAGGGCCTTCCCATCGTCTCTACCAGACATGATTTACTTCGTACGCATCTAACACAACCTCACGACCCCAGGTCCCTACACATAAAGGTCGTCCTGATCTCCATCCAATGACGCCCATATCGATCAGGCACATCGCCATAATAGCCCGGCACGACTTTCAAAACCCGATAGCCTCTCCGAGCATACCATTCCTCGTTTGACATCTACGAAACCGCCCTGATTAGTCTGGTTTCCCTTCGTCTCCGAACAGGCATAGGCATGCATAGGCCTAGGCATGCATCGTTGTTCTGTCACTCTCACCTTGGCCACCCGACCGTACATGGCAAGGGCGTAATCCTCTCGCAGCTGGTCGTCCTTCTGCACCGTGTCCAGGACGAGAACCCGCGCGTTCAGAGGCGGTCTGCTAGCCATGCCCTCTGCGGCGTCCATGGCCGCTCGTCCCAGCCCGCCGTTCTGCAGCGCGTCGGACACGTACATGGCCTTGATCCACATCACGCCGGCCGACGGCAGGTCGAGGTCGAGGTCCCTTGCAGCCGGGTCGTCCTTGGCGAGGGAGATGTGGCCGACGGGGACGAACGAGGCCAGCTTGGGCTCACGAGCGGTCCGAGGGACGAACGTACTCTGGCCTGTGTCCTTCAGGGGGAGCTTCTCCTGTTGGCACGTAGTACGCCTTTAAGTTTCCGTTCAACATGGAAAGGGGGGGGGGAGAGGAAGATTCGCATGTCACCGCCAGTGACCACTCACGCTCGGATACTTGGCAATATGCCTACTCAACCGGGTGTCGAAGTCTGGATCATCGGGCGAGAGGACCTGCCGCAAAACCAAAACGCACGTTTGATGAGAATGTCGAAAATATGGAACGACGACCCGACCAGAACCCCGGGGAAGACACTAGGACAAGTGGTCGGGTTACTGTAGCCAAGAGGGGGGGGGGGCTTACAATCCAGAAAATGCTCTTTTGGCCTGCCAACTGCTCGTCCTTCCACTCCGAGGCCACCCTCTCGGCATTCCACCCGCACGCGATCCTCTGTTGGATCAGCCTCTCCACGTGCTCGTCCGATTCTGGGTCCCAGGGCATGAGATGGCACTTCATGTTGACAGCCGTTGCTCCGTTCATCGGCCAAGCACAACTGGTTACTTGTCTTGTTGGAACCATTTGGACAAGGGGACAAGGACCCTGAAGCGATGAGGATGTTCGTCGCATTGCTTTTCACCCATGGAAAGCAAACGGAGACATCACGTGTGATTCGAACGAAGGATCCGCTTACCTAAATCCCGCAGGAGCAAATTAAAGCTGACACGTTGCCGATACCGATGCCGAGGCCGATGCCGATGCCGACGCCGCTGTCGATCGGGCCGCCTGAATCCTGATCACAGCCCCCAGTGCCGGCAAAGGCAACATCTCAGAACCACTCCCAACAGTGTCTGTTCTGTTTATTTCAAAAAACAAAAGGCCCAAATATAAGTACGGCGACAGGAGCAATCCCCGAGCTTCAGCATGGCCATAACATATATTCATTCATCCGTTCATCTACTCATCGTTCATCTACTCATCCATTCATCCATTCATGTATATATCCATCATGTCCATCTTACAACTCCCTCACAAACCCCATCGCGGCTGAGTGTTCCCCTCCTCATCCCGGAAATGCAATGACCTGACATTCGATTCTATAAAATCACAGCTCTTCTGCCTGAAATTGTCATCCAAAACGTCAGACCGATCGTTAAAGAACCAAGCCAACCTGGGTCTCTCCGGCCGCCACTCAGGCCACGCCGGGAAACCACGGACCCCGACGTTCGGGTCCAAGTTGTGCACAAAGTTAAAGTAATACGTCTGGATCGCCCGGCTCGCGTAGTTGGGCAACACGCCATAGAAGACCTGCAAGAGGTCCGACCCATGGAACGTGCCCAGGAACGGCAACCCCTGGTTATAGCTCGCAAGGTACGACCACGCCTTGACGGACGGGTTCGCCGTCTTGGCCGCCTTGAGGAACACGCGCCTCGTCAGCGTGAAGACCAAGTCGCCCAGGACGGCCGCGTTGCGCTTGAACCCGGGATACAGAACGTTCAGAACCCCCGTGCGGAAGGGCGACCCCCGGCTCGGGCGCCACGAATACGTCGCCACCAGATCCGTCAGGTCCTTCCTCGACGCCCCGTGGAAGAACAGGTCCGAGAGGTACCCGACGAGCTGCGACGACGTGGCGACGTTGCGCTGGAACAGCGCGAAGAGCGTCCCCTCGTCCTCCTGGTTGCCGCTGATCATCGGCACCGCCGCGTACCTGCCCTCCGCGACGAGGAGGTCGGGGCTCTTGGTCAGGATGTCCCCGTCCGGGCGCGGCAGGTAGGACAGCGCGACCGAGTGGTAGGACACGATCCCCGGCACGGAGTTGGCGGCGCGCAGGAACGTCTCGTAGTCGAGGTTGCGCAGGCAGGCCAGCGAATCCGGCGCCCCGGCGCACCCGGCCTTGGAGGCGACCAGGTCGTACACGGCCTGCGCTTTCGGCGCGTCCACGTCCTGCGTCGGCACGATGGAGCCCGAGTTCATGATGGCGCCCCTGAACAAGGGGCGCCCCTTGTACGTGTTGTCGCCGTCGTACGCCACCATCATGTCCAGCACGGAAATCGCCCCCGCGCTCTCCCCCCAGATGGTCACCTTCCCCGGGTCGCCGCCAAAGGACGCGACGTTGTCGGCGACCCATTCCAGCGCCATGCGCTGGTCGCGGAGCCCGAGGTTCGCCGCGCCGTCCGCCAGCACTTCCGCGCCGGGGAGGAACCCGAACCCGCCCACGCGGTAGTTGATCGCCACGAAGACGAACGGCTGGCCCGTGTTCTTCGCGTTGCTCAGCAGGCCCGTGGCGTCGTACATGGACGACGACCCCAGCTGAAACCCGCCGCCGAAGATCCAGACGAGGACGGGGAGCTTCGCGTCGGCGGGTACCCCGGCGGGTCTCTGCACTGTGACCGTCAGGCAGTCCTCCCTGCCGTTGACGACCTGGAAGAGGGGCAGGGTGAGAAGGTCGCCCAGGACGTCGAGGAGGGTGTTCTTCGCGTCGGTGGAGAGGAACATCTGCGGACAGGCGGCGGCGATGCCCGTGGCGTCGAAGCGGTCCAGCGTGCTGTTGAGACGGATGGGCGGGCGGAGGCGGAGGGGGCCGACGGGCGGTTCGGCGAAGGGGATGCCGGCGAAGGTCTCGATGCCGGCGAGGGAACGGCCGATGACGGACCCTGCGGGCGACGTGACGGTGACCTTGGTGAATCGAGCCTCGAGGTTGGGCGGCGTGGCGGGGACGGCTTGGACGGAGCTGAGTTGGGCGAGGAGCCCGGCGGCCAGGGGGAAGAGGCCAAGCTTCATGGTGGCGGTTGGGGGAGAGATGAAGCAAGATGGAGTGCAGATGGGAGGGGGGACAGAGCCAGACAGAGCGAGACAGAGCCGGACAGACAGCAGCCCGTATTTCAAAGCCGCTATAACGGCACGGATCAGATGGAAGCTCTGTGTCCGCTGTGGTCCGTCTGAACACAGGCTCGTAAGACTGGAACGAGATAATATTTCTTGCAGATCAGTTCTCTACGTGACCTTTATATACTCATGAGTCTCCGACAGAGCAGCCATGTGGACCATCATCCCGGCTCCCTGTTCCTGTGGTAAATAACGGCAATCCTTGAAGAGAAGACTGCAAGCCGGGTGTTCGACGCGGTTCGATGCGGGGCAGATTCCGATCTTCGAGGAGGAGGAAACAAACTTCAAAGTCCGGAATGCGTACCAAGTCGAGCTCGAAGCTGTTGACAGACATTTGTGTTAACTACATGTACGGATGCCAATGTCCAGCTAGACACGAGGCCGGTCAAAGATCCTCATCTGGGAATGCCCTCCGTACCATAGTCCGGGGACTGGTCGTATTTCCCCACGGGGGAGAGGCGGGAGCATCTGGGGATGATGGTTGAGAGATCAGGGAAGTCCGGGGGTCCGGGGAGCGATGTAACCTGTAAGATCCAGTCATGGTGGTATAACATTCTCGAAAGCAATATGATGGCGGTGAAGGCACATGGGAGAAAGCACATGTTGAAAACGAGCAGAAATTTGAAGGGAATTTGGGGTTATAAGGTCGCTGAGCCGAGGTATGACGGGACTCGTGACCGGGGGGGGGGCGACGGGATACTAAGGTAGATAGATACGACGTAAGGTATAGAACAGCTCAACAGTACGTTGTAGGCTAAGGCGGGTCATGAACTCTCCCTATCACGCCATTGTAAAAAGAAAGAAGAAAAGGAAAGCGCCGAGAGAACGAGGTTGGCGGGGTTAGGTTCGACAAGGGGGTAGATCATGTAAGTTGATCACTCGATCGGCATCCTTTGCACCCACTTACAGTAATTACTACACCACGTTTGATTTAGTCGATGCGGGGGATCATTTTGATAGCGGACCTTGATTCCGTAGCTTTGTGATTGCGTCGAGCTGTTACAGGGGTTACGGGGAATATAGGGGCTAGCTCTGAAGCTGCGGTGATGCGATGGGTTGGTGGAAGTACAAGTGAGTCTTGGTGTTTAGACACCAAAGGAAGAAAGAATCACAAATAACAGCCAAACATAACAAATCAAGACGGGAAGTCCAGGGTGCTGTTACGCTTTGTCGTTGAGCCCATATAAGGATGGATCATGGACCAGTATGGGAGAAAAAAGAAATCGACGACTTTGGACCACAGCCAAGTCAGACCGCGAGCATCTCGCTGTAGTGTAGCACAGCATCTCTACGAGGTCTTCCCTGGTCAGCCAATTGGGATGGGAAAACGGCCCAACTTGGCAAAAGCGTGGTGGCCCGCGTGACGAACCGCCCGTCGGACGAAGCCCCAAATCGGGGATCGAGTCCACAGGGGGGTGTAAATGGTCGGCTTTTCCCCAGAACGAGCGAGTTTCTCCATGTCAACAGAAATATTAAACAACATGACTTTTGCCGATAAAAGCATGTGAAAGAAGCTCAGAGGCGGGACGGAGGAAGAAGGGCGAGGGACAAAATGGAATATGGATGGAAAAGAAATCATTCCCATTCTTCCGCTTGTCCGGTCACTCAACATATCGTCGTGATTTCCTACAAGTTATAACAAGTAGCCATCCATCATTGCCTTCAAGAAGACACAGATCTAAAGAAATCGGCAAGTAAAAGTATAGAATCCCTCCTAGTCGCTAGTCATGCCAAAAGAAGCCAAATCATCCCCTTTCCCAATGCCCTGGCACCGAGATTCGCGCCCATCAAAAGTTTCGTTGGCCACTGTTCCGAGTCCGATGCATTGCATCACATCGTCTATGCTCGTGAATGCCGCGCCCTTTGAACACCTATTTGCGCCATTGACGTGTTGTTTTGTTCCCCCCTGGTTGTCGTTCCCTCGTAGCATATCCTTGTCGTAGTTTTAAAGCCCATCGTGACATCCTCTCTCGTCAGGCCAGTATGGAAGCCGGCACCTCTCCCCTCTCGCCCGGCCGGCTCGCTTCCGCGTCATACCGCGGTCCATCCCGCCGTGCCTTCTTGGGCGGCGTGGGAGATTCCGTATCCCCGTCTTCCTCGTTCACGGCGTCCCGACGCCGACGTCGTGCGGGGTTGCCGCCCACGCCCTTGGGATCTTCCGAGACAGGTTCATCCGACGACGTCTCCTCGCCCTCGTCATCGAAACCGCCGCCATTCACGCGCTGGGCCAGGATCTCCCGCTGGAAAGACATGTCCGTCCACTTGCGCTTGCGCGACCCCAACATGTCAATGTTCTGCTCGTCAAAGTCGCCCACCAGGTCTCTGCCCAGCGCCTTCCCCAACCTCTCCTTCAGCCCGAGGACCGGCCAGAAGGGCACGCGGGTGTACTCGATCCGCATACCCCGGTCCAACTCCGGCGTGGTAGCTGCTTCCCCACCGGCGGCGGCCCCCCCGCGCGGACGCGGTGCTTTGGTCGGCTCGTGGAACCTCTGCAGGAACGCGGCCGTCACTACCGCGGTATACACGGTGAAATGGCCACCCGCGTCGTCGTTGGTGACGAGATGCACCTTGACGTCGTGGAACTCGGGGGCCGTCTCCGGGCTCGACGGCGGGGTGCGCAGGGCGTGGTTTCGGCGCCAGACAAGCGGCACGTTAGGGTAGAAGCGGGCCTGGGCCATCGCGAGGAAGACGGCCCCGAAGATCGCCTCTTCGTCTCGGACGGACGGGACCAGCCGGTTGATGCGCAGCGCGCAGAGGCTCTCCACCGGCACGTTCATCGAGCCACCCGGGGCGGGCGCGATGCGGAACATGGCGGACCGCGAGCCGTAGATGAACCGCCGGCTCATGTACGCCACCGTGGGGTGTCGCTGGGCGGCCGCCGGCTGGCTCCCCGTCATGCCGGACAGGGCCGGGTCGGCCGGGCAGGTCGAGACGGTACGGAAGGAGTCGACTGCTGCCTCGCCGCCGTCCAGAGGCAAGCAGTTCCACGCGAGCTGGACGCGACAGACGTTGGGATAGGGGCGACCGCCAAAATAGAGCGGGAGGTCCATCATGTCTCTGGGCGGAGCGGACGTGAGCCTCGAAGCAGGGTACAGCGTCTCGATGACTTCCCGAATGTGGTCGGTGGCGTACATCCTCCCAAACTCGGGGAATTCGAGGCGTGTGAGTTCTTCGCAGAGCCGTTGTGCGCGGGGAGACGCCTTGTGGGATCCTTGGGCGACATGAGGGACGTCGTCCGCCGGTTTTTCGACGAACCGGATCCCCAAAACGCGGGAGTGCAGATCGGTCCAGCAGAGCGGGCGAACGAAAAGCGACTCGCCCGCATTTTGTCGCATGAGGTCGTAGAGGGAGCCTTCCTCGGCACGATAGACCCTACGCCGTGCGCATCGTCTCGGACGACTCGGAGATGGTCGACAAGTGGGAAGGGACCGAGGAGGTGATGGTGAGGGAGTTGGAGAGCGAGATGGGGACGGGGGAGCTTGCGTTGGTGTCGTGGCCTCTGGGGACGAGGTCGCTGGTGTGGCGGATACCGCCGACTCGGGCGTTGAATTGATATCGACGTCACTAGACTCTTCGGACTGCATGTCGGGTGGCATGGCTCTCGAAGAGCTGCCGTAGAAGCGACGAAAGAAGCTATGGGTATTCCGCAGGCTACTGTACGCGACGGTGTCAGCAGTCGGTCAGTCATGCAGGCTAGGCAACGGAGCGCCACCATGGGTTGCTGAAGACGGTGTCTGGCGTACTTACTCTACCACAAGCATGTTACGGGCTGTCTGTTGTTGCGGGAATGAAGGGCGCCACGGGATATAGATCGCTTCTGCTTGATGGTAAGACGCGCCCCAACGGCGCGTTAAATAAGACGATATGTGGTGTCGATGTGGTCGGGCAATGGAGATGATTGTCGATGACCAGAATAGAATCAAGGAGAGACGCGCGCGCCCGTTATAGTAGACGGGTCGTGTGCCGTCTTTGAACGCGTCGTCTAATTTGAGAGACAAAGAAGCTCGTTTTGCGCGCGATGTGTGTGGAATGCTTCAGTGTCATGAAAGGACGCGACCCGAGAGGACTTTGGCCCCCCCATAATAAAGACAAAGCGGAGGGGCAAAAAGGTTGGGCCGCGGGCGCGTGGAAAGTGCGAAGTCACGTGCTCTAGGCAACAAGCCCCAGTTCCGGTTATGGCCACTGTGGCTGTTACGGTGCGTGGCAAATGTTCAAAGCCTCGGATCTCAGGCAGCTTCAGCCTTGCGCCTTCTCACTGTGTGGCTTAGTCAGCGGGACATGGAGCAACAACCAACAACAACGTCAGCGGGACCCCACCATTGACATCCACCATTGACGTCCTCACCACCAACGGTGCTACCGGCACTATTTACAGTGGCAGCACCTCCCTACTCTATACCATCACCACCTTGGCCTGCCCATCCATCCAATTCTCTCAACCACATTTGCGCCGGCACACACTCTTATCAGCTTGACAATATGCCGGTATGTCTCTTCTCACTCAAAGTCCTCAATAGCCCGTGGTGCGAGGAGTAGCTCTCTTCCTTCTCCTGACCTACACCTACACCTACATCTACACCTACCCACATGCCTCCAACAACACTCAGCTAACGACTCAAGGCCTACAACTCCATCTTCAACACGGACCCCAACGTGCCGCGCCTAATAGGCAACTTCCCCCTCCTCCCCCTCCGCACCAAGACCCGGGGCCCCGCCTACGTGCTTCCTTTCCCCTCCCCGCCGCTGCCCGCCTCCGAGTCCCCCGACCCGGACTCGGAGAGCTACGACATCGTCGACGAGATCCTCGCCCTCTTCCGCGCCAACACCTTCTTCCGCAACTTCGAGCTCCAGGGCAACGCCGACCGCCTGCTCGTCTACGGCATCTGGTTCCTCTCCGATTGTTTGACCCGCATCAAGCCCTCTGCCACCTACCGCGACGCTACCAAGGATGTCATGAACCTCGCCCTCGATACCAATTTTGCTATCCCTGGCGATCCGGCGTGGCCTCTTAACCAGGTGCGTTTTGTCGTCCTCCGGGCGTGCTGAAAAGAAAGAGAAACCGAAAGAAAAAAGAAGAAGAAAAGGAATGGAGCAGGAGGAAAAAAAGGAAAACAAAAAAGGCTAACAGGGCTACCCATCTAGATGTACGAACCCCCCCGCGACAGACACGAAGCCGAACAACTCCGACAGTACATGTCGCAGCTACGGCAGGAACTGGCCACGCGGTTACTGGCAAGGGTGTACCAGGATACCGAAGACAAGCCGAGCAAGTGGTGGTTGAGCTTCACGAAGAGAAAGTTTATGGGCAAGTCGCTGTAATCGAGTGCGCGTGCGGGTGCTTGCTACGACATTATCCCTCGAAAGAACTCCAAATCGAGGAATGCTCAAGTCCACCTTGAGACACTGCACGAATGGGGAGACAACCAAAGCCACACACACCACAACCAGTCTTTAGTAAAGTCCATGGGGGGGCCTGTCTAGACGACATACGAAGCGGTCGAGAAGAGGTCTTTTTGAGCAAAAGTGTACATACCGCTAGGCATGCTAGTTCTATTGTCTTTTTTCGTCTTCTGCTTTCCCGTCTTGACGCCACAAGGGGGGGGTATCTTTACGTCCATCTACCCGTTACACTTTTCGTTCGTCCTCCGTCCTCCGTCCTCCGTCCTCCGTCCTTCGCCCTTCATCCGCCCTTATAGAGTCCTATGCGCCGCATCCTATGTCATGAGAATCAAAAAGAAAAAGAAATGGACAAGAAAAGGGACAGCAACCCCAGCCATCCCCTTCAAACCTCCGTCTTTCTCCTCTTAAACTTCCCCCGGGCAGCCACTTTGCCCTCGGCCGGGACAGCCCGCCACGCAGTAAACAGGAACCCGTCGGCACCCCCCCGACCCATCATCAGGGGATGCGTCCGCCCAGGGAGAACCTGCCACCTCTTCGCCCGGCTCGTCTGCACACTACACCCCAGCAACAGCGTCGGGTTAACCGGGAAATCCTCCGAGCCAGGCCACCTCTCGACCTCCTCGGGCGTCATCCCCTCCGTCTCGGCGGGCGGGTTCGACGACCAGGCCGCCCGGCGCGCTATGCTAAAGCAGTCGGCCAGCTGCGTCAGCGGCTCGATGGTGGCCGAGTAGACGGCCACGGGGCTGCCGCCGGCGAGCAGCGGCAGCGCGTGGCGCACGACCGAGATGGGATCCATGGTGGTGGCGACCACGAGCCCCGCGAAGCCGCCGGCGCGGGCCTGGTCGACGACGAAGCGCGTGCGGGCCCAGCGGCGCCGCTTGCGGTGGTGGTTCCCCCTGCGGTTGGACTTCCACGAGAGCACCGTCTCCTCCGGCACGTCGGCGGGCAGGGTCGTGTAGGTGGTGTCGGAGGCCGGGTCGAGGAGCTGCAGCCACGAGACGGGGTGGAGGTGGCGGAAGAGCGGGTGGCTCTGGGCCTGCGCCCCGGCGTGGGGAGATGCTATGTCGAAGTTCCAGTACCGGAGGAGGGCGAGGTTGGGTTGGCTGGCGGGGTGGATGAGGGTGATGGAGTTGGAGGAGGCGAGGTCGATTTCGAAGTCGTCTCGGTAGGTTCGTGACGGACGTTGCGGCGCAGTGGTCGTCGTCGTCGTCGTCGTCGTCGTCGGGACCGTCCCATGACCAGCTTCGGAACCCTGCTCGGCAGGCGTATGATGGAGTATCCCCATCCTCTCCGCCATGGCAGCCACCACCAGACCGCCCGTATCATCCACCACCAACCACCTCCCCCCCAGGGCCGCCACATCCCCCACAGCAGGCCTCCCATCGCGCGGCACCAGCCTCGTCTGCTCCTCCTCCCTCCTCCCCGCGAAATGCACATTCGCCCAACACCCCAACAGCGCCAACATCTCCTGCCTCATCTCCAGCACTTTCGACGCCTCCTTCTCCTCCAGGATCCACTGGCCGAGGGTGGACGGGTACAAGGGCGCCACGGAGAAGCGGCGCAGGTACTTCCTCGTCTTGAGGATCTTGTACTTGGCGAGGCTGAAGGACGTCTTGTCGGCCAGCCCCGTGTGCGAGAGCATGAGGCGCGTGATGATGGCTTTCCCCGCGTCCGTGTCCTGCTGCTTCTTCAGCGCCTCGATCTCCTCGTGCGTCAGCAGCTGCCGCGCCTGCGCGTCGATGGCGTCGCGGCCCGACCGGGCCAGCACGTCCCCGCTCGTCCGGTCCACCAGGGTGTAGTCGGCGCCGTCGCGCACGGCGATGATGTTGTCGGCTGCGGAGCCGCTGTCCTCCGTTTCTCCTCCGACCGCTTCGATGTCGGGGTCATCATCTTGGGGAATGATGGAGGAAGAGGAGGAGTGGGCGCCGTCTTCTTCGGCGAGGACGTCGGCGTGGATCTCGGAGGCGGGGACGACGCGCAGGCGGTTGAATGTTTCGCCGTCGCGCTTGTCGAGGACTTCGTATGTGAAATGGTAAGGTCTGTCGATGATCAGGTTGCTTGGGAATGAGCCATATTTTCCGAGGGATATTGTGCTGGGAAGATCAGTTGGTCAGTTGGTCAGTTGGAACATCTCATGATGCAAACTCGAGCTCCTGCTGCTCGGGTAGACTGGGGAAGGACAGAAGGACAGAAGGACAGAAGGACAGAATGCGCTACGCACATATTAGGAACAACCTGGACGATGCGCACGCTCTCAGTAGGCAGCTTGATGGCCACCCACTCGTTATGCTGAACAACGGTATGCATCGTGCCAGTGCAGCAGGTGCAGCACGCCAGAGCTGGTCTGGTTTCTGCCGAGACAAATACGAGGTACTGGCGTGTAGAAGAATGTTGAGGGCGGGCTGACTAGAAGTTGAGCTGATGCATCCAAAGCAAAAGCAGAATAAGGCTGGGGTTAATTTGGTGATTTTTTCCCCTTGACTTTTCGAGACGCAGCAAGAGCAATTGCAATTGGTAAGGGAGGTACAAAGTACGAAGTACTGGCAGAATTGACAGGGGGCGGGTAGCCAATCGGCAGGACCGTAGCTGACCTAAATTCGGTGCAGTTTCAAAGGTACAGCGAGTCGTTAGTGGTCGACTCGGCACAGTAGGTACCCCGCACGCGGGGCTCAAAATTCTCAATTGGAGCTAGTCCGTGAATGGAAGAGAGGTTTCACCGAGCCTCACCCAGCCTCACCGACGCCCATAACTTGCATCTTAGGTAAGGTAGTTGGGGACACCAGCGAGTGTAATTATTACAATTCATTACTAAGGTAGACAGGCATTTTACCCAAGTACGAGTAAAAATAATAATAATTATAAATTGAAATAAGACTTTCGGTTTTCCAATGTCTACGTGCTATATTAATTATGAGGCAGTTCATTCTCTAGCAAACATGACGACCCTGGAGTAGATTTCAGATAATCCACGAAAAAGGTATGACCACGACGATGGCCAACATTATTCGTACACGCATAAGATGGCTTCACTTGCTTCACTTCGAGTAAGTACTCCATAAACCTCAATCATTGATTTCATTTATGTATTAACACTTCCATAAAAGGTAGAGGTACCGAAACACCCTGATCCAAAACTCAGAGCCTCATAATTACCCCGAGACATGCAGAAAAAGAAGAACCAAGTTTTATGCCATGATTCCAGACTCAAAATCCCGAAACACCCCAACACCGTGTCCTGCATACGCAATTGCTCATGCTTTTAGCCCTCCAGAACACGGAGGAACGAAACCCCCCCCCCCCCGAAAAAAAAGAAAAGCTTAATCAAAGCTTCTAGTTGGGCACACCCCACCGAGGCGCATTGATGATGATGCCCAGCAAGCCACCGCTGATGATACCGGCTACCGGCAGGGTGATGATCCAACCAGTGTAGATCCACCCGACCATCCTCCAGTTAATGGCCCTCCAGTCGCCGTTGCACAGACCGACGCCGACGGTGGCGCCGGTGATACACTGCGTGGTGGAGACGGGAAGCTTGAGCCGCGTGGCCATGATGATGGTGACGACGCTGCCGAGCTCGATGGAGAAGCCACGCGAGGGGGACTGCAGGGTGAGGCGGTTACCGAGGTTGCGCATGATGTTGTAGCCGTAGGTCCAGATGCCGATGACGATGGCGACACCTCCGAACGCGAGAATCCAGAGCGGCACGCTCGCCTCGCCCGCCGGCGGGACGGCGCCCGACTGCCAGACCTGGTAGATGGTCGCGTAAGGCCCGATGGCGTTGGACACGTCGTTGGCGCCGTGCACGAACGAGGCCGCCGAGGAGGTCATGACCTGCAAGAAGGTGTACAGGAACTCGGCCCGGTTGTCGAAGTGCTGCGCGCGCGCGTGCATCTCCTCGATGTCGCCGCCCACCACGTTCTTTTCGTTCTGCGAGCCGACGACGTCCTTGTCCACGCCACGGAGGACGAGGAACTTGAGGCCCCACCAGATGGTCTTTCCGGAATACCAGGGCGCGTCGGGCCGGGGTCCAACCAGGCTCTTGTGCTGGGGAAGGCGCTCCTCCTCCGGCGGCGGGATGCTGAGGGTGTCGCTCGGCGGCGACTGCTTGTGGGTGGCGTCGGCGGCGTTCTTCTCGGACACGCGCACGCCATTGCCGTCATCGTGGGCGTGCTGCGCCTCGATGTCGACGTTGGCAAGCACGGCCGAATCGCCGTTGGCTGCGACCTCGCGGGCACGGCGGGCGGCCAGTTGCTCGCGGTTCAAGCGGCCCTGGTAGAAGTTGCGTACGGGACCCTTGTAGTCGGCCGGCGCAGGAGGGACCTCGCCGCGGCGCAGCAGGAGCGGGCCCCGGAAGGCGTCGTACCACTTGAGCTGCCAGTCCTCTTTGATGACGACGCGGTAGAGCCAGGGGCAGAGGAACAAGGCGATCAGCAGACCCCAAGCAGCGCCGGCGGCGACGATAACGCCGGGGACCTGCTGTTCGGTCAAGTTCACCTCGTAGGCGCCGCCCTTCCAGATGAGGAGCATGGAAACGAGCATGCCGGTGACGGCGAAATATGCGGGGACGGCGAAGATGCCCTTGAGGGCCGGGTTGGAACGCAACAGGACCGTGTACTTGGTGACGGTGAAGATGAGGGCGGCGAAGATGCCGGCCAGGGCGGGGGCGATGATCCATGCGACGAAGACCTGGACGACGCCGCTGCTAATCTTGGCGGTGCCGGGGCCATCGGCAACCCACTGGACGCCCTGGGCGCCGAGACTGGCGACGCCCATACCGATGACACCGCCCATGATGGAGTGGGTGGTGGAGACGGGGAAACCGACCTTGGTGGCGAAGGTCAGGTAGGTGGACGAGGCGACGACGGCACACACCATGCCGAGCATCAGGAGAGCCGGGTTGTCGTCGAACTGGGCCGTGTCGACTACCTTGGTCCGGATCGTATCGGCAACACGGGCACCCACGCCAAATGCGCCAGCGAACTCCATCACGGAGGCGCCGCACATGGCCTGGAGGTAGGTGATGGAACGCGAAGCGACGGCGTTCGCCCACGAGTTGGCGACGTCATTGGCACCTAATGGTAATGGGGGAGAAACAGTCAGTCAGGAGGCTCAGCTCTGATTGTGGTTGTTTGTTTGTTTGTTTGTTTGTCGTGGGTTCTCAGCTTTCATGGTTGCATACCAATATTCCAGGCGTCTAGAAAGGCGAATATTGTGCCAAAGGCAAAGAGGTAATCATATTGGTGCATAACAGCCATGGTGGCGACTGGTATGGCTGACTTTTCCCTTGTCTCAACCTTCCGAGGGTAAGGTATATGACGTTGTCTGGAGGAGAGACAACTAAAAGAAGTCCGGTAAAGGTACTGGGGGCCAGACAGTGATGGACCGGGCCTCTGGGGGAAGAGGAGATGGGATGAAGGGGGAGGAGAATGAAATGACGATGATGGAATGGGAAGGGGAAGGAAGGAAAGGAGAGAGTTGAGATGGAATAGCAATATATAGGGGAAGCAGGAGGTACGGGAGTAGAGAAGTGATCGTGGGAGTCGGGACGGGGAGTTAGCTAGTAGTAGAGTAAGCAGCGGAGGGGAGGGGCAGTGGGCAGTGGGCAGGAGAGGAAGTGCAGTGCTCCGTACTGAGCACTTAGTCCGTCCGACTTGAGTGGGAGGGCTGGTGGGTAGACAGTACTGACTACTGAGTAGAGGGGCCGCGGGGCGGGGGCGGCAGCAATGTACGAAGCAGGAAGGGCCAGCCAGCCTACCTGACCGACCCTTCCACTTGAGAACACATTTGAGAGTACATCGTCGTGACTTGCCTCTTCCACAGTATGACGCGGGCAGGAAAAGAATCGTCAAAGTCTATAGAGCAGTAGGTATTACGATATGAGAAAAGCGGGAAGCTGCCACCGACCGAGGTCTATCCACTTCATCCAGTGGACCGGTCTTGTGACGGAGATGGCCGGGTGGATTATAGCGAGGTAGCTCGCTGAAGAAGAAGCAAAAAAGAAAGAAAAAAAAGCTAAGGCTGTTGGCGTAAAAGGCGATCAGCCCATGGACCCCCCAAACTAAACTGGTACGAAGGAGGTCCCTGGCTACTAACAAAACCATGTATTCATAGATCATGGGTAGTTGACGATCGAGGTCTTCGAATTCCCACACCAAGTCCACATATAGCTGGAAACGGAACAGTCCAGGGGGGGTGGATTGGTTCGGACGATTTGGCCATTCATGTCCGTACCTTATGTACCTACCTACCCGGGAGGGGGGGTTTATAGGTCAGAGCTCGGACAGAGACTTTTTCTCTGACTAGAGCCAGGACAGAGAAATTTCTGTCGACATGAGGTTCTAAGACTGTTGACAGACTGACCAGTTATCGGGCTCTGTCCTATACCCCCCTAAACCCGGGTAGGTAGGCAGGGACCCGGACGCACACACACTCATGCATATACAATTCCACTGAGCTTTACTACTTCAGTATCATTCTACGAAACCACATATCATCCGAGGCAGTGCCTTTCGGCCAAGTTCCAGGTTATAACTTATGGATACGTTTTTGCAAAGCAACAGGCATTTGGCGCGCGCACGTGGGGGTGTACGGCATAGCCACTGGCTCGAACTCGAATGCCCTTTCGAAACAGGAGTCGCAAAACACGATGAATTCATTGCGATCAGATGATTTTACGGTAATTCATACTCCGTACTGACTGAATTGCCGCATCTATTCTTATTCTTAAGAACTGTCGTTGTATCCATGTGATCATTGCACCATTCTATCTCTAGCCGATTGAATGGCGACCATCCCACCTTCCCTCCGATGACAAGCCATTGCGTCCCCTTTCACCTTGAAGGTTGGTCCCGTCAAGACTTTCTTTTCCACCGAGACTCCTCCCAAACCACCTGACAGATGGGCGGTGACCAGTGACAATGATTTAAGCGGCTAAGCCACTTACTACACGCAAACCCAAACCTGGAAGACAACACGAACAAAATATCGAGGTCTCCCTCGTGTCACAATAGGTAACGGGTAACGGGTAACGCACGACGTTGAAGTGAAGTCTGAAATGCACGCGAGCAACTACCACAACAGGTCAACGAGGCACGGGATGGAGGGCGGGAGATCTCTTGGCCACATAGAGCCAAGAATCCCCGTCTGTCGGACGCGCATGAGCGCCAAAAGCACTATTATTATGGAGGCTAGGTACATAACGAATACCTTGCGTAGTTTATAATTGACTCGTGATACCTTTACTTAATATTTACCATCAAGCCACGGGAATGGAAAGAGAGTGAATCATTGAGAAGTGAGTATGACTATTAATCTCTAACGTGCGAGGCGACCGACGAGCTTAATTCCTTTTCTTTTTCTTCCGGTCCTGGCCAAAGTCTTGTCAAGAAAAAAAAAGAAGAAGAAAAAGGTACATAGAGGTACCTTCCCCTCTGTCAGAAACCCCTGCCCTCTATGTAAGCTAGTGGGGCCTATCGGGGCGGGAAGCCCCATGGACCCCTGTCCAGAAGCCGAAGACTGAAAGTCCGAGGATCTCCAGATCGACCAATCAAAGCACATACTTCCCACACGTGTGCCATCTTTTGGATGGAAGACGTCTATTTTGCCTTGTGCCTACCCCTGTTTACGAAAAGACAACGAAGATCTGCCAGGTCGTCTGTCTCTGATTTCTGTCTTCGTCTTCGAGGTCATCCCACCCTTTTTTTTTTTTTTTCCTCCGACCCGAACCGACCGCCGACCTATCGGGTCCGGGTCGAGTCCAAGTCAGCCAAGCCAATGACAGAAGCTTAAACTCAATCAAGTGCGAAGTCATAATGTTCCTAGGTAAAAAGAGCTTGACATGAAAAGGGAAATCAAAACGCAACCGACGCGGAAAGCCGAAGGGACTCGGGACGCTAAGAGACAGAGTCCAGCGGAACCTGTTCTTTTATTTCCCCAACTGGAGACGGCTCCGTTCTTTAAGATGCCATAACATATATTCATACCTATACGACGGAGAAAATGAGGCGGCGCGGCACTATGCAAAACTTTGTACGTCCGACACGGGGCTAACGGTAAGCATCGAATTAAGCCTACATTCTAAATTCCTTTCCCCAGAAACGATATATCGTTGCAGCGCAGATGCCATCCAGTTCATCCTCGAGTTTGGGTTGCCGTTTTGAAGAAGATTGGCTGACTCAGCGTCATTGAACCAGGTCACGTGTCTTTGCAGCACGCGTCGCAAAGGCTCGAACGCGTCTCGCCGAAAGAACCGAGTCTGAATTATCTCCAGACGGTACATGCGCATTCAGGCATTTGATCCTCGACCACCTCGCCAGCGACCGCTCAACTTTGTACCAGCCAGAGTTCCTCTATATCAAGACTAACGATCTAACGAAAACAACAATCGTCATGTCCGATTTCGAGGATGACATGGACGTTGATGCCCCCCCTTCCAAGGACATCCTCTTCGCCGCCGAGGGGTCCAAGGGCAAGCGTAGCGCCGCAAACCTTCCCGTCGAAGCCGAGGATAGCTTGCCATGGTATGCGCCTTTTGATTTTGATTTATTCTGTTCTATTTTCTCATCTTTACTTCTGTCATGACTGTCCAACTGACCTGACGCCCCCACCCAGGGTCGAGAAATACCGACCTTCAACGCTCGACGACGTCTCCGGCCACCAAGACATCCTCGCCACCATCAACAAATTTGTCGACACGAACCGCCTGCCCCATCTCCTCCTCTACGGCCCCCCGGGAACCGGTAAAACATCCACGATCCTCGCCCTAGCCCGCCGCATCTACGGCCCGGAAAACATGCGCCAAATGGTCCTGGAGCTCAACGCCTCCGACGACCGCGGCATCGACGTAGTCCGGGAACAGATCAAGACCTTTGCCTCGACCAAGCAGATCTTCTCCCGCGCGACGGCGAGCGGCGGCGGCAGCACCGCGGGGTACAAGCTCATCATCCTCGACGAAGCCGACGCCATGACCAACACGGCGCAAATGGCACTCCGGCGCATCATGGAAAAATACACGGCCAACACGCGCTTCTGCGTCATCGCCAACTACTCGCACAAGCTCTCCCCCGCGCTGCTGTCGCGGTGCACGCGCTTCCGCTTCAGCCCGCTCAAGGAGCCCGACATCCGCCGCCTCGTCGACAAGGTCCTCGAGGAGGAGAAGGTCAACATAGTGCCCGACGCGGTCGACGCGCTCGTGCGGCTGAGTAAAGGCGACATGCGCCGCGCGCTGAACGTGCTGCAGGCGTGCCACGCGTCCAGCACGCCGCTGCGGCCGCGCGACGGGCCGAAAGTCCCCGAGGGCGAGATTGTGAGGGAGACGATTACCACCGAGACGATTTATACTTGCATTGCGGCGCCGCCGCCTGATGCGATCCGGGAGATTATGGGCGCGCTTCTGGCGACGTCTGATGTGGTGTCGTGTTTGTCGACCATCAACTCGCTCAAGGTGGCGAGGGGGTTGGCGCTGGCGGACATTATTACTGCTTTGGCCGATGAGATTTCCAAGTTGGAGGTGAAGCCCGAGGTGATGATTACGTGGTTGAGCGGGTTGGCTGAGATCGAGCACCGGGTCTCGGGCGGGGCTAGCGAGGCCGTCCAGACGGGTGCGGTTGTGGGAGTGGTACGGAATGGCGTGGAGTTGATGAGCCGGTAGTGGTCAACGTAGTTATAGAGGCCGTCATATTGGTCTGTCATTATCATCTACTCAGCTACTATGGTGGGGGACAAAAGTCTGGGGTTGAGGCGCTATGGTCCGGCGGGCGTATATGAATATTTAGAAAGGTCTGCCACATGATGTTATGATGGTTAATGTTGTTGGCTTTTGCTTTTCCATATGGGTCGGGTCTATATTCGATGAACCGACGCAGAATAAAATATGTCCAGATAAATCAAGAAAAGAAAAAAAAAAGACAAAAAAAGAGAACCTCCAACGCCATGAGCCAAGATATGCATCTTCATGTCGTCGTCGGTCGTCCGGTCTCTGGTATCTGTGTAACGCCAAACCAGGGGTACTATAATATAATATAATATAATATAATATATCCCATCCTCCCCCATCAATGAACTTTAGGCCACGGCACCTTCTCACCACAATCCCCCATCTCATCCACAAAGCGCAGAATCCTCCGCAGATTCCACCCGCTGCTGAACGTCGTCAGCTCGTCCTTCCCCACGGGCGCGGGCGCCCCGAGCTTGAAACTCCACGACAGGCCGCACAGCCCGTCCTGCCAGCGGTACTGGAAGCACTTGGGCTCCTCGTCGCAGGCGTCGCGGCAGTTCTGCCACGAGGCGTGGGCGAACCGCTCCTGGGCCGAGAGGTAGTCCTTCTTGGCGCGGGCGATCTGCCAGTCCTCGAAGGTGCGGCCGTGGCCCGGGGCGCCGGGCGGGGCGTCTGGGTCGAGGTAGAAGCGGTCGTCGGAGAGGTTGTCCCAGTCTTGGAGGTGGGAGGTGAGGCGCGGCTTGACGAAGTGGTGGAAGACGTTTTTGATGCGGAGGGGCGGGGGGTCGTGTTCCGAGGAGGAGGAGGAGGAGGAGGAGGAGGAGGAGGAGAGGGACAGGGTGTAGTCCGCGTATCGCTGCAATTCGTATTCCCAAAAGGAAGAAACCTCTTCGCTATTCATGTGGTGCATGGTGACGATGGGTTGGCACCAGTGGTCCTTTTTGAAGGGGAAGGTGAAGGGCTTTTCGCCGTTGATGGTGGGCCACTGGTATGGAAAAGGTCTTGTTAGCCGTCGAGGACTAGCAAAAAAGAAGAAGAAAAGAAGAGAAAAAAAGGCCAAGGAAAAGGGGGCACACACCGACTGGGTAACCCTCGTCTGGGTGGTATTATCCAGCGCAAGGGCAAAAACGTAGTCACCACAACACGAACGCCGGGCCTTCTTATCAAACCGGTTCCCAACGCCTGGGTTCTGGGCCACCATCTCGTTCAAGGCGGCCTGGGAAACAACATAACCCGACCCGCCATGCGCAAAGGCGTAGTTATCCAGCATGGTGACGGAGCCAAGGTACAGCTTCCTCGCCGGGTCGAGGCGGCGCAGCCACTGCACAAGGTTCGGCCAGTGGACGTAGGTATCCGCGTCGACGAAGACGTACCAGTCGTACCCGGGCCGGAGGCGATACGCCTTCTCGGCGATGTGGACGTTCTTGTACTTGTCGAGATCCCACCCCGCCGTGGCGGTGCCGGCCTCGACGTGCTTGTTGCAGGCGGCCTGGTCGACGAGGCAGACCTGCTGGCGGCGGTACAGGTCGAAGTCCCGGTTCGCGCGCTGGACGGTGTCGAGGACGGTGTCGAGGCTGTCGCGAACCGGGTGGCCGGCGATGGTCTGGTTCATATCGGAGAAGATGAGGAAGTTGTCGGGGGGGAGACAGCGGAGGACGGTCATGAGCTGGGTGGGTAGGCGGTCGAAGGATTCGGTTGCGCCGGTCTTCATGACGAGGAGGATGTTGGTCGTGTCTGGGATGTGGGCGCATGCTGGGTCGCGTGGTTGGGAAGAAGGGACATGGACGCTGACGATGTCGTTGCCGGGGGTGAAAGAGCCCGGGAGCAGATGCTTGTAGCGCGAGCTGTCGAGGGACCAGTCGTTTCGACCCCGAGCTGCCGTCAGGAGGAGGATGAGCAGGCTGACGAGGCAGAAGGAGAGGAGAGTCAGGGCGCGCCGCGACAACATGATGGGAGGGTGTAGGGGGGTTGTTTGTCGAGGATTTCAAGATTTAAACAGGCTTCATGTTGTCGTCGTCTGTCGTCTGTCGTTGTGTCGTCGTGTCGGCGCGTCGTCGTAATACGACTCGTTTGAAAGCAAACTCGGGAGGACGAGGAGTGTGAAATGGTCGACTCGACGGATTGACAATTCTATGACGAATGGCAGCAGAATAATTAGATATTCAGCAGAACGTAGGAGCTGTTTGATATTGCAAACGGCTGGGGTTTATTCATTCGGGGTGCATCCGAATCAGGGGCGTCTGACGAAGATCCCCCGGACGGTCCTCACCGACCTTCAACGTCGGCCCAACTGTCAAGCCTCGGGATTGGTGGTCGGCCCAAGTTTTAGTGTCGTCTAGTTGTCGGTTGGTCCGTCGACGATACGAGGGCGAAAGGACGGGTTCCCGCTAGCTATCCCCTTGTAGGGCCAATGGAATGGCGCACCGCAGTGTGGCAATGATTCAGGAACCGCCGAGTTCGTGAGAGCACAGGGCATGTGGGCAGGAATCCGCTGTGGGAAGGGGACCATGCGGAACGGAGGGAAAAGGGAACATGAAGAAAGAAAAGAGAGTTGAGATAATGAAAAAAGGACAGACAGGCTGACATGCCCAAAATACGACGCCCACTTACAAGGATCAGCTTCCCCCCTCCGCCTTACCCACATGCAACAAGCAACAAGGGATCAAGACATGACATGCCCAGTGGTTAGTTCGGAGTAGGGTATGTAAGCCGGGAGATAGATACGAATAGAATAGCTCAGGGGCTCGACTGTCAACATGAAGGGTGCATGTGTCGATGTGTTGAGCCACCAGCAGGCGTAATTTACTGATCAAGCACAGCACTCATCAGGACCAATTCCCGCGGATCATGTCCCTCCGCCAAGCTCCATCCAGTGTCTTGGCACTTCGCCCTTATCTCACATGCACTAAACAGCCGGCCCTCGGATATCCTCACCCAACTCCCCCTGCCTCGTCCAAATGTTCATCCCGACCTTGCTCCCCCGAAGAACAGGTAACCCTGCATGCAACGTCCTAGGCTCGCCCTCGCCCTCACCCTGCTGCCCTCCAGGGACCAGATTCTCCCAATAGACCGCATTCCCCTCGACCGGACGAAACGTCACCCCATCCTCCCACTCAGCATCGCAATCCACAATCCCGCACCACCACTCCGCATCCTCGGCGCTACGGTGATCATAAGACGGCGCTTCGAGCAAAGGAAAATTCGTGCCCCCGCCCGCCGTGTCATTCGAGACGGAAACGTACCCGAAGAAACTCGTAGCCCGGTTCCCGCCCCGCGCGGCGCTCGCCTGCGCCGGGTCCGTGAACCAGTCCGTATGGAAGTGGTACCGCTCCCCGACGCCGTACTTCACCAGCTGCAGCGGTTCCAGCCGATGCGCCGCGCTGGGCGGGAGGCCTTGGAAGGCGAGGGCGCGGGATTGGATGCACCGTACTACGGCGTCGCGGGGCACGGAGGTCGATTGGGATGTGCGGCCTTGGTTGTGGGACGTTGAACCGGTCGTGTCGATGACGGCGGACCGCGTGAATGTGTCTGAGCTGTTTTTCCCCGGTTAGTATTGCATTTGCCGAGGCCTGAAAGGGTCCCTTCTTTAAGAAGCACGAGAAGAAGAAAGGAAAAAAGAAGAAGAAAAAAAAGGAAAGACCGTAGAAGAACATACGCGAGAGCGAGGAAGTGTCGACGTTCTGCAGGGGTGATAAAGTCGGTAATGTAAATCACCAACGGGGAGCGAGAAAAGACGAGCACTTTATAGTCTGGGTGTTCGCACGTATAATCCTCCGAGGAGAGCAGCATCGGCGCCTGCTCTGGTTGTGCGTAGACGATGCTAGGAAGACCGAGGACAACAACGGATGCTGTTATCGTCAATGCGCTTGTAAGTTTTGATTTAAGGCCCATGTTGACTTTCGAGTGATCCAGAGCTTGGGATGCCACATGCATTCAGATGGGGGGTCGCCACATGCACGAAGCACGAGGGAGCTTCCCTCCTTTAAAGTGACCCCAGCTTCTAACTCACGAGCTTAGGGAGACACTGACGTAGCTCTAATCATCGGTCGATTGACGATATGGACACAACCGTCGAGGAGCTCGACGTTGCGGGGGATTCAGGGGGTCAGGGACTCAGGGGATGAAGCCGTGATGGCGCACCGAAAAGAACCCTTGAAACAAGAGCCTGTTTTGGCGTCTTTAGTCTTTACTCAGTCTCGTCTGCGCCGTGGTCTCGGCAAGATCCCCTTTGCACGACATGCGCCCGATCCCGTCCCACGCGTTTGGGCATTGTTCCTTGGCGACAGGTCATGGCGTCGTTTCGGGCGTAGTGTAGTCTGTAGATCCGCTGGACCTTGGGACCCCTGACGCAGGGCCAAGCATCGTCGTCTGAACACCTGTTCCCAAGTTCCAACTTACATGGACGGGGCAGCTAGACAAGCTGAGCGTTCTGGAGCGGTTACATTTGTGTATAATACATTGATGTATTATACCTTGCCCATCTACCCATAACTAAATAGGCCTACAGTCTTGTCAACTTTCCTCACTGTGAACATATTTTATGCTTATGCACCCCTCTTGAAGCCATGCCGCGCCTCTCCCTGATATTCTCGTGCCTCCTCGCAAGCGCATCGGCCTGGAGCCATGTATCCGAGTCTGGCTTCCGCGAAGCCCTAGCCAGCAACGATATGAGCCTGGTGGCTTGTAAGTGATCAAAGAGAATCCATGTCGCGATCCAGCAACTTGCGCCCAATGTTCATGTTCCAATTGACCTAACTGACACTTGACGATTTCTCCAGTCGTCGCAGTGAGTTCATGTTTTCTTGAACCTCCCGCTGTAATTACAATTACGTCTTGAGCTTCCAGTCCAACCCCTGACCACGTGAAATGCGCGATGCCGTACAACCAGCAGTCGCCAAGGTGAGTGAATCTGGGCTGGCCTCTCGCAACTCCTTGATTTCCACAAAGCGACCCAAGCCGACGATAGCATGCCAGTGAACCACCTAGCAAAACCCTCGAATCCGAATGGGTAACCCTCCAGCAAACCGAGCCTCGCGCTCTATCCGTCGACTGTCTTGACCACGCCCAACTATGCGCCGAACTCGACGTGGCCTCCTTTCCCGCCATTCGTCTTTACGACCGCGACGGCACGATCCGTAGATACCGCGGTCCCAAGAACGCTAAATCGTACGTCCCTGTTCCCATCTCGTACTTCAAAAAGAGAAGAGCACGAGAGAAAGAAATGAAGAAACATGCGAAATACTGATTCCAGTCGTATTCCCCAGCATCTCCGCCTTCCTCAAGCGCACAGCCCGACCACCAGTCTCAGACGTCGACGAATCCTCCGTCACCGAATTCCTATCTTCCGACGACATCGTCTTCGTCGCGCGCCGGGGCGACCACGACGATACCACGCACCTCGACTCCCGTTACCGCGACATCGCGTCGCGGTATAGCGACCGCTACACCTTCGGCACCGTCCCAACGGCGCCGGGGCCGGCCTTCGAGTCGCCCTCCGAAGTGGTGTCCTGCTTCAACAACCGCGACGGTCTACGTCATGCCCTTTCCGAGGCGGATCTCGTTGACGCGACGGCCCTCGAAAGCTTCATCCACCGCTGTTCCGCCCCTCTCGTTCCAGAGATGACGCGCCGGAACGAAAGGGACATCCTCTCTGTATGTCTTGTTGTACCTCAACTTTCCCTTCCTTGCTCTTACGCGTCTTCTTTTCTTTATTTCTCCCCAACTCGTGGCAGGGCTGACATGTACGACCCCGTCCAAAAGAACGGCAAGAGCATCGTCTACTTCTTCTCCCCATCCGAAACGGCCCGCGAGTCTCACGCCGTCGCCATGCACGCGCTGGCTATCAAATACGCCAAGTTCCTCACCTTCGTCACCGTGGACTCGGCCCAGTACCCCGAGATGGTGGCCGGCATGGGACTGTGCGGAGGCGCCGCAGGGACGGGCCTCAGCGTACAGAACCCCCATGTGGAACAGATATTCCCCATGCCCGAGTTGTCGGATCCGACGTCCGTCCAGCCTGATGAAGTGGAGAGATTCATCGTGGAGATTTCGCAGGGCAAAGTTGCGCCATGGGATGGAAAGATCGGGGGAGAAGAGGATGACGATATGGAGGAGGTGGGAGCACGAGGGGTAAACGAGGGGTCGGCAGATCAGGGGCACGATGAGCTGTAGAAAGAATACGTGTCGCTCATGGGAACAGTTCCGTGCTGTTGTAGACGCCAAATAAGTATGCAAAAAGAAATCATCATCATATTGCCTGACCGGGTAGCCTCGCCTTCTCTAGTATAGCGAAGACCCTAGAGTTGTCTACACATGCATCTTCTGTTGCCGGCTCAGTCCTCGCCTAGACTCCGCCTCCGTTCCTCCATGCTACTCGACAACTCCCATAACGCCCGCAATCGACATCGTCAGACGTCTCGACATTCACATCAACGCCCCTGCCCCATGTCTCGTGCTGTGCCTTGCAGCCGCGATCCGCTCACGACTTGTCGCACTGCCAATAAAGGCGTGACGTCGTGCGCCGCGAAATCCGCTTAAGCACGGAAGGTGTTCCAGGCATTGTGCATGCGGACACTAAAAAAAAAAAATCATACGTTAGCCCCTTTGCTCACCGAAACCAGACAGGGGCCCAGGGGTTGCAGTGGGGGATTTTGGTTGCGAAAACGTACCGTTGACCCTCGGTGAACTCAGTGTAGCAAGCACTGCGACGAAAAATTAGCAAAACCGCACACACACACACAAACGCACACGCCAAACGGCCACAGCCCTCTGAGGGGATCCTGGAGCGACGCACTCGTTGGAGTAGTCCATGTAGTTATGGATGGGGTCAAGGCCGGGCTGGCTAGGGCAGGAGTCACGGCCGTGGGGGCATCCGCTGGACGGGCTAGCCTGGGCGGGGGTATCGGCGACCAGATCGCCGGAGCCGGTGCAGCCGCCCTGGAAGGTGTGGTAGAGGTTAAGCCAGTGGCCGATCTCGTGGGTGGCGGTCTTGCCGAGGTTGAAGTTGGTGGAGCTGCCGCCGGGGACGCTGGAGAAGAGGACGGTGCACCCGTCGCGGACGAAGGCGGTCGAGCCGGGGGAGGCGTAGGTGGGGAAGTAGCAGTAGCCGAGGTTGCCGGAGACGCTGCGGAGGAAGTAGAGGTTGAGGGTGCGGTAGTCGCCGCGGCGCAGGCTCTGCTTCATCTGCAGTTCGTTGCGGTCGGTGGACCAAGTCGAGTGGACGGTGCGGGTGACGCCCTGGAGGGAGAAGCTGATGCCGAAGCGGGCAAAGTCCGAGTTGATGACGTTCAACTGTTGGTTGAGCATTGTGTCCTGTTTATTGTTTTGGGGGTTTTTCTCTTGGTTAGTCGGATGAGCTAACGGTATATGCATCTGGCTTTGGAAAAGGAGAAGGACGAAACGACTGGGAGCAAGGGCAAGAGTATACAGTCAGGTAGCCGTCCTGGAGTCTCGTGCTGGAAGCAACGACATGGAAATAGGTGGGAACGACGATGGGGTTGGCGAAGACGGTCATGTTGCCAGAACGGCCAGCCTCTCCCTCGAGCTCGGCGAGGGCCCTGGTGTTGGCCAGATCCTCTTCGGTGGGCTCAGGGGCACCGCAACCAAACCTGGTCGTGGGGCCGGCCATAACGGCCGAAACCATGAGGCCGGCGAGCCAAAGAGTCTTGGACAGCATGATGAAAGGGGCGAAGGGGGGGGACGAAGCAGCAGAAGAAGTTGGGTCAAGGCGTAGCGGATGCGAGAGACGAGAGTAGGAGGAGGCCGTTGTGAATTGCGCCGTGTGTGGCCTATATTTTATACATCCCGAGGATGGCCCCTGTGCTTCGGAGGGCCATGTATGGAGTTCCGGATACCAGTACCCCGACCTCGACCCAAGCCGCCCCTGAAGCCTTTTAGGAAGGTTCTTCTTTTGGTCCGGACGGGGGGTTATCAGCGTGGGGTGGGATGTTTCCATGACTTGAGAGCCACCATGGACCAGTGCAAGGACAGACGCCTGCGCAGCGGTCCAGTTACCGCCGTTTCTCATACTGCGCGCTTCTTGACTCGAGGTCTTGGCTAGCAAGGCCCCCCCCCCCTTTCTTTTTCCCTTTTTTCCCCATCTTTCCCGGCAAACCACCCGGAGCTTCAGGGTTTCGCCTGCCGCGCTTTTGCAATGGCATGACCCCCCCGCGCTACGCATCGGGAAGGCCGGTGCAAGGCGACCCTTGCCAGCAGACGCCGCTTCGTGATAGTGGTGTTGATGACGGTCGCTAGTTGCAGGAGAAGATAAAAGAGTTACGGCCGAGCCGTGTCACGCCGCAGCGTGCCCCAGAGTCGCGTCGTAAAGTATCGATCGTTGAAGGCAGGTGGAATAGATAAAGTAGAATGGGGGCGGAGAGTTTGAAGATGACATTGCCGAGAGGTCTGGCAGCGCAGAGAGAAACGGCATGAACCTGTTCATGTTCATGGGTGCCACCAAGTCCCCGATTCCCGGAATTGAACTGCCGCGAAGGGTTCTCAGAGCCGGCGCTACTGCAAAATGCGCCGGCATCTAATAGGTGATACCATGTCAACGCAATCTTATTAGCACGTCCAAGCAGAAAGGGACAAACAGAGACAAGAGAAAGAAAAGAAGAAAAAGAAGGAGAAAAAGACTTGCACGAGTCATCGGGCCGCCAAGCCCGGGGATCGACTTTGATCAGGGCAGTGCCCAAAGAACCTCCCTATTCTGGAACGAACGGAGGCCGTGTGTAACCCCCCATTACCTCCATTCAGACACTTGTCGAGGAGTGTTATCATCGTCATAGGCTCATAGCTACACTCAGAAATCACACATGCTGTACTGTCTTGTCTTGGAGACGCGCGATAAAGCAGTCGACGCTAGGTTCTGAAAGTTCTTCCTGTCCTAGTCAGGCACATGCTTGAATGCGCTGGTTTTGGTTTCCTTCCTTTCCCAGTCGCCAGTTTGCGCTACTGCTAGGGAGAGGGGGGAAGGTCGCATTAGCCCCTCCCACCATATCCAGTCGTAGTTGAGGTGATTAGATATCGACCGATGTGTCTGTATAAGCTGGGGTAAGCTGGAGGACCAAGGCACATGTGATTAGAGGACAGTGACTTATGGCGTCACGTCACGGTTCTTGCGACTCTTCGGGAAAGCTTAGACCCCAAACAGCCAACCATAGTGAAGATCGCAAGTCGTCCAGAAAGAGAAGGTGGTGATGGAAATCGATCCTGGTGGTTGCGTCAAGTCGGCCATCAAAAGTCCCAAAGCTCACAGGACGAGAAGATGGAGGGGGAGCCAACGGAGCCGGCCGGATCGCTGTACGCTTACGGGTAGATCCATCTTAGAGCAAGCAATGAGATAGGTAAAGATGTACCCTTCTTTTCAGGATGGTGTGTTGAATGAAGGGATCCCGGAGACGAGACGGCATGGCAGAGGGAGAACGAGCGATTTTCCAGGACACCGTGACACGAGAGCGCGATTGGCGGGTATTTGGGGTATAAGCCAGGAGAGACGAAGACATAAATCAGGATTTCGCTCTTCTCGAAGACTTAATACGCTCGAAGCCCGACCATACGAATGGACGAATGCGCGTGGGTGCCAGCGAATGTGGACGACCGAGCCAGAACCAGAAGGTCAAAGCAAAGCACAGACTGGAGGAGGCAAAAGGGATAAGGCGCGCAAACAGAGGACGGAGGATAGATACGCCGGCGTGGCGGGACCGTGGGGGGCGGGGAACCTTTCAAGCCACTGCATGACAATTACCGAGGCCCTGGCTGTGGCTGTGCTTGTGTCCTTTTTTGGGACAAGCTTTTTGGTCACATGACCGCGGGCTTTAAATCATGTGACAGTACGTACATTTCGCGTCGCATGAAACGCGCCGCCGAGAGACTTACTGCACGCGATCTGTCAGAATCCGCCCGCACTTGTCATCCACTCAACTTGACCACCCACCACCCTAGACACAGCTCCCAACACACTCCATCAGCCAAGCATGTTATAACCCATTTGCATCGCCTACACCTCTACAGCTTTCTGACATGTCGGACTTTACAGGTATTGTTCCTCTGCCCTGCCCTGCCCTGCCCTGCCCTGCCCTGCTTCGTTCTCACCATCCACTCAAACACCTCGACTCACATCTCTTTCTAGACGCGGACACCATTCGCATCTTGGTTGCGACCGATAATCATGTCGGCTACGAAGAACGAGATCCCATTCGCAAGGATGACAGCTGGAGGACATTCGACGAGATTATGAACTTGGCCCGTACCGAAGATGTGCGACATATTTGATCCCCCTCCTTGCCTCCTTTGCCTCCCTCGTTCCCTCCTGGAATCATCCCCCCTAACAACATACCGTTTCGTTATCCAGGTAGACATGGTCCTCCTCGCCGGCGACCTCTTTCACGACAACAAACCATCCAGAAAGTCCATGTACCAGGTCATGCGCACCCTCCGCCAGAACTGTCTCGGCATGAAGCCCTGCGAGCTCGAGTTCCTCAGCGACGCCAACGAGGTCTTCGAGGGTGCGTTCCCCCACGTCAACTACGAAGATCCGGACATCAACATCTCCATCCCCGTCTTCTCCATCCACGGGAACCACGACGACCCCAGCGGGGACGGCCACTACTGCTCCCTCGATCTCCTCCAGGTCGCCGGTCTCGTCAACTACTTCGGCCGCATAGCCGAGGCCGACAACATCGAGGCCAAGCCCCTCCTTCTCCAGAAGGGCCAGACCAAGCTCGCCTTGTACGGCCTCAGCAACGTCCGCGACGAGCGCATGTTCCGAACCTTTCGCGACAACAAAGTCAAGTGGTTCCGCCCGGACCTGCAACAAGGGGACTGGTTCAGCATCCTCGCCCTACATCAGAACCATCACGCCCACACCGCCACCTCCTACCTCCCCGAAAACGTGCTCCCGGATTTCATGGACCTCGTCGTTTGGGGCCACGAGCACGAGTGTCTCATCGACCCCTCCCGTAATCCCGAGACGGGCTTCCACGTCATGCAGCCCGGTTCCTCCGTCGCCACCTCCCTTGTCCCCGGGGAAGCCGTGCCCAAACACGTCGCCGTCGTCAACGTGACCGGGAGGGACTTCCAAATCAAGAAAATCCCCCTGAAAACCGTCCGTCCTTTTGTCACCAAAGAGATCGTCCTCGCCACCGACAAACGCTTCAAGGGCGTCGACAGGATCAAGGACAATCGACAGGAGCTTACGAAGAGGCTGATGAAGGTCGTCGACGAGATGATCGACCAGGCGAACGCGGAGTGGCTTGCTATTCAGGATGATGACGAGGACGACAACATGGAAGAAAGGCCGCTGCCCTTGATCCGCTTGAAGGTCGAGTACACCGCTCCCGAAGGGGGTCAATATGACTGCGAGAATCCGCAGCGGTTTTCGAACCGCTTCGTCGGAAAAGTGGCCAATACCAATGATGTCGTTTACTTTCACCGAAGGAAAACGGCCCAGAGGAGCAGTGACAAAGACGCACCAGATCTTCCCGAGGGCATAGAGTCCTTGAGCCTCGATACCATCAAGGTCGAAGCCCTTGTCCAGGAGTTTCTCGCAGCCCAGTCCCTCAAGATCCTACCACAGGCTCCCTTCGGCGATGCTGTGAACCAGTTCGTCAACAAGGACGATAAACACGCCATGGAGATGTTCGTCAGCGACTCCCTTGCCAGCCAGGTCAAGCAGATGCTCGACCTCGACTCGGACGACGACGACCTGGAGGCGGCCATGGAGAAATACCGCGACTCGCTGGAAAAGAAGTTCTCCGCGGGGCTCATCAAGCCTTCGGGCCAGCAAATCAAAGTCAAGCCCAAGCCCGACTACTGGGACTCCGACCTCGACGGTCACTGGGAGGACCAACCCGGCGTTGTCGAGGTCGAGGTCGAGGTCGAGACCGCCCCGCCTGAAGACCGTCCCCGAAGATCCGGGTTTGACGATGGGGCGAGCGAGATGATGGGCGTGCAAGACGAAGTAGTAGACGCCCCGCCGGCTCGCAAAGCTCCGACGAAACGAGGCGCTGCCGCCACAGGTCGTCGCACTACCGCTACTGCTACTGCCAAAGCCGCGCCGGCCAAGAAAACAGTCGTTGGGAAGAAAGTCCCGGCCAAGAAAGCGGGTCCCGCACGGGGTCGCGGGAAGAAACAGCCATTCCTCGACGAAGACGAGGACGAGGACGAGGAGGAAGAAGATGTCGTGATGGACGACGACCCGTTTATGGATGACGACGGTCCACCCCCCCGGGCGGCAGCAACAAGATCGAAACGGTCGCAACCGACGCGAGCGGCTGCGGCTGCGGCCGCGCCCAAGACGCGACAGACTCGACTCAATTTCGCGTCGCAGGCGGCGTCGCAGAAGGCGGTGGAGATTAGTGATGATGAGATTAGCGATGATGATCCTTTTGAACCCGCCACTGCCACCAAGTCACGGCGGAGGTGATAATCCTTTTGTTGTTTCCCCCGAGATTTGGCCCTATTGGTGAAGGTTGAATTTGGGATCTAAGAACGGCGATTTGTCATTTTGCATGGCGTTTCACACTCGAAGCAAGTTGAGGCTTCAAAGGATCATGGGGGTTTAGACGGCGTAGCCTTGTTTCCCTGCCTCGAAAATGCATAAACAGCACAATATAACTCACGACATGATGAACGCGCCAAACTGGCATAGTATTCTGTTGCTCTCATTGTACCGTTTGTGTACCTCGCCCTTCGTCTTACTGGTCGAATCCAGGAGTATTGATCATGGTCAAGTCTGTCTGTAGCCTCACAGGACCGCGGCCATGAACAAGGAAAGAAAGAGAAACAACCCGTTCGACTTGGAACAAAGTTTCCCGTCAACGTGAGCAACGATGGGGCGTGGGGAAACTGCTGGAAAGATCCCTTAATAGAAAAGACACCCATGGCGCTCCTTGACCAGACATGCCCCAAAGCCACGACCATTCGGATAAGCCGCTACCGTACCAGTGCATACAGCGAACACGACCATGGCCTTGGGCCTGGGACGAGAAGCATCAGGGCAAGAGGACGACAGCCACAACGACCCACCCAAGCGACATCCAGCCAGACGCGGCTTCACAACCGAAACAATCGAAATCGTCTCCCCGTTCCCCCCCCACCCGCCACGGATCGAGCCGTACAACCCCCTCTGGCCCATCCACTACGCGCAATTCGCAAAGGCCACCAAGCGCGCCCTAGGAGCGCGGGGGGTAGCCATCCACTCGCTCGACCACGTCGGCTCGACCTCGGTGCCGGGGCTCCACGCGAAGCCCATCATCGACATGGACGAGACGGTACGTTGCTGCGAAGATGGAGGCGGCGAGGGAGTGTGTCACTAGGGGGGAGAGCGGGCGGGAGTATAATATGCGCAAGGAGGCTGGCTTACGGGGGATTTTTGAAAGGGCATGTCTTGCGTATGGGGTCGCTTTGGAGTACTAGTGTGTAGGGGGGGGGTTGCGTTCTGTTCGAGATGCCAGAACCAGACCAGAGAAGGGTTTCTTATGGTTACGGCGCGAATGATGTTGTCCATCTTATTAGAAGAAGAAAGAATCCTTTTTCATTCTCTATTTCTCATTTCTCCTTTAAAAAGGCAACTCGTGTCAGGTCTGTCGAGTGGAAAAGAACGTATTGTCAAGAATGGTACTCCGTATGTCGAGTCGATAAGACCACGTGCTCCTGCAGGCCCGGCCCGACCCCACGGCTCCGTAGCCCGGTTGCGCTGTGCCACTACACTATAATACCCCGTACGTACGTTGTACTGTACGTTGTACATTTGCCCTATGCGGTGCGCTGCGGTGACAGGCTAGCGCAATCACTTTAGCCCAAGCGAAGCTGATTCATGTCCCATTTTCTGCGCCATGGGAGTCGCCTACTAGGGACACCAAGGCGTCTCAATTACGAATGCATGCTGTAGGTTCTTACGAGCACAGGGCACAGGGCAGTGGTTGGGTCGCAGCCTCGCAGGTGGCGTTTCGGATGATCCAGTGGTATGGGTCACCAGAACACCGACACCGCGTGGATGGTTGAATCCTTTCTTGCGAGATCTGGGGCGCATCCGTACTCTGTACTTCGTAATTAGTTGGTGGCAAGCCGCTGGTGATGACCACATCTTGCATGCCGTTATGGATATCGATATTCAGGGGCATTGACTGCGGTTTTCTTTGAACGGCCGCTACCTACGAAGTTGGGTTGTTTTGATTGACAGATGTGGGGACGGGACGCCACAGACTGTGGCAGGTTTGTCTCTCTGTTAGTGGTGGTGATATGCTAGGCAGAGGCGAAAGGGGAGAGCAGAGACTACGCATACGAAGGAATGACTTTATACGGTTTTTTTTTTCGTTTTTTTCTTGGTTCTTGAAGGCCTAGATAGGACGTGCCGAGTCCTGTCGTGGATACATTCCCAAAAAGAGCAAAGGGCAAGCTTGGGTCGTTTTTCGTTTGCGCATCTTGTCGCATGTTTTTCCAGTTGCTGAGGCAGCCGGCAAGAACGGGACCAGACGGTCCGTCCCAGGACCTAATTCTTGGCAACTTGCTCGCTACAGAAGGCGAAAAACAGAAGAAGAAGGACAAGAACAAAAAAAAACAAAAACAAATTCGTCACTTGCTGCAGAGGACGATGGGCCTTGATTGTGGTCGCAGCGGAACTGGCTCTGAACGACAGGGGTATCCGATTCCCCGGAAAGGTGGCAAATGTCCCCTGAGCATCCCTGGTCCGGCTGAGGAAACGACTGCAACCTGCAAGCCTCGGGTCGTGATTGGTGATGCGCGACAACGAACCATGGGAGTAAGCTTAGGGAACTTTGATTGTCAAGTTCGTCAAACCGTCGTTCTGGACTATCATCGTGTGGCTGCCGTGGCAGTTTATTCTGCTGTCGGCGGGATGGAGTTTTGTTGTTGGTTCGAAACGCCGCGGTCCATATACGGATACGAGGTTTCTTGGTACCCTCTCCAGAGACGTTTATGGTCGATCGAGACGAACTGCCAATGTTGAGTACAGATACAATTTAATTGCGTTTAGTACAGTAGTGTACGCGGGACATGGCGTACTGTAAGAATATACCAGACGTTGGTGCATCAACATAACGTCTGTACTGTATACGTGCATTCCCCAGCTTTCCATAGTTTATGACAAGTAACTAGTTCCAGACACTCGCGGGCTGGATTACTGTGCACGTCATTAAGACAGTGTTATACTGTGCTACATTACACGTAAACAGCGATTAGTACGGCATACTGTACATGTGCCCCACTCCTTAACACCTGAACAGCCACAGAACTCAGAGAGACGCCACAATAAGTGAAATAGGGGCAGCGGGGAGAGAGTTCTGTTAGAGAGCGGGAGACGGAGGAAGCACCACGTTGAGAGGACCTGGCCTTGGTCTCGTTTATGTTTATGTTTATTATTATTTTTATTATATACGAAGCATTGAGGACGGAGTAGCAGCACTAGCAGTAAGATACGTTGTTGCGGGTTAACGATTTACGAAGAAAACAAGGGAAAAAAAAAAAGGGTACACACGAAGTCCTTACATCAAACTGATGCTCAGATAATATAGGGCCCTACTAGGGCGCCCGTACAGATAAGTATTTTGCCCGTAATATAGTGGGGCCCGCTAAGCATGATTAGTGACCTAAGTACTAACCTATGTTGTATATACACTTTAGGTACCTAAATATATAGATATAGCAGTAGAGAGTTAACTAACCCACCCGTCTTTTTCGCACACCGTTAATTAAGGCACTAAAATAAACTACGATATAGTAGATTATAATAGCTAAAGAATAACCCTACGGCTTTAGCCTACCTTCCGAGGCTTATACTTCCCACGATGAGGGCTTTATAGCCCTTACTACCCACGCCTACTCGAACGGTTATAGTCTTATTATAAAGGAATAGTATCCCCGTGGTGGGTAGCCGATACGTATTACGTACCGCTATAGGAAAGGTAGGGCGCTAATAGCTCGAGAGACCCTAAGCCACGAATCAAAGCGCTGGAGGACTATAACCTAAATAATAGCCTGCCCTTTTACGGTTAACCTCCGCTATCGTGATACCCTTAAAGGGTGGGTTATAGAGGCTATAGTTAAGCACGGCGAAGGCGAGCCGTTAAACTATAACTACGGCTAGGTTAAAGCTAGTTCGTTTAGTCGATTTCGCGCCTATAGTCTCGCGATATATAAGGATAAGATTATTAGTATATAGAATAGTGGTGTTCGGCCCCGCGAGATTATAACGAAGCTCCGTATCTCGGAATCTTCTAAAGGCGGCTAAGTTCTCCAGGTTACGAGGTTAGATCTTATAAACCTTCTTACTCGTTACCGCCGCGAAGAGCTTACTAGAAGGACTCTAATCCAGTAGCTCTACGAGGTAAGTCCTTATTACCCTATAAAACACTTAAATCTATACTAATTTATTAGTAAATCTCTGTATAAGATAGCTTCTACTACCGCGATCGCCGTGATTAACTTAGCCGGATATAATACCTCTTTATCGCGCCCAGGTCAGTAATTCCTCTTATATAATAAGCTCCTAATATCCTAGTTATCGACGTAACCTATAAAACTAATAAGTTTAAGATACCGTTAGTTAATTTCTACGGGATATCGCCGCTACGTAGGTCCTTTTTAATTACGATTACTTTCCTAGATAGGGAAAAAAAGCCCTAGTATGCCTAAGCGCTTAAGGCTTTAGCCGATTATATCTTAGCCGAGGGTTTATAGTTACCGCGGTATATTATTACGGATCGGGAGCTCGCCTTAATAAACGCCCTAAAATTATATATAAGCTTAAGATCGGGTACTAATATTCTATACCGTTAGTATATTAATATAAACGTGCTGGTAAGGACTAAGGCCTTTTTCCCGAAGCCTATAAGGCTAGCTAGTAGCAGGGTTAAACACCACCTAAGCTTTCAAGCCTTTTTAAAGGACTAGAATTCGTTAATTTTAAGCCTAATAGTCGAGGTATTCGTAGAGCGACTCGGAGGTTTTAAGCAGTAAGGATAGCACCCAGAAAACGCAGTTAATTACTGCGTAGGAACTTGGATTAATCCTTTTAAGGAAAAGATCGTAGATTGCTTCGTGACTAAGGTGCCCTATTTTAGTAATAAAACCACCTCTATCGTAGAGTCTTCCCACGCTAGCCTTAAACGGTATCTCCACTCCTCTATAAGTGACTTAGTAACTGTTTTCCGTAGCTTAACATTATACTAGAGTAATCAGCGGGCGGATCTAGTTCTGGAGAGGTAACGCCGAATTAATAGAGTAGACTTTCCTATAGCTAGAGTTCTCTTTAGCCTTATTAATTAATAGGTTATCCTATAGGCACTCGAACGGCTTAAGATTAAGCTTATTACCTTAGAAAAGGTACGTTAAAAGGAGCTATCGCGATTATAGCTGCCGGGGCCTTATAGGCCTTACGCTATAATAACCTCCCTTAGCCTACCTTACTAATATATACTATTTAACTATTACCGCGACTCCGAACCGCTTAGTCTCGCGTTAATTAATCGGTATTAGCGATAGAATCGTTATAATATAACTACTAGTACTACGCTTCCGCCTCCTGCCCTTAATCCCCTTAAACCTATAGTAGTACGGAGAAAAGGCCGCCTAAAAGGTGCTATTACGATATCCAGTACGGGAAAGAAGAAGGGCGAAAGGAAGAATAGTACTAAACGGCTTCCCTTAAGCTTTAAAATCGCGGCTATAGAGGAGCGACGCGATACCCTCCTACTCGTAATAGCCCCCCTTACCCTAACCCTATACGAGCCTGGTATATAGGCACCTCGGTAATTTACCCGGGTTTTCGAGGCCCTAACGGAGGTTAACGAGAAGCCTAAGCCTAACTCTAAGAAATATAATTTAGAGCTTATTTCTGCTGAGTTTAAGGGTAAATTAGATATGTTAGTGAGGCACGCTAAGGAAGAGACGCTTAGTCGGCAGGAAGAAGAGAAGGAGATAGAGGAAATTAAGGCCGTGATAGCTATTCTTAAATCCTAGGGTTATCGTGATAGTTCGCGATAGTTATTATAGTGGTTTAGTGCTTTAGTTTATGTTTACCCTTTAATTAACTCTCTACTGCTATATCTATATGTTTAGGTACCTAAAGTGTACATACAAAATGGGTTAGTACTTAGGTCACTAATCATACTTAGCGGGCCCCACCATATTACGGGCAAAATACTCATCTGTACGGGCGCCCTAGTAGGGCCCATAATATACCAAGGGAATGTCCAAGGGGAGAGGGGCAAGGGCAACGCAAATTGTGGCTTTCTTGGAATGACCTGGAGACCGGGGAGCAGCAAGTGACCCACCTGACAGTTCCTTCCAGCTGCCGACACTTCTCTTGACGAATGGCATGACCCATAGGAAAAAAATAAAATAAAGCCAAAAAAGAAAGAAAATGGTACGGAGTAAAGAGAGACCCGACCGACCTTTTTCAATATCCACTCATTTCTCCTGCTTCATTCACCCTGACTTTTGGATCCTCACCTCCTTACCTCCCACCTCTCTAACCTCAGACCCTTCCTTCAACCTACCCATCCTGCGACCTCCCCATCCTACCCTTACCAGACACGTTGCGTTTCTGTCTTTTTCAAAGACCAAGACGGGCGTAGAAGAAGACGCTGTCTCCTTGCCGTCTCCAAGAAGCATCTCCTCCTCCCCCCCCCCCCCCCCCCCCCCCCCCCTTTTACTCTATTTTTCCTCCCTTTCCTCCCCTCCTCCAGTGCCTATGGCCACCGCTCATCCCTTTGCGGCCTCGATCTCTTAAGGTACCTACCCGACCGCTGGCCTCCTGCGAGTACCGCTCCTCGACCGTCATCAGCCTCTTGTATCCTTCCGCCACAGACCTCGGAAGGGTTTCGATTCAATCGTCTTTTTTTTTTCCATTTTTTTTCCAATTTTTTTATACCTTGGTGCCTGGGTATTCCCGACTGCCAGGTTATCGAACTCCAGAGGTACGCGACAATTTTTGACGTACTTTTTCTCCGTCTTTTTCTCCGTCTTTTTCTCCGTCTTTTTCTCCGTCTATATTCCCTTGTCGGTCGTCGCCTTATTCTTCCCCTTTATTTGCTTTTTCTTCTCTCTGCGCTTTGCATACCCTGCCCCAGTTTGCTGGGTAGTCTTCAGTGTCGCTATCTGGCACTGCATTGCCGGCAGCACACCCCTGCTCCCGCTGTGCTCTAGATTTTCCCACACCCCATTCGCTTCAAAACCCGCGGATGTATTTATCGTGACGTTATAGGTCGAATCTTGCTAATTCAGATCATTGTCTACCTTAGACAGGAGACAAATTCTCCGGCCTCGGACAATACACAGACACGCCGACCAGACTCCTTCATCCGCATCCGTCCACGAGGGGAAAGCTGTCCCTCACCGACTTACCAATACCGCCTGCCTGTCCACCTCCTTGGTTTCTACCGAGATCCCAAGCCAACCAGTCAGTTCGTGCACCTCTTGCCTCGATATACCGACGACCTCTCCAAATCGGCACAGACACCCGTCGCATCGTGCTGTCTCGGCTACCTGCATCCATCCCCCTAGCCATATCAATAATCCCCCCTCAGCTTTTCGTCCCAACCCGTGCCAAGGGGCCTTGTACGACACGCCGACCAACGAGCGAACGAGAAGGGAACGAAACGGGGGACGTACCGTCGGCTGTCCGTTGTCTGTCCGTACACACACAAGCAACGCTCTCGTCTAGCTCTTTATGCTGGCGTTTTGACTCGCCTGCATTCTGCACTGCATACTTTGACGCCGTGTCCAACCCCCGCACACACCCGGTTCCTCTCTGGTGCCTGCTTTTAGCCACGTTGGATTCGTCGGTCCATTCTTCTGCATCTGGATCACTATCCCAAGTGCATCGGCGGAACCGCCAGCTCACATTTGCCCACCATGGCGCAACAGCATGATATGTACCTCGACTACGGTATCCCTCCCAACCGATCTCCCAATGCGTCGCGACCCTACCCCGCCGCTTCGGCTTTTCAGTCCGGTCTATCTCTGCCCCGACAGACACAGCGCCCTTTCGACCCTCCTCTGGGGTCTTCTGCCCTCTATTCGACCGACCGTCTCACCGGCAATTACAACCAGAGGCCAATGGACCAGATCCCACAGAGTGCATTGTCTGGAGCCTACTTGGCCGATGCCAATCAGCCTTGGTCCTACAACCCTGGCGGCGTAGCCACCGTCAACGGCGCTATGAATGGCACCAGCAGGCAAAGGAGCGTCAATCGACGTGTCCCTCTCCCAGCTGTACGTCACCACACTTTACATCCCTTGTCTCATTGCTACTACATGTCAATTTTTTTCTTCTTTTCTTTTCTTCCCGTCCCTGATCCAACCGTACTGACGCCTCGATGACATACAGAATTGGACAGATCAAGGTGCCATGGGTATGCCCTATGGCATGAACGGAAATCCCATGTCTGGCGGAGGGCTCCGCTACGACCAGGGTCAGCACGATATGCGAAGCGGTCATGGTGACGATCAGCTGATACCAACCGCCATCGTCATCAAGAACATCCCATTCGCCGTGCGGCGAGAGTCCCTCGCCGCCCTCATGGTCGACATGCACCTCCCGCAGCCCTACGCCTTCAACTACCACTTTGACAACGGCGTCTTCCGCGGGCTTGCCTTTGCCAACTTCTCCTCCCCCGAAGATACCAAAATCGTCATCGAGGCTATGAACGGACTCGATGTGCACGGTCGGAAGCTTCGCGTGGAGTACAAGAAAATGCTCCCGGAGGCTGAGCGCGAGCGTATTGAGAGGGAGAAGCGAGAGCGTCGTGGTCAGCTCGAGGAACAACACCGCGCCCCCATGCTTCACCAGCAGCCTTCCATTGCGTCGCTGAACAGTATCAGCACCAATCAGACACGCTCACCCCTTGGTGAGTCCCTTTCTCCCTACGTCCCTCATCCTTTCCCTATCTCATCTTACTCTCGTATCAATGAGCGTAACAAAAGTTGACATGGGCTTCCCCCGTCTCCAACAGGCGACGTAAATCTGAACGACCCCGAGACGCTTCGATTCTACACCGAGCTTATGCTGTTCAAGCAGGATAACTCCAGGGAGATTTTCATCTTCCCTCCCACCGTGACTCCCGAGCAGCGTCGCCAGGTTCACATCATGGCCCACCACATGGGCCTGGAGCATCAATCCGTCGGCGAGGCGGATTCCCGGCAAATTCACGTGGTCAAGCGACATCTCCCTTCGCCGACTTCTCAGCTGCAGACCGTGCCGTCGGTCGGCCTGGATTATCACAAGAAGGGATTGAGTAGGGCGGCCACATTTGATTTTGCCGCCGATAGGGAGTCCCGTCTCGCCGCGGGCAACTATTCCCATATGCTGGGTAGACAGGGCCCGACGCTAGAGCTTCCGGGAAGCCCTGATGGAAGCGGCTTGGCCAACCTGCGTGCTGCGAAGAGCTTCGCGGATCTGAGATCTTTCAGCCCGAGCCCTTCGGCCTCGTCTTCCAGTTACCTTACCGCCGTCAACAATGGGCTTGGAAACATGCCCGGCGCAGGTAGCGCGGCAGCTCGCTTCGGCGAGTACAGCAGCGGCTTGAACCAGGGTAGCAGCTTGGCCACGCCTAACCTGACACCCACGACGCCGGGAACGTCTGGGACCCCGAGCACCGGAAATGACAACAGCCTCTTGAGCGCCCTGGGCGGCCTGAACCTCGGCTCCTTTGACCCGAACCCGGGCTCGTCGCACCAGCAGCAGCCACGGAACACTCCGGGCGCCATCGGCAGCCAGCGTCCTGGGGCCAGCAGTGGAAGTAACCGCGGTTCGAACGCACCCGAGCGCCAGCCTAGGGGCCCCGAGTGGGAGGCTGCAGCCGGATTCGGCGGTCGAGGCCGATCCAATGGACACATGCAACGGGGAAGCGGTGAGTGGGCTTTTGTTTTTTGACTTTTTGTTTTTTGACAAGTGGTTGCGACTTTTGTATACGCCAGACATGTCTGACAGTAAGCGCCTTGCCACTTTTTACAGAGGATTCCTCCGAGAACGGTACCCGGGTCGGAACCAACTCGAACCCCTCTCGATACCACTAAACGGGCGACGGTACATGTTTATACATTGCCGCTCGCTTACGAAACACGACCATACGAGGAGACGATTCACGAGACTCGATATAGAGACCACCAGCACATCAAAACCATGTTTTATTGACCCCCCTACATTGACGAGCTTCGGCGTGCGTACCAAGCCGAAGCGGCGACGATCTTCACTCATGACTGCACGGGATACGTACCATGGCGGCCGCGTCGCATTGCTTGAGGCGTTGTTGTCTTGCGCAGGTCCACGCGAACTTTCTTGTTTAACCCCGCGGGTATTGCTTTAATCATCATCTTTTGCGCCTCGATTATTCGATATACGGATGGATAGAAGGAAAGTCGACGTTGTGTCCGGACGTGCACGAACAATTGGACGGAACGGAAACAAAGTCAGTCGTCTTTTCAGTTGGGTAACCGTCGGTACCGGAGATTTTCCCCAGCACTGTGTTTTAATTTTACTCTTTTTAACGACCAGATGAACGGGTCAACGGGAAAAAAAGAAAGAGATCCAGGACACACAAGATGACCATGCATATGGGCAACCATGTTTTTTACGACGCGGCTCAATGGCTCACGGCTCACGGCTCACGGCTATCGGCTCTCCCGCCCCTAGGTTGCCGGCGCCAACGAAAACACACAACTCTCCCCTCTGTTCTTCTGCACCAAGGACGGTTAGCGGAGACACGAAAAAAAATGTTTCGACCATGAATTAATGTTGTTACGACTTGACGTCTAGACGGCGCGCCGGCCCGCTCGACGATGCCCGCTCCACAGCATGGATAATGGGCTCGGGGGGGCGAGATCGGCGGCTGACGCGACAGCGATGCGGCGACGATCATATACTCTCTTAATCAAGTATCGGGTTACCTCGGTCATACGAACAATGGGTTCTGTTTATTTTTTGTTTTCTTTTTTTGTCTCTTTTTTCCCCCCCAAGGTCGGTCGGGCTGCGGGTTGGCGATGTGGTGGGGCCCTGGTTGGGGAGAGAGCAGGACAGTGCAGTGCAGACAGAGCAGAGCGGTGACACAGGTGGTGGCCCTGATGAATATGAAAGTTGTTTGTTGTTCTTTTTCCGCCTGATTTTTCGCTGATGTTTGGGTTTCCCCGTGTTCCTCCTGTATTTGTCGAAGCCTGGCCATACGCCCATGCTGCCCGGATGTCTTTCCCGCTGCACACCTGTTCCTCGCCCCTCCCCCGTCTCTTCCATGTAGGCCTGACCCTAGGCTTTTTTGAGGAGATGGCTTGTTGGAGTCTGTCCGGGTGCTGGGCGGTGAGGTTCAGGTGGGCGTTTAGGGCCGAGTTTGGAATTTTGTCGTTTTCGTTTCGTTGCTTTCTTCTTTGCAAAAACAACATGTACGCTGAATTGGAACAAGGTGGAGGGCGGAGGGTCAATGTCATGAAAGATGAAAAGACTCTGATGGGTGTCTTGATGGGATGGAAATGGGAATGGAATATGCGGCATTGTCCATGGCAGATCATCAGATGGTAGCAAACAAAGCAAGGTGTTTTTTTTTTTCCCTTTGATGGGAACATCGGGACTCTTGCTACTCTAGAAAATACACCTTTCGCATTATCCATATTCAAGAAAAGGTCAAGTCAGTTCAGCCTGTATTTTGCCCCGTTTATTTCGGGATTCCACGTGGTTCGTCTTAAGATCGATCGCCTTTGTTCATTCTTTGTTTCTATGAATAGCTTTTTATGTGGAGAGCCAAAGAGGGGGTGCCTCGGTGAAAGGTACTAAAAAGGTACGCACGGAGTGGGCGCTGCACACCGAGCGAAGGGACGAGTAGACAAAGAACAGACGGAAGGGAAGGTATCTCCACATTTCCTTTCCCTTGGAGATATATTCCTCGCCTTGTACCGTGGGGTCGTGTTGTGTGGTCTGGACACTTCATGTCTCGCCTCCTTCTGTCTCACCTCATCATGTCCTCTGTCCTCTCAGTCAAATTGTCGCCCTGCTTTAACAAGTGAGGAGTGGAGCAGGCCTGCCAATGAAATCAAGAAGAAAAGAATAAGAATAAGACTGACGAAACGAGAGGCACCAGACTTCCTTACCTCTCTTTGTCCTCCGATGGTTTCCGGAGTAAGACCGTGAGGGATCAAGCCGTCGGTGGCCTTTCTCGATGTTAGAGGTCTTCTAGCTTTTTTTTTTTTTTTTTTTGCTTTGACGTGCAGTCAAAGGGAGACACCTTCAAAGGCGTTTGAAGATGGGTAAACTCTGCGGATGTTGTACTAGAAGCGTTATTGGTAGGACAACGATGATACTGCACAGGACGCCCTTGAGAGATATATAGGGAATGAGCAAGCTGGGCGAAGGGGCTATGCTTCCTTTATGCGGATGTTTGCTGCAAGCGTTTATTTTTGGGCTCTTATTTTACTCTAGGATTGTCGACACGGGCGGTGGCAGCACTTGATTACTATTTTTCGACCAGCTTGACTCTTTACATTCTTTTCTCTCTTTCGTACATCAAGTTCTCATCTTCCCTTTTATTCAAGGAATTTATTCTACCTCAGCTTCTTCTCCATTTTGCTCCTTATTCATCGTTATCGGCATCCTTATCGTTATCCTTATCAAATTTCTTATCGATAACCCTTGACGTCCTACCTTAGGTATCTTTTTCGGGATCTTGCCACTGGGCTTTGCTTTTCCCCTTCTACTACCTTAGTAGTCATACGCCATTTTCCCTACGTCACGGCATCTATCACCCTAATAATCAGACCGTCTTCTCACCGCTCGGGACCGAAGAGAGGAAAAGGAGAGAAGAAGGTCTTAGAATCTGATTTGGTTCCTTCAATTGGCTGTCCCGCTGGCGGGCTGGCCATATTACGAAATGGCGCAAACCTCATCACGACCCATGATATCCATTTCTGCGCCCTGCGCGAGCTTAAGTCAGCCACTCGACGCCTCCCCCTCGCGGACGCCAGATACGAAACCTAAAGCCAAGCTGTACCCCCCTGCGCGCCTACATCTGCGTGGCCTACTTCCCCCCGAAACGATGAGTTCCGCGGAACCTGGCTCCCCATCGACCAGCCCATCGACTAGCCCATCGACTAACCCATCGGCCAACACTTCATCTTCCTCCTCTCCACAACCAAAAGAACCAGCAGAACCAGCGACACAGAAACAAACCCTCACAATTCAGACTCTCCCTACTACACGACCGGCACAGAAACAAACCGTCACAATGCAGAGCCTCCCCGAATCGCCCGTCCTGGGCACCCCCAACCCCTGCGCCATGCAGGAGACGACACACCCCCTCCCTCAGCCTACGCCTACGCCTCCGCCGCCCACTCGACCCTGGCTGTGGAAATGCCACGGCTGCCACACGAAACAGCGCCTCGCCTGCACGCAACGATGCCTCGAATGCTCGCGCCGCCGCCTGTGCGACAGAAACAACCCGAAGCCCAGACCGACGGAATTCGACTTCGCGGGGTGGAGGGACTTTAGAGCGTGGCGGACCAAGACCAAGCAGAAGCAGGCCTCCTCCAAGGGCCTGCGCCCTTCCTCGTCCTCCTCGTCCTCCTCCCCCCGGTCTTACCGCCAGAAGACGGGTTTACTCGCCCATGCGTACGCGCACGGTTATTTCGACCACCACGATGCCGAGGCGGGAGGATGCGAGGCTGCGTGCGATTATCCCGGGGAGTGCGTCCGTCGGAGGAAACACGAGGAGGCGCGACGGAAGAGGGAGGCGGAGGAGCTGCAGCGGCAACAAGAAAGGGAACTACAGGAGCAGGAACGCCAGATGCTGCAGTATATGATGCAGCGACAGCAGCAGCAGGACGGCGAGCAGTGGTGGAACGAGGTCGGCTTCCAGGACGGCCCCGGGGCGGGAGGGCTGGAAGGCTACGTCCTTGCACGCATCCCTTCCCTCGCGGGTAAAGACGAACAAGGGGTGGCCTCGCCGCCGAGTCCCGTGCTCCAGGGAGTGGACGGACTAGGAGGCAACATTTGCATGGGGGACGCGGACGTGGGCGTGGGCGTGGGGAACATGGCGGATGGAGGAGGAGGGGGAGGAGGAGCGCATGACGACGCCCAAGTCCGTCAGGCCGCCCTTTCCGTGGCGTGGCCGTCGCCTTCTTCCAACCCCAGCCCGCCATCGTCCTCGGCCTCGTCGTCGTGTTCCGGGAGTTGGTGCGAGGAGGACCGCGATGATTCGACAAACCAGTCGCAAAGCCAAGGCGAACCAGACGTTGGCCCATGTTGCGACGCACAAGGCGGGGAAGCAGGACAAGGGCAAGAGCAAGGAGGAGCAGGAGCAGGAGCAGGAGCAGGAGGAGAGAACAACTACGTGAACGACTACTCCAAGTCGGGGCTGGACCTGGGGTTGACCACGGCAGACATGGCGGCCACGGCCTGTACGGGTGCGAGTTTCGAGCCGAGTGATGCCCTCTCTGTTTTCTGGGGCGCCGGAGAGCAGGTTGCTGTCCGGGATGCACAAATGGAATTGGGTGACTGGTTGAACAAGATCCCGAACCTCGGCCAGGGACCCGACATGACGGGGGGATATGATGACTTCTTTTGAGCAATGACGGGAGGTAATGTGGTAATGATATGGAACTGGGACAGCTCTGACAGCCGGGGGGGGAACTTGGACAACAGGGACAGCGAGGGGCGGTGTCTTTAATGGGGTGACTTTATGACACTTGGTCAAGCGAACGGACGAAGAAGATGAAATTCTTGCTTCGTTATTACTGCATCTCAACTCTGGCTGACAGCACTGGCGTTTCGGAGGAGAAAAAAAGATGCATGGACTAGATGAGGCGGACGCAACGCTCATCATATAGCGACCCATATCAGTTAGATAGGGGTCATGATCTTCACCACTCATGCATAATAATAAACACAGCGACATCTCCACCACTTTTTTTCTTTATTTTTTCTCCTTTTTGTCTGTACATTGGATTCATCTACCTAATGATCCTATCAACCCCCACGTATGTCCCGCGGGGGGAGTTTAGGCGATGAAATAAAGAGGGGAAAAATAATTCGGGAACCTTGGTTGTTGTACAAATCGAATCCTAGGTTGAGAGGGACAGGACAAGAATACGGCGGGAGACACCGCAGATGGTTCGGTAGCTGTACCACCCACCCGTTCGCATCGCGTCGATGCTCAGTCGCCATCCCGAGCCGGCGATATCAGGGCGAGAAAATTCGGCAGACCAACTCGACGAAAGCCATGCCATCGTATACAGGAGAGTTGGCTGTTCGCTGCCGCTTCAGCTGGATCTCGTTGTGCGTCCCACCCCCCCGGGTGCTGCTGTTCGACAGGTTATAACCCATCACGGCCCCCATCCGGCCCTCGTTTCATTTCATCCGTCTCCAGCACGAGCGCCTTGTTTTGTTCCAACCGTCCATCCTGGTAACTTCTCCCGTCGCCCCAACCAGCGGGAAAAAAAGAAAAAGCAGAAAAAAAAAAAAGGCGTATCGATATGAAACTGAACCCGGACCCAGCCAACCCATCGTTTGTGAAACAAAAACAGAAAAGAACAAAATTAAGAGAACACCCAGCACATCGGTATCAGGGTGTCATACGCCGTCATCGTATAAGTGCTGCTGAGTAGCCACCTATGCTTCGATTTGCTTCGCCTTCTTCTTCTGCTCGACCTTGAGGAGGAGGGCGCGGTTGATGTGGGGCAGCACACCGCCGAAGGCGATGGTGGCGCGGATGAGGGTGTCGAGTTCTTCGTCTCCGCGGATGGCGAGTTGTAGGTGGCGAGGGGTGATACGCTTAACCTTGAGGTCCTTGGCGGCGTTCTGTCGGATGAGAGAAAGCGAACAGTTAGTCACGTGCTTGACCCGAAAGTGGGAAGAGAGGAGAAAGGATGGGGGAAAAGGAGGAGTCGCTAGGCAGCCACGTATCCGTAGATTGCGACGCAAAAATTGAACCCGACAGCAGAACGACGGAAAGACGGCGAAGTGAACTTACGCCTGCAAGTTCGAGTACTTCAGCGGTTAGGTACTCGAGGACGGCCGTGGTGTAGACGGCAGCCTTGGCACCAACGCGCATCTTGCCTTGGGTGTTGGCCTTCAGGAATCGCTTGACACGACCGCAGGGGAACTGAAAGTCATGGGAGTCAGCAGGAGACGAAGTCGGGATGTGCAAGCATGGCATGGTGTGAGTTTTGCGTTTATGTCTGCTGCCCGGCCACCTCGTCCATGTCGCGCAGAAGAGGGTTTTTTTTTCCATTATTTTTTGGTCGTCTCAAGAGGACGGAGGGATGGCGGTGACGCGCAATGATGCCGAGCCACGTAGGTGGTCGCCAGGTTGATCGCGCGGATATTGGTGAAGACATGCTGAGGTGATGACCAGATATTGAACGCGTCAAAATTGGTGAAAGTGGTCGGGTCAGAAGAGACGTCGGTCGTTTGGTCGTTTGCGCGGAAATCTAAAGGGATGCGAAAGATGGACGAGGTGGGAGACGGCTTGCAACGCGTCGGGAATATCAAGGTAAAAAAAGGGAAGATAAGGTACGAAAAGAGTCAAAGAACGGGCGGGAGAGACGTGACATACCTGAAGACCGGCGCGAGCAGAATGACTCTGCGGCTTCTTGGGACCATCGGCCGAAGCCTTTCCGCCTGAAGTCTTGCCTCCCGACTTGCCTTTGCCTCCAGCCATTTTGTGGTTTTTTTCGGGGATGAATTATTATAATTCGAGATAAAAGCGCGTCGAAGCTCGTGGTTGGATGAATCGATAACAAAGTAACGCCTGTCGATGGCGAGATGAAAATGGGGGGGAAAACGTGGTAAAATCGATGTAGGGTGGGATGTTAATTGTTGTTTTTGTTGTTGGTGTTGGTGTCGTTGGAATGAATTTTTTATTTCTTGCTGTAACTTGGCGTCGAATGCGATGAGCGATGGAGGTGTTGAGGGTGGATGGTGGGTGGTGGCGGGCGGTGGTGACGGTGGAGTCGAAAAGAGGGACGAGAAGAAGAAGAAAAAGAAAAAAAAAAAACACTTGGTGACAGGCAGCGACGACAGTGGACTTGGCTTCGAGCCTCTCGAAACTCTGCTGATTCAGGTCGTTCGTTCTGTTGTTCTTCTTTTGGGGGTTTTTAGCGTGACTTTGCAATACCTTAGATAAGGTAGGTAATATGTACGTACCTAGGTACATACATTGTACCGTGGAGATTATCCGAAGTATCGCCGGATACGGAGGCCCAGACGGGTGATGGATGATGGCGTCTTCGGCGGCGGAAAGGAGAAGGGCAAGTCGGCCATGTCTCTCCCCTCTGATGAGTGGACACGGGAGGACAAGGTTCAACTTTGTCGTAAGAAGAGACAAGAGGGTTCCCCGCTAGTTGCCCCAGGAAGGAGCTGTGAGTGAGGCTAGGACGTGCTATCCGCAGTACGTGATATCCGTCCGGATACACATGCCATGCCATGAAGCGGCTCGATGCATCATGGTGCAGAGCTGCTCAAGGGACTGATAAAGTCCGGCAATAAGTCGTCTTCAGAAGAAGTGTAATCAGCCATAACCTGGCTTGGGCCCTTGTGACGGTCTCCATGGCAAAGATGGTGGTCGTAGTTCGAGGCTTTGGGTGACGATCTGGAGTTGGTGAAGAGACCTGGCGTCAATGGATTTGGGAGTTTGACCACTATGGCACAGATGTGTGGCTCGTGGCATACCACGTGATGCAATAATGGTATGGTGTGGCTAGGTCTAGGTACGGAGATGTCATCCAGAGGGATAAAGTATAACTTAGTAATGTAATTAATACGTTGTACGTGTACCCGGCCTCGGGATCGGGCTTAATAAGACCCCCGGTCATATCCACTACGACTACGACCCATAATGAGGTCAGGGGAGAGAGACAGAGATGGGGCCATGGGCAATCGAACGGAGGGTTGCCGGTGGGGGGACTTTGGGACGTTCGCCTTCCATCACCTGGATCAACATCCATCCCTTACCGTTTACGAAACCGATTCCAAGTATCCGTAAAACAGAGTCCAATCATAACAACATCCAACACATCCGACACATCCGACGGTGCTGAATCTCGACCTCATCACCGCTGATCTGATCTCACAACTCACTCCCGGGCAGCCCCCGGAAACACCCTTCTTCTTCCTCCTCGCCATCCTCGCATCCCTCGTATCTTTTGCACGTTGTAGCTGCGTCCGATTGGCAGAGAGCTCGTTGACGTCAGCTCTGGCCCCCCGATCGAACCGCGGCTCATTTGTAAGTAATATTCCGTAGGTCTGTCTCCCCCCATTCCATTCCCCAATATTCTATTTCGTCTCAGAATATTCCGTGGGTATTTCTTTTCATCATCATCATCTTTCTCCCTTTTCATGCCAGGCCTAAAGTAAAGTAGCTTTTTGCCATCTCTTGTATGGTACGGGAACTCCGAACAACTCGCCGTTACGATGAAGTTCACCTCCGTCCTCCCCTTGGCGACTATTGCGTCTGCCATCGTCCTCCCGGACCTCAGCGACGTCCAGACATGGGAGAACATTGTCCCGTCTAAAGAGTCGATCGGCAAGGTCGCTTCCGCCTTCAAGGATGACTTGGACGCCTTCACCTCGGGCGTCGAGGACATCCTCTCACACGCCGGCGACGCAGTGCAGTCGACCCTGGATAACCTCCTAGGCAGCGAAGACGCGGACGCAGACGTCTTGGGCCACCACCATCACCACCACAAGACCTCCAACCTGACCATCTACCAGCTCATCAAGGCGAGCGACCACACGAAAAAGTTCGCGGCCCTCGTCGACGAGCACGATTCGGTTGTCCAGCTCCTCAACTCCACCAAGGCCAATTACACGCTTTTCGTCCCCGTCGACGCGGCCTTTGAGCGCATCCCCGACCACGGGAAGAAGCCCAGTCGCGACTTTGTCGATGCCCTGCTGCGGTATCACATCGGTGTTGGTCTCTACCCGGCCCCGCGCCTCCTGGTCACTCATACATTGCCTACCGCCTTGGACGAGGCTTGGCTGGACGATGAGCCGCAGCGTCTGCGCACCCGTGTTGGTCTGTTTGGTGTGACTGTCAATTTTTACAACAAGGTTATCAAAGCCGACATTGTAAGTCAATTATATCTTTTTTTTTTTCCCCTTCTCTTTTTTTTCTTTCTAGAACCAAAAGGAAAAGAAAGGAAGAAAAGGCTGACTCTCTTCCTCTCTTCCTCTTCCCAGCGCGCCAAAAACGGCGTCATCCACGCAGTCAAGCACATCCTCGTCCCCCCACCCATGGTCGGCCGCGTCCTCTCCCTCGTGCCGTCCAAGTTCTCGACCCTCCTCCTCGCCTACGAGAAGACCGACTTCGTGTCGTTCATTCACCACGTCAAGATGCGCGGCAGCACCGTGTTCGCGCCCTCGAACCAGGCCTTCGCCCGCCTCGGGCCCTCCGCCAACGCCTTCCTCTTCAACTCGGAGCACGGGCTCAAGTACCTCCGCGCCCTGCTCAAGTACCAGATCGTCGCCAACGAGACGCTCTACAGCGACGCCTTCTACCGCGCCAAGGCGGCCGACGCCGAACACGTGGTGACGGTCGGCCGGGACGAGAACGGCGTCGAGGCCGATGGGCTGCGTCACTACCATGTCGACATGCCCAGCCTGCTCGACGAGAAGAACATTGCGGTCGACATCACTCGCTGGGGGGGGCTCATCGATGTCAAGGTGAACGGCTATGTCCACGTCGGCGTGCAGGATGGGGTGGCGCGCAACGGCGTCATTCAGGTCGTTGACAGGGTCTTGTTCCCGCACCGGACGCCTGGCGCTGGCCGACAGGGAGAGGTGAATGCCGAGGAGGAGGAGCTTCTTTGGGGTGGTGAGGTTGATGTTGAGGATATCAAGGCTCGGTTGGGTCCGCTTGTTGAGGAGGACGATGAAGATTTTTCCTTTGAGCTGTGAGTCGGACTGTGAGTTGAGCTGCGAGCTGTTTGGACGAAACTGCGACGCATTGATGAGTGGTGGAAGACGGAAAGCAAGCAAAGAGGGATTCGAGTTTCCAGTTTACAAAGATGATGTGCGGAGGACGTATATCAAGTTCATATGGGATGGCCGGCTTGGCCATTGTCAGTCTTTTCCACAGATATAGCGTATATGCGACATGACATTTCGGACGATCATCATTGAGGTATAGGCACTGAGCTTCCTTCGTTGTTTCTCCAAGGCATTCGGGTACATATCGACGACAGGAAGAGAACCACCTTGTCACCTTAGGTAAGTACCTTGAGGTAAGGTAAGGGGCAAGTGCGTGATCTCTGCGTACCTGGTATTCTGACGAGAGTTCCTTGCAATACCTAAGGTACCTGCAGGTACCTTACCTTACGAACGTCCACGATACTAATTTGTACTCCGTATCGTACTATATATCTGCTTGTGCCTCGGTAACAATAAAGTACCTTATCTTCCAATACGAAGTTATGATCGTCTTCTCTTAGCGTGTGCACGGTCGTCGGTGAGGGCTTTACCTACGAGATACGTACCTTCATACCGAGAACCCACCATAGAGCACAGAGTAAGGGGTACTGGTACATATCGCACGTCCACAACACCAACCCGTCATCCATGGCGCTTTCTCCTCTCCTCTATCATCACGACTAATTCATCCTTCATTTCCCCTCCTTATGCCATCAGGCCCCAGAAAGAAGACAGCTATTTACCCACCGAGCGTGCTGTCTGCCTTCCCCTTTGCTCGACTCTGCTGCGGGCATATGCATAATACACGAAATCAGTTACGGTAGCCGCGATCCAGGAGCACGACTCTTAGCTGTGGTGGTCTTCATGGAGACGAAGAAACACCAAATGACGGTATGGAGGCTGAGACGACCAAGTGACGCGAGATCAAGAGCCTACGAATCGACTAGACGACAATAACACAGCCAGCGCACTTTATGCCGGAGGCCGATCAGATTCACTTCCCCTCATTTCCACCACCACCACCACCACCACTCGCAGTCTGCAGCCTGCCCTCCCTGGGCCGAATTCAAGAAGACCCGGGCTCTCTCTTCCACCAATCCTAGCTTACCAGAAGCCTTGTTTTCTCTGGGGGGTTGTTTGCTAATGTAAACATCTCGTTTCCCCCTTTCTCTTTGACCTCCTTAGCCACCCTCCGTCTCTCGTCCTTCTCGTCCTTCTCGTCCTTGTCGTCTCTCCTTTAACCCAACATGGAGGTCATCATGAAAAACGTCCCCCGCGATCTCGGGGATCGCAATCTCTCCGCCCAACTTCAGCCTTACATGAACGCTCTGGGTATCCTTGCTTGGATGTGTACGACCGCTCGCGGGAAGACCATAGGCTTTGTTGTTTTCCTCGAAGAACAGGACGGCAAGGCCTTTCTCAACCGCCATGGCAAAAAGGCCGTCACACCCGCCGACGCGCTATCCTCCTCAAGTCGTCGATTTGGCCGTTCCCGCGACATTGCCCGTCTCTTCCTCATGAATACGCCCGTCTATGTCTCCATGAGCAACAAGACCCCAGACCCTTTCCATCTTCGGTCCCTGCACTACCGCCTGGACGAACGGATCAGCGCAGGTCCCGGTAGAGAGGAGACCCAGCCTGCTGTCACGCTCGCCACGTCCCGCCTGGCCTGCGGCCACCTCTTTCTGCCTTCCTCCCCCGGGACTCTCTATTTTGTTGACGAGTGTCGTTGCGACTTTCTCGGAATCGTCAAGTTCTACAGCAAGATGCTCGTCCTCCGCTCCCAGCATGCCGCGGGGACCATCCTTCGTATTCCCTACGATACCATGGAACATGCCATCTTCGATTCCAAGGCCTCCAGCTTCACACTTGTCCTCAGAGAGGCTCCGCGCATCTTTGCCCCGGAGACCGCCGCAGAGCTGATGCAGCGTTTGTCCGTTTCCCCCGCCTCGAACAGGGGCAAGGCCCTCCGGCGCGTCACTCACATACCCGACGCGCCTGCCCATGGCCGCTACGTACCGCACTGTTTGGTCTATCGGATCGACATTATGGAAGTTGACGCACATAAGCATTCCGTCATGACCCAGCTGAAAAGACAGGAGCTCTTCACCTTGTATCATGCAGGTTTGCCCATTGTTCGAACCCCGCGTCCTCTTTACGACGACTTCGAGACGTCCTACAGGGCCTTTCAGCAGGACCTGGAGACATGCGAACGCCAGAAGAGGGTCCCCTTCCGCCTCCTGTTTCAATGCCAAGCCTGGGTCTGGAATAATTATCTGCACCCGTTCGTCGCAGCCCGACTCCTCAAACGAATTCGGACCGCCTTCGAAAAAGCGCGAAGAAGTCGTCGACCGGATCCCGTCTCGGAAGAGTCGATGAAGGCCCTGTACGAGACGATTCCGTTTCCGTACCCCGGAATTTCTCCTTCGGAACTCGATGCCGATCAACTCATGCATCGCATCCTGCGCAAGGAGTCTCGCAGTGCCCAGGATGAGGCCTTGATGCCGGCTCCCCTGCCCACCGCCGAAAACTCGGGCCAGCGTGTCAACATCTTCAAGGCCACTGTTACCCCGACGCGTATCACCCTCCACGGGCCCGATCCGGAGCCGATGAACCGCATCCTCCGCAAGTTCCCCGACTTCTCCGAGTTCTTTCTCCGGGTCCAGTTCTGCGACGAGAACGGCGACGACCTCTTCTTCTCGCCCAAAGTGTCCAACGACATTATCTTCGAGAGGTTTCGCAAGGTCCTCATCAATGGCGTCCCGGTGGCCGGGCGAGTCTACTCCTTTCTGGGCTTCTCGCACTCGTCGCTGCGCTCCCATTCTGCTTGGTTCTCCGCTCCTTTCGTGGACAAGAACGGCGAGCTGCAGACGTACGGTGTCATCATCCGCTCCCTCGGCGACTTCAAACAGATCCGTGTCCCCGCCAGGTGTGCTGCCCGTATAGGGCAGGCCTTCTCTGAAACCCCTTCCTATGTCTCCCTACTGAACGACGGCATAAACGCCTACACCATCCCGGACGTCAAGTCGGACGATGGCGAACGCGTCTTCAGTGATGGCGTCGGCTTTATTTCCCAGGACGCGCTCGATGTGATTTGGGCGCGACTCGGCGGCGGCGTCGCGCCCACGGGTCTGCAAATCCGCTGGGCCGGCGCCAAGGGGATGCTCTGCCTGAACACCGTCGTCCCCGGCCGCTCCATCCACGTACGCGACTCGATGATCAAGTTCCCCAGCGAGGACCGAGAGAACCTCGAAATTTGCGACGCAGCGACCAAGCCGCTCCGGTTCGTCCTCAATCGTCAGGTGATCAAAATCCTGGAGGACATGGGGGTGTCGGACGACTGGTTCCTCTCGCTCCAGGCGCGCGAGATCAACCGGCTCCGGGCCGTGACCGCCGACGCCTACAACACGGGCACCTTCCTCCAGCTCCAGGGTATCGGCAACGGGTTCTACCTCTCGACCTTCATCAAGACGCTGGACAAGTACGGCATCGACTACCGCATGGACGACTTCCTCCGGACCGTGGTCGAGTCGGTCGTCCTGCGCGAGCTCCGCCTCCTCAAGCACAAGGCGCGCATCCCCGTGCCCAAGGGCGTGACCTTGTTCGGCGTCATGGACGAGACCGGGTTCCTGGGGGAAGGGGAGGTGTACGTGACGTTCGACAGGGACCACCACCGCCGGTTCGGCACGTCCCTCATCGACGACTCCCTGGCCGCCGACGGCTGGCTCCTGGTCACGCGCTCCCCGGCGCTGCACCCGGGCGACATCCAGCTCGCCGAGATGCGGACGCCGCCGGCGGGCCACCCGCTCCGGGCGCTGCGCAACTGCATCGCCTTCAGCCGCCGCGGGACGCGCGACCTGCCCAGCCAGCTCAGCGGCGGGGACCTCGACGGCGACCTGTACAACGTCATCTGGGACCGCGGGTGCTGGCCGGGGCGGAGCTGCAGCCCGGCCGACTACCCGCGGGTCACGGCGCAGGCGCTGGACAGGGAGGTGACGCGAGAGGACATGGCGAACTGGTTTGTGGACTTTATGAAGTCGGACGTCCTGGGCATGATCGCCACGCGCCACCTCGTGCTGTCGGACCAGAGGGACGAGGGGACGCTGGACCCGGATTGTCTCCGGCTTGCCATGTTGCATTCTACCGCTGTTGATTTCTCCAAGACGGGGCAGCCGGTGGATGTGACTAGTATGCCTAGGGCGGGCAAGTTCCGGCCTGATTTGTATGTTGTCTTTTTTTCTTCTTTTTTGTTTTCTTTTTTTTCCTTTTTTTCCTTTTTCCTTTTTTCCGCCTGGAAAACCTGCTAACGTGCCCCCTAGTCTTGCGCCTGCCCCTCCGGCGATCCTTCACGATCGACACCACATCGACTTTCTGGGAAAGCCGGCCGCACGCGACGACACGGACGCGGACGCGGACGAGGACGGCGGCGAAGACGCGTTTCGATCGAACTACGAGTACTACAAGTCGGAGAAGATCTTGGGGAGGTTATACCGCAACGTGGACGAGAAGCGCATCTGGGACGACGACATCTGCCGCGTCGGGGAGAAGCGGGAGGGACCGGAGCTCTGGACGCAGTTCACGGCCTTGATGCGGCGTAAGCTGCACCAGTATGTGCAGGGGCGGATCACGTGGCGGAAGAAGCGCGAGGAGGCGTGGCGATTGCGCGACATGTGGGTTTACGACTGCTTTTCCTTCTTCCCTCTTCCCTCTTCCCTCTTCTCGCTCCGTCTGTCGTCGTCTTGTTCCGCTCGGTTGTGAAAGACCGGGAGTGGATCGCACTCGGCACAGTGGGATGGAAAGAGAAGAGGCAAGAAGACTGACCGAGGATGACACGCGCAGATACGAAGAGGCGGTACACAGCGCCATGTGGAAGTATTCGGACAACCACATGAAGATGCTCCAGGAAGTGGAGGTGTTTTGCGGCACCATCTTTAATAAGAGCGGGTCGCAGACGCGGAGGCAGAAGGACAACTCGAGCAAGCTCAAGGAGGAGTTTGACCGCATCGCAGCTATGCTGGTTGGTCTTATTCGGCGACGGAGCCGCGACGCGGAGCAACAGCAGCAACAGCAGCAAGACGGCTCCAGATACGAGGGGACAGATATCGACCACGACGCCGGCGACGACGACGACGACGATGCCGACGACCTGGTGGCGGCGGCGTTGGCACCAGGGAAAGACGCGCTGGAATTGGCTTTCGCGTGCCTGGACGTGGGGATGGTCAAACGCAACGAGGCGGAGTACAAGCAGCTAGCCGGGATGCAGAGTTTTCGGGTCATTGCCGCGAGCTGCCTGCTTAAGGAGATGACGGCGTTTGTCAATCGCCTTAGGGGTGGGAGCTTGAGGGTTATGGGGGGTGGTGGTGGATTTGTCGGGGTCAGCAGCGGCGGGCCGGCGATATTCCCTCAGTATGGGGACAACCCGTGCGGTTTCGACCCGGGGCATTTTCAGAATTACGGGTTTACTCAGTATTTGTAAAAACGGTGGAAGTAGCAGTTTGAAGGTGGTTGTTTTGTACGAGAATCACGAGATACCCTGAAGGATTGAAGAGCAGTCGGCAGTTCGCATAAGGACAATCGAGTTCCGGTAGCTCAGGGGTAGAGCAATCGCCTGCAGTTCTTCGGAATAGTTAGCGATAGGTCAGGCGTTCGAATCGCCTCCAGAACTTTTTTTTTTTAAGCAGTGGGTTGACCGGCGCTGGAGGCTCCGCTGCCCTGCAGGATCCCCTCTCCCCTGCAACTAGTAACTTAACAGGACTACCACATCTACACGGTATGTCTTGTCTTTTTATATGCTTCACTTGTTTTCTGCTAATTTTAATTTTTCTTTTGCCGACGAGGCGCTGTTGGTGCACTATGTCTTCTTCTTGTATGCAGATGGCGAAGAGGGTAAAGTACACCGACCTCACCGAGCGGAGCGTTCTCGGTGTTTCCTTGTTATTCCCAGTTTCACCGAACTCAACTCCACGTCGGCTTGGTCTCCCGTCGTTAGTCATCATGATCCGAATCAATTGCCGATGCTGCTTTTTCTTCTTTTCCCCTCTTTATTTACTTGAATTTGACAAAGTAAACAACCCCCTTCCGTCCCGAATCTTGCTCGTTCGGATGATCACATGGCCGGGAACGAAGAACGGGAGATGTTTATAAATAGATACGTATACCAATAAATAGCCACCATCGGACATTATTCAGTGCATTGATTGATTCATCAATTGAATGACAAGTTCACGCCTGTCGTCAATTCTTTGGTTCTAACCCCGCAGGCACACTCGTCGTTGCTTGATTTCTTCCTTGAACACCTCCCCCCGAGGGAGTAAAAAAGCAAAATATTAGGGATATAAAGACGAAACGAAACAATCAAGAAAAAGAAGAAATCAGACAAGATGGCAACGCCCGGCTTACTCTACGTTAAAATGCAGCCCAAGCCGGACCTCCCGGAAGCGCAATTCCACGAATGGTACAACAACGAACACGGACCGACACGCCTCCGTTTCGCGCACATCTTCCCCAACGGGTTCCGTTACCGGGCCACCGACAACAAGGAACCGACCTACCTCGCCGTCTACGACGTCACAGACACGGCCCTGCTCGAGACCAAAGAGTACACCGACCTCCGGGCCCACCGCTCCGCCCACGAGGCCGCGACCATCGGCCAGGTCGACGTCCGGCGAGACATCTACGACCTAGTGCACGAGCGATCCAACGAAGCCTTCCGGCCCTTGGAGTCCCTGACCGACGCCGACGCCGAGGGGACCCAGCTCGTCGTCAACGAGACCACCGTCAAGAACGACTACAGGCAGGCCGAAGAAGAGTACACGACGTGGTACGAGGAGGAACACGTCGACATGCTGTCCCGCGTGCCGGGGTGGCTGCGCACCCGCCTGTTCCGCACCTCGCCGATCGGCAACCCTTCCCGGACGACCCTCCTCTCCGTCACCGAGTACGCCCGGGAGAACGGCCTGGGCGGGCCCGAGCATAAAGCCGCCATGGACACGCCGTGGCGGACCAAAGTGACGGCCGGCTGCGTCGATGCCAAGGAACGGCGCACCTACTCCCTCTTCTACGTCTTCGGCCCCGCACCTAGGGACTTGGCGCACCTCGCCCACCTACCGTCTTCCGGCCGGGCCTTCAGCTACGGCGTCGCCGGCCCGCGCGACGAAACCACCACCACCACCACCACGACACTCGCGGGGGACAGACACCCGGGCATCAGCTCCTACATCACGACGAAATCCGACGGGCTGAACATCCGCTACCGGCTCGAAGGCAACCCGTCCCCCGCGGCCCCGACCGTGGCGTTCTGCAACTCGCTCCTCACGTCGCTGCACATGTGGGACCCGCTGGTGCAGATCCTGAAGACGGAGAGGCCCGACCTGCGCATCCTCCGCTACGACGCGCGCGGCCGCCACGCCGTCCCGAAGCCGCCGCGCCCGGCCACCCTGGACGTGCTGGCCGCCGATTTGGACGAGGTGCTCGACGCGCTGCGGATCGAGAGGCTGGATGCGCTGGTGGGCGTGTCGATGGGGGGCGCGACGACGCTGAGTTTCGCGCTGCGGTACCCGGGCCGCGTGGGGAGGTTCGTGGCGTGCGATTTCAATGCCGCGAGCAGTGCGGCGAATACGCAGGCTTGGAAGGATAGGATCGAGGTCGCGGAAGCGGACGGCGGGACGGGGATCAAGACGCTGGCGACGCAGACGGTGGGGAGGTGGTTTCACCCTTCTACCGTGGAGGGCAAGGAGACGTTGGTGAACCTCATGACGGAGATGGTTGCGGCGAATGATGTGGAAGGGTTCAGGTATAGTTGCCAGGCGTTGTGGGATTACGACTTGAAGCCGCGGATCGGGGAGTGTAGTGTGCCGGGTCTGTTGGTTGTCGGCGAGGGAGATGGCAAGGGCGCGCTGGTGAAGGCTATGCAAGGGTTTGCTGGGGCTCTTGGAGCCGAGGGGACGAGGTTGGCCATCGTGCCGGAGACGGGACACTTGCCCATGTGGGAGGATGCGGACGCTTTTTGGGAGGCCGTGAGGGAGTTTCTATAGATCGTTCGAGGTAGGAATACGATCCGGAGCATGGAGGAGAGCTCGTACTCGTATAATTGCATGAGGAGGCTTACGGCTTTTAAGTGCATCTAATTCGACGTTTATGCAAATGTAGGTATCTTTCGCCTAACGAGGCTTACCGAAGAAGCCTACGTCATCCAGGCTGTGCCGGAAGCTGTGCCACAGCTCTCAGGTCTCCGACGGAGAGTCTCCGTATCCATCCTCAACCCACAACCCAACCACTCCTCCCTCATTTCCTGCACTCGGTATTTCAACCAATTTTGGCAACACCGACTCCACCCTCCGTTTAATACGCGTTCAGCATCAGTTGTGCTATGCTCTTCGCGTACTCCAGCGTCTCCACCGATTCTCACATGGCAACCACGCCGAGACGGTGAAGCCCGTTTGAGATGATCGCCATGTTTCTATGGGGCTTTCGAAAAGTTTTCGATCCCAGGGGGGACCAGTTCTCGTCCGATACGCGGATTTTTTTCTTCCAGCTCTAATGGGCAGTGCAGGGTGGGCATAGGAAATCCCGTCAGCATCCATGTTTTGGCAACGGATGTCCTTCGTCTCTCATGCTGTCTTCAACTGCATCGGAGCATAACAGTGAACCGTCTGACTTGCATTTCGAGGCGTTCTCCAGCACCGGCAGTTTGGTTCAAGGCTTGCCAGGCGTCGAATCGCTTCACTGCCTCTCCCCTGACTGCACCATCGCGGAAAGAAAATACGCGGTCCTGCTTACTCACTGCAGGGGTGATGTGGGCAAGGTGGAGCGTGGCGGGACGAGAAGGAGAACGGGGAATAGGAGAAGGCCGAACGGCGACGCCTTGAGCCTCAAACCCCCAACGCCAGCCAAAACGGAATGCTTGGCTTGACCAACCGCAGTCGACAAGCGGCTTGGGTCGGATATGCCAATATTTGTCTTGCCCACCAGAGGATCCCCCCCCCCTGCTGCTAGTGTTTTTTTGCTCTGTTACTGACATGGATCGGGGACAACAGTCATTGTCAAGCCCAAGCCTCGTTCCCTGTCGATGACCTTCGGAGGGATCCTGTCAGTTGGCGGAAGTTGGGGGTAGGGTAGATCAACCATCGCTACGTCCGACTTGCTGATCTCTTGGGCTTACCTTTCGAGTATATATCTTGCTTCGATTCACTTCTCATCCTCGTTTTATCAGCCACTCGACATCAACCATTCAAGCAACGAACTCCTCAACCCGTTTTCTCTGATCCCGTCTTCTCCTTTGTCCCTTTCCCATCTCTTTCTTCTCCATATTCTTCCCTTGGGCGTGCATCTTGAAACAAAGCAGAAGACTTCGGAGCCGACAACCCCCTCCATATTCTCACAAATCTCCACCACACCTCGAATAACAAAAGCAGCTGCCCACCATGTCCGACGCACAGATGCCCAGTTTCAACACCTGTACCGAGGTGAACGAGATGTGTCCCGTAGAGGCCTCTCTCTACGGCGACTACTTCACCATGGGCGCCTGCGTCTTTTTCGCCGTCGCCTTCGGCCTCAACGCCCTCGCCCAGGGCTGGCTGACGTGGCGGTCCCGCGCCTGGTCCTTCGGCGTGTACCTGGCCATCGGCACCGTCATGGAGCTGCTCGGCTACGTCGGCCGCGCCATCATGGCCGAGAACCCGTGGAACTTCGAGGGCTTCTTCATGCAGCTGCTCATGCTCATCCTGGGCCCCACCTTCGTCGCCGCCGCCATCTCCGTCACCTTCAAGCACCTCGTCCTGTGGTACGGCCCCCAGTACTCTTTTATCAAGCCGGCGCTGTACCCGTGGATTTTCGTCGGGACCGACTTTATTTCGATTATCATCCAGGCGGGCGGCGGTGTTGTCGCTTCCATGGCGACTGAGGAGGAGATCCCCGACCCGGCATTGCTGGACCTGGGCAACGCGCTCTTGATCGCCGGTGTCGTGTTTCAGGTGATCAACATGGTGTTTTGCGGCGGTCTTATGCTCGTTTATCTTTGGCGTCGTCGCACTGCTGTCAAGAACGCTGCTGCTGTGGCTGCTAACGCATACCCTGGTGGTCATGGCTATGCTTCCGGCTCTGGCTCTGCTTCTTCTATGAACGGCTCTATTCCCGAGAAGGCGGCTGGCCGCTCTGGGTCGTCTGGAGAGGACAAGAAGGTCCACATTTTTATCTATGCCATTGTTGCTTCGTACATTTTCATCATCATTCGCTGCATCTACCGGTATGTCTTTTTCTTTCTTTTTTCCCCTCTTCTTTCTTCCCATGCCCCCCCATCTTTAACCGAGCTTCTTCTAACCGAATCGATAGTATCCCGGAGATGCAGTCTGGCTGGGGAAGCGACCTGATGCGGAACGAGGCCACCTTCCTCGCCCTCGACGGCGCCATGATTCTCATCGCCGTCACCATTATCACCGCCTTCCACCCTGCCTTCTTCTTCCCTTATCTCGGCAAGGGCAAGGGCCAGCCTCGCAGCGCCCCCACGGTCGACGTCGAGCGCCTTCCCGCTCCCCCTGCTTACCGGGTTCCTGTCGGCCACCGCATGTCGAACCGCATTTAAGCGAGCGGGACTGCATGGCATCTGGGAGACGAGAGAGCCACGATTCTGATCTCACGGGACATGGTCGACATGAAGGGGAAACCCGTCGCGACAACGAAACATGATACCAGCACAGCACTCGTCGGTTGAATCCGGTTGAATCCAACATGGCCGACCGTATTGCAAGGGAATTCTCCAGCCGTACAAAATACTTGGGACGTTTGGGAGGCTATTAGTTTCTTTTTCTTTTATTTTTTTTCCTCGGGCGTGCCGGCACACAAGCCTCTGCATTCTTCTGGCGTTCTGGTAGCATGGGAGCGATCAGTATATCTGTATATGGGTTCGGCTGGCATTTTAGGTTATGATAGAATTAGACCACGCATCATCGTATAGAAACGGAAGCTTCTGTGAAGCAAACTATGCAACGCAGGGCAAAAGATTTACAGACTGAGAGAATAAAGCTCAAGATTTTATCGTATAATTCTATCAAACATCCAGTCCAGGACTTTTCTTTCTTTATCGGTTGTCCGTATGCCGTCATGGGCAGTTATTTACCTTCGTATTACCCCTAGGTATACGCACCGGGCCATGCAACGGGCTGGCCGAAAAGACGGAGCGCAGCATGCTAATAATAGCGGTCAAGGTTGAGAAGCCTTAGCGGACGATCCCCTAGGTGATCGGTGCTCCAGCGGAGTTGCACCCGTAGCCTCTAATAAGGGCCTGTCCTCGGACGGGAGCCCCCACTTAGTTTGAATAGCGACGTCACCCACCAAATGTGTACACGTACTGGCCTATCCGTATTTCGTACTCACCTATTATCATGTCTTCAATGCACGAAACACTGGTACGTCTCTTTTGAATATGCCGGGGCTTTTACCTAAGGTATCCCGTGTGCGTACTGGCTACGGGTATCTCGTACTATAGCGCAGCCAGAGACACGTGGCTGGCGCCACAGCTGGAACGTCAGAGGGCGGGGGCTTAATGGCTGGACAGGGCAGGTGGGTGCCTGGAAGTCCTGGAAGTACCTACCTTGGGTATCTACCTGGCCCATCACCGTGAAATGTCCCGTCCCTCCAACTCAACGGTCCGCATGGGCAGGTATGCCTAATATGATACGTTCTGAACTCCCCAAGTGGCATTACCTCACTGACCGGTTCTGCAGGCTGCAGTAAGATTTCCATACCAGCCTACAATGATGGGGATAAACGTTTGATCTCTATGAGCAGCTGACCTTGTTATTATCGAATATGCTCAACAAGCAGGGAAAGTACGGTGGATAAGGTGAGATAAGTAAGGGCAACGGAGGGTGAAGCTTCATTCCTAAGGACAGGCTAAGGTACCTTGCCTTCTTGTGCTGGTACTTTACTTGTACTTATATTCGTACCTTACCAGTTTACTTTCGTACAGCTCAGGTGATTAATTGGCAGGTCGCTACTTCCCGGCTTCACTTCCACCTCCACTTCCACAGCTTCAACACAATTCTCCCCACTCTCCCCACTCTCCCCAGTCTCTCCATTCTCTCTATCATCCCTCTCTCTCCTCCTCCGGTTATCTATCCTTCTCTTCATTCATATATTCTTTTTCATTGTGCCGCACCCTCTATTCTGTCCACTCCCAGTCGTACGGGGACGTTCTTCCCATTGTGACCACACTCTGTGAAATCATCCCCCTCTTTTGACGTCCCTGGAAGCCCAACAATGGGCCAACATGACCGACTGACGTTTTGACCCCGCCATTGATGTCGCTTCTGGAGGCGAACGATTCGTGAATCCCGGCATCCCCCAACTAGATTCAAGCTCAATCATAGCGGCCCCTTGGACCAGTCGACGACACAAGGCCAGGAAAGTGCGAAGTTCGAACCAGGCAGAGAAAAGGAAAGGAGAGGGGTCCTGAGGCCATTTCCAAGTTCCAACCCCCGAGTCCCAACACCGCCCAACCTCTCCTCGGCATCACTTCGCCCCTCGTTCGGTGGGCCTTGGATCACCAATCATCTACAGTTACGCTTTAGACTCTAGATCTCTCTCTTACTCCGAACCCTCGATTTTTTTCTTTTCGTCATATTTCCCTCGCCGGAGAGCTCTCGTGTAGCTCCCATCGATCGATCCGCGGGTCTTCTTCACGCCTTTGTTGCCTTGCTTGGCGTCTTGACCGAATCGACTTCACGTGCTATCTCTGACCTGCTCTCCCTTCATCGGTTTCCTAAGCGACGCCCCATTCTCGCCTTACCTTACGGTCACGGTCACAGTCACGGCCACTGCCCTCGTCCGTCACCATGGCCTCCGCTTGGACAACGGCCCCCGTTCGCTTCGACATCCCTCCCGAGGCCCGTTCCCTTCCCCGCTTCGCTGCGCTTCCCGCCGAACTCCGCTACGAGATCTGGGAACATGCCATGCTCGAACCTGGCATGCATTTTCTCAAGGTCGTCGTAGACCCCGACTCGGCTGTCTCGTCCGACACCGTTAGCATCGACTCCGACATCAGCCACGGCGCTCAGGTGGCCCAGCAGCACCCGACTGACGACACTGCTACTGCGGGCCACCACCCTTCCAGATCCAACGCCGCCATCAGGATTCGCAAGGCCCACCTGGCGCCAATCTACCCCCACCCGCGCGCTGACTTGTCTCGTTACGTCGGCACCAATCACCGCTTGTCCACCTTATCGGCGTCCTGTGTCGAAGCTGCCCAAGTCGTCCGCCGACTGGTCCACCACCCCGCCAGCATCAAGTTGCCCGACGGTAATACCGTCTTCCTCGACCGCGGGTCCCGGGACATCATCTGTCTCGACTACATGTCCAGCGACCGCTTCTACAATGGCTGCCGCATCCGTCACGACGTCCAATGTCCCGGTCTTGAAGGGATCCGCCATCTCGCCATCCCCTACTGCCATCAGTGGGAGACCAAGTGCAACCCATGTTCTCGCTGCCACCGCCAGCACGACCTATTTACCGAGAGGACATACCCCGTCCACGTCTTTCAGTTCCTGGCAAGGCAGCTTCCCAACTTACAGACCTTCTACTTTATCGACTACCTCATCCTGCCAAAGAAGTCTGCTGACCGCCGGGATGCCGACCGCCGGGACGACGATTCCAACACGTCTGCAAAGAGACGTAAGTTGCTTTTTTCTTTCTTTTTTCCTTTTTTCTTCTTTCATATCCTATGTCTCAGACATGTACAATATAATTATTACATTCATATGCACCGACCATGACACGCGACAGGACCACATGGCTTCCGGAGCAAGGACCGGACCTTCTTCGAGGTATCGTCCCCCAACAGCGACGACTGGGCAGTCTCCTCGCGCGTCTTCCAGACCCTCAGCTGGGTCCAAGAAAACTTCCGTACCTACGCAGTCCGCAGCACCACCACGCGGTACCGCCATCCGAACCCGCATGACGTCCAATTCAAGGTGCTCGCCTGCCAATGGGATACCGTCGAGCCCCGGACAGCCCACGCGCCGATGTTGAATTGTCCCACGGCGAAGAAGAAGACCGACAAGAAGCGCGGCTTCGCGTCTGCTTGCGGCGAGAACTCTCCCGCTGGCCGCGCTCTCAAGACGTTCAAGTCGGCCCGGGCCGCCCGGCGACAGGTCGTTACCGCCACTTCTGCCACCGCAGTGCCGCATACTGTCCCCTTTGACACGCCGCCGGGGATGTTCGTTTTTGGGAGAGGAGAGAAGTTTGATTTCGTCTTTGGGCGGGAGGTGCTGGTCCGTCGATGAGGTCGAGACTGTAAGGGAGAAGGAGGTCCGAATGTGGATGGCACGTTTCCTTCAATATTCTTTTTCTTTTTCTTTTCTCTGCCTGGTATGTTTCTTTCCCTCTTGGAGGGTCCTGTCGAGGGTTACGGTCAATGGAACGGGCGTTAGGATGGGCGTTAGGATGGGCGTTAGGACGGGCGTTAGGAACGTTGAGACCTGCTCCACGGTGGTTCACCTATGTTTTCTCCCGATCCTACTTTTCTTTTCATTATTATAGCTTCCTAGGCGCACCTTGTCCTCCGCAGCTACCCAGCTAGCGAAACCATTATTGAAAATCCCCCCAGTTCCCAGCCATGCTGCATGCGCCGGCGTGTCTTTGCGACCAGACGGTATCGTTACCGCTCCCAGTGCCCCGTCAAGAAAAGAATAATATTTGCATGACAGCCAGGCGGACTCGTCTAAAGTCAAGATTCGCCGATCAGCCGGGAAAGAAAAGGGGGAATTAATAGAGAATAAGCGCTTGTTCGGGATGGTGCTCTTCTTGGCATTTACCCTTTTCGTCCGTCCCGACGGGCTCCCGATTCGGTCCCGGTCCGCGCCGTAATGGGGAGCCCCGTCATCCCAGGCCCGCCGAGGAGCCAGAGTGGGAGAACAGTGGATATTTGTGGGCCGGGCTGGGGTCTGTGAGGTTTATACGGAGTAAACCTTTCCTATCCAATGTTGATAATGATGGTTCTGAATTAGAAGTTCCGAAGAGACTTGCCTAGAGGTGCATGTGTTCACTTGGAACCTGGCTCGTAGAAGTGGTATGGGGGACATATCTCGGGTGTATTTCGCAAAATGGATCCGGCGTTGAGCGTTGAATGGTCTTTTTATTCTTTCTGTGCCAAGTGATACCTTTTTTTTAAGAGAAACATACATCTCCCGGTATTGCAAAATCTAAACACCATGCCCGCATCTCGTCGTATCGTGACCTTCACCGAGCTCACCGAGCACAACACCAAAGAAGACCTTTGGGTTGCCGTTCAAGGAAAGGGTGCGATTCTTTTTCCTTTCCCTTTCTATCTTACACAGTGCATTGTGCTGAACTCACCACATGCACGCAATCCAGTCTATCAATTGTCGGACTTCGTAACCGACCATCCCGGCGGCATCGATGTGCTTCTGGAATGCGCCGGCATAGATGGCACCGAGACATATGACTATGCCGGACACAGCGACAGCGCCAAGGTCACTCTGGAGCGGTATTACGTCGGGGACTTGGAGGGTTACGTCCATGTCCACTCCGACTCTCCCAGAGGCGAAGGAATAGCTGGAAAAGGGTCATTCACTCGTGCGATTCTTGGCGCCCCGACAGCAAAGGCCACTACCGGGAGCCTCGGCTTGAAAGACGTCCCCAAACATGTGGTTTGGCTTGTTTTGCTATCTATCGTGGGCGGGGCTTTTGCCAAATATCTGCATCTGCCTGCAATAGGGGGGCTGGTGGGCCGCTTGAGAGCACCTGATAGTCTGGATGTGACCGTGGCGTTCTGGGGGGGAGCTCTGCTCGCATCATCGCTTGCTGCTGTCGGTCTGGGATACTTGTCGGTGCAGTTCAACAAGACTTTGCAGCATACGAAGGAGCCTTTTGCCTATCCGGCTCTCATCCCACGGCCGGTCCATCTTACTTAGATAGTATTCATGGTCAAAAGTTCAAGATTGAACTGTGCTATCTGCATGTCGGCTGCTCATGGGTAGCTTGCATTCTTGGTGTTCTAAGAGTGTTTGCCTCTGGGTAAACGTGCAGCTGGGGGGTGTTGTCTTCCGGGAAGTGTGATCACTGATATCTAGAGATGGACGATTCAAGACGCGGTCAGGGGGTACATCGATAGGAATGAGCCAACTTCCTTCCAATCTCATAGAAGAGCTAAGAAGAATTTCAAGAGAAGTTTCTACATAGATATCTCCGGAGATAGCAGCAATGGATGCACGTGTTCTTAACAGTTCAACTTCCAGACCGTATAGTTGTGAATACAGACATCAAATTTATATCATAACGACTACCTTGTGCTAAGAGAAACGCGGCCTCGACGAACAAGAAAGAAAAAAGAAATTTAGAAAACCAATCATCGAAACAGGTTCCATGAACATGATGATTTTCATCCTCCTCCCTGCACATCCTGACGAGCCTCCGAACTGACCAAACCACTTCTCGAGGCAATCTTGACGGCCAAATCCGTCACGGGCGTGGCACTCAGCAACTCAAAGACGGAAATCTCGCTCTGCATTTCCTTTAATACCCTGTTCCGGATCTCGACTGCGTTGAGAGAATCCACTACACCCGAGTCAGTATCAGTATCACAAAGCCAGTTGACGGTAACAACGAGGAACGCTGGGGCAACATCAACGAACGACAACCGACATGACTTACCTCCAAAATCCGGCAGGGGCCGCTGCACATCCACTTCATCAACACCGACGCCAATAGAACCGGCAATCTGCGTCTTCAAGCTCGCCTCAACCGCCGCAGCCGCCTCCGCCAGCGTCGCAGCAGCAGCAAGCTTCTCACCCACCGACTCCTCCTTAACGCCGCCCCCCCGAGCCCCCTCATTGACAACAACCTGGACGACACGCAGGTCAAACTTCCGGTCGCGCTCAAATCCGGTCCCGCCGCGCTTCCGGACAAGCTTGTCACCCAGCCCCAGGACAAACTGGCCAGGGATGCGGCCCCCGTCGGCCGTCGCACCGCGCATCACGGCCGTGAGGGCCACGCGCAACTCGTCCAGGTTCGTCTGAAGGCCCGTCCACCCGTGCTGGTAGCGGTGGAGATAGTGGTCGAGGTCCCCGAACTCACCTGCGGCGGTGAAGTGGGACGAGTCGGAAACGAGGCCGACGTCGATGCTGGTGGCGCGGATGCCGAGGTGGGCGCGGGCGTGGCTGGCCAGGGCGTCCTCGAAGGTGTTGCCGGATGCGTAGTTTGCCTGGGCGGTGTTGCCGATGATGCCGGTGATGGAGGAGAGGAGGAGGAAGAAAGGGTCGTCGCCGGGCCAGAGCTGGGCGAGGAGGTTGCGGGATCCGCGCGTCTTGGGGAGGAAGGCGCGCGTCCATTTCTCGTGGGTCATGTTGTCGAAGATGGTGTCCTCCAGGACCATGGCACACTGGACTATGCCCTTGATGGTGCGGCCTCGGGACTTGAGGGCTTGGAAGACGGTGGCGACGCTACATGCGTCGGTTACGTCGCACGGGAAGGCCTCGGCTTGGCAGCCACGGGCGCGGAAGCCTTCCAGGTCCTTCTCGTTCTTGCTGCCGCCGGATCTTGAAAGGAAGACGAGGTGCTTGGCGCCGTGCTTTACCATCATGTTGGCGATATCGAGGCCGAGAGCGCCCAAACCACCGGCGAGGACGTACGTGGCATCCTCCTCGAGGACGAGAGGCTGTGCAGGCGGTGGCATGGCCAGGATGGTAGCATCTTCATCCAACGACACGACGACCCTGCCGGAGACGGTTTCGGGGGTCTTTAGCGTCTCGACCGCCTTGTGAAGATCCTGTACAGAATAGGTGGTAATGGGAGCAGGAGGGGTGATCAACTGACGGCGGGCAAGATCCTGGAACGTCTGGTGAAGAAGCGTAGTGGCAACCTTAGGCTGATGCTCGATGACCCGGTCCATGTCGACACGCGCGAGGGTAGCATTGCGCTTAGACGCCGGCAGACAAACGGCCGGGCCAGACGACGCTTCACCCTCGCTACTCAAGTCGAGGAAGTAACCAAAGTCCCCCATGATACGTGCGCTTGTGGCAGTGGCAGCGTTAACGCGAGGGTTGAAGATGACATCTACACCGCGACCCTCGGTGGCTTCATCGATAGCGGCGATGAAAGTCTCCAAGTTGGAATCGAAGATCTGTGACGTCGACAGACCGTACTTGGTAGTGAGAATCTCCTTTTCAGTCCTGCTGGCGACCAGGGCGAATACTCTGGCACCAATCATCCCGGCGACCTGGACGGCAGCCTGGCCCAGATCACTGGCGGCGCTGTTGACGAGCACGCTCTGTCCGCGACGCAGGGAGGCCGTTTCGCGGAGGGCATACAGCGCGCTGACAAAAGGGAAAGACAGGCTCGAGGCGTCCAGGGGAGACAAGCCCACCGGAATCGGTACGGCCTGGCTTTGATGTAGGCGCATCTTCGTCTTGTTGGCTTCGCTATGGATGACGGCGACACGCTGTCCGACTGAGAGGAGACGGACCTGATCGCCACAGCGCGAAACCACGCCGACGGCATCCCTGGCCCAGCAGCTGCGAGACGCGAGTCCTACAAGCTCGACCTCAATCTCGACATGCTCAGAACCAAGCGCCGCGTCCCTCATGGCAACGTCCTCATCACCCCGGCATTTCAGGGAGACCGGGTCGACGGCCAGTTTCAGGGGCTTGTTTGACAAGTCCCCAAGCCTCGTCTCGACGGGTTTCGGATCACCGCTTGCAAGACGCAGCTCCGCATCGAATCCAGGCTCGTCCACCGCGCGCGGGACATGAATCCTGCCCGCCGACTCGGCGAATTCCATCTCAGCGTCCGGCCCCAGCGACGCGAGCCATACCTTGGCGATCAGCTCGGCATTCAACGGGCTGGCGAGGTCGAACGGGGCCGAGAGGTCCAGATGCGGCAGTCTGGTCAGCGTGTACTCGTTTCGGAGGACTCGGAGCAGGCCCTGGGCTGGGGCGAAGTCAGCGCCGCCGGCCCAGTTCTCTAGGAGACCGCCCCTGGTGACCCAGAAGAGGTGGTCTGCCTTGGAGACGATGTTCTTGAAGGATGCGAATTCGGCGGCGGACCAGGAGTAGATGAGAGGAGAGGAGACTTCTAATAGCGAGACGATGTATGTCCCGATCAAATTCTCCTGGTCAATGGTGGTGAGGTTCTTTTCACTCGTTGTAATGTTCAAGGAGGCGAGAGTTTCTGTCAGAGTTGATACCAGGGCTGATGTTGCGCGAGACTCGACCGAGGGGACGAGGAGGAAGACTTCAGAAGGAACCTTGACTTCTTCAGCGTCCAAGTTGGCCAGGACGTCTGCCATGTCCTTGAGACTCTCGATTAAGGGGAACTCGCGGGACCAGTCAACGCGGGCACACTTCTTCATATCCCTGGCGTCCGTAGTAGTCTTGGAAGCATGCGCCGACGTGACCTGACGCAGCGCAAAGTCCTTCACCGTCAACTTGGGCCCCGACCACGTCTCGTCCGACACGATCAAGTTACCGGCAATTTCATGGCCGTCGTCGCTCTTATACGTCAACTGGCCATATCCCTGGAACCTGCCACCCGCGCCGTGAGGCTGGTCCACCGCAACAAACATGTCGCCAATGCTATACGGCACGGCCGCCTCGTCGACCGGTCGACCGTCGTTGAAAGCGGCCAGGAGGAGGTGGAAGATGGCATCCATGGCGGCAGGGTGCATGATGTGCGGGTACTCGAAGTTCTCGGGCATGGCTGACCTGGTGTCCGGGATCGCGACGATGCCGTGGGATGATTTCATCGAGGGCAACGCCCTGAGGGAGACGACGTTGCGGAAGAGGGGGCCGTATTCCATGCCGATGGTCTGGAGGTGGTTGTAGAACGCGTCGACGTCCACGTCCTCGCCCGATGCGTCTCCGATGAGCTGGTTGTAGATGGCGGTGTGCTTGGCCCATTGCAGATCTCTCGTCGCCGGGTCCTCGACTTCCCCTTTGCCCGGGGGAGCATACTCGAGCGTCGCTGTGCCGCGGCAGTGCCTCGTCCAGGAAGTCGAGTTGGTCGTGGAGAAAATGGTGAACCCGTATTGTCCCACCACATCCCTGTCTGGCAACAGGCTGAGTGAGGTTTCAACCGCCCCGTCCTCGTCCGCCGGGACGACGAGACCACGTTCGAAGCTGACGTCTCGAAACCTGAGCCCCTGCAGCTTCCTGCCCGTGTCACGCAGTTGCATGGCACCTTCAAGAGCCATGATCAACATGCCCGCCGCAGGGTAGAGCGTGGTCCCCGTGATCTGGTGATCTTCGATCCAGGGGTTCTCCGAAATGCGCAGATGGTTCCTCCACTTTGGTTCGAATCTGTTTTGCATGTCAACAGGCACACCGAGCAAATCGGTCCGCGGCGCCGAAGGGAACCGGTTCGACCTGGTCGAGTAGGCCTCGTGCCAGAACCTCCTCGCATGGTTCCACGGATAAGGGGGAAGATCAGACAGCGGCTTCAGGGGCAGGCTGGGAGAGAGACGGCCGTGTCCGTTAACGTTGTACAAGTCAACGGCATGACCCATCGCCCAGAGCTTCCCAGCCACGGCGAGACTCGACTCCGTGGCGTCCTCGCCACGAGAGAGCATGGACATGTAAGCGGCTTCCTTGGCCGTCTTGTTTCCGCTGGCGGTCATAATCTGCTGAACGGGTCCCTTGAGCGCAGCATGAGGACCAATCTCGACGAACCCGTCCCAGGCGACGTGTGACTTTCTCTTCTGCTTCCCCCCTGATGCGTGGTCGTGGGCGAGCAGGCTCGTCACGGCCGTGGAGAACTCGACGGGGGCGCACATGTTGGAGACCCAATACTGCGCGCTCAGGTCGTCAGGGGACACCAGTCCACCCGTGAGCGACGAATACATGAACGTTCGCTCCGTGCCGCCGGGGGTTCCATCTCCTTCGCCCGAGACAGTGGCGATGTGGCCCATCTTCTCGAGGTAACTCTGCGCGACCGTCTCCATGTGCGGCGAGTGGTAGGCCGTCTTGACCTTCAGCTTGCGCGCGAACTTGGCGTCGCCCGAGATGAGCTTTTCGAGCTTGTCGATGGATTCGACGTCGCCTGAGAGGGTTATGCTGGATGGACTGTTGATGCACGCCACCACGGCTGACGAGGGCGGCACCTCGGCGAGGTACTTTTGCGCTTCTTCTCGAGATACGCCTGCTGCCAGCATGGCGCCATTCTTGGTGACTGCTGCGGACCGGAGGCCTCGTACGTAGGCGATCTTGATGGCGTCGGCGTGGGTGATGTAGGAGGCAGCATAAGCAGCGGCTGCAGTATTGTTAGTCTCGGTTTTAGTGTAAGATATAAGATGTAACAAAAAAGAGAAGAAAAAGGGGTGGCCAAGGGAAAAGGGGTAAAAAAAAAAAGGGGTAAAAGGGGTAAAGGGGTAAAGGGGTAAAGGGCTCGTACCAATTTCGCCACTCGAATGCCCTACCGTCGCCCTCGGATGAACTCCCCAGCATCTCAACAGCTCCACGAGCGCAACCTGAACCACCGTGCAAAGCGTCTGGCTAAATTCAGGGAGGTTGATGCGGGAGTCGTCCGTCTTTCGAAGCTCCTCAACAACATTCCACCTGCAACCGAGATCCTCCAGATAGACCTGCGACTTCTGCACACTCTCCCCAAACTGCGGGTTTCGCAACAACTCAACGCCCATAGCAGGCCACTGAGCTCCCTGTCCGGTAAACACAAACACGAGGTTGGTCTTCTGACGAGGGGAGCGCTTCGTCTTGACAAGACCCTTGGCTAGCTGGGACGTAAGCGCCTTGAGAGAGGGCGCGACGCAGAACCCGCGAAAATCGAAATGCGAGCGCCTCTCTGACAGTGTGTAGGCGAGGTTGACGAGGTATTTGTACTCCTCACCATCCACGCGAGCCTTGGAAAGGGCCTCGCCGTACGATTTCGCCAGCCGTTGCAGACCAGCCTGGTCCTTGGAGCTGAAGACGAACAGACGTTTCGTGGACAGCTCCGTCTCAGAGATGGGCGTGGCGGGCCCGGCGCTGATACCGGACTCGGAGTCGTCCCCGTCGTCGTCTTCGGGGGTCGTGGTGCTGTGGTGCCCGACGAGACCCCGGCTGGCGAGGTAATGGTGCGCGTCGTCGAGGATGGCGTGGGCGTTGGCGCCTCCGAAGCCGAACGAGTTGACGCTCACGCGGCGCTGTCCCCGCGTCGGCCACCGCGTTGTCTCGCGGGGTAGGGTTAGGTTCCAGTCGGCGAGCTTGAGTTTGGGGTTGATGGTCTCGACTCCGTACGTTGGCGCCAGCTTGCCGCTTTCCAGACAAGCGACGGCCTTGAAGATGCCGGCTAGCCCGGAACAGCCTTCGGTGTGGCCGACGTTGGGTTTGATGCTGCCGATGTATAAGGGGCCTAGGCCGGCTGCAGCCCTGGCGGCGCCAAATGTCGAGGCTAGAGCTTCCAACTCGATGGGGTCCTGGAGGGAATTTGTCCGTCAGTTCTCGGTGCATCAGAGGGAGTGGAGATAAACACCATGTTCCTAATGCTGTGCTTCCCAGCCCACTTACACCGACAGGAGTGCCTGTACCATGGCACTCGAAATACTGTGTCTCGGTCAGGTCCAGCCCGGCGGTTTTGTAAGTGCTCGTGATGAGCTCTGCCTGTGCCTGGCTGCTAGGCTGTGTGATGCTGGGGGTCTTTCCATCGGCATTGGCACCGGTGCCTCTGACGACGGCTCGGATAGTATCCCCGTCACGCAGGGCATCCGAGAGCCGCTTGACGACAACACAGGCGATCCCCTCACCCCTACCATAGCCATTGGCGCGATCATCAAACGTATGCGAAATGCCCTCCGGACTCAACATGTGCATAGCCGACAACTGATGCATGGTATTGGGGAAGAGGAGGAGGTTGACACCGGCCACTAGGGACATGTTGGTCTCGCCTAACCTGAGAGACTGGCAGGCAAGATGCAAAGCGTACAAGCTCGACGAACAAGCCGTGTCGAGCGTCAAGCTGGGACCTTTAAGCCCGTAGAACCATGACACGCGGTTTGCGGTCATGGCTTCGCTGGTGGCTGATGCGGCAGTGTGGCCGATATCGTACATGTCCCGGAGCGAGAGCATCTCGTAGTCGTTGGTCATGCAGCCGACGTAGCATCCCGTTGGGCTGTTCATCAGTTTCTCGACGGGAATGCCGGCGTTTTCGATACTTTCGTAACTGACTTCGAGAAGAAGACGCTTCATGGGGTCCATGGCGGCCGCCTCCTTGGCTGTGGTGGAAAAGAAGGGGGCATCAAAGTGGCCGATGTCTTGTTGGAGGAAGTAGCCGTGCTTGACACTGATCTGTTTGGCTTTGTGTGAGCGGAAGCTTTCTGCGATATACTAAGGGGCTAAGTAAGACAACAAGAACATACTCCTCCTTTTCGGTCAGGATCTGGATGATGCAAGATATCAGCATCCCACCGGTCAGCAGGAACCTTGCCGTGGCCTGTCCTGGCATGGCTGATCATATCCCATAGATCCCCCAGCGACGAAGTATCCCCGGGAAGACGACATGCCATGCCAATAATGGCGATAGGCTCTTGGTCATCTATGTAATCGATTGTCATACTGATTTGAAATGTATGTATAGAGAAAATTGAGAGGAATAGTGAGGGATAATGTTTTAGTGGTCAGTAAATGCCAACATTAACCACCTTTAGGATTTCAGTAAGAGAATTGCCTTGTATTAATGCAACTTCTTACGCTCTCAGTCTCGACTACTTGATGTCCTCATAAGAAGTTGGAACAGGCTACAGTTTCTCACCTTGAAAGCTTGAGAGTAACAGGCGAGTCTCATAGCCCTGAACCATAACCACATGCAGTATCAACATCCGTCTTGCGATGTACGCTGAATCAACCCGTCAAAGAGCCCGAGCTCAAAAAGAGGGCGGCTCGGAACATTCCAGGCATGTCGATTCCCGTTGAAGAACCCTGGTCCTCTCCACCTCAACTCTCCACATGCACTGAGAATCCAGGACTAACGCGAATCGGAACACCGCCAGCTGCCAAGCGCCAGTCAGGATCTTCGGAAATATCCAAAAGAGGAAGTTGGGCCAAGGGGAACCACGAAAGCACACATTCCACCGAAGCTAGAACAAGGGATCAATAGAACAAGGATCAAATAGAGCAATCCCTTGCATGGATGACTGAATGAAGCCTGCTCCGGATTGAATACATGTACTCATTGATTTGTTCATGTTCCCGGCCCCAAAATAGGTCTACACGATGACAGATGTGACCCATCCCGACTGGGGCCTGGATCATGGATCATGGATGTTGAATGCCCCCCCTGATTAGTATGACCCGAGAACGACTTTGACCTGGGGAGCAAGTCAAGCGAGACTCGTCAGAAAGATAGACCACCAGACAGATAGAAATCCAAGAGAACCGGCAGGATAACAAGTTGCAATAGACTTCATGTTCACAGACATTGAGCAACCTGTTACCCTATATACGAACAGAGCCACCAGAAAGAAAGTCCTAGTCTCGGCATCATGAGAATCCTCTGCCTTCACGGAGTCGGAAGCTCAGGCAGCTTTTGCGAGAATCAGTTTCGTCCATTCTTGGGAGCAGTTGATCCAAGCTACCAATTTCTCTTTGTCGATGGTCCTGTACCATCGGAGAGAGGCCCGGGTAGGACATTTCCCCCTTTATTTGTTGACATCACAAGTTAACAATGAACAAAAACAACAGGAATGGCTCTCTTCCGCGACGGTCCGTATTATTCCCACACGAAAGGCTATGACCCCGAGAACATGCGAGGGGCGATAGACCACCTGGAAGAAATCATCGACGAAGCCGGCCCCTTTGACGGCGTTCTGGGATTTAGCCAAGGCGCAGCCCTCGCACTATCATATCTCCACCTCTGCGAGAGCCGGAACGAACCGTCGCCTTTCAAATTTGCCCTCTGCTTCTCCTCCGTCATGCCGTGCTCCGCCGACCCGGACTACGGAAACTGTCTCCTGCAGCGCATCTGCCCCCTCGACGATGCCCTCGACGGCTCCGACGGAGACGGGGAAGGAACCCTGGGAAGCACGCAGAGAACCCTTTTCTGCGATTTGCTGCACCGCACTGTATTTCCTGCGCAGAAGAGTGGCTCGCTTTTGCCCAACTATGACGTGGCCGTTTACCAACAGGGAGGGTACCTGTCGGTGGCGCCGAGGTTGATGCTCCCGTCGGCTACAGAGACGAAGATACGCATCCCGACTGTTCACGTCTCTGGAAAGAAGGACGCCGAGTTTATGAGGAACATGGCCGAGACGGCGAGGGGTTTGTGTGATGAGAAGTACACGAAGACGCTGGAGCACGTTGGTGGGCATCAGCCGCCGCAGAAGGAGGCCGATGTGAAGGCCGCCGTTCGGGCGATGGAGTGGGCCATCAGTCGCGCGAGACTGTAAAGGAAGGCAATGATGCCGTTATCGATAGAAGAGTAGAAGAGTAGAAGAGTACGAGTGCAAGAGACACCGCATATTCAGCCAAACAAAACTGACCCCTAAACGTTACACTGCTCAGTAGCACCTGATATTTACATTACGATCATCAAAACACGTCCATGACAGTCTAACGCTGCTGTATATTTTATATATCGTCAGGCTTGCTTATTTACGGCCCTATCTAAACTCCTCTTAAGCATGCGCCGCATACGATTGGTCCTCTTTTCTGCCTCACTTAAGATCATCATGCGACAATGACTCGACCGACTCCCTCCAACCCGCATCCTCACCCGGCCCAGTAACCGCGCAAATTCGGTAGACTGAACCGTGACGAGGGTAGTAAGGACATGCATGCGCTCGCAGTTACTCTCGATTCGGTACGTCGAAAACCACATATCCTCCGTAGAATCGCTGGACCGGCCATTCGACGTCCCGACCGACTCGCAGTCGTCCGGGCCGGCGGTCAGGGGTCGTCCAGATGACCATAAGGAGGATGCATGTGATAAAGGGAACGACGACGCCTTGGCCGCCGAGCCGGGGGGGTTGCTGGCGGCGCCCTGTTCTTCCCGACATGGACTTGCGATGGTCGTCTCCAGCATCCCGACGCATGCGCGGACCACGCGCTCGTACAGGACGCACATGTACTGGCACACCACCGCCACGAGGATGTTCGTCTCCCCTTGCTCCTGACACCGGCTGCAGTCCAGCGCCGCGGTGCAGTGGGAGAGGGCGCTCCGGAGGAAGCTCAGCATGATGTCCAGCGTGGCAGGTTGATCAGCGGCGTATTTAGCCCCCAGCTCTTCGAGGAGGAGGATGGTGTGGTGGAGGCAGGGACACGAGGTGGCGGTGCTGCCGGTGTGGGTGGTGATGGTGGTGCTGTTGGTAGTGGTGTTAGGGGTATTGGTGGCTGAGAGGGTAGCGGTGGTGGAAGAAGTGACTTCGCCTCCTCCTCCTCCTCCTCCTCCTCCTTGGGCATGGGACATTGTGCAGGTGGATGATTCCGGTCCTCGGGTCCTTCGGCGGGTGGCTGACGGTCTGGCGCTGGCGCTGGCACTGGCATTCCCGCTACTGGTAAGGGGCCTGCCCCGACTGTCTGCAGTAGCAGCGCGTCGCTTTCTACTGAAATTTATCTGCGAGATGGAAGACCAGCCTCCGTGGTTGCCGACAGAGGTAAATCCCTGTGAATCGAGACTCGCATGTTGGTGGCACGGGTGTTGCGGTTGCTGTTGCCTCTGTTGCTGCTGTTGCTGATGGGTTTGTTGTCTTTGAACAAAAGTGTCACTAGGTGAGTGCTTGATGGGTAGTACGGAAAAGGGCGACACGGCACGTCGTCTCAATGGGAGATGATGGCGGTCACCGTCTTCCAAAGCTGCTTCTTGTGATTGTGAGCTCACAATTCATAAAACCCATTGTCACTCGTATAACCGGAAAGAATAGGAACATGAAAGCTTCAATTCGGATTCTGCAACTTACCACAAGGGTATTTCGAATCGTCTAATGTGTGATCGGGTTGAAGATCGTACAAGGTTTCGGCATCATCGCCAAAGGGGTCTGGATGCGCAGACATGGCTGGGTCAAGAATCGACGCCATATCCGCCCAGTCTTCCATCCCCGTCCCCGCGGCGCCGTCAGGGAGAAGGCTTGGGTGGCTGGGCACGTTGGAGAATAACCACTGTTCGATATCTTGTTGGTCGGCGTTGGGCTCCACATCGGCGTTGTTCAGGCCGGTGACGTCCATGCCGCCCGTTGGGGAGGCACATGGGACAGGTTGTAAGGGTTCTATCCGACTGCGCTGCACCATCGGCTGTTCTGCTTCGCTCAAGTCTCGCTGGACATCTTGGTTGGTGTTGTTGGTATTGTGGCTGTTGACACTGTTGGTTGCACGTGTGTTGCCGTCCTGGTTGGTCTTGTTGGTGGTAACGGTAATTGCATGCGTGTTCTCGGCGGCTTCATCATTCATAGAAGCATGTCGTCGCTTCGTACGATGCGCATTTTGATCGCGAGGAGGATAACGACACTCGGCAGACATTGCGACGCATTTATCACAGCCAGAAGCCTCTCCACTGCAGCGGGTCTGTATAACGAATGAACACGTTTGCCCATGAACATGTTCGAGGATCGAGGCGAATACTCCACAACAGTGGACTCACCTTTCGGGCTCTGCACAGCTCGCAAGAAACATGCGGCTTGTCTCGGCGATTTCGACTGAGAACCGAGGCAATGTTAGGATTCTCGACAAAGGCCAATGGTGCCTTGGGGTGGATGGTCAAGGTGCCGAACATGACAACAGTTGGAGCTTTAAAGACGAGGGAAACGCTATAGACCTGGCATATGTCATGAAGTTTGTTCCGTCTGTGATTTGGTTTTCCTTCTCCTTAATTTTCGAAGAATGAACCAAAAGAGAGTACAACTATTGCAAACCCCCTTCTTTACTCTCGAGGCTGCAGGCATTGAAGGGAGTATTTTAACTAACCTACAGAGACGCCCAGAAACGACAGGCAGCGATTCCAGAAGCTATATGTATCTGATGATACACGTCCCGGAATGGAACGGGGCCGGACTGATACTTTGGTCCAAAGTTGTAGGGTGACAGGGCTAGTGTATGGCTGAGGAGCAAGGTAACCGGGCTATGGAGTACCTGTACCAGTCCAGTTAAATGTTGCATCGCTCGGTGTGTGCTGCCCGTACAGCTCAGGAGACGGCAGGATTGGTTTAGCTTGTGGTCGGGGGACTCTCACTCGGGGTAGAGTACGCCAAAACCCATTGGGGCGGAATGGGCTAGTATCCACTTATAGATCTAGGCGTAAATGGGTCTACCCAATAGCACCCATAGGCTCTAATGGGTGACCTAATAGAGCCCACTTAAGATAAAGGGCTAAAAAGGGATACCTATTAGAGCCTATAGGCCTGAATAGGTTACCTAATTACGTATACTTTAATTGTATAGGCTAAAATAGGTAACCTATTTAGCTATATAGACTCTAATAGGTATCTCTTTTTAGCCCTTTATCGTGAATAGAATTTATATACCGGTTTTTAAGAAATATATTCTGAACCCTAAATTCCATTTTATAGAATATCTACTTCTATAATTAATATAAATATAGATAAAGAGTACAAAATAAAGGAGAAAATATTAGTTAATAAGGTCTATATATTAGATAAGTATTAATACGTAGCTATAAAGTGCTATTAAGCTTAGTTGTAAAAGTGGCGATATAACTGTCCTGGCGATATAACTGTCCAGCACCAGCTTATCGGCTGGTGAGTTCCAACGAACCAATATAAGTGGGGCGTGGCACGGGTACCTACTCCGTACACACGGCATAGCGTTCTTCCGCCGTCGGCTGTTGTTATGACCTACTGCAGGTATTTGTGCGTAATACCTTAGTCCCCTAGATGCAGGTTCGGGTTGATATCCTCCCTTTCGTGAAGGTGAAGGTTGACCATTGGTGGGGTTCGGACCAATCGTATCGAGTAATTCTTAGATCTACCGATGGAATAGTGGGTAACGCCACAAGCCCGTCCCGCGTCGAGAAGAATCGTCGAACGATTCTTTTACATGTACCACTGTTCCACATACGTCGTACCGTTCGCGCAGGGGAAAAGTAAAAGTGGTAGGACGGCCACGTAAACGTGGCGGAGTGGTACGAAGGACATGGTGATGTACTTGTATAGTACACGTGTAGGTAGCGGGAGTGGGTACCTTCTGGTGTGGGGACCTCTCCCAATTCCATATCCATGTCCTCGTCCCGCATCGCATGGCCCCACAAGGCCATGAGAGGAGCCGAGATCCGAGCTAGTACGTGTAAGTACGGGTTATTTAAGTGGGCCGATCTCGCTTACCGGTAAAGACTAAACCGCAAAGGGAAAATGCTGAAATGGCTTAGTCGACTACCACCCCTCGAATTACCCCGCCTCTGATGTTTTGCTGTTTTTATACACTAATAGCCAGCGTCGGGACCTGAAGGTACGGTGTAGGGAATATATACTGATGTGGCCAAGGCACTGGCCAAGATGCGTCTATTCGCGGGAATGTTTGGCTGCTATAGAGGCAATACAGGGTGATACGTAACTAGAATCCTAAAGGGCGATCGGAGAAGGAAACGGGAAGGAATAGGAGAGCGAAGAAAGGGACAACCATAGAATACCTTTGTAAAGATAACGTGTGTCCTCCGGAGGCAACCAAAATAAAACTTATAGGAGCGAATACTCAAAGGAAAACCCCCCGAAAGCCAAGGGGTAAAGACAACCTGTAGTAGCTAAGGAACCAGATTGTTTAAAAAAAA